CTGCCCATGTCGTCGAATCCTTCCCCTGTCGCCTCGCCATCAACCACTCTGGTGGAGCGCCCATCCTCACAAAAAATGGCCCAGGCCAGCACAGAGAGCGGGGTGCCCCCTCCCTCTACGGGCTCGAAGCGCGATTACAAGGGCTTTGTTGCGGGCGTGTTCTCAGGGATAGCAAAGTTGACTGGTACGTCGTTTTTCAAGTATCTATGTTTGGGGTTGCTAGCAGAGACAAACTAACTCGCTGTTGCTGCTTCATAGTTGGACATCCGTACGCTTCTTCACCTTCCAATCCCCGATAACCCCATTTCCCAGAGTTGATTGTTGGTCGACGATCGCAGATTCGATACGGTCAAAGTACGCCTACAAACCAGCCATGAATCACACTTCCGCGGTCCGGTCGACTGTGTACTACAGACGGTGCGCAAGGAGGGAGTAAGCGGGTTATACAAAGGAGCCACGCCGCCGCTGGTCGGATGGATGGTGATGGATTCGGTGTAAGTCTGATGATTCTGGAAGCCCAAATACAGGACTACCGGATGTTGACCATGTCCATCGTCGTTCAGCATGCTGGGGTCGTTGACGTTATACCGCCGCCTACTGCTCGAGAATGTCTTCTCGAAGCCGCACATACGCGCGATGACCCCGTTTAGCGGTCGCCAGACCGATCTCACCACCCTCCCGAGTTTCGGGCACGGAATCGCGGGAATCATGGCGGGGACGACGGTCAGCTTCATCGCGGCGCCGGTGGAACACGTCAAAGCGCGACTGCAGATTCAGTACTCGGCGGACAAGACGAAGCGCATGTACTCCGGCCCGATCGACTGCGTGCGGAAATTGGTAAGGGCTCTAGTCGCGAGCTGCCCGCTTCGCTTCATGGTGCTGCGGGTGTTGTTGTGGACACGGGCAGTGTGCTGACCTTTTTGTCTGGTAGCTTCGAACGCATGGCATCGCGGGACTTTATCGCGGACTCTGCGCCACGATCGTGTTCCGGTCGTTCTTCTTCTTCTGGTGGGGTTCTTACGACGTTCTGACGCGGATGTTGAAAGAGAAGACCAGTCTGTCGGCGCCCGCGATCAATTTCTGGGCGGGTGGAATCTCGGCGCAGATTTTCTGGCTGACTTCGTATCCGTCGGACGTGGTTAAGCAACGGCTCATGACAGACCCAATGGGCGGGGCCCTTGGGGACGGGGAGCGCAAGTTCCGCCGGTGGAAAGATGCGGCGGTCGCGGTGTATCGCGAGCGAGGATTGAAAGGATACTGGCGGGGATTTGTACCATGTTTCTTGCGAGCATTCCCGGCGAATGCTATGGCGCTGGTTGCATTCGAGGGGGTGATGCGGTCGCTGCCTTAGAATGGGGTATACGTTTACTGTACTGTACTGTACTAGAAACGCGCTTTAATGACACTAGACTAGACTAGATTTATCTAGAATCACTAGAAGAACTAGAATAGAGCCATGAACTAAGTCTGGTCAATTCTGGAATTAGCATCAAGTTCATTCCCAGTGATGGGAGGGCAGTTCTGCGCTGCAACGGCCGCATGCGGCGCGATCTGGGCTGGGAACAAGACTAGCTTGGCATCTTTAGCTCGCTGGATGCAGATCTTACACATTCATTAATTACTGTCGCCTGGCTGGATTCGGTCCGCGCGTCCATTTCGTTTCCCGGTAGCCTGCCATTAAACCACATCATCGATCATCCATCGCATCTTCACCTTCTCTTCTCCCTCTTCTTCTTCCTCCATCCACTCCCCAACTCCACCACACTCTCTCTCCTCTCCCCTCCCACCTCTTCCTCCTTTCTACAGTATGTTTGGGGCACGGTTGCTGATCTCTTTCCGTCCTCTTGCTGGCTAAATCACCGCTGTCAATTCGTACCTACTTCCTGTCGGGCCCAGACCAAGCCACCGATTCCCCCGAATCCTGTCCGTCGACCCAGCTCCGAATCAACCGACTGCTGCAAAACCACCTTGATCGCTTGCTTTCCTTCCCTCCAATCACTCAAATCCGATAGAAGAACAACAACCCCCTGCAACCCCCCGTCGCAAATTAATCTTTCCTACAGTTGAGCCGGGCTTGGCTACGATGGCCGCGGCACGCCACATGCGTCGCACTAGTCCCATCACCTTGCTACTGGCGGCTTTGCTAGCCTTCGGCTTCCTGTGCTTTTTGCTCTCCCCATCTCCTCCCGCCGCCAACGCCGCCGCCGCCGCCGCCGCCGGTAACACCCCCCCCGACCTCGACTCCTCACAAATCCGCCGCGAAGACGCGGCCGAGCACCCCCTCTCACCCCCGACGAAACCCTTCCTCAAATCCCAAGCCGTGCGCGAAGATGGCCACGCCGCGGCGCCGCCGGTGGAACACTACGACCTGAACGCTCTGACGAGCACGAGCGACGCGGCGCGGAAGGGCGAGCGGGTGCTCATCCTGACGCCGCTGGCGCGGTTCTACCAGGAATACTGGGACAACGTGGTGGCGCTGAGCTACCCGCACGAGCTGATCTCGGTGGGGTTCATCATCCCCAAGACCAAGGACGGCAACGCGGCGCTCGCGGCGCTGGAGCACGCGATCAGCGTGACGCAGAACGGGCCGGTGGCCGAGCGGTTCGCCAGCGTCAGCATCCTGCGGCAGGACTTCGAGCCGCCGCTGCAGTCGCAGGACGAGAAGGAGCGGCACAAGCTGGAGAACCAGAAGGCGCGCCGCGAGTCGATGAGCCTGGCGCGCAACAGCCTGCTGTTCACGACGCTGGGGCCCGCCACCTCGTGGGTGCTGTGGCTGGACTCCGACATCGTTGAGACGCCCGCCACGCTGATCCAGGACCTGACGGGCCACGACCGCCCCGTCATCGTGCCCAACTGCTTCCAGCGCTACTACAACAAGGACGCCAAGAAGATGGACGTCCGCCCGTACGACTTCAACTCGTGGATCGACAGCGCCACGGCGCAGCAGTTGGGGGACACGATGGGGCCCGACGAGATCCTGCTGGAGGGGTACGCCGAGCTACCCACCTACCGCAGTCTCATGGCCTACATGGCCAACAAGGACTCCCCGCAGCCGGGGCGCGAGATGAAGCTGGATGGCGTGGGCGGCACCGCGCTGATGGTCAAGGCGGACGTGCACCGCGACGGGGCGATGTTCCCGGCGTTCCCGTTCTATCATCTGGTGGAGACGGAGGGATTCGCCAAGATGGCGAAGCGGTTGGGGTACGAGGTGTTTGGGTTGCCGGATTATTTTGTAAGTACTGTGGGCCCGGACGACTGGTGCAAGTGCTAACTGATGCTAGGTATACCACTACAACGAATGATGCACCATGTCAGGGGGTGTGGTCTGGAAGGCTGCGCTGTGCGCTTGTTGGTGTGTAGCGGTGGGCCAGAGGTTTGACTTATTCGTATCTGTACTTATACCTATAATAGAGAAAGAAAGACCCTCAAAAACATGCAGCCATACCTTCAGACAAACCCCCCTTCTAACCCATCAAACCTTGCCCTAAACTACAACAAACTCCTCACCCCCTTAGCCCCATCCCGAATCAAATGCGCATTCACCGGCGTCAACGCCTTCCCCTCCTCCCCCAGAAACCCCAGAATATTCTCCATCGCCAACCGCTCAAAGCCCACATGCGTATCCACCGTGCCCCCAGCGTTATGGCTCAGCATCATGACCCGCCGATCCGTCGCCAGCCGCGGATGCACCGCCGGCTCGCGGGCATGCACATCCATGCCGACGGCACTGATCCGCCCGTCCTCCAACGCCTGCACCAGCGCCTCCTCATCGACCAACCCGCCCCTCGCGATATTGACGAGTCGGCCCCCCCGCTTAAACTGCTTCAGGGTGTCCGCATCAATGAGCGTCCGGCCCGCGAACGGGGTCGCGAGCACCACACAATCCGCCTCCCGCAACACCCCGTCCAACCTCTCGGCGAACCGCGCGTGGATGCTGGTCTCGACGGCGGCGGGTTTCCGCACGCGGTCGTGGTACACGATCCGGATCCCCGGGAACGCCGCACGGGCTTTCCGCGCGATCGTCAGGCCGATCGCGCCCAGGCCGATGATGCCGAGGGTTTGGGTGGCGGGGTTCCGCGCGGTCAGGGGGGAGTGTGTGTGCGCGTCGTGGAAGGCGATCGGGGAGAGGCTGTGCGCGGCGGCGTGCGACCACCGCAGGTTGCGGAAGACCGCGAGGAGGAGGAAGAGCGTGGCGTCGGCCACGGAGTCGCTGGAGGCGGCGGCGCCGTTGCAGTAGGTTATTCCTTCCCTCTCGTTAGTATTGGGTGTTGGTGGGGGGGGGAGGGGCAGGGCCGGAGCAGGAGGGGGAAGGGACAGGGGAACGAGGGAGGGTGAAGTGCAATCCTTTATCCAAGGGCTGGCCGGGGGCCTGGCTCACCATATCTCGCGAGACACTCCACATCCACCCAGTCATACCCGGCCCCGGCGCTGGCGATGATCCTGACGCTCTCCGGCAGCAGCGCGATCAGCTCCTCGTCCCAGTCGCCCATCTCGCCGCCGGTGTTCCAGAACGGCCGGAAGATCGCGTCGACGGTGCCCCATCGGCGCTCTTGCAGGGCAAGCTTGAATTCCGGGCGGGCGCGCTCGGCGGTTGAGGGCCGGATGACCTCGAAGGTGGACGCGAAGCGGGCGTAGAGGTCGTGGTTGTATTTGATGGGGTCGCCCAGGTGGAGGACTCTGGGTTTCGGCATGGTCGGTTTTGATTTCGGGGGCTGAGGATGTTTTCTGGGTGGTTATGGGAGGTAGGGGAGGGAATTGGGTCTGGGATTGGGGTTGTTGATGCTATGTGTTGTATTACTGTACGTGGATTGTTGGTTGTGCTTTGTTCTTATACCAAATATGAATCTCATGCAGACTATGGAGACTTGATGGATGGTGTATACTTCGTCTACGAATTGGGAAGTATTCCCCATGGGGAAAGTTAGCATCCGATCCATGATCCATCAGACCCTACTTCAATAGCCGTCAAAGGCCGACTACGACTACCACTCCAAGCACAACTTCAATATCCGAGGCGAATAGCCGACTGCATTCCTATCGTCCTATCCTATCATACACGATAGTGCCCAACTACTGCATTCCGTCCAACACAATCACACAGCACCAACACCTTTCACACCACCACCAACCCGGCCCACGGCCAATCGCACCACCGACGCAATGCTCGCACCCCCCAGGATATCAAACACGGCTATCTCCGCCTGCAGCTCCCGCGAGAACCAATTCCGGAGCTCCACCGCCGCCAGCGAATCCACCCCGTACTGATGGATCGCTTTGTCCACGTCGACCTCGTCCACCGGCACCGACAGCATGATCGCCACCTTCTCCCGCGTCGCCTGGAGCGCAACCTCGACCGCCTCGCTGGTCGTCCGGGCCGCCGCGAACCGGGCCGCCAGGTTGGAGCTGCTATTCCCCGACGACGCCGATGCAGACGCTGACCCTCCCTCTGCGGTTGTCTCCAAGAAGGTAGACAGGTGGCGGAAGAAGGGCCGTTTCATCCAGTCGGCCTTGGCGCGACCGGTCTCCGCGCTGCGTGGCGTGATGCCGACCACGAGCTGACTCTGCAACGGCGACGAGCTTTTCTGGCTGCAGTAGATGTCCAGGATGGCGTGGAGGTCCGCCTCGGAGATCTCGTCCCACACGGTGTTGGCCAGGAACAGATCGCGCTTGTCCGGGTTCTCGTGGAAGTATCCGGCCGACAGGAAGAGCCCAAGATCCAGGGAGACGGCCTTCTCGCCTTGACTGACGCGATAGCGGGCCAGACCGTCCAGAAACGTGTTTCCCGCGGCGTAGCTCGCATCGGTGAGCGGGCCACAAATTCCACTGATGGAGGAGAGCATGATGAAAAAGTCCATGCCGCGCGGGAGAAGCTCGTGAAGGTTCCAGGAGCCCTGGGCTTTCGGCGCGGTACTTGCTTTCCAGGAATCATGGTCGAGTCCTTCGAAATTGCCGCTCCTGACCACCATTGATGCTTGCACGCATCCTTTGATTGAGGGCATAACTTGACGGCACACATCGAGGACGACTTTCAGGGACTCTCGATCGGTGATGTCACACATTGGAGTAACGACTCGAGCACCTTGACGCTCCAACTTCCTCACCAGCGCGCGTGCATGCTCAGTCTTCTGACCAGAACGTGAAAGGAGGACCAAGTTGCGAGCCCCGCGCTCTACACACCAGCTGGCTATGCTTCGACCAATGCCTCCCAAACCGCCTGCAATCACATATGTGGCGTTCGGTTCAAATGCAAAAGATGGTGTAGTATCCAGAAGTGTCATAACTTGCTCGTCATTCCGAAGTTCCACCACTACCTTGCCCGAGTTTCTCCCACTCTGTAGATGTCGTAAAGCTTGCTCAAGATCTCCAATGCCAAAGACCTGTAGCGGCTGAGGAATACTCAATTTGCCTGCTTTGATCAACTTGAACACGTCATCTGTCAAAGCTTGTTGAATCAACTGCGGACGGTCAAATGCCATCTCGGCAAGGTCCACCGCCGTAAAGCTCACGTTCTTCTCGAACTGCAACATCGGAAGCTTCGTGTTCGTTAGGATATCGTTCTTTCCAATCTCGATGAATCGTCCAAATGGCGCAATGCACTCCCAAGATGCGATAAGCATTTCACCGGCCAGGGAATTGAGCACAACATCGACCCCCCGGCCTCCAGTCAAGCGTGTGATCCCCTTGGCGAACAGTGTATTGCGGCTGGAGAAGATATGATCCTCTGGGACATGGTATTGCTCCATCAACAATCGTTTCTTTTCCTCAGTAGAAACAGTTGTGAAAACCGTCGCCCGGCAATGCTGAGCCACCTGGATCGCTGCCTGCCCAGTGCCGCCTGCTCCTGAGTGAATAAGGACCGACTCCCCCGCTTGCAGCCTCGCCAACCTTGTCATCGTGATCCACGCGGTAGCGAAGGCCACAGGAATTGCAGCCGCAGTCACGAATGACATTGGCATCGTCTCGTCCTTGATCTTGACGATAGACATGTTCTCACGCACACGAACGTAGTTAGCATAGCGACTGGGATGGAACACAACCACTCTATCACCCGGTTTGAAACGCCGACACTGACTGCCAACACGGACCACAATTCCCGCGAATTCGGCACCGAGCGTGTCACTTTCCAGTCGACCCAGTGCAATCAGAACATCGCGAAAATTGAGGCCCACACCCTTGACCTGGACCTCAACTTCGTCCGGCTTCAGGGGTTTGTGTAGAGATTTATCCTCGACAAACTGGAGGGTGTGCAGAAGGCCCGGGGTGCCAATTTCAAGGCGGAGCGGCGGTCCTGCCCCGTATGCTCTGAGCTCTCTTTGCTGTGGTAGCTTCATCTTCGCGATGGTCTGGGAGATAGCTTGAGCGGCGACCAACCGACCGATGTGGATTACCCCGTCAATCACTCTGTACTCTGTGTCTACATCTGTTGCTTCGGAGGTGACAGTTCCAAAAATCTTGGTGATCTGCTCTGCATGGTGCAGGATCGTGCTGTCGTCCAAGGACAAGGTTGTAATTTTTGCTCTGGACAATTCGCGAGCAAGAACGCGAAACAAACCGTCGACAAGTCGAAACTGAGGCGAGGGCTCACGACCTCCTCCGCTGTCAACCCAGATGAGATTCGTCGTTGTGGTTATCAATCGTTGCAAGCCTTCATATTCTTCCGCCTCCATGTTGTATGTGAAAGGAAAGTCGAAGTCGAGAAGGGAGATGTCCAGGATACCGGAAGACAGGTCTCGTTTCTTGATATCCTCCAGACCTCGCTTGACAGCATATAGAACTCCAGTCTGATCCAGTAGTTCAGATAGCATCTGTGCCAGCGCGACCTGACGAGGATTTGCGGTATTGAGAATGATATTGACCTCCTTCTGGGTGAACGGCGCTGAAGGTTTGGCTCGAGTCATATCGGTCCTCGTTGCCTCCGCGTTTGTAACGGATGGCACGGCGCTCGCAACAATGAATGTTGCTTCACGACATGAAGCATCGACGTAGTCATCTATCGCAAGGTCGCACCCCGAGAATCCTGATTCTTGCAACAAAGCCTCCCACCGGTTGACATCAACACACGGATGACTCTGGCGGTAGGGTTCACTTGCTACTCACGCAATTAGCATTGATTCAGAACGCATTCATTGAGTGAGAGACTTACCACGCCACCAACCCTCGAATAGCCCGAACACAAAGCTAGCCCGAACCGGATCAGGATGTGTGATCTCGAATAGCAGCAATTTTCCGCCCCTGTGTACTTATCAGCATCTGTTAACATCTACCCCACACGTCACGTACGCTTTCAACAGCCTCCGAACGTTCCTCAGGCTGGCTGCGAGATCAGTTGTTGCATGAAGGACCTAAGACATATAATATCAGCACTCCGCACCTTCAGCTGTAGACAGACACGCACCAGAAAAGCGACGACCAAGTCGTACGATCCACAATCAAAGCCTTGAGTCTCAGGATCCTGCTCGATATCCAACACACGGAAACTCATGCGCCGCTTCTCCGTCTCGAAGCGGCTCACGGCGTCCGGGAAAAACGAGCTGGAGATGTCGGTGAAGTCCCACTGGGCGTAGCGCGGTGCATTGTCAGTATCCGGGGATGCCAGTGCTTTGACGCAGAGCTCCGTCATCGCTCCGGTACCAGCCCCGATCTCGAGGACGTTCATGCGCGGATTCTTGTGGGCGAGAGCGTCGATGTACCGAGTCAGAGCTGTCACCGCTGGCAGGCCGTACAACATCTCGGAATACACATCAGTAAGCAGATTGTCCTTGAACAGATGAGGTAGAGGGTCTTCGAGAATCTCCAAAAGACTCTTGCAGAGAGTGCCCACGAGTTGGCCTCGCTTGCTGGCGCTTTCGACCTGTTTGTGAACCTCTGTTACATAGACCTCGTCGTCCATGAGATGCCGCCACTCAATCGACCCGAAGTCCGACACATCGAGTTCCAGTAACCGTTTGCGCTCTAGGATCCACTCAATGTATTGAATCGTGTGAGGGGGTAGACTGCTTTTGTCCATCTCACTGAGCGGATCGGCGTATTTGCTGATGCAGGTGGCAATCAGGAACTCCATGTCTCGCAAATGCTGCACCGGACCCGGGACTTGGAGTTCTTTCCTGCCAAATGCAGTCAAGAATCCGTGGTTGGTGAGCAGATCCGTGTCCGGCTTGTATTCGACGTGATGGCACAGATTGTCGGCCTTGAATTGATCCGAGGGTGCGGCAGTCTCTGGGCTCGCGATCGAGGTCACCCTTAGTCCTTCCAAGGTTAATAGAGCCTTGGACACGTTGCGGTCATATGCCGTTATTGTATACTGCGTGCTGCCAAGGGCAGATTGAACGGAAGCCGCATACACATTGATCACCTCTGCCGAAGGGTAGCTCAGTCCGCCTGTATTGGAGATCCAGAGTCGGGTGATGCTCGTGGGCACGGACACGGGAATCGTTCGCTGTCCGGCGTCAGTGGCTAGCGCGGCCATCATTTGAATCACACCGTCTAGAGTGGTTGGGTGGATTGTATGCGCCGGATAGACCTCTGACCCTGCTGTGCGGTCAGGCCTGAAGACCTTGACTTGCGAAACCATGGCTGTTTCCTCGTCTTGCCTGGAGATATTGCCCTCAATGACTCTGAACATCGACCCATAGTGATACCCACAGTTGTGCAAGCCTTCATAAAATCTGCCTGAGTCTTCATGCGATGCACATTGCTCGAGTGCACGCTGGCAATTCTTCGTAAGGGACGCCTGCCATTTAGACTCTTCGCCATGGCTGATGTTTGGTACCTGCACATCGGACTCATAATGAGCTTGAATTGAGCCCGAGCTGTTCTCGATCCACGATTCATTATTGTACGTGCAAACGCGGTACTCGAACCAGCCCGTCGCATCCTTGTTGGCGCTGCCGGCTCGCTTCAGGTAAACGCTCACATCCACACCATCAGCATGGCTTGGGATCTGCAAAGCCGACGAGAAAACCACATCCTTGATGTCGAATCCCGCAATGCCGCGGTTCTGGTCTGCTAGTTGCTTGACTGCTTCAATAGCCATGACAACCATACCGGCACCGGGATACAGGATGCTGCTGTTGATCTTATGGTCTTCCACCCATGGCATCTCTGAAAGTCGTATGATGTTTCTCCATCTAGCTTCCATGGGATTTCCATCAGGATCAGGCACCCCGAGTAGTTCCGTGTGGCCGAACTGACGGAATCTGTAACCTTTGCTGATGCGGCTCTCGAACCAATATGTCTTGGAGTGGTTGAAAGGGTATTCCGGTAGATCGACGAGCACGCGGGGCTTGTGTTGTGGCTTGAATTCTCCTCCATTGTTGACTGAAAGCAAGCCGATCGGGTAGCCGCTACAGTGCAAGCGGCCTGCCCCGTGCATCATGCAGTCAACGGCAGAGCGACCGCGGCGCAGGAGTGGGATGTAAGTGATTTGGTCATGCTTGCCCACGGCCTTGAGAATGTCTTCACAGGGACCTTGAAGGGCGGAATGAGGCCCGATCTCTAGTAGGTGGTGCGGCGCGACATTGCGGCGATGACTTCCATCAAACCTTCGAGTCGATGTTGCTGATTGGGAGCACAACCTGGAGAGGGCATCGTCGAATAGCACGGGCGATACCAGATTCCTTACCCAGTACTCGGGCTCGGAAAGCTCTTCTTCTGAAACCCATGTTCCTGTGACGCTGGAGACCATCACAGGTGGCTTCTTGGCTTTGGCTGGTCGCTCCAGCTCCGCCAGCAGTTCCTGGTATATGCCGGCAATCTCCTTCATCTGGAAAGAGTGATATGCGACGTTGACGGCAAGCTTTCTTGTGAAAACCTTCTTCTCGATCAGGGTTTGATGAAGGAAGTCGATCTGGCTCGCCTCCCCGGAAATAGTGACGCTGGTGGGACTGTTGATACACGCAACGTCGAGCTTGAGCTCACCGAACTGCGAGGCTACCGACTCCAGGTACTTCTGCACTTCTCCGCTCGACATACCCACAGCGAGCATAGCACCATGCATGCCGCCGGATAGATGCCGGGTGAGTTGCCACGCGAGAGAGCGTTTACAGTATCCCTTGTTGCCCATAGATCCGGAGCTTGGTTCACGGAATCGCCTATCAAGACATCAGCATATGCACGGGTGTCATAAAAACACCGTGACTCCGGGATCAGCTTACTCAAAGCAGGAAACGTCGAGCTCGTCACGCTTTCCCCCATGTTCCCTTGCCCTCATCGCAGCAAGGGCACCGGGTGTCATAGTACGGTACTTGCCTAAGATCCCGGTAAGGAAGCCTCTAAAGTACGCTATCTTCAGAGCAGAACCTTTCGTGATTGCACCAGCGCAGTAACTGAATGTCGTGCAGCATATTAGCTAACATCACTGGTAAACTAGTTCAAGGGATAGGCTTACGCAGCTGCAATCTCACCAGAGGAATGGCCGACCACTGCATCAGGCCTGATATGCCATGATTGGAGGAGCTCTACCAAGGCAATCTGCAGTGCTGTGCAGAGTGGCTGTCCGAATGTCGGATTGTTCACTCGAGTGTCAGCTTCATCTCTCTCCATCTCGTCTGCATGAAAGGTCAGTACTCTCAAAATTCAGGGGGCTCAGAAGCGCTCACCTAGAACATCCCAAGCACACCCAAGCGTTTTCAAGTAGTTGCCCGAATCGATTAGACTATTCCTGAACACCTCGTATTGATCGATGAGCTCACGGCCCATAGCATGCCACTGGGCTCCTTGCTGCCTGGGGTTAGATCGACTATCAGATAGTAGCTTGAAGGAGGTACTCACACCCGTGAAGACGAAAGCTAGACGAGGGTTTGCTTTAGCATGTATGGCAGGGCTAAGTCTCTGCATGGTAACCTGCAAGTCTTCCGCAGGCTTGGCTACAGCAAAGGCTCTCCAGGCAAGCTGGCTCCGCCTCGCACACAGTGTGAAAGCCAAGTCTTGTATGCAAGTCACCGTGGGGCGGTCCGTCGCTTTCGTGGTAGCTACATACTGCCGCCACGAGTTTGCCAGTCTTTTGATGCCTGCTTCGTCTGCTGCAGACCACACTAGAAGGGCAGATTCAGATGTTGGACTCAAAGTGCCGTTTCTCTGAGGGCCAGAGGAGTTGAGGCTATTCTCAAGATGACCGTTTGCCTGTAACGAGTCCTCTGCGTCATGCAGCAAGGGAGGCTCGATGACAGTCTGATGACGCCCATCCTTGATACTGTGCATGCGAAAGGTGTTGTAAGCATCGTCCAGAACGACATGACTATTGGCTCCGCCGAAGCCGAAGGAGTTGACAGAGGCTCTGCGTAAGCCCGGTGAGGGCCAAGAGATCGCATGGCTTAGGATCTGTAATTATATTAGAAAGAAACATGCTAAGGAGAGACAAGTTCTGACCTTCAGGTTAAGGTACTGCTCATCGATCTGAGGATTCAGTGTCTGCAAATTGCTACTGTTTGGCGGCATGACCCCTTTTTCCAAGATAAGAACTGTTTTGATCAGGCCCGCAATACCACTCGCTCCTTCTAGATGGCCGATGTTGGATTTGACCGAGCCCCTATAAGCTGCATCAGAGTGCAAGTACTAGGCTAGGGTTGCAGATCACTTACACGTAAAGTGGGTCGTCGGATGAGCGATAACCTTGAAACGCTGATCCGATCGCCCTAGTCTCAATGGGATCGCCAACCGGAGTTCCTAGCCAATGTTAGCGATGTTATAGCCCATGTGACTTGGAGTCTGCTCACCGGTACCATGAGCCTCAAAATATCTTGTTGAACGCATGTCGAGACTAGCTTTCCGATAGGTGTCACGAATCAAGCGGACCTGCGCGTCTTTACTTGGCTGCAGGATACCCGGAGTCTTGCCATCCTGGTTGGAGCTCGACGACCGAATGACCGCTCTGACCGTGTGTCCGGCTGCAACAGCATCGTCGAGACGTTTGACAATCACGGCACCCACGCCTTCGCCTCTTGCATATCCGTTGGCACGATCGTCAAAGCTGTAACAACGGCTATCGCGGGACAGGAGCCCAAGGTTATCCAAGCCGAGCGTCATCTCAGGGGCGAGTATGACGTTACACCCGAGGGCAATTCCCTATGTGAGAGGTCGGAAGGTTAGTTGACATCGATGCAGGACGTATTGTGGAAGAAGAAAGGTAATAAGAGTGCTCACTGACCATCGTTGCATCACTACTCCATAGTGACTGACATGCCAAATCCACGGCCATGAGACTGCTGGAGCAGGCAGTGTCTACCGTTGCGCTTGGCCCTTGCAAGTCAAAGAACCAACTGATACGGTTTGCAATCATGCTCTGGGAACTGCCCATGGTAGCGGTCTTGGGGAGACTTAGGGTGTCCTTGGTCTGGATTGCATGATAGTCGTTGCAGAAGGAACCGGCCATCACGCTCGTTTTTGAGCCCGCCACCTCGTCCATCGGAAGGCCCGCGTTCTCGAGAGCTCGATACACGGTCTCCAAGGCGAGGCGCTGTTGTGGATCCATGGCCTTCGCTTCGGTGTCGGAGATGTTGAAGAAAGGCGCGTCAAATGCCGCGAGATCGCGAGTGAGGAAATGTCCTCCTCTGCAGGACATACTGTGCAACTTATCTCTGTTGGGATTGTGATGACCGTCGATGTTCATTCGGTCCGCAGGGAACTCGCTGGATGCAGATCGACCTTGAACCAGCATGTCCCAGAAGGCATCTTGATTCGTTGCATCTCCAGGAAACTGGAAGGATAGCCCGATGATGGCGAGCGGGGGGACCGTGTCGGACGCCATGATGAAGAAAGCTGCTTGGAAGATGAAATGTTATCACTTGCTGTACTGTACAGTCATGTGTAGGCAGGAGACTGGATGTCTCGAATCACGATAGACTTACCCCGCGGCTCCTCAACTTGGTCAAAGGTGTAGCAGTCTGAAGGGTCACATTGACATCTTACGTGATGTGGGTGAGGTGTCCAGAGTCATGATCTCATGGAGTGGAAGGGAAAGAGAAGACACGGCACAGATGTGGTTGAGTGAATGAAGTAGGATCGTGTTCGCCTGGGTTGGCACGGCCTGGCTTTGTTATCCCTCCCGTCTCTTCACTGTAGTAACACCGGTTCATTTTGGCCAAAGTGGGCTGTTTAGCATGTGCTATCCATGACTCCGGCTGTCAAAACCGATCCATTCACTAAAATGCAGAGCTGCATGGCCCAAATCGACATTAGTGCAACGAGCTTGCATGACTCGTGGGAGGGTCGTGGATCATCCTCAAGCCCGAAACAGATAGCCGAGTTCTGTTCCAGTTTCTATCACCGAGTGACAAGAAGACTTTCGAGAAAGGCAATATAACCAACTTGCCGTGTGGCCTTCTTCTCCGTCTCCTCTTGCTACTTGATTCCGGGTGGAGTTTGTCAAGCTTGCTATCTTGCGAAACAACAACTTCTCTACTCCCACGGCCCTTCAACATGCACATTCTATGGTATGTCAGCTCGAAACTAAATCAACCACTGCCTCGCTCTTTACACATACTCACATGAAGCCAGTCTACACGGAGCCGGCTCGAACTCTCGAGTAAGTCACCTCCCTTCCCCATCACGCCCCAAACCGGAAACAGCCAGGCCAGCTGACAGCCTCAGATCTTCGAGATTCAGACAGCTGCCATCCGGTATGAACTCGGCGATAACCACACCTACGACTTCATCGAAGGCAACATCCCTGCCGCAATGCAGCCGGGTAAGCCTCACTCCCCCATCCCTCTCCAGCACAAGCCTCCACAAGCAGGAACCAACGTGGTCGCAGGGATCGAAGTCATCGCGACCAAGGACGAGCCAATGTACGCATACTTCGACGAGAAGAACCCGGAGAGTGGAGGCGCCGTCTACAGACATCTAGAGGAGCTGCTCTACCACGAAGGACCCTATGACGGCGTCATCGCGTTCAGCCAGGCAGGCACGTTGATCCTGACCTACCTCGCGTATCTCGCCAAACACAAGCCGCACTGCCCCCTGCCATTCAAGTTCGCTATCATCCTCTCGATCACCCACCCACCCCTAGACTACGATGCCATTCAGAGTGGGGAGATCCGGCTGATAGACCTCAGAGCCTACAGGGATGCGGTTCGCATTCCCACGGCGCACATCTGGGGCGCGCGGGATCTGGCGGCGAACGAGATTGCGTTGACAAATACCATCTGCGCGGCGGGGGTGCGATGGGTGTATGTGCATGCACTAGGGCATGACATTCCCCGGGCCGGGGCCAGGAGCGATGTAACCCAAACCGTGCACGTCATTCGCCGGGTCATCGATGCCGCATCTAAGGCAGAGTAACCTACTCAAATGCACCGTGTAAAGTACACTAGTGGATGTAGATCATTTAGTTGTGACACTATTTGTTTGCTTCCGAACTGGAAAAGTAAAAGTGAATGCAAGGTCCCGGGGGAATCACGCATTCACTCGTCGTACGGGTCTGATTTCTTTTACCAAGAACGATCTAGCAATGTAAGCCTCTGGCCGAATTCTGGACGGGCCCGCCAAGTAAGGTTTGACGATCGATGATCTCAAAGAGTCTTTCCATGGTCGGGTTTCCAGTACCGTAGTATGTCCTTATATGTCAGTGATCCCCAAGCATCTATCTGCTTTCCTCGCGGGAATCCCGGTTGTCACTGCAACATCAACCAGCAGCAGTCCCAGCGCAATGGATGTCAATCACAAAACCCATGGCTCGGTCCCCGAATCGCACACCCTGCCATCCTTGAGTGCCTCGTCGGCCGAAGAGCCGGACAATGAGGCCTTTGGTCAGCCGAAGTACATGCATGGCCCTCGACTGTGGTTCGCTGGCGGCGGGTAAGTGTAAATTGATCTGACAGCTCCAACCAGCACCATCCACCATCGCTCCAACCACTTACTGCTTTCACAGTATTGCGCTGAGTTTGTTCCTCGCTACAGCTGAGATCACAATCATTAGCACCTCGCTAGTCACCATCAGCCGTCACCTGGACGGTTCCGATCAAAGCACCTGAATCATCACCTCCTATCTCCTGGCCTTCGCGGGCTTCCTCACCCTCTGGGCTAAATGCAGTCATTTCATCGGGCTCAAGCTAGTGATGCTGATTTCACTAGCCATTTTCATTGCCTTCTCAGGCGGTTGCGCCGCTGCTCAGACCATGAGTCAGCTGTGAGTTTCACTAGTCAACCCCTCCCCCTCCTGCCAGAATCCGGTTTCTTGGTCTGATGTTCCCCCACACAATAGTATTGTCTGCCGCGCCTTCCAGGGCATCGGAGGATCAGGGGTCTTTACTTCGTGCCTTTTCGGCTTTATCTGCCTTCTTCCTCCTGCCAAGTATGACATCGCCAGTGCGGCGGGGTCAGGTGTGCTGACGCTGGCGCTGATCCTGGGTACAGTCATCGGGGGTGGTATCAGCAGCTCCGGCGCCTGGCGCTGGGTTTTCCTGTTCAAGTATGTGCCATTATATCTGTGCCAACTGCCTCTAGTGCTGACCTGCTTACCCCATCTAGTGTTCCTGCCGGGGTAGTGGCCTGGGTGATCATCTGGATCCTGGTCCCCAAAGACTTTGAACGTGCCCGAAAGGCCGAGAGGAGCCACGTGCATGGGCCATGGAGTTTCCTGACCAAGGCAGACACCGTTGGATGCCTGCTGCTGCTCGCGTTCTCCGTCCTCTTCGTGGCCGCCTTCGAGGAAGCGAACATCCGGTACGCGTGGTCGTCAGCCGCGATCATCAGTATGCTAACGATCTCGGGCGTGCTTCTGGCTGCGTTCATCGCGTGGGAGTGGTCCGTGGCCAACCGCAAGTATTGGGGCTTCGAGCCAATCCTTCCTTGGGGCATCCTCCGCAACCGAGTGTTGTTGGGAGCCATACTGTGAGTTGAAGCCCGCCCCCCCCCTTCTCACCCCTCTCGTTCATCGTCTGACAGCAACACCCAGAGGATGCTTCCTGACAGGACCTGCGATCACAATCCTGTTCATCGAACTCCCGCAGCGCTTCCAAACCGTGAACCACAGTACGGCAATCGGAGCCGGGGTGAAGGTCCTCGCCTTCGGCCTGGGCTCGCCTGTCGGCGCGGCGGTGTGTAGTCTCCTGGCCGGGCGATTGCACACTCCCTTCGTGTATCTCGCGGCGGCAGGGTCCGTGCTGCAGATCGTGGGAGCCTTCCTCCTCTCCTCGATTCCCCCCACTTTGGACATCTGGCCGGGCCAGTACGGATACATGGTGATCACGGGCATGGGAACGGGGATCTCCATTGCGGCCCTGTACATGTGTGTTCCGGTGGTGGTTACAATGGATCAAGGTTAGTCTTCTCTAGCGGGAGGTCTAGTGCTTATCACACATTCAATAGTCCCGCTGACTAGCCCAACAGGAACTGCCATGGGCCTGACGCTCCAAGCGCGCATGATCGGGGCCTCCCTCGGCGTGGCCATTGTCAACAGCATCCTGATCGATTACGTCAAGGGTCATCTTCCGGCCACCGAGGCAGCAGCGGCGGATCCGAACCTGCTCGCCGGGTTTCCGACGGCGACCCAGGAGGAGGTTCGCAAGGTCTACGCGGTGGGGTACAATCGACAGATGTACGCGGTTGGGGCGTTTGGAGCGGCGCAGTTGATCGCTGTTGCCTTGATGTGGAAGAGGAAGCAAGTCCGGTTTGTCAAGTGACGTGACCAATTACTCTCAACCGGCCCTGAAAACCCATTTCAGCGCCATTCAAGTTCTCTGAAATTCAGTTGGGGAGCCCGCCTAGTGCAGCTAGCTACGTAGGTGGTGCTTTTTTAATGCGAGAATTTACCCCAGAACACCCCAGAATCCCCTTAATCCCCTTAGAACACGTGATCAAGCCGATACGGTACGGAGGTTTCTGACGAGCGGAGACCGCTCGGCCAAGAGAGTGTCAAGACGCTGATCTGACCGATCGTCTGCTCCAAAGGATCCTCGGGCTCCTGTCAATTTCAGTAGATTAGTCTGCGTTGACGGGCTATGAAACAGATGGCAACCTTGAGATACGCCTGCTTTCGCAAGTCTGCCTTATGCTTGTAATGGCACGCTATGTTCCTGATCCATTCTAGGGGTGGATCCAGAAGATCCAGGTACTGATCTGCTCCGTCAGTATTAATTAATGGCTCAGTCCACGCAGTCAGAATTAAGATGAAGCTAAACCTAGCATCTAGTGCCCTGCTCCAAGGCAGGCAGCATTTCGAGGTTCTTCGTGCTAAGTGGCATACGCGTTTTTGGCTCATACACCCTGGCAGCCAGTAAGCCAAGTCACCTGCTTGGTGTGTTTGAGTGGTGCTTGTGTGGTGAATGGATGGGAGGTGGATGGAAGCATCTGCTCACGGGTGATGGAGTTAAGAAAGTGGTTGACAAAGATGTTGTTTATTCCCCAAAGCACACAACACGGAACCGATGCATTTGCCCCGGTCGGGTTGTCATTCCAGGATCAATTTGAATACAAGTGAAGCCGATTCACATCTCCGGATCAAGGCTTGAAGTTTAGCCAGGGGTCATTATACAACTCTCTAGCCGTTGCCCAATCTTTCGGCTCCCAGCGCAGCATTCTGCCCACAAAATCCAGGAAAAGTCTCGTGTCTTTCCCCTGGATGAATGGTGTAAGGTTTGCAAAATTGAGTTCCTCAGACGGGATCAAACCCGGCATGGTGAAATCCCCTATTCGAACACTCAGTTTCTACCCCAGACATAAGAGTGACGGATATCAAACCAGAGCTGGAGAAGAGTTCAGAGCAGATGTGTCGATCTGTCCTTTCCAGTAACTGCAGTGGAGGCGGACCAAGCAGCCGTATCATCTGGGCGACATGCTTCCCTCACGAGTATGTGCTGGTTGTAGGGTCTAATCCATCAAGAAGAACGCTATCTGCAAGGAGCTCCCATAGCTTGACAGGAGAAAAGTATCAGCAACTTGCGCAGGCATCTTCCTTGGAGCCATACCATGGTACCCAAGTTCCATATATCTGCACTATACGTCCATGTCGCCTTTAAGAGCACCTCTGGTGCACAAAAGGGCTGGGGCTGGATATCATCGTTATGAGGCTCAGGAACGTTGCCAAAAACAGCGGCACTGAAGTCGCTGATCTGGACTAGTCCTACCCCTTTCCTCAGATGCCCAAAATCTGGACAAGACCGAAAAACGGGACGACCGTCACCGTCCCAAGACGGAGCAGGGTTGCTCCCTTGTTGGCGAGCATAGCTCTCAAGAACACCCAGGTCTTCGAATCCCACAAGAAGGTTATCTGCCTTGAGATCTGCGCTATCATTAGAGAAGATAATTGAGTCGTGAACAGTTTAGAAGCAGTCTCCCTGTATGTATAAGGTGGCACTCGGAATGGAGAAAATCAAGGCCCTGAAGTACCATTTTCAAAAATGGCTTCAGCACGGCAGTGGGCACGCCGTTGCTTCCCAAGTGCTTCCCTAGAAGTCAGAGCGGTTCTCGTAATGGGTCAAATACCAAGCATAAGTGCTCTCCCCCCCCGCGCCGTGGATGCGAAAGGAGTCGCACACAAGCCGAATATATGCCCGACCTTCATGATTAGACTGCAGCTGGGAAATATATCGCGATATTGACACTTCTTCGTTAGCAGAGCATTGCTCTGCTTCGCCACAGTTCGTGATTTTCAACGTCACATATCGGTTCGGCTGCCACAACCAACTTCACAGTGTCATTAGAGCAAGTATGCAGGGATCCCTAGTAGACATACTGACCGACTAGTGTCTTGTGCTAGCCAAACAGTGGAGTTTGCCCCCCCCCCCCCCCCGAGCTTGGAGAGGATACGGTATCGCCTAGCTATGGTCTCTCCAATGCGAGCCGGATAATACTTCTTAGGATTATAATTTGGGCTTTGATTCTCTTCGCCAATGAAGGAAGACATGATTCGAGAAGCCGACCTTAACCAAAGGTTAGACGGAATCACTCGGGGTACTCTTGCAGGAAGGCGATAGTATGCAGACATTTAGAGATAGAGATGGAAGATACTCGTGTCTACTTACGTTCAGTGACATTTGACAGACCTTCCGTTTACAAGTTGGAAGGGGTAGGTAGTCAGGTGATCGGAGACCATGGTGGCGCAGGGGGGTATATCCACAGGTACAGTATATCCAATGACAGCTAATTTCCAATGCCTATATTCTCTGGAATTCCAACTGTGATGTTGCTTAGCAGATTCTCGTCCTGTCGTGTTAATGAGTATTCACTTTGTTGACGATCTTGTACTCCACTCTAGAAGGCCTGATCTTTGTGACGATGAACTGTAGGTGATGAGAGACAGACAGAAGCTTGTCTTTATATGCCAGTCATCCAGCAGGCTGAACACTCCGGGCTGCTTCTCTATCGCCTTTTAGCACATCCTGCACAAGAGTAAGCTGCTTGTATGCAAGCCACATCACACCGTCGAAGAATTTAGAAGAACGATTATGAGAGTGTAACACCCACTCACGGACTGGGGCCTAGTCGTTGTGTATGGGCTCCTCTACGGACCTTCCGTATGCTAACTCACCAACGCATCTGTGATTTCGAGGCTAGGTATCCTGTTATCCTGTGTGTACTATTGCCGTGCACCGAAGAATCCTCTTGATATCCTATTCTAGCCACACTATTACCAATGACCCAAATCACTGCCATCTAATCAAAAAAAGTGAAAGAGAGCCGCAAACCACATCGCAGTGCAATCCAACAAGAAAGGTCTATATCACTCCGCCCGCGCGCAATGCCCACCGCACCAACGCCGCAATACTGCTCGTCACCGCCTCCGTGCGCGGGATCTCATGGCCGCCGCCGTGGTCGTACATCCTGCGTTTCGCCGGGTCGCAGGTCTGCGACAGCTGGATGCCGGCCGAGAGCCGCGGATCGCGCGCGCCGTATACGTGCACCGTGGGGATCGAGAGCACGGTTTGCGACGGTGTGATCTCCCGCCGGATGTCCTCCTCCGACTCCCTCGCGCCGCCGTTGTTCCCGTTCCACCGCGAGGAGCCCTGCAGCAGGATCGCCGAGGCGTCGGCCTGCGCCGCGAGCGCCTTCCGCGTCAGAATGTCCTTCTCCCACACCTGCGGCGCGATCTCGTAGCCGACCTGCTCCATGATGCGCAGCGGCGAGCCGGCGCAGATAAAGATTGCGGCCTTGAAGGGGAGCGGCTGGCCGGGCGCCTCGGAGAGTTGGAGTAGTGCGAATGTGGACGCTACGGCGGCGCCTTGGGAGAAGGTCATCACGGCGTCGTAGGGCCCATTCGCCTTGATATACTGCTGCAGGCGCTGGCGGCAGATCTCGATCTCGTCGATAGTGTCGTTCTCGTACCAGGAGTAGTAGGGGGGTGCGTAGAAGAGGTCAACCCCGGGAGCGGGCTCGGTCGTGTAGAAGCCATCGACAAAGTCCCATTCGATTTTCAATTCCGACAGGCGCGAGCGTAACGCCGCTGGTGGCTCCTTGAGTTAGTGAAGTGATTCGAGACACTAGAGAAGAGAACCAGGGTGTAGATAGACTGACCGGTCTGAGACTTGAAGATCGCACCACTGGTGCCTTTGCCATGTAAGCAGAGAAACTTCATCTTGATCTGTTGGTTTGAGAGCAGCAGCGCAGCAGGAGAAAGATACAGCCACGATACTCGCAAGCAGGCCAAGTGAGGGGCAGAGAGAGTTGGAGAGACTGCGAGGCTGCGAAGGTTACATGAGTCGGCCCCCACTGCTGCACGGCCACTGCTGCAGGTGTTTGTTGGCGCTCCTTTCGACCTCCGGAGACAGGGTCAATCTGCTTGCTGCAATTGGCTCCGAGTCCGAGACCGAAGGACTCCGATTGTAGTTCGGCGACTTCGAGCACAACTACGGAGTGTGTTGTGGATCATCTTAGAGAAGGTATGGGCGTGGATTGCAATGTTGTTCGTTAGCCAAGGGTGTTGATAATGCATAGAAACTCCGCGGGGTATTTGCAGTCCGAGGTCCTCGGGCAGTGCTGCTGGAACAATAGTGACTGATGGTCATACCTCTGTCGGCAAATATATAACTATCGGGTGCAGTAGGTCATCCAAAAGGTTTCATGTTCAAGAAGTAATATTCTCATGAGAATACTGATATAATTCCTCGTAAGTAACATACTGCCTGAGCTTCAAGACCACTCTGCACATTCTTTAATTTTATTATTTGTAGAACTGCGCATGATTCGCATACAGTGAATTGAGAGGGAGCTCCGACGTGGTTGGCATGGATAGACCAATCAGCGGCCAGCCCGCCGTCGTGCGACTCCGCGGCCAAAAAAATCCCAGCGGGAGCTGCGAACAGAAGCTCGTCCTCCGGTCCAGTTCAGCTTCCACTCGCAACTTACACAACAACGATATTCCCTTCTGTCATTTCAGCAAATATCGCTCCTAAATTCTACATCACTCAATCAAGCTACCATGGTCGCGCCATCTGCTACTTTGTCCGTTCTGAACCGCGCCGACGGGTCGGCTTCATACCAGTGTCCTTCGACCGGCTCCAACATTCTAGGCTCCGTCAACGCCCCCGTCGAGCTCCCCGGTCGCCGTGATGCCCTCAAGCCCGAAGATGCGACCATCGAAGTCTTCGTCAAGCCGGGCACTGCCCCCGCGGGAGTTGGAGAACGCTACGTTGAGGGAATCCTCAAGACAATGCTGGGGCGAGTGATCCTGGGACGCGAGAAGGGCTATCCGCGTCGTGGGGTGGTCATCACGCTGGCTATCATTGGTGGTGAGAGTGTCAGCAGAGGGGATCCGGTTCGTACTTCTCACGTCTGGTCACAGGCGGACGCTCTATTGGCTTGGTGGTCAGCGACTAACGCAGTGTAATCTGCTTCTTCCGTCCAGTATTTGATTCTGCTCCCCGCGCTCCTCCACACTGCACTTCTGGCTCTCTTATCAGCATCCGTGCCTTTGTCGATGACCTTCTCTGCCACGGTCCTGGCCGTCGACGAGTCGGGGCAGATCCGCCGGGAACCTTCCGCGGAGGATGCAGCTACCGCGCAGTCCGTTCATGTCCTCGCGTTCTCCTCGAAGGGCCATCTGCTGCTGAATGAGAGCCAGGGATCATTTGACTTTGACACGTGGGAGAAGGTGCGCCAGCGCGCCTCGGCCATCTGTCATGGAACCCAACTGGTCAGCGCTGACGGCGATGTTGCAATGGCGGAAGATGTCGATGGCCGGCCTCTGGAGGGAACTCTGCGGGAGACTGTCGAGGATCAGGTCTACCGCGACTACAATTGGAAGATCAACGCTGCGTGATCATCGGGCCTACAACGCTACACCGGAAAAAATGCCGATGCCTGTGAATCGGTGTCTGCAGATCGATCGTTATCTAAGAAAGTTCTCGAACACGCTGAGCTTCAGACTCGATTTTCCCGAACATGTTGACTACCGGTGATTCCTCTCATCGGAGCCGTTCTCACCCAGTATCGAAGGGTCGGCTTTTCTGAACGGCACTACTTTCGGCGGCCTAGTGTGCACGGGGCGTCTTGGCGCCCGTCGAAGACAGCAAATTCTATGGCATTCCATCATGTGGATACGAAGAAGAAACTTGCGCAGGAATCGTCGTCAAAAGCACCGGCGCCGATTAATCAGGACCCTCCGACCTTCCAACTTTCCAAGGCGCGGGGGGGGACGTGCACTAGACGGCTGCCGGCTGCATTTCTGGATTTGTCCGAAAGTGGGACATGGTGCTGTGACAGGACATCCATTCAGGCAAAAGGCCACGGTGGGGGAAGGGGTGCTGCAGTGAGCTGGGTTCGTATTCTTAGCATCTGACTGGACTTGATTTAAGAGATGCATGTGGAGCACGCGGAGTTTAGTCAATTGCGAGGTAATCACAGACACATTGCACTGTAGAATTTTTATCCATTCTTGAATAAACCGTTCGCAGGTTGAGAAACCTAGTTGAAGATAAGAAAAGGCACACGCCTCGTTACACATGGCGGATCTCCGCTTATCTCCAGAGTAGTGAATAAAAATAGTTACGACATCGCCTGCCGTGTAGAAATTGCCCTGTCAGCATGAGTGAGAGGGGCGCCTGTTACGGGGTTACAGAACCGCCCGACTTGGCAAGGAAACCAATCCGCGAGATGATTACAGATGACACGAACGAAATTGCTTGTGGAAGCTCATCGAAGACGAGACTAATGTGGGGAGATTTAGTAAATACAGTACTAGGTAACAGACACTGCAGAAAGTTCGTTGGATGGTGTAGCGTGTAGTGTAGCTTGTAGCGTAGCGTGTCACTCCGCAGGTTCTACAGACTTTACCCCGTCCAAACCCCGTTACTTCCGGACTCGGCCTGGTTTTTCCATCCCGTCCCCATATCAGTAATATCAGTAATTATTCAGTATTCAGTATTATTGTTCCATTAGACTACCAGAACTACTTGTGATTGTTCTAAGACAATTCCCCCCCCCCCCTTCCTTCCCACTCCACTCACTTTATCTACCTCATCCCCCCTCCCCCCTCCAAACCTCTCATTCTCCTTAGACACCTGTCAGTCCTCAGCTGTCCATGGCGTCCTCTCCGTCTGACCATGGCCCAATGAGTCTCTCCCATTCATCTCCTAGATCTTCATGCGCCACGAACCCTCCTTCAGATCCGACTTGCTTGTCCTCCTCACCCTCCGCGGCCCCACCACTATTAGAACCTCCGGTGCGCCCGCCTGTCCAGCGCTCTGCCACCGTTGGGGCCCTGCTCCTGCGCGATTATGCCCTGAACATCGATCCCTCCGAGACGACGAGCGATATTCATACCGATCATTCGACTTCCGGGCCACCCGAGTGCCGTCGCCAGACTCGTCGTGCGTCGGAGATAACCCGCGAGGAGTCCGTGGTGCCGTCGCTTCCGTCGCCTTCGTTCCTACATCTTCGAAAGACCTCCGCCTTCTCCGGCCACCAGCGAAACGCATTATCGAGCGATTCCATCCCTCGCCAAACCATCCTTAAAGCGCTCGCCTCCCGACCGTCCATTTCCGCACAACAGAACCCCAACATGCCGCTGGCGGCGTCTCTGGGGCTCCTCCCTTCCAACTCCCCGAACCCGAACAACAACTCCTCCGACGAGCCCACGCGCCGCGCCTCGATCAACTCCTCCCAAAAATTGTCCGCTGCCCTGTCCAACCTACAACTCGGAGCCTACCTCGACCGGGCGGCCCCGTCGGCGCGATTGGCCCTGCAATCGCCCTGTTTCTTCCACCAACGGTTCGACGACGCCGTCAACATCCAGAAAGTGCTCGAGGAGATCACCGATGACGAGTGGCTGTCCCACTCGCGGTTGGTGCAGACCGCGACGGGCGTGCGGGAGGTGTCCAAGCAGCTGCAGCGCCGACCGATCAAACGCGCCGTCAAGACGGTCATGATCGTCACCAAGGCGCGCGACAACAGCCTGGTCCATCTCACGCGCGAGTTGGCGGAGTGGCTGCTCTCGACGCCGCGGTACGGGAACGAGATCGGGGTCAACGTCTACGTGGACGCGAAACTGCGCAACTCCAAGCGGTTCGACGCGCAGGGCCTCCTGGAGAAGGACCCGCGGTACCAGGAGATGCTCCGCTACTGGACGCCCGATCTGTGCTGGTCGTGCCCGGAGCGATTCGACCTCGTGTTGACGCTCGGGGGTGACGGCACGGTGCTGTTCACCTCCTGGCTGTTCCAGCGGATCGTGCCGCCGATACTCTGTTTCTCCCTGGGTAGTCTGGGGTTCCTGACGAACTTCGAGTTCGAAAACTACAAGGATCATTTGAATGCCGTCATGGGCGATGTGGGCATGCGCGTCAACCTCCGCATGCGGTTCACATGCACTGTCTTCCGGAAGGACCGGAGCAAGGGCGCCGAGGCCGGGGCCGTCGAGGAAGGGGAGCAGTTCGAGGTGCTCAACGAGTTGGTGATCGACCGTGGCCCGTCCCCTTATGTGTCTAACCTTGAGCTCTACGCGGATAATGATCTCTTGACTGTTGTCCAAGCCGACGGCTGCATTTTCTCTACTCCCACAGGTAAGGCCGATCTTCTCCCACCCACTCTTCACTGAAGACTATGTCTAAAAACTAACTCGTGACCACAGGCTCAACCGCATACTCCCTCTCAGCCGGAGGCTCCCTCATCCACCCCTCCATCCCCGGCATCCTCCTCACCCCGATCTGTCCGCACACCCTCTCCTTCCGGCCCATGGTCCTCTCCGACACCTCGCTCCTCCGCATCGCCGTGCCCCCGGGTTCCCGCTCGACGGCGTACTGCTCCTTCGACGGCAAAGGCCGCGTGGAGCTCCGCCAAGGCGACTACGTGACTGTCGAGGCGAGCCAATACCCTTTCCCGACGGTGGTGTCCGGCAGCGGGGAGTGGTTCCAGAGCGTGCAGCGCGCGCTGCGGTGGAACACGCGCGGGGCGGTGCAGAAGAGCTGGTCGGCGGCGGTGATGGACGGGGCCGACGAGTACGGCGAGGAGGGCGAGGACGAGGATTGGGACATCGACACCGACGCGGGGCTGGGCTGGACGGACAGTGGGCTGGGACCCAGTGAGGACGGGGACGCGGGGTCCACCAGTCCGATGAAGCGGCAGATGAGCATGCTGAGCATGTAGCCGCGTTTTCTTGCGTCTTTCTTCATACTCCAATGGAACCCACCGGCAGAGAACGGTGGTGACGTTGGGTTTCTTGGTTCTTGGGCGTTGGTTATTTTCGGTCAGGGCAAGGATACAGACAACGGGATACACACGGACCAATTCCTTCCGGGGGTTATTTATATCGGTGCCAGAGCGAATGTGGTCTGATTGATATAGCATATATATGATAGACTTGGGATTAATCTCTTTGCCTGTCCTGAGGGAGGGCAGAGATCGACGAATGGATGGATTTCGACGAAGTATTATCATCCCCTAACCGGGAAATCCCCTTTGCTGACAAGCTCTAATATACTGCACATATATACTCAGACGGTCTATAAGAGCTCTCAACCCACCCCATCGCAGATTCAATACCCCAGATCCTCACCCTAGCCTACCCTACTAGGTACACCCAGACAAACCCCACGGTACATCACCAATCACAGCACTCAGCCAACAACCCCGCCAACTCCTCCAAATATTTCTTGTCGGTCTCATCGAACCCGGAGGGCTCCGTGCAATCGACATCGATAATCGCGACCGTCTACCACGCACCCCAAACCCGGTTAGCCAAGTTCCCACTCTCCAACTCCAACCCCACCCACCCCCCGAACAAGAAAGGAAAATCGAATCTTACCTCCCCACCGACAAGAATCGGCACGACGATCTCACTCCGACTGCTCGCATCACAAGCGATATGGCCGGGGAACTCCAGCACGTCCGGCACGACGACGGTGGCGCGGTCCTGCGCCGCGGTGCCGCAGACGCCCTTCCCGAAGCGGATCTCCTGGCACGCGGGGCGGCCCTGGAAGGGGCCTAGGAGGAGCTTTGCGGGCGCGCTCGCATCCGTAGTGGTGGTGGTTTGCGACGACGACAAGGCAGGGAACTTGTCGCTGCGGATGTAGAAGCCGGCCCAGTTGACGGAGGCGGAGGGGGTGGGGAGGGCGGCGTAGGCGTGCCACAGGAGGGAGGCGACGTTGGAGAAGTTGCTGTTGGTTTAGTCTTTTTGTATTCGAGGGGGGGAGGGGCCTGAAGGGAGGGCGGGGGTTTACCTGACCTGGTGACGGATTGGGATGGTTAGTGAGGTCTGGATTTTTGGGGAGCGAGGTGAAGGCATAGGCATACCCAGTTGCGCTGGCCGTAAACTAGGCCGCGGGCCTGTTCGAGAACCTGCGTGTAGACCTCGTCTTTGGACGCGTTGGGGCCGAAGAAGGAGGAGTCTGCGTGAGGCTTGCGGGCGGTTAGTTTATGCTTGATGCTTAGTATTGTGCGAGGGAGTGTGCGTGGGGGAAAGAGGGATCGAACCATGGTGAGGGTCTGGAGCTGCAGGACCGTTATGCTGGTTGGGGGGGTATAGGTAGCCGATCGAGTTAACTGTGATTGTGAAGGTGCAGTGCAGCGATGACGCTTCAGCTTCAGTAAAGGTGAGCAGTGAGGGGAAAAGAAAATCCCAAGTGGGGATTTTTGGAGTGCCGCGCCGCCGAGCCTGCCCACTTGCCGCGTTAGGCAAGTCCTTCCAGGCTTCCGCTTATCGCGATAACCTGAACTATACCTAGAACTATAACTATAACTATCGCTTCAATGGTCTATCAGGTACGGTCCCAACTTTCAATTCACCTCAACTCCAACGTCACAATGCACCTCTTCCTCTCTCTCCTCGTCTCAGCAACAGCAACAGCAGCCCGAGAAATCATCTTCCCACCTATCGCCGCCGTCCACAACCACCCCTCCAGCCAGTACGCCTTCCAGAACGACAACGACATCAACAAAATCGACATTGTGACCGGCAGCCAATTCTCCGGACTCACCACCTTCGCCCACCTCCCGTATGCGAACTGCTTCGTCGACGATGAGACCCTGACATACGACATCGCCTTCCTCGGCGCACCCTTCGATACTGTTCGTCCCCAACCTACCTCGGAGATTCCCACCATCGCCCCCTACCGCCACTAACCCAGAAACCAGGCAGTAACCGGCCGCCCCGGCGCCCGCTACGGTCCGCAGGGCATCCGGCTGGGCTCGCGCCGCCTGGGCGGCTACGACATCTACACGGGGGAGAACGTGTTCGCCAGCTGGGCGAAACTGGTGGACTGCGGGGATGCGCCGTTGACGTGGTTGGACAACACGGTGGCGCTGAAGCAGTTGGATCTGGCGCATAAGGTTCCTCCCCAAGATAGTTGTCCCCGGAGAAATCAGAGTCAGGTGGACTGATAGTAGGGTGGTAGGTCGTCTCCTCGCGCGGCGCCAACACAACGACCAAAGGCCAGGTGCCGCGCATCATCACGCTGGGCGGAGACCATACCACGACGCTGTCGGCGCTGCGGTCAACGTATGAGAAGTGGGGGCCGGTGTCGGTGATCCATTTCGATAGTCACATCGGTACGCTTGACCTGGATCGCAAAAGAGAAAGGTATCTAGAAAGACGGAAAAGCTAATATCAAGGTTCGGGGTATAGATACATGGGACCCCGAAGCACTAGGTACAGTACAACATCACCCCTCGCCCTGTCAAAAAAGCCCAGCAAGAATTAACACAGGCAACATCAACAGGCGGAGGAATCTCTCACTACGCGTCCGTACCCCTTCCCAACACACCCAACCCATCCAAACTCCTAACCGGAAAATAGAGGCGTCAACCACGGCACCTTCCTCCATCTCGCGCACGAAGAGGTATCCCCCCCTCTTCTCCTGCCCCAAGACCCAAACCTAACAGCCAATGAAAGGGCCTAATCCGCAACACCTCAATCCACGTCGGCATCCGCGCCCCCGTCACCCGCCCGCACGGCGCCGACCTCCGCAACGACCTCCGCTGCGGCTTCGAGATGATCAAGGCGCGCGACCTCGACCGCCTGGGGGTGAGCGGGGTGATCGAGCAGATCAGGGCCCGCGTCGGGGACAGCCGCGTGTACATCTCCGTCGACATCGACGTGCTGGATCCGGCGTTTGCGCCTGGTACGTCCCGTTCCTCGCTTGTCTTCCTCCAGTGAAGCAAGAGCAGGGCCTTCCCCTTCCGCCAAAGAAAGAACAATGGAAGAGGGAGAAGGCTGGGTAGAATTCATGCTAATGAGTCGTGGACACGATAGCAACCGGCACCTCCGAACCGGGCGGCTTCTCGACGCGCGAGCTCCTCTCCATCCTGGACGGCCTGCGCGGCTTACCGGTCATCGGCGCGGACGTGGTGGAGGTGGCGCCCATTTATGATTCGGCGGCCGAGACGACGACGCTGGCGGCGGCAGAGGTGGCGCGGGCGATGTTGGCGCTAATGATTGCGGTGCCGGTGGAGGGAGCACCTGTGGAGGGTGGCTTGCGTCAAGACACAGTACATATATGACTAGGTCAGGAAGAAGTGAGGGTCGCTGAGATAGAAAGCTGGAGGGACAGAGGATTGGGCCGGAGAAAGAGGCGACGTATACATGGTGGAGTATAGAGAGGATATGACGATCCTAAAGTACTCGAAGTCTGAGGAGAGCATTTATACTTTTCTACATTTTTCCATGCCAAACTACAGTTTCATATACTTACAACAGCATAGACTTGAGACATCACCTCCGCCAACCTTAAGCCCCTCTCTCTCCCTCAACTCTCGGATCTACAAACCAGCCGAACAAAACCAAGCGAAGGAGAGAAGAATCGAAGAAATTAATCTATTATCTATCCCCACACCCCCAACCCGGCTCCCAATTTCGAAGCCTAAAATCCCGCATCCCAGAACCGAAGACAATAAATACATCCAAAATCCAAAGCCCAATTCCCAACTCGCTAACCAAGAACGCCTCTTTTTCCTTCTGTCACCATACCCAATCCACTCCCCACTCCCCATACTCCCCTAATATCCCAAACCCTCACCCATCCCCGAGAGAGAGAGAGAGAGAGAGAGAGAGAGAGAGAGAGAGAAACAATCACCACGAAAAACTCTCTTCATACAAATCCACCCTCAACCCCGGACCCCCACCACCCTGACCATGCCCACTACCCTGACACTCCCGCACCGTCCGCCGCACATCATCCCCCATGGCTCCCGGCCCACAAATACTGACCGCCATCGCACCGACCTGCCTCGCCATCTCCGTCCGCATAATCTCATCGAAGCACGGTTTCCCCGTGTGGATGGCGACGGGCACCGACGCCGGCGCCACGCTCGGCCAGGGCGAACACCCCAGGAAGTCCTCGGGGCTGCTGGTGTCGGAGCGCGTGGGGCTGGCCTCGGTGCTGCTGCCGCCGCCGCTGCTGCCGCCGCTGCTGTTACTGGTCGTGCTGCCCGTGCTCCCGATACTCCCCGGCGAGGCGGCGGTCTTGCTGACGTAGATCTGGATCCCGAGGAAGAAAGCCGGGAACTGGAAGTAGGATTCGCGTTTGCGGAGGGTGGCCATTTGTAGGGCGGGGTGGTTGAGGAGGGCGGTCATCCAGGGGTGGATCCAGGAGAGGTGGTCTGTGTTCTTGTTAGTTTGGGTGTGGAGGGGCCAAAGGGCCAAAGGCCCCAAGGGCCAAAGGGAAGGGAGGACAAGGGGAGGGGGAGGGGCCCACCTAAACTCCTCACCACCCAGACCAAAGTCACGCGGCGGACCGCCTGGGTCTGCGAGGTGATGTTGGTTACGAATTCATGGAGGTAGGACATCGGGTGGGTGATGCCGATGCCGCCGGCGATGAGGAGGACGGTGCCGTACGAGGCGAGCGAGTGCAGGCCGCCTGGAGTTTTCCATTCAACAGTGAGTATGGGGTTATGGATAGTAGGGGACAGCAGGAGGAGAAGAGAAGACGGCAAACGCACCGAACGGCCCCTCCGCCAGCGCGGTGGCCTCGAAGCTCCCGTCGCAGGACTTGTGCACCTTCGACAGCAGCTTCCCCGTGAACCCGTCGCGGCGCTTGATCAGGAACGACATGGTCGTCTGCTGCGGCCCACCCAGCAGCCGGTTGATCGAGTCGTTGGAGCTCCGCTTCTCGGTCGGCAGGCTGCTGCGGTCCGACGAGGTCCAGGCCACCGAGAACGGGTGCGAGGTCCACAGCCCCAGCGACGGCAGGTACAGGTACATGTACTGCCCGGCCTTGAAGGTCCAGGGGCGGGCGAGCGCGACGTCCACGCGGGCGACGTCGCCCGGCAGAAGCTCCACGGTGGCGGTCGTGCGTTGCTTGCCGACGTTGCGCCAGAGGATGATGAACAGGCGGGTGGCTCGCTGGGAGCAGTAGTGTTAGCTGGAATGGGTCTTGAGGGACCAGTACAAAGGAGGATGGCTTACATCAAATCCCCACAGGATCAACGTAACCAATAGCGCGGTCTGCTGCGACATGCCGCGCAGATGGTACCACAGTCCCACCATGGACGCAATGGCCAAGAGGATATGCAAATGCAGGAACGCTTCGTAGAAGGCGTGTCGGAGCGGCGAGATGGACTGCACCAGAATCGCGGCGAACGCGATGAAAGCCTGGCAGCCATTAACAATCCTGTCCGCAGAACCCAGTGCGAGTCCGACTTACCGTCATACCATAGACGAAGAACGGGGTGTGCCAGACAACCTGTGTCACAGCAGACAAACCACCCACTATTGACTGAGAGTCAGCGTGTGGGTCACTTCCGAAGAAACAGAGACAGGACTTACACTCCTTCTGCCGAGGAATAATCGCCAAGACAACATGCACAACCGCAGCCGCCACAACCAAGCGCCCGGCCCAGCGATGAATCAGATTGAAGGTATCGAATTTGATCCCCAGCAGCGGGATCAGCGGATTGTTGCGCCCCGCGGCGAGGATCAACCCGGGCAGGTTCAACACCGCCAGCGTGCCGCTCGTGTACTGAAGCTGGTACATCACCTCCTCCCACTCGGCCCACCAGTCCACCGTCGCGAAGAAGAACCCCACGTTCAGCGCAATATACACGGACAACAGGATCGCCTCCAGGCGCAGCGGGATGATCCCCATGTGGCAGCGCCCCACCCGGAACTCGCGACTATGCCGGGTCGACAGCAGCGGCGCATAGAAGACGTGTCGATTGAGCGCGGCGGACAGCGCATTACTCCGCGCAAACCGGTCCTGGTCGTCGTCGTCGTCGCTCTCGAGTATCCGACGTAACCGGCGCCGATGTTGTAACTGTGTGTACAGGTTGCTGACGAAGAGCACGAACACGCCGCCGGCGAAAATGAAGATCGGAGTCGCCAGGGAGACTTTCATCGGGGGATGAACATTTCGAAGTCGCGGTTGGTCCGCGTCATGGTAGTCTACCCCCATGTTGCTGGAGCTGTGAAGATCGCCGTGTTGGAAGAATTTGGAATGTCCTTGGATGTGTGTGGGTGGGTAGGTGGGTAGGTGGGTGTGTGCTGGAGGGAGGGCCAGAGATTGGAGAAGCGTATGCGCACTTTCGCCGGAGAACAAGCGAAAGGCCTTAGATTAAAGACCAGTGCTTAAACCGGGAAAGCGTCGTAGCCCCGTCTACATATACCAGCACTGGCAGTCATGATTCTAGATCCATGACCATCGTGACGTGCAAGCGGCTGCATAGGGCACACCTCTTCATAACTATGCCGTCATTCATCGCTCTTTGCGCCGACTCTGGGCGGAGGGAGGGGGGAGAGCCATTGTATGTGCGATGATACCGTAGAAAGCGTGCCAGCAGCAAGCCGACTCGGACTGCCGTCTCGAGACTCGGCGCTTTCATGCAACGGAAATGCATCGCAGCAGAGTCCAGCTGCACAGGAACCCGCATTGCAACCTCAGAGAAGTGTGGGGGTTGACTTTCCGTGGAATGTGTGCCTCCCTCCCCTCCCCTTGATTCGTCGGGTGGGAAAGTTCGGGGATTGCTGGACCTGGCATAGTCGACAGGTACGCACAACCCGGCAGATTGCCCGGTTAACCTTAACCTGCTTAGCCCGCTCAGGAAGATTTGGGTCTGCAAGCATTTGGCATCCGTCAAAAGTCTGTGGATGAAACAGAAGCGTGTGTTTGCGGGGCGATGGAACGGCAGCGCCGAAAACGGAAGGGAAATATGCGCGTCTGCTGCATCCGCCCTCCCGGACCCTTCCAAATCCCCCCAGCGCAGCTCTGCCTCTGCTGGCGCTTCAATTCAGGTTTTCTGTCGCTGGTAGCCAACCTGTGTGGTGGTTATGACGTTCAAGCTGACGACAATTGACGACAAGGACCTGTCATAACATCTTCCATCCGAGCTGAAGGGGGTGTCGTTTGTCCGGTACACAAATGTAGCTCTCCAACACACCAGTCCTTCAATCAACCCCAATCTGTCCCGAGATCAGACACGCGGTCTCTGGTAGTAAACGCCCATAGTAGAGTTTGAGACAGCTAAACTTACCAGCCCGTGGTGCTGGTTGCAGCCCCTTGCGGGTGGATCGAGGTCTGCCCGCATCCCTAGGGTAGGAGTACACAGGCTGGGACCAACCACTTGACGTCATGCAATCGAAGCACACAGTCGATAGCTGGATGACACAACGAAACAGCGCCGATCTTCCTTCGATCAGGTAACATTATAGCATCGTGCGCGCTGTCTCTGGCGTGGAAGCCATTGTAACGTCGGGGACGGCAGCTGCATTGTTCCCTCCCGCTTAGGGCAACCGCCGCAGGAACCTCATGTCATCATGACTAGCAAAAGACTTAAAAGACGCAATGTCTAGACCCCAATCGACCAGTCCGGCTTCGATGCCACGGTGGTTTTTCGTCCCTATAGGCAAGATGGAGTGTCGCTAAACTTGCTATCCTGAGCAGTGGGCGTGTGCTGTCATCGCTGCGCCTGCCGATGACAAGTGCGGTCAGTCAAGCTATGCATTGCGACAAGGAAAGGCAGCAAGGAAGCGGAGAAGATATCCAGAAGTCGTGTACGATGAGATGTTGGTACACTCGAACATCTCCATTGAAATCGAATTTGCCACTTTCCGGAGAATTATTTGACTTTGCCGTTCAATCTCGACCAGAGGATTTGACACAGCGACAATGAGCCTGATGTCTCACCACGAAAGGCAGTACCTGAGCCCCCATAAAACAGGCTCACATTGTATGCCCCTGCGTAGATTTGCTACAAAGTCAAATGTGAGATCGCGATCCGCGTGTCCCCCATACCCCGACGGTCAGGAAGAAATGCCAGGGGAGAAGCGGAGAAACATGAAGCCACTCTAATTTCGATACCAAGCTAACGCCATTATTCGTTGTTGTACAGATGATCTAGAAAATGACGACAGTCTAAGAAAACGTGGCCGCGACCAAGACCTTCAAGTCGCGTGAGGGTACTCGGTATGTCGTAAGAATGAAGTGAGTATTAAGCATTATGAAGAAACAAGAACTGCGATGAATTTGTCTGCCTTGATCGGTCGGATCCCAAAGAACGGGGAGGTATTGATTGCGTAACCCGAAAAAACAGACTCCCGGCACTGAAGTACCCCCCATTTCACCGATCCCTGCAGGTAAGCGATGTGCGCCATTACAATTGAACAAGAAAGCATGTACATGTGGTATTGAGTCGACTGAAGGGCCGATCCTGGCCAATTCGTGAGATGTAACGTAACGGTGATATTGTAGAAAGCCTGTATTGGAAATTCAAACCCCCATAACTCGGCGACTGCTTGGCTCCAGGCGGCAGCCACTGCCATCATGGATGGAGAACAAGCTTTGGGGAGAAGATCTAGCACACTCCCGGGGCACGTGGCAGTCAAGCCCGCCTCGAGCGCCTTTTCTTTTTCTTCTCTTTGACCTGCTTGGCTCTGCTCTTCTCCTCTCGAACGGATGAATAGTCCGCCACGTCGACACCGGCGCTATGGCATAAGGATGTGCATTCATCCTCAATGACCTTCACAATCTGAGGAGTGAAGCCGTAGAATGCGGGGTTGTAGGCGTTCCGTGCCCAGTACATCAGTTCAGAAGCGACTCGGCCGAGGTTGGGAATGGACTGAGGCGAAACCGCCTGCTTCGGGGAAAAGCGGGGTTTGTCGTCAGCTTCGCCATCGGAGCAGAGCGAAGATGGGGTCGAGCTTCTGGACGCGGGGGAGGAGGGGGATGATTCAGAAGAAGACAGGTAATCCGTGTCTGAAGCAAGGACATGCAACAGATGGTAAACCGAGGCAAAGCCAATTAGGGTCAAATCGACAGGATCGAGTGGGAGCTGATTGAACCATGTGATCGCTTTTTGGATGGTGAAGGATGCGGGGAGAGAGGTGTCACCCATGGTTCGTGCCGTGAAGATGGCCGCAATCATGGCACAGCGGACGGATATGGCGATCTCATCCCGCACGGAGACCGGAAGTGACGAATCTAGGAAGTTGGAGACCTGACTCTGCTGGCTCTTTCCTTTGTCCTTGGGCAGCGCTGCCAGGACGGCTCCGATGTTGGTAGCACGGTCATGGTCGAAGAACACCGCTTTCATGACTAGAGCGCGGGTATGAGCGGCTGATGGCTGGGGAGCAACGTCCAGAGCGATCTTAATCTTGGCCTTGAATAAGTCACGGCTCTTCTTCGCATCGGGCCCACCGGAGCTGGCCTCAAAGTATCTGAGCAGAGCCCGCTGCAAGAGGTGGCTTGACCACCAAGCGGCAAGCGCGTCGAGGGAGGACCGAATAGCAGGATCTTCCTCCACAACATCGAGAAGGGCCTCGTCATCATCGGCTCCCTCTTGTGTAGGGCGGTTCCATGTAAGGTTCGCTGCTCGTTGGACAACAGTGTCGATCATGACCTCATCACAGTCGAGCTGCAGCAGAGCAGCCAAATGACTCGGCAGGGCCTCGGGATGATCCTTTGGCATGGCTGCGTGCATCTTGCGGGCGAGATCCCATTGGTAGCCAGCCAATGAACGTGCGACATCGTTGGAGATGTGGAAAGTCCATGATCCCGGAACACCGACTCGCCAGAGAAGGATGCGGCAATGTAGCGCCTTGAGCATCATACGCATGGGACTGCGAGGCAGGGTTCCTGCCGCGAAGATGGTGAGTACCAACCTACTCTTGCTGATTTCGGGATCTCCGCCAGCCAGTTGCGCATCGATGGCGATATCCCATGACTTCACGCGGCCCCTATCGTCCTCGACGGTGACCCCGGTGATAGAAGAGTAGAGTTTCCAGCCCAGAAGACAGCGCAGCACATACTCGAAGCAGCGCGAGGTGACCACGTACCACTCATGGAAGAACCGATGACGCGGAACACCGACTTGCTGAATGCTGGTCAACCACGCCTGACGGCGGAAATTCGAGGACGATAGCGTTGCATCAGACATGAAAGCGGTCTTGGATGAACCTGGCTGGCTTTTGGGCCCGGCGTTGAAGAGGTAAACAAAAACCACAAAAGCACTCCCAACGACCAGAGTTGCGAGTATCAGGAAGTGTGAAATGGCCCTTGCATGCCATGAGTACCAAAAGCTGCGGGCCACTGCCATCCAGTACATGATGGTCGGGTTTTGTAGGCTACTCAACAGATTGACAGGTACCGCCAGCAGTCCCTTGGCGGTTGAATCGGTCTCTTTGTCGCTACTCATGCCCTCAAGGACCATCAGACCAGCAAGAGCGCCAAGCATGTATTTGTTGGGGTAGTAGGAGCGGCTGCGACCTCCGCCACCCTGGGTGGACCTGTTGCCGTTGCTGTTGCCGTTGTTGCTGGGAAACTGCATGTACGACTGGGAAAAGGCGCTGTTTTTGGCAGCTGCTTCGTCTCGGAGGCGCTGGAAGGCATCTGGCACCTTCATCAAGCCCTCGGGAGGATGCAGCGTTGTAGGAGAGTGGTCACTCGGCGAATCTTCAACCTGTGAGAACACACTCGGGGATGAGCTTGCCCCAGACTCGGTGTAGTTACTGGGTGATGAGACAGAAGCGGTGGATGTGATCATCTGTTCCGCAGCCTTATCTGCTAGACGAAGTCGATTCTTGAGGGCGGTATTTTCCTCTTCAAGTCGTTTGTTGCGAATTTCCAAGTGGCGAATATACTCTGTCGCCTTCGATAGGATGGAGGCCTTGTTCAATTTGCTGGCAGGAGTGACACCCTCGCCTTCGTCATCATCGATGATGCTGCCCGCCGTATTCTTCGAAGCTCTCAGGCTGGGGACGCTGTCTCTCAATTCGGCAATCTTTTCGTTGAGGTTGGCTCGGTACCGCTTTTCGATAACGTTGTGTGCTCGTTTCTTGGCGGGCATTTTCTTGCCGGGTGGCACGACGCCACTCACAGTTGATCCGTCGTCGTCACTGCCCGACTTGCGTTTGCGGGTGATTCCGTCCGGGCTTAATGGTGAGCCCGCCGCAGTCGACAGCGTAGAAGGCATCTCAGCTCCACTCGAGTCGCCCTTGGAGTTGGACATACTGTTGTACCCTCGATCAAAGAAGGAGTCAAATGGGAGGTTCGTGCAGTCGAGAGAAATGTCGGGTGAGAACTCGGATTTGTTGAAGAAGCCTGTGCTTGGATTGCCGGTTGATGTGTTTGGGGAGGTGAAGGCCAGATCGAAAGGCGATTGGGAGAGCTCTTTGACCCCCTCTGCGAAGCCTTGATCATCCCATCTCATCCATTGTGTCCAATCCTGAGTTGCTTCGTCCGTGGTGGAGGATGGGGCAAACGACATTGACTCGGCCTGTGAGTCTCTAGAGTTCCTCTTGTTGGCGTTAGGGGAGAAGAGCTGGAAGTCACTCCCCGCGCTGGGCATTGCCATCTTGTCCAGCGGCCAGAGCCGGGACCATGAATTGCAAGTGGTCAGTCAAAGCACGGCAATAATAAACCGCGAGGGGGGGCGTCCAAGCTGTTGCCTGAACTCGAGTCAGTTCCTGCTACGGACAATCGATGACATGCGCGACGACGAGGTCATGGATGTTGACACTGTATGAAAGGGCATACCTGAGACGGGTGTGTGTGGTCAGGAGCCGGCTAGGTGCGGAAAGAAGTCGCGCAAGGCGAATAAGTTAAGCCAGCGCTAACCAACCTTAGATTGCGAACAGTGGAGTAATCGAAGGACAATCGGTGATGGTGATGGTAGAATGAAGACAGTAGGGACAGTCGAGGGTGAAATCCAGCAATCTACTGAGTACGATAGCGGGGTGGGAGAAGTTCGTCGGGAAGTTGCAGGAGACAGGAAGGTGTGCGAGGGTGGATGAAGATCTGACTAGCAGAGACCTCGTGAATGTCTGAACATGTGCAGGGGCGTTTCTTCCCCTTCGATCTTATCGAGCGAGCGGTTGAGAAAGGGAGGGGCGCAGCGGGTTGAGGCGCGATGAGTGGTTCGAGGAAGTTTGGTCCCGGTGGGACAAAAATTTGACCGGATCCTCAGTTGGTGCCGGTTGGTGCCTGGTTTTACTGATTGATAAAGACGACGACGGGGCGATCAACCACTGCTGGAGCACAAGGTTAATTTGGGGCAACTGGAGGCGAGGTTGCTAGAAAGATCAAGGATATCGTGATCGAAGGTAGAGAGGCAAAAGTGAAGGACGCATGACTGTGAGGTTGGCTATGCAACAACAGGTAGACAGAGGTAGATGAATGAATGAATGCATGGATTGCATGGAAAGAACTGAGTAAGTGACTGAGAGTGAGAGAGAGAGAGAGAGAGAATCTCGGCCAATGTTCGGTGGAGCGTCCGTCAGTCCGTCAGTCCCAAGTCGTATGATCGCGGGCCACGCCTCTTCCGGCAAGCCGACCCCAAAGGGGCAATCTCCATCAATACAGTACGTAATTCTGCTCCCCTAACAGAGCGGACGGGGCGGAAGTGGTCAAATTACCGTCACATTGGTGTATTCGAAACTCGCCGCCTCCCTGTCTCGGCTATATTTGGCAAGCCTCCCAACAATCCATCATCCATGATCGATGATCCATCATCATGGATCCATCATCCACCAGAAACAACCTGGGAGTTTCTGTACAGCTGCTTCTTGCAAAAATGATGATCGCTGATTACCCTACTCTTTGCAAGTGGATTTGAATTCCTTATAATCGAACAAGGCCCATCTCAATCCGAGCAATACTTGCAACTCCATACCTCCCGCGCAACCACGACCGGTTCCAACCCCATCAGCCCAGGCAACCGCGCTAATACCGGTCCGATGCTCAGCCCACCTTTTCTTCGTAATGATCAATTCAACTTCTCGAGGGATAAGATTCGGGAAAGGGGTCTGATTCAGGTAATTCCTTGCTGAGAGACAGAGTTGGAGTTTTCACCCGCACTGTATCAACCGCCTGCGACCAGAGCTTGAGGAATTGGCTCGACCCCGCCATCGAGGAGCGGGGCTGACACAGCTTGGGACAGTTATGACATAAATATATATCCAGCAGTAGGGATGAGCTCGACTCGGCAAAAGCCATCACGCTTTAAAGTTCAATAACCTCGCCGTAGTTGCAGGAACGAGGCGATGGGCGACAGACTCCGCTCATGTGGATCCAGTCTCTCGAATAATGGGGGTTGTGCTCTATAAGCACATTTTCGAGAAGTTCTCCAGTCGAAAACCATTACGGAAACCCGCCTATTGATACTGCGCTCAAGCACGCATCAATCCTCGAATCATTCGCCAGTTCATATTCAATCACAATCACCGTCGTTAACATGGCGTAGAAACAGTCAATAGACCCATCGGGCTGAAGTGGGGAGGAAGCCCATCGTCTGCAGGTCCAAGGTCCTTGGACCGTTTATTTAGATTGCGAGAAGCGCACGTATGGGGTTTAACGAGAGGGACTGTAACCAGGAGGTATCCACAGACTTGGCCAGGCTGGGGCAACGTTTACCCTGCCTGCCTGGCCAGACTGACTCCTTCACCGCCAGTAATTCCCTATCGTTGAACAGGCACGCCAACAACGGATCAAACATGAGCTGCATCTGCATTTTTACTCTAGGAAATATGTACACCTCTCAGGGCTTTCTATAATCTACTTAGAGTACCTTCTCCACCTCTGCCATCTTACCCATTACCTCCTGCACGGTGACCTTAGCCCCCTGGGCAGGCTCCTCGTACGGGGTGCGAGGCTTCAATTTCTCCTCCGCGCCCTCAATCCCAGCTGCCACCGCCGAGAAGATGGCCGTGGCATACTTGGTGGACGCGATGCCGCTCTTGCACGGCGACTCGGCCAACGCCGCCTGCCGCTGCAACGCCAACGCCTCGTCGACCTTGCCCTCCACGTACAGCCGGTAGACCCGCGCGGCGGTCTTGGGGAAGACATTCGCGAAGGCCGCAATGCACCCGGCCGACCCGACGGCCAGCCCCGCCAGCAGGAAGTCGGACTGTCCGCCGAACACGGCAAACTGGTCCTGGGAAAAGGTGGCCGCCAGCCGGGTGATCTTGCCCACGGACGCGCAGGTCAATTTCACGCCGACCACGTTCGAGACGCCCGAGGGGCTCTGCGCCGCGGACTCGCGGACAATCGCCGTGATGGTCTCGGAATCGAGATCCACGCCGTTGCACACGCCGGGGAAGTTGTACACCACGACGGGGAGGGCGGATTGTCGGGCGACGTCGGCGAAGAACCGCTTCACGACGGCGGGCGTGGTCGCTTTGCCGAAGTAGGCCGGGGGCAGCACCAGCAGGTAGTTGGCCCCCGCGGCAGCCGCGTCGGAGGCGAGCTCGAGGACTTGTTTGGTGGAGTGGGCGCCCACGCCAGCCATGAGCGGGAAATCAGGCCCCACGGCTTCGCGGGCGGCGGCAATGCATTGGTATCGTTCCTCGCGCGTAAGGAGGAAAGCTTCGGAGTTGGTGCCAAGGATGACGAGCCCGGCCAGACCAGTCGTCGACAGATATTTATAGTATTGCTTCTGGGCGACCAAATCAATGGTGTCGGTCGCGTGATCGAAGAAGGTCACGGCTGGACACCAGACACCGGCTGGGGGGATATGGGGCTGGGCGGTCACGCTGGGGGTGGAAGTGGAGCCCATGTTGACGTCAATCTGCTCAATTCTGTGGAAATCGGAAACGACTCAAAAGACGGCGATGATGATGATGATGATGATGAAACTTTGCTGATTCTCATTTTGGAGGAATTGCAGCGCATTAGTGGCTTAAGTAGTGAGTGATGGTGAATGCGGGGGGGGGGAGGGAGGGAAAAGAATCCGGTCGGGATCCGATACCGAGTTCTTATCAGCGGGGAGAGATTCCGAGTATGTACAATACGTAGAGAGAGGATAGGGAAGGAAAGGAGGAGATAATGGATAAGTTAAGAGAGGGGAGACTAGTCCAGCAGGAAAATCCGGGGTAAGGCAGGATAGTACCTTTCTACATCTCCCTCACTTCTAGAGAAACCCCTTGAATCTTCTTTCCCCTTCATTTCCCCCCAACTTTTTTTTTTTCCTTTTTTCCTTTTCTCCTTTTCTTCTCAAATTTTCCTCCCCGTGACCTCCATCCATGGCACTTGTTGAGCGCGTCACGTCACTTGACCCATGAGTCGGATCGACAATGATGGTCTCATCGCCGAATCAGGGCCGGTTATTGGCTCACACCGCCGTTGGTCACGACGAGCTTCCTCTTGGGGATTCTCATTACGTCTTCAAAAAGACTGCAGGCTGCAAGGCCAGCAGCCACTGGCCTAGGCATGAATAATGAGAATTCGAATATGCCTCATATTCCCCTTCTCCTTCATTCCATTTACGAGGATTCATTCCATTTCGTCCATTTCGTCCACTTGTTCCACAAATACCCCGCATAGAAAGGGGGTTCAATGCGTTTCCACCTCTTGTTCCCCAGATATTTAACTGCCAATGCCCCAGCCCCATGGTACTGGTGGATGTGATGAGAACAAACACAGACATTAGACACCATGCAAGCACCGCAAGAGATTTACGATCTGGTAAGTGATGTGATGTGATGCGATGCACCCCAGGCGAGTCAAGCTGAATGCTAAGTGCAATCAATGCCTCATAGATCGTGTCCTTTGTGGATGACGTCGATAGCCGGCCGTGGGCCGCTTCGACGCGACAACACCAGATTCAATCCGACGAGCTTCGACACCAGCTCGCGACATTACGCCTCGTCAACCGCGCCTTCTGTCGCAGTGCCTCCCCGCGACTGTTCCGACACCTCCGCGTGGTCGCCAAATCCGCTCAGTCCAAGACCTCCGAATCGCCGCTTGTAGGCCTCGTAGAGCTCTCCCACGGCCCCTATGCCGACTACGTGCGCCAACTCGACATCGGCCTCGAGGACACGGAGCACTCGGAAGAGTTCTGCGCGATGTTCCTGGAAGATCTGGCGGGGGTTCTGCCCTCCTGCCTGTGCCGGCTGCCCAAACTCAAGGCGCTTGATTTCCAGGGGGTTCCCGGCTCGTTACCCGAGGCGACGACCCGAGACTTTGTCAACACCGTCATCAGCAGCCTCCGCTATGTGCCACTGCCGAACTTAACCGAGCTGGACATTGCCTTCCCCATCACCCACGATTTCGCCCAATTCTTTCCCCACAAGACCATCAGCTCCAGCGCCTTGCGCATCTCCACCGAACACATCCTGGAGCGTCTCCACCACCTGGGCCTCCGCATCACCGCCTCCCCCACCGAGCACACGCAGCCACAACAACATGAATCCCCCTCTCCGCCGCCCGCCGCGACCGCACATAACCCCGGCTTGTCGAATCAGACCCATGCACACTGGCTCTACAAGATGATCCGGCACGCCAGCAACCTGAAGTCGCTCGCCATCGCCAGCGCAGACACCCTGGATCTGGACGGGGCTTCGTTCAGCCGCGCCCTCCGCCTGGAATCCATCCAGCTGCGCCGGGTGTCCATCTCGTCCTACAAGCTGCTGTCGCTGGTCGAACAATGCAAGGACTCCATCCGACACATCGAGCTCCATCAGGTCAAGCTGAACTCGGGCGAGTGGCAACATGTGCTGTCGCGCATGACGCATCTGCCCGGGCTGGTGAGCTTCGTGATCAAGTCGTGCGGATACTCGTCGACGGGCGCGGGGGCCACCTACTACAACCCGCATGGCGCGTCCGGGGCAGTGATGAAGACGACGAACTCGACGGAGATCCTGGCGCTGGGCGCCTTGCACCGTCGGGTCCACGAGAACCGGGTGAACTGCGGGCTGGCCCCGTTCCGCGAGACGGAATTCCGCCGGAGATTGAAGAGTATTTGAGGGTTTGCAGGTTTTGACAACAGTACATTAGCATCAGCATCTGTGGCATAGTTTGTGCATCTGCATTAATGGGTATGGGTATGACAAAAAGAATGATTAGCAATGAAAATAGTCGAGATAGTTGAAATATGACTGGACTTACATATCACAACTGCCTCACTCAGATTCCTACCCAGTATCTCCTTTTCTCCTTTTCTCGATCATGAATAGTGAGAATCGAAATAAAGACGAGGACAGCCGTTAAGCCACGTCACAAGTGCATGCACAAATAATTCACCCACCTGGCAGGATCTTCTTGCTCATACATAGTAACTAGTTACTAGGTAGTTACTCAGCATCCGCCAGCTCACCATGCAGCCACGTCCAGCCATCATTGGCAGTCATACTGCACATCATGCAGATCATGCGGGAGGAGAATTGGGTATCATGGAAGGTGGTACCTTACCCCGCGGAATTATTCCCCGGGTGTAGCTTCCTTCCCCTCCATACTTCAGTATACCTGTGCAACCCAACAACTTCATCTTGTCCCGAGTCATCTTCCACTACTCCCTCCTCTCTCTCCTCCTCAATATATCCCAAACCTCACATAAGAATATACCACCAGCACCAACAGACCACCCTCACTCAAACCATATCCAAAACCAAAGAAAAACAACCGCAAAATGACCAACCCCCCCAAAGAAACCCCCAGCACCCCCAACACCCCCAGCCCCCTCCCAAACTACACCCGCCACATAACCACGCACTCCACCACCACCACCGCCAACCAAAAACCAGTGGCAACAGTCCACTCTACCACCCCGGGCACCTGGACGGCCGTCGAAGGCACCACCTTCGCCTTCAGCGTCGCCTACACCACCTCCGCCTTCCCGGCGACCCTCACCGCCGACGCCGACATCCGCGCCCACGAGGCGCTCCTCGCAACCAACAGCCTCGGGCTGGTCAACCCCGGCGGCACGGTCTGCCGGGTGGTCGACTTCGCCCCGGGCAAGCCGCCGCTGATGCACCGCACCCGCAGCCTGGACTACGGGATCGTGCTGGAGGGGGAGATCGAGATGGTGCTGGACTCCGGGGAGACGCGGCGCCTCACGCGGGGCGATATCGCCGTGCAGCGCGGTACGATGCACGCGTGGCGGAATCCCCATCCGACGCAGTGGACGCGGATGGTGTTTGTGTTGCAGGATTGCGAGGTGGTGGAGGTTGGTGGGGTGGTGTTGGGGGAGGATTTGGGGGGCGCGGGGGAGATTTTGCCTTCGGAGGGGGGGACGCGTTGATGCAGTGGCTGTAGGGGTGAAGAGGTAGGGGATGGGCAGAGGAGGGAGGGAGAGAGAGGAGGGGGACTTAGATTGTGTTTAGGCGGCGGAGGGCAGCTGGCATCATGACGATGCAAATTCTTTTACTACTATTACCACAATGCTACCTCTTCTGCTGGTGGAGTTGATGAATTTACTACACCCGTGTGGCTTCTTGAACACTTTCAAGCACCTTTATAAGTCAGCAGAGTAGCAAGGCCTCTCCAAGTATCTGTTTGGAGTAAATAGGGTAGCAAAGCCCGTACTAGATATCTTTGGAACTAGGCAGAGTAATAAAGCTACTCTAAAGCCCGGTGTGGAGTCAAAGGAGTAGGATAAATATGTTATGTTCAGAGCAGCTGCAAATTGTAAGTATTCTATATAGTCTGTGATAGGATTTTGTACTATTATTGATGTGATATAGGAGTTGATAGAAACCATGCACTAGAGTTAGTAGTATGTAGTAAAGGAACAGCGTCAATATTTACTAGTTCACTCGCTTAGAAGATGCTTGGAAATAGGTTTAACTACTGCTCCACCTACAAAAGTATAGGAACGCTTTGCTACTCCACTTTACTTAGAGATGTTGCGTAGAAGGATGTCTACGATGGTCCTTGAATTCCTCGTAGGGAGCCAGTAATGGAAGCTGTGTTTGAGGGATGGCGGCGCCGTAAATCCGCATTGTGGTAGGTCCTATGTCTGGGTTGTAACGTGCTCAGCCCTATGCCATCCGGACATACAGGCGGATATCTCCCCCGAGCCCTACCCCACCAAAATGCTCATCATGACATAGATGGCCTGACTCCTCTCATAGCAAAGAGCCTCTTCTCGTGCTTTGTAATTGCCAACCCCTCTCTCATCCCACTGTCCCTACCCACTTCGGCCGTTTCATCTTCTATCATCCAACACCCCGTCCACTTTCTCACCAGAACCAACCAACTCTCAAGACAAGCCAAGCAAGTACCTGCAAAGAGTCCATCATGTCTGTCCCATCCATGGCCATCTTGGCCTCCAAAACCCCGATTATCCCCTCTTCACCTCGTGTGCACCGTGCAAGCGTACGGAGAAAACACCCAGGTGATGAGGATCTCGTCTCCCCCCGCCTGATCCCACTCGACAACCCCAAGGGACCTGCCGATGAGCCTCCCAGCCAGAACATGGGTATCTTCTCCGGTTCAGTCCAGCAACCCAGCAAGGAAGAGCTGGATAATGCGGTGCGAAAAGCCATCGAGGAGATAGCCGCTCTCCAGAGGCACGACACTACACCAGCCGTAGCAGCAGCAGCCGCAGTGCCTGCCACTAAAAAAAGCTCCCTGCTCTCGAGCATCGAGCGGTACGAGGAAGATGATCTCGACGATGTCTTTGATGACCTCATCCAGACGGGGTGGGGTTATTCTAGCTGCAGCGATGACTTGTCCGAGGACCAGATTTGGGATGACGAAGAAGACTCGACGACATCACAGGCCATGGGTAGCTCATTATGCACGAGCTCTATCGTGGAGACAGACCTTGATAACTTGACGCATGAGGCGCTTCAAGATCATCAATATGAGTGCGATGCGGATGCAAGGTCGGCCTATGGGGCTCACAGGACCCAGTCGTACGTCCACACAATGCCTGCCCCTGCGCCGTACCCGTACATCAGCCCCTCTCCCTGGGCTAGATTTCTCAGCGAGAAGGCGGAAATCCATCGCGCCAGGGAGGTGATGCTTCGGAATTATGAACAATATGAGTTGGGGGAGGAGAAAAGGCGAATCCAGCGAGCGATCCAAAGTCGGTCACACGTCCACACAACGGCATCGCCTACGCCGTCCACCGGCCCTTCTCCCTCTAGCCGCTCTCTCGAAGAGGAGACGGGAGTTCATCGTTTGCGGCAGGAGATGCTTCGGAATAATCATCAATATGAGTTGAGGGAGGAGAAAAGGCGAATCCAGCGAGCGATCCAAAGCTGGTCACACGTCCACACAACGGCATCGCCTACGCCGTCCACCGGCCCTTCTCCCCCCAGCCGCTCTTTCGCAGAAGAATTTCTGTTCCACCTCGCAAATATAAATGCCAAGCAGGACCAGATCATGGCCGCTCAGCGCAGCTGGCCCATCTCCGAGCGTCAGAAGGCCTTGCTCAACGCTCAGCAGGCCCTGCTTACAGAGCAGCAGGCTCTTCTTGACGACCAGAAGGTCATGATCGCCGACCAGCAGGCTTTACTTGCTGACCAGAAGACCTTACTGTTTGACCAGCTGGCCTTGCTCGCCGACCAGCAGGGCATGATCACGAGCCAAGAGGCCGTAATAAGGGCGTTGGAGAGCCAGCAGGATTCGAATCTGGCCATCGATCCACCCATGTTGGCACCGCCGCCCTCGACAAACAGCACCAGACCTAGCACCAGCGCTCCGACCAGAGTCCCAACACCCTCCAACATCTACAACAGCTACCAAGTCCCTGAAAGTTGCTTGTGTCGCCCTCCTGCCTCCACAGCAGCAAAGACCTGTCCCGCAAGGGCCCTCTGCACAAAACGCTGGGAACCCTACGTCTCAGAGAGGGAGCAGCATGGCATTGACAACTCCGGCTCTGACCCAGACTACAAGTACTACAAGAACTACTGGGACTACGACTACTACGACGACTGGAACTACGACGATTACGACTACATCTCCAATTACAACAACGACGACGACGACAACTACTTCGACTGCTCTTCTTTCCAAGAGCCAGAGGAAGAAATCAACAACACCCCTAACGACGGGGAGTACGTCATCATCAAAAACAAAGCCAATAATGCTAACGAAAACAGCAGCAACGCCAACAACAGCAACCTCCCCAAGAGGCCAGTAAACCCACTGCCATTGGCACCTGCCATGGGCTGCTTCTTCATACTGGGATGCTTTCTCCTCTACACCCTGGTCACCACCTCCTACCTAGACCTTGTCTCGAGGCTGTGCCACCTCATCTCTCGCCGTCCTTCTCCTGGGTTCCAACTACTGTGGGCGGTTCTGAGCTACGGGTACCTGATGTTGATCCGGGATTATCCTCCCCATGTTTAGTCATATTTACGTGTCTAGAAGAGCAAGAAGACATTTGTTAGAGCGACGGTCTCGACGGACTAGATCGGTTGGATTTGATTGGCTGATGGTTGCGTTTATGCTTTCTGTTTAGCTTCTAGCGAATTGGACTTTGTGTTCTATTGATTTTTGACAATCGATGTGGATAGCTCGTAGAAAGATATCATGAGAATACTAGCTATTATCTCTTTGATACTGCATGTTCACTTGATCGGTACAGATGTAGCAGGTCCGGCACAACACGGTAGGTTTTGAATCTATAGCTAAGTTGGGAGGGACGGTCACTGTAAGGCAGAGAGCCATGCGTGTAAAGTTCTAGATTGATGACTACAGACCTGGCAGTAGTGGCACCCTAGACATCTAGATTAAAATCCCGCTTTAGTATAAGGTACCTAGTCACTTCCAATACAAGAGCGTGAAGCGGAGCGACGATGCGACAAATAATGAAAGGCAGTCGAGCCTACAAGCACGTGACTTTGGTCCCGCGGGCTCTGAATCACCCATGCATGATCACAGCTAGACCTCAAGTCTCGGCCACTTGTCTTTTCGCGAGCGATATCAATTCCTTCAGTAGAAAAATTCCTGAGAAATGACTGGATTGGGCACCACATCTACGTTTATCTGTGGTTATCGTGACTCTGCTACGTCCTGTAATCAATCAGTCACCGAGTCAGCAAGGAAAGGGGGCCTTCTATACTTCACGCGAGGTTACGATATCGTGTTGTGTGATAATTAGGGATGGATATGCGAATAGGTCGCAGAGAGAAAGAAAGGCAGGGTTTGAGTACTATCTGCTGGTGGCTGGAGGAATTGTTATGTCTCCCATGTGAGAAGCGAGGAAGACCCCGGCAATCAGACACGAAGCACCGTGTTAAGACTCTTGCACTAATTTATGCTGGTACCAGAAATGAATGAGGCTCCGGTCACTGAAGCTAAAAGACTTATAGGCAAGTACAGTACCTATGAGGAGATAGCTAGCTATGTTGAAAGAGGGGGTGGTTACGGATCACTAGAGTCGAAGCATTTTGGCACACCGTGCGGTATCACAGCACAATCTCGAAGAACAAGCACCAGCCTTAGAGTCATCCCTTCAAGTGATCGTCATCAAGGTCAATCAATACCAAGGAAAGGACGGTTTGGAAAAAGAAAAACATACAACAGAGGGGGTTCGCTGGTGGTCAGTGGACCCCAAGTACCATACGCGGTGCCTCGTAATAGTCATTTAGAAAGTACACTCTCTTGGTCCGCTTGAGATTGGGGAAACACAGCAGAGAAAGGTGTGCAGCTGATACGATTTCACTCGAACACTAGCTAAGGCGGGGGAATAGCAGGAATATGTACGTCAGTAGTCAGCCCGTCAGGACCGATAATCCAGCTGTCAGCTGTATACACACTCGGAGGATTGATCGCGGTAATCCAATCCGCGTCAATCTCATTGTTGGTCGTACTAAGGTCGGGATAGACAAGCCGCCAGGCGTCTGAATCCAGATACGTCTCTCTCAGGTTGATTCCCCATGTCTGCAATTCGGCACCCCAGGTACGGGCCGTGGGAGTCAGGCTGGTACGGCCGATATCCCAGTGGGCGTTGCCGGAGCAGTAGAATGCGCTGGACCGGCTAGTACTGGACCCCGAATCGTACTGAACGCGCAGGTTATTGCCGGCGGTGACGGTATACCGGCCGTGGTACACTCGGATGGACGCGGTGCGTGAGTAGGTCGCAGTTGCGCCCCCTTCAGTGATGGAAACAAAAGGATGGACATTGGAATCCACCCCGCGCTCGTCGAAGTGCAGATGGAAGATGACCCACTGGTCTGCTCCAGTGCCGTCCGTCATATCGCGATACTGGTCGTACGTGCTGTCGCCCACCGTTCCCACTTCGGGGCCGATCCAGTAAGCCAGTTCCAGGATCACCCCCGGGACAATGTAAGGGTTGTCTCTCGCGTTCCGTGCCTGATACTCCAACCAGCGTGCGTAGTTGAGAGGGAGAGTACCGGCATTGACTGCTTCTAGAATGCTCTTCATTCCAGGGGACTTTACTCTTTGCTTTTGCTCACCGCCTGGTATTAATAACGAGATCATCTGGTTAGCTAAGGGCAAGAACTCCTGAGTGGAAGTGGGTTAAATATGATGGGAGAAATCACCTATGCCGTTGATATGTCGCTTACTCCCTTCTAGCCGGGGTAGCAACAACTCCCCGTGCAATGACCGCTTGGTCGACGTGGAGCTACCACTGCTACCATCACTGCTCGCACCGTCGTCATCATTGAGCGTGCAGAGTTCGTTCATCGCGAGTTCGACCTCTTCAATGTCCGAGGCCGCACTGATCGGATCCCGAAGCATATCCGTGAGCCACGCGGTGATATCTTGCCCCGCACTGGCAAAGGTGGCGAGAAAAGGGGCCAGAGTGGCGTATTGCAGAGTGGTGGAATAGTAGCCTGCAAATTCCTCATCCCAGACTTGTCGTAGCGCTGCCACAGCAAAGTCACTTGTACTGGAGCTGAATAGAAGCCCTACCCACTTAATCAACTCCTGCCACTGGGCCGAACTACAGGTTCTTCCGAGAATGATCTCTCGCTTCTTCTTAGTGATGGTGCCATCCTCTTCACTGTAGAAATAGTCCATGCCCGGCACGCTCAGCTCCTCGTCAAAGCAATAGGGGTTCTCCATATAGCCCCTCAGTAGCGTGACAAACTCCGCGTATTGCCAGCCGATCCAGCTGGCGTAGGGGTCGCTGGGAGTGGTAGTGGTGGTTGTGGTCGTGGTCTTGCCTCCGCAGCAGTAGGCCTGCATGTTGTACCCGCAGCTTCCGGCCTCCATCCCAAGACGGATATAATCGGTAGGACACGAGGTCTCACAGTAGTAAGACTCCGGTCCAATGACCGTAGTTTCTTTGTTGTACCACTTGCAATCAGTGAATTCGTCGGGGATTTCCGTGCAGCAGTAGCTTTTGCGTCCCGAGCTGCAGGTTTGCTCGCCACCAGCCCCATTACTGTCTGCGAACAAAAAATGGGGATAGTCGTCGGGGCAGGTATGATTCTTGCCAGGCGAAGCACACGTTGGCGAACTGCCGACCCACTTGCACTTGGAGTAGGCTTTGGTAGAGGAGGTCACGGTACAGCAGGCACTCTGGTGACTCGTCCGGCAGCCTTCGCTCAGGGAGCCCACCTCGGTCTCCCCATCCTTGCAACCAGCCGTGCAGAAGCCGGTATTGTGGAATCCACGCCATCTGCAAGTGGGAAAATCCGTGTCACTGGCCGGACAGCAGAACTTGTGCTCCCGGCTTGGTGAGCAGCCGGTGGTGTCGGTCATAGTCAACTTAGTCCCATCACGCGGGACTTCCTTAAATCCGCTGGGGCACTCGTCTCCGCAGTTGGTCCAACGACATTGGCTCAAGGTATCACGAGTCGTGCTGGTGGTAGTGGTTTCGATATCGGACAGCGACTGGATCTTGACAGGCTGCATGATCTCCACCCCCAGACCAGACATGAGGGCCTTGGACCAGGTCCCATTGGTGTCGTCCTGGGTGGCCGCCCAGACCATGACCCCAGATATACACTGGCCTTTGAGCCACTCGCTCTTCAGCTTCCAAGTATCTTCGTCATCGTAAGAGACCCACTGATTCTCCCAGTTGATGGCTTTTACAGCGGCATCCTTGTAAAGCGTCGGGGCCAGGCCGTTGGCACTGATGATATTCATAATCTCCGGGTTGAGTAGCACCCCGGCAGTTATCGAACAGTTGCCAGCATTGCCACCAGAGACAAATCTACATCCAGGCTCCGAGCAGCTCGCCTCTGTGAGAGTAAAGCTACGGCCGTAGTACGCCATGCCCACTACCACCTTGCTAGAGTCGATGTCGTTGCGCCAAAGCAGGTCGAGCGTGGTCTGCAACTCGGTCATGTTTGTGTGAGCATTGATATATGGGCCAGTCCATTGGCTGTCTTCATCCCAGGTCCCATGCAGGTCATAGGCCATAATGTTGAACCAGTCCACATATTTCGACAGGCTCACAATATCGAAATGTTGCATATCTGGAAGGTATTAAGATCAAAGTAGCTTGGGCCTAGCGTGGGGCGGCTGGATAGCTTCACATACAATAGTAACTGGATGGCAGAGTGATACTAATTCCCTTATCTGATCCTGTTCCTGAGAAGCTACTCTGCATGCTCTTAAGGAAACTGGGGAAATTGTTGTAATCATCCGATCGGCCACCGCGGTCTGCTTCGACCGGGTATTCCCTACCTCCGGGAAACCATGGTCAACACAAAAGAAATAGTAGTATAATAGAGGTGGCGGGGGAGAGAAAAGGGAGTTAATGGCGTACCAGTCAATATCGACACCATCGAAGCCATATGTGCCCATGAATGAGATCAGCGAGGCGAAGAAGGCCTTTTGGTCAGCCTCGGAAGCCGCCAGATCGGAGAATGTATAGTGAGTGGACTCGTCGGCATCACTGAATGACCACCCTCCCAGCGATAGCCAAATCTGCAGGTTCGGTTGGATTAATTTGAGCGAACCAATCTCCTGCAGGAGGGTTGCCTCAGTTTCGTCCGTGGCTTGAACCGCAAATGTGGTGGGATCAATAGTACCGAAGGCAAAACTGTTGACAACAATGATTCTAGTTACCATGTGATACATATAGAATATATGAAGTTCTTACTTGACGTGTGTATAAACTCCATAGGGGATCTCGGTAGGGCGAAGAACGTCGCAGGCACGCGAGGACATGGCATAGGCCTCATAATAGCCAATGATCCGAGACACATTTTGGCTTGAGGCATCGCACGATGGTCTGGTGACGGTAGTATCGCCACAGAACTCGCTCGTTGTACCACAGAAGCCATACCTGGTATCAATCAACAATCGAAACAATAACTGCACTCATACACAAGGGGGGTTTCAACGTACGAACTGCAGCAGACGTTCAGAGGACATGTGCTGGCATTGACATAAGCTGAGCCCCAGTTGTCAGGGTCACATTCCGCTTTGGCATCACAGCTAGCTGTACAATTTCCCGGACTAGTGCATCAGTCGTTTAGTATCTCTGATTAATCTGTAATAATAGAGAAGGTTATGGACGAACCCGCAGAAGGTTGGGCCCATGCCACATACTCCGGACTTGCCACAGCATCCGAGCGTACAGGGATTGGCTTCACTGCAGCTCTGCTGGACAGACTGGCCTGTCAGGGCTAGCAATACACCCAGCCACGCGAGCAACGAAGTTAGATGCATGGTGGAATGGGGGTGGATGAAATGAGGCAGAACAGCGAGAGGCGACAGCGGCTCTTTAACTGCGTGCCATTGCAGCGAGCTCCGGCCCTTGACATAAACATTCTCCCCTACCCCTTTTCTTTCGAAAAATCCTGCCGTGCGTTATTAAATCTTCATATTCTGAGCCCACGAGCTGTGCCTGACTAGTGCTCGGCTAGTACTGAAGTTTGGTGTGTAAGATGGTGTGGGAACTCCAGAAAGAATATTATAGGCCTTCATTGGTCATGGCCCGTACTTTGATGTGACTGAAAGCTCTTACACTAGTACGATATGACTTTTGAATTTGGATAGTGGAGTGATGCTTCATGAAAGGGGTAATTAATGAAATTGGTGGGAAAACATTCATAAGCCCATTTACCCCCACCGGCTGTTCTGCTCGTAATATAGGGCGTTGTGAATATAAGAGGCAGACTGGCGGACGATATACCAAAACAACAAGATCTCTGTCTTTTATAATTTAAGTATCTAACTGGTCGTAACATCAAGAAGATTTATTGGTGAACATTTTGTTGAGTAGTCCATGATTCTTTTGAGACATTTGGGTTGTAGTCCGAAGTCGATTCTAATGGGCTGAACAAGGGCTGCACAGTACAACAAGTTGGTTTAGCAATCATCATGTAATAAAAACTGTGCTATGTGGGTAACAGCTGGGACGAGAACTATAGTAACCGGAACAGGCATGTCGAGACATAACTCAGATGTAAAAAGACCCTCTTGCAGGGCGCTTGTCGGGTCTTAGCTCCTCGGTTGAGGAAGAAGTGGCGTTCACCAGGGCTACAGAGTAATAAGGGCCGTTTCATTCTTCATTTTCGGATCGGCGCGGCAATGACACTTCCCGAACCGTAGTGCCGTCCGTCCGTGCAAAAATCGGTCACCGCTGATATTACTGTACAGTACTTTGTGGAGATCCTTTCTCGACACGAAGGCATAACCAACTGCCGACTCCCACAGAACTGTTGTATATAAACGAGATGAAGTGCTTGGCCCTGTTCGATAACAAGATTTGTTACTGTCTAATAGAGGCTAACGAGGAGACAAATTCTTTCCTCTTGCAGTGCGCAAGTGGATGAACAAGCCCTGTATTTAGTGGGTCTCCACATATACTCGAGTAGATATAGTAGTTCGATCTAGGGAACGGGGCTAAGCTCCGGCCAAGACCCTAGACCCTTGGGCGAGTTGACTATTTGCGCACTAATTGCCACACGGCCATCGGAAGTTCCAACCGGATCTCTCCTTTGCTGTCCGGCGTCTCCACCATAATTTCACATACCACTTGAATAGCAGTAGTACGTACTGATTCCTCCGAGCCCCGATGGCCGGACCTTTCCGATAATGCAGGCCGCCGTATTACAGCCCCTGAGCCCCCTAATACGGGTTTCGTACCGTCTTAGCGACAAGACGAGACATAAGAACCTTTGTTGAGTTACGGACAAAAGAAGTAAAAGAGAGGAATCTCTGCTGCTTTCTCACACGGACTTCGTCGCTCTCGCAGTCCTGTCCGGGTTAGCCAGTCACCATGCGCTCGTCTGGTTTCATTAATGCTTTCGCTTTGTCGTCTCTGTTGGTGCAGGTCACTCTCGGGCATTACTCCCGGGGGCATGGCAACTACGCTCACTCTCATCTGCATACGCAGCAAGCACGCGACTCCGAATCTAGTTCATTTCAACTGGTTCCCAGCCAGTCTTTCAGCAGTTCCAGTCTCCCTCAGAGCTGTCAAGATGCCCTGTATGACAACTTGCAGTGCGACAGCTATGTGTCGACGCTCGGGAGACCAGTCTGGCATGGTGGTCTAAATGACTCGGTCCTGACTGACGCGGTATGCTCAACTCAATGCGGCCAGTCTCTTTCCAGCTTCCATGACAATGTCGTGGCACAGTGCGGTGCAGATGCAACTATTGCAGAGGGAATCCCGGCTCTGTCGGTGATCGACAGTATCTGGTCAGGCTGGAATGAAACATGCTTGAAAAATGACAACGGCACTTACTGTAACGGTATGTCTGCTCTAGCAAGAATAAGATAATAAAAAGCCTATATAACAATAGCTCACTGTCATCAGATGTTATCGATTCATGGGACTCGGTATCGAATCTTACCGATGTGCCGGTGGCAGATATTTGCGACGATTGCTGGATTCGAAAATTGGAGTTGATGCAGCAGTCACCGTATTCGGCTTACAGCACCCCTTACGAGACTATGCTCAATTATTCGATTTCGGGTACGTCTACTTCTTTCGGTGCTCGAAGTTTCATGTCGATATGGTGTGGCTGACTGATATAATTCTGACAGTTTGCAACCTTAAGGGCGTGGAAACACAGCCGACTCCGGGAGGCCTTGAGATTCCTGCGGCCAATGCCACCTGCTCAACGGACAATTGGTACACAGTTCAAACTGGGGACACCTGCGATTCCATCTCCATAGCCCATTCTATCTCCTCTTCAACCCTGTATCAAATCAATCCCACCCTGTACAATTGCAGTGACCCGATGGTGGGGTTGGACCTGTGTCTGCCTCTGGCATGTGAAGATATCTACGAGGTCGTTGCTGGTGATAATTGCTCATCGATTGCCGTCACCGCGGGCATTTCGTGGATGAAACTGATCTCCTATAACGGCATGGTAGACAGTGCTTGCTCAAACGTCGCCGATACCGCCCTCCTGGGCGGAGTGCGATGCGTCTCCCCTCCTGGGGGCACTTTCAACTTGACAGTCTCGTCTAATTCAAGTTCCGCCTCGGGCGTAGACGGACAGGGTGGCTCTGGATCAGGCTATGGTACCAGCTTCGTCGCCTTGCCAAGCGACGTTACTCTGGCTGAAGGGACCACTACCGACTGTGGCGACTATTACACCGTGGTGTCGGGAGACACCTGCGTGTCGCTCTTGGCGGAGGCCAACACGCCGTTCAATTTATTTATGGCTGCAAATCCGTCCATCACATCCGCCGCGGTCTGTGACGATGAACTGACAGTTGGTGTGACCTACTGTATTCATCCCATGAGCGGCTTCAATACAACAAGCGTGAGTGGTAACCTGACCGTCTCCACCAATGGATTGTGTGGGAACGGGACTACCTGTCTGGGCTCGTTGTTTGGAGACTGCTGTTCCATCTCTGGGTATTGTGGCAGCACTTCCGACTACTGCACGGCCGGAATCTGCGATGCGACCCATGGCCTATGTGTCTCAGGTAACCCTGTCTCGCTAGACGGCCTCTGTGCATCCCAGTCGTCAACCAACGCGACTTGTGCTGGAAGTGAGTTTGGATTTTGCTGCTCGGTTGACGGTTATTGCGGTAGTACCTCTGACTATTGTGGCTACAAAACATGTCAGAGAGAGTTTGGAAGCTGTGATGAAGCTCCTTCAGTCAGCTCTGACGGATTGTGCGGTGCCCTCTCATCAGTTAACGCCACATGTGCCGGTAGCACATTTGGCGACTGTTGTTCGATTCATGGATATTGTGGCAGCGCGTCCGACTACTGTGCCTACAATAGCTGCCAGTCGGCATTTGGCTCCTGCGATGCTGGTTCCACAATCAGCGACGATGGCCTCTGCGGGGCTCTCTCGTCTTCTAATGCTACCTGTGCTGGAAGTACCTTTGGCGACTGCTGTTCGATTGACGGCTACTGTGGCAGCACGTCTGACTACTGTGCCTATGATAGTTGTCAGTCAGTGTTTGGAACTTGTGATCCCGGCCCTACCGTCAGTTCAGATGGGCTTTGCGGCGCCCTTTCATCTACCAACGCTACTTGTGCGGGTAGCACCTTCGGGAGCTGTTGTTCAGTTAATGGCTACTGTGGAAGCACCGACGAGTACTGCGGCATCGGGACCTGCGACTCTGCGTTTGGTAACTGTGATACGGTGACTGTGAGTCCAGACGGACTGTGCGGCTCCATGTCTTCTGTCAACGCAAGCTGTGCGGGCAGTCAGTTTGGGGATTGTTGCTCGATGAGCGGCTACTGTGGCAGTACAGATGCATACTGCGGAATCGGCCAGTGCCAGTCTGCATTTGGTAGCTGCGACGAGCTGCCAATCAGCTCGGACGGTCTTTGTGGATTCATGACCTCGAACAGCGCAACGTGTCTGGGCAGTCAGTTTGGCGACTGCTGCTCGGTGAACGGATACTGTGGTAGCTCAGATGCTTACTGCGCAGCGGTGAATTGCTTGACTGAGTATGGCAGCTGCTTAGCTTGAGTGAGTAAAAAGTGGCTTGGAATGTCTACTTTTCACACAGATGAAGATGATGGTGGGTGTCAGTCAACCTTGGTCAGGCTTTCTTCTCAGGAAGAGGAGGGAGCCTCTGCCACTGTACAGCATGCACAGTACTCGGTATCAAGTTTGTAACATACTGTATCACGTGTATTATTTCCCGCCCGCCGTGTATCATCAGTGCAGTGCCTGCTCTAGTATAAATTCCAGCAAAGTCCTTTCCTCTTTCCTCCCCTTTTTCCCCTCATCCACCCCCCCACACTTACTTCGTCTTCGCCATCTTGCCATGGCCTGCTACCCAAGGATCCCATACCATATTCAGGCAGATCTTAACAGTCAGCTGATGGGATGGACCCGTGTCGGCAACTTCACCGCCGTGGAGAACCTTCTTGATACCCCAGAGGCAACAGATCTTCCCAAGTATGGTCACACGGCGCTCCATGAGGCTCTCAGGTACAAACAACTCGACTTGCTCCGTTACCTGATTACCCGTGGATTTGATGTCAATCAAAAGGGTCCAAACGCATATGGTGAAATATGTCTAAGCCCCCTGCACTTTGCAGCCGAGGGAAACTCCGCCGAAGCGGTGGATATTCTCCTCGACGCTGGGGCTGATGCGACCGTAGACGATTCTGCGGCAGATGGGTCGTCCATGCGCGGCGTTTTCCCGACGGGCGAGGATAAGGGGCCACATACACCGTTCATGGCTGCCGCAGTCTGGGGCTCGGACGTCGCGGTGCAGCGCTTGATTGATCGGCTGCCGCCAGGCACCATCGCGGATCACGAATGGCCCCTGGCTCTGAGTGTAGCCGCGTTGTATCGCCAGCCCAAAACTCTGGCCATCCTCCTCCGTCACTACCCTGCACCGGGGGTGCCACAAGCGATCCTGGACCGGGCTCTGGTAGAGGCTGCTGCCATGGAGGACTACAACGCCGACCTTTCGATATTCATGCCCCTGGCCACGGAATCGTGGCAAAGGGGACTCGAGACCGTCCGGCTCTTGCTCGCCCACGGGGCTCGCCCGAACTCACCATCACAACTCCCCCAGTCCATCTATCGATCCAAGAGGGTCGAGCCCGGACCGATCATCGAAGCAGTTGTTGAAACCTCCATGGGTATGGAGATGCTTCGGATGCTCCTGGACCACGGCCTGGAGCTTCCCAAGCCCCCCTCCGCCGGGAGAGAGGGAGAACCCAGCCTCTTCGCCCGCGCAGTAGACAACGGAAACCCCGATCTGATCCATTTCTTCTATGAGCATCAAGCAGCCGTGCTGGATATAAACGAGGAACTTCCAGAGACGCACCTTTGGACAGGCGGGTCCCTGCTGCATGCCGCTGCGAAGAACGGCCGTCTAGAGACGGTCCAGTTCCTGCTGGACCACGGAGCAGACCCTCTTCAGCTGAACGGACAGGGATGGCTCCCCATCCACCAAGCGTGCCAGCAACGTCATTTCGCGGTGATTGAACTACTGTGGCCGTGCAGCAGCAGCTCGCCCACCATACCCGATCTGGCCAACTACCGCACACAGGATGGAAACACCGCATTCCACCTTGCCCACTGCTGGGGCACCGCCGACGATCCAGAGGTCGAGGCGCTTAGTATACGCCTCTTTTACTTCTTCAAGGACAAAGGTGCCGATCTCAGTAGTCTGGATTCCCATGGAAAAAGCATCCTCCACTATATTCCATTCTTTAATAGGAAGCGGTTCTGCGCCATGATGGAGGCAGGTGTACAGCTGCGACCGGATTCCCAGGGCCAGACAGAGCTTCACCTCACTATGCGCAGACCGGACTGGGAACTACGTGATGTAAGATTTCTGTTAACGCAGGGTGCCACTAAGGATATCAACGCGCAGGACAACAAGGGCCGTACCCCGCTGTACTTCTACCTGGAGTGTCATCGTTATAATCCAGACCAAAAGCACACCGACCGACAAATCCGGTCGGTGGTTCTGGATTTCTTAATGGAGGCTGGGGCGGATGCAGATATCCCTGCGGCATCGGGGAAGACTGCTAGGGAGGTCGCAGAGGCCAAGGGATTTCTGTATGATTTTGATAAATGGAAAGCTACAGTGTAACTCTGCATATAAGTTTAGATTAATAAGAGCAATTTTCTATCTTTACAAATACAACTACCAGCACGTCTAATTATAATTAGTTGATTTAAGTTTTAGATTAAAAGAGGCCACGCGATACGATCAGTGACCCGATTATCCAGAAACTTATATTGCTGAGTCCAGTAGAATACTAATGTTGGTATTTGTTCACCGCGCAGCAGTACCAAGGTAGGTAGCCTTGGAAATGACTGCCCAGACATGTTGCTCTCTGCGGCGTCGTGCGCCCCGCTCCCTCACAGTCGGGGCTCGATGAATCTGAGACCTGCGAGACCTCTAACCCACCGTCAATGATATCATCACCGTTATCGGCTTTTCTTTTGCCCTCTGACTGATGCTCTTCCGCCAGCACATCCGGCAGCCAGATGATCTCGACCTTGAATGACCCGGTCTCAGACTCCTGCCCCATAAGGCCCGAGGTATACCCTTTCAAGAAGTCCGGCACTGATGGCTGGACCACAGCAGCACCGGGAAGATTCGCTCGTTTCTCAGGGAATGAAGCACAGCGGTGACATAAGACCGAATAAGGCTCGATCAGCATCTGATCACAATCAGAAGCACCCGGAAGTTTTACAGGCGGCCCCGCGGGGATGTATTGACGCGTGATCGTGGCCGAGGCATTGCGGTAGATCCCGGCGATCTTCGACAGCTCGACTGCGCGGTCGACGGGGTCGTCTTGTATGACGCAAAGGCCATCAATCCAAAGGTAGTGGATACCGAGCGATGTGGCAATCCCGCACGCATCGCGGTAGAGAAGTGGGAGGTCGGCGACGCGGCCTCCTTTGCTGTAGTGGCTGAAGGTGGACTTGGTGAGCGTCACCGGCATGGGTTGGTGGTCGTCGCGCTGGTCAGTCCAGCTGTAGCTCAGGGCAACGTAGACGGCGGGCCTGCCCGGGGTATCGATCACTTTCCAGCCAGCAGTGCGATCGTCGATAAGCACGAGTCTTCGCGGTCGCTGAATATCGTCCTTCCTTGCCGTGGTGGAAGGCAGCCCTTTCTCAGTGTGCAGGGTGGCTAGTAAATTGTGGGCAAACGCGACCAAGTCCAGATCCTCTTCGGCATTTTTCAAGACATGAGAGTTATACCTGTACAAACGAAGAGAGTCAGCAGATTTTAACAGGGTAGTCAGGATCCTGCCAACTCACCAAGCACACAAGAGAATGAGCTTGACAAAGGGCGTATAGTGCTCTGGGCTCGTTAGAGTTGCAGAGGCGACCTCCGACAGGCGGTGACATTGGGTGTGGATGCGCGAGAACTCAGGCCAGTAGCCAAACACAATATTCCTAAGCTTTCTCTTGGAGGGCCACTGTGCCAGGAGCAGTTGCACCGCCGTGTTGAATGCATGCACCTGCTCATGAGAACTGGTCAGATACTGCCGCAATGTGGATTGCACCACCCGGTGCATTTGTATCGATGAACGGGAGCCCGCGGGTGAGCAGAGTCCACTTTTTAGGGACTCGATTTGGGCCCGGTGGAAGGTCACGTTTGTGATAGGAAAGGCTCTGATAATCGGGCTGCATCGTTGCGCCTGAAGCAGGGTTGACTCGGGGGTGTCATAGGGATCTAGGTAGGAGATCACACTACACAAGCTTTTCGCTTCCGGGGAGAGTTGATCGATATTCAGACAGGCCGTCAGAAGCGTGGTTGACGCGGACTGGAGCCGATGTTGCTTGCGTAGGCGCATCAACCCGGGAAGCTCACTCAAACTTTCCATAACGCCACCTTCAAGGTCATTACGTCGGCTGAGGCGGGGTTGAGACTCGTTCTGCAGTGCTTTGCCAACCATGCGCACTGCAAGCGGGTTGCCCCCGAGCAAATGCACAAGACCAAGGTCCTGGACTTGTTCCCGAGGGAGGCCTGTGATGGCATGAACCAGTTCGCTCACCTCCTCTTCACCGAATGAATTCACGCAAGATTCAACTAGAGAACTGCTTGGAAGGAGATCAGGATCTGTGGACCGACTAGTAACAAGAATGTTGCCATGATCACAGCGTGGAATATACGCTCGTAGGTCTTCCAGATCGTCGGCATCATCAAAGATCAATAGCCAGTCCGACTTGTTTTCTTGCAGCCATGACGTAAGTCTCGCATGACTTTGCAAGTGACTGTCTTTCTTGTGACTTCCTAACAGTTCTAGGGCATCAGCGATCTCATGAAAGGACTGCGCGATACTCTGTCGATGGCTAGCCTGCACCCACATAATTGAACTGAAATGCCGGCCATGATGGTGAACGTACTCCCGGGCAATCGCCGTCTTGCCAATGCCCGGCATCCCAGTCAGAATGGCTGCTCTTTGCTTGGTAAGCATCATTGTTCGTGCTGGTGTTGTTCCTGCCTGATGGCTAAAGTATGCTCGCAGAGATTCCAGGATATCCTGCCGTCCGCAGAAATTGGGAGCTCGGTCGGGCAATCGAATCTGCAATGGTAGAGGCCGACCGGAACTTACCACGAGCGTCTCACTTGAAACCCCATTATCCCAGTTGCGGTTGCTGTAATCTTCATTTCTAGCATCATTGGCGGCATCGGGGCGCCTTTGGCCAGCAGTGTGACTGCAGCTGACCTGGGTATACGACGGCACCGGTGCTGCACGACCAATATTGACTTCCTCGCCTGTTTCAACTGCAGATGGATCCGCTAATTTTCCGATGAAGCTCGACGACTGCAATGTGTTGGTAGGTGGGGGTTCTACGGACTGGTGTGTGTTGCGCATTCACCACTCGATGGGTAAGGCACCGCCTGTGTGATCCCTTCAGGGTTGTCAAGTGAAGGGTGCACATGCAGTCCCTCTGGATGTGCGACAACACTTGCATGTTCAGTAAACAAGCACTCCTGCATTGGATCTACGGAGAGGACATGCGAATTTTCCGCCGATGGAGATATATCCTCCTCGTTTCTACCGCACCTCCCGGCATCTTCATCCGCGATCTTGGGACGAGGCTCCCACTCATTCGCAGCAATCATGTCGAGCTTGCGACGAGATGTGGAGCAGACGCGAATGGAAGGTTATCTCTTCGAACCGGTCCGAGATGGCTTTGAGGCAGCAGAGTGCTTGTTGACTGCATATTCCCAGTGGAGCTTAACTTGGGGAGAGCAGGAGGAACTTTTGGACGAGGGTTGACCATTCCTCGCGGTTGCCATGTTTGAGCGTCGGGTCACCGATCATGATCAGTGTTTCGAGACACTCGAATAGCGCCGATTCCCCATCATGATGTCGTTTGGGGTGTGCCTCGATGATGGCCTACCTCTCAATTGTTTATCGCATCAGTAAGGTGTCAAACACGGGTTGGATCGATGGAGGAACGAATGAACGTACCTTCTTGAAAATAAAAGCACCCAGCCGATAACCTATTGTGATAAGGTCACAGTCGGGCGACTAGGTCCACCAAATAATTGGTCTTGAGTATTAGAAAAGCCTTGTGCCGTCAGCAGAGGGAGAAAGGTCATACCTTGACTCGATCCTTGCAAAGTGCGACGAGCTCATGGTACAGCTCTTTGCCAGCCTCGCAGACCAATTCCCAAGACTGAACAGACTGGACTTTGGACAATATTTCCCCAATCGAGAAGGCGTCTCATCTACGCGGAGCGACAACGACTTTATCTACTCGTACTCTCTTGCCAGTGCTGGGAGGGCAGAGCCCCGGGTATATAACGACATTTCTCACTTTCAGGGCACTGGACAAGATCAACAGGCTGAACTCGCCTTCCTCACCGGATATCCTTCCCCGCAGTGGCTGAATGCGGTGGTGATGCGCTACGGAATTGATCATCGATTCCTACACAGGCATCTCGACTTCTTGCCGACCGGGCAGAGAGACTGGTACGCTTGTCCCCAGTATACCCTCCCGATCCCAGCAGTTCATCCAGCTCGTGGTGCCATGTATCGTGTTCACTGGGCATGAGGGCCGGTTCATTCCGGCGGACGATCTACAGCAGGCTCGCTTCGCATGTGCGGAGCTCCTGCGACAAAGGTCCAAGAGCTTCTTCGGGCGCACAGAGACTCCCGCGGGTCAGACGATTGTGCGCGGGGTCAATATTCATAGTGGCGAGGCGATGGTGCTGGAGCATGCCATTACCGTTTGTGTGCAGACAAACGGCGAAGCATCGAAGAGTAAGGGAGCACACTGCTCATGTATTGTGCGTGTTTCGAAAGTAGAAAAGACGGAAGCTTATACATGGTGTCAAACTCCCAGTCCTTGTATGGAGCGATGCAGCTAGCGATGATATTTCCAACTATATGCCGATCCCCGCCGTGAACGGTTTCCGGAACTGGCCAGTGCTCTCGAGTGCTGTCCGGTGTTCTTCGAGAAGCACCTCGACCCTCCGCCCCGGCAATCGCGAAGCAAGGCCTCTCGCCGTCCTGGGGGTAGCGTGCAAGCCTTGTCGGTCTTAGCCAGTGACTACGGACACACTCTTGAGCGGAGTGCCGTGCAGCAGGACCCTGTTCTCGCGCTGGAAGAGTTGTTCACCTTCCATTCCGCCGCGGCAATGCAGTACCTGAACATGCTGCGCAAAGACATCATGCAGGCCACACATCGCACCCAGACCAAAGACGTGGCGTCATTGAACATGGAAGAGATCTCGAATACACGAAGAATGTCCTGGTCCGATGGGCTGCGCACTTCTGCGCACTGGGCCAGGCGCTGGACCCCAACTGTCCCGGAAACCCCCTCGGAGCTCCACGAACCCATCAGATATTCCCTTCACGGGAAAGAATGTTGACCCTGAAACGGCGTGACCTGGACTTCCTCGTCGCAGAGGCTCAAGTATTGATTGAGCTGTGTGACAGCGGAAAGGCGACGATCATGGGCAACTTCTCCATCGCGGAATCCAAGCGCACGGCGGAGGACTCGCGGCTGGTCGGCGAGTTAACTAAGCTGACCAACCGCTTGACCTTCATCTTCCTCCCAATTTCTTTCGTGACTTCAGTGTTCGGGATGAACTTCAAGCAGTTTGGACAGGGGCCCCCTGGATATTTGGATCTAGGTGGCCATCACGGTGCCCTTACTGGTTATGTGTGTGATTCTCGTGGAATGGAGGATCTCGGCGCGAGCCCTGGTCGAGAAGGGATGGGCCAGATTACGCCGCCTCGACCCTTAGGAGGTGTCTGAATAACATTATCTCCGGGATGTAAGGTAATCAAGGTCTGCGAGGGTGGGGGTTGGGCTTGACTGTGCTACCTTGGGGAATTGTTGCGGTATTGGGCATTTTGATTACTTGTAGATATCTGCGGGCGTAGAAAGCTAGTGTTTACCTTAGCCCTAACTACCAACTTCCCTCTCACGCATTCGAAAGTCTCTGTAGGATCATTCATCACTGCAGACCCTATCGGCTGCTGTATTTCAATAACGCAAAGCTGTACTTTGATAAATACTCTGTCATCAAACAGCAACATAATGTCATTTTCCGTCCTCACAAGTGATGATTACGTATAGGTTCACCCTGTCGAACTCGAAAATAAAATCAATACAGAAGCCTAGTCCCAGCCACCACTTCCTTTCTATACTCTTCAACTCTGCCATGTGTACGTCCATAAGGATATCACAAAGCAGGGACTTTCATCCTCCCCTGACTTTCATCCTTCACCATGTCCTCTCAGTCTTACAACTCGCATTGGTTCTTGACAACCTTGGTAGCTATGCTGGGGTACCTATTTCCCTGGGGTTGTGGACGAAGATTCGATCCCTGATCAACAACGGTAACCGTCCAACCCTACGACGAAGCGGAACACAATACAGACAGAGGCATATGCAAGGCTAACCTCGGAGCAAAACCCACATGTGTACGTCTCTCGGCCGTGTGCGCTATCTACGACCAGAACGACCATCAATAACAAGGTTTCGCCGGCATACTTGCAAAAGAGGACTCGAGGAGGGTAGTGGCTCCTCACATGTCAACAATACAGTACCTAGTCATGAAGCAAGGGAGCTAATGGCGGGGGTGCATGAACCTCCTCAATTTCGGTAACTAGCTTATCTTGTCGTCATTCTCCCCACCTACAATCACCATACCGTCCTCCCATCCTGTCAAGCCCTTGACGCAGCGACCATGACTATGGTAGGCATCAATCGTCCCGGACTCCGGTCCAGGACTTCTGAATCGTTTCCTGTAACCCTCCTAGTAACCTGAAAATCTGGAGACTTAATACCCGAGGGAACCAACTGGGTGGCGAGTGTGCGTGTGGACCTTTTTAACTGCGAGTGTATCTTCTGCTCGACAGACAAACTCATAGTCCGCTTGTGTCAGTGTCATGGCCGGATGAGAAGGTTCATAATAGATGCCCGGGCAGCACACAGTGCTTCCGACCCTTTCTCATGGACATTCCTGGCGGGTAAGACTTCAATTCCCTCCAAGGGTATGGTATCGGGCTGAGAGCTATTCCCACCGAGTTCGGGTCCCCCATTGTCTTCATCATCTGGCGCCCCATACCCGGCAATGATCTCATAGGCTATGAAATGAGTGGTGGCACGACTTGGATCAATTACTAGCTTGGGGACTAGATCTCGAAATATCCCCTTACCCCAGCGCATCGGGGGGAGATGGGTCCTTCCATGGTGGCGATTTCCAAAGGGGTATCCTTAATGTGGTGATTGACTGTGAGTCGGCTCGTCTCTTGATTCTTGCCGCTCAATGGAAGTCTAGTTCGAGAGTGGAATGGGCACTCCGGAGAGGACCATTTTCGACGGCTATGAAAAGCTGCTACTCCTGTCTTCGGCACTGACGGGATTAGGGCTCGCTCACGGAACGGACCCACTCTCTCTTCCCCGTCCCGAAGAACATGAGTCAACTTTGTGGATGTTGATCAAGCCAGCAAAAGCAATAACTAAAAAAATATGGAGCTGCGGGGAATCGAACCCCGGACCTCTCCCATGCTAAGGGAATATTATACCACTAAACCACAGCCCCAATTGATGTTGGACTATCGCGCCAAAGTGTCTGGCAAACGCCTCGTGACGGTCAACGACAACTGCCATCTTCCGGTCCACCGATTTTAGCTCGATGTTGTCGATCTTGATGGTGGGATGTATGTACTGTAGATTGGCAGATAGTGACATGGAGAAAGGAAGGGATCAAATACAAAAACTTTCTTCTTCTGGAGCTTCATCATCACAAACCAAACAGAAGTGCTTCTGTAAGGCAATTTGCTAGACCTCCGCCGCACGCTTATATATTATACAACTGGGGTCTGGCCTTATCGTTCGGTCTTCTCAACAAAAACAACAACAATTAACAAACACAATACGAATAGAAATGAACCAATAAACTAAGTCTCCAATGAGCACAGATACAGATTGACTCAAATTGAACTTGCTACAATACCCACAATGATTTCAACGTTATTCTTTTACAGGGCGTCACTGTGTGTCCAAAATATCAGCATACGAAAGCTCTTGGTGGACCCCGAAACCCTGACGCTAAAGTCCGTAGTTCAACCCACCATCCATGGTTCTGCCCAGTGTCAGGGGATCGGCTGCCTGTTCCTGAAAAGCCACCAACTGAATTAGAATAACAACAATCGAGTATATCTTCCCCAATATCATAGATCCGAAATTTCTCCCTCACACATTCCTCATCCACGCACGTCCTCGGCAACAATGTCAATAAGGATGGTTTTCCACCGCCTCAAAAAGGCCTATAGAGCCCTCTCCGCCGTCATTCTCGCCTCCTGGATAGTTCATGTGTTCAGTCTCGTGGTAGTCGCCAACTCCAGCCCCGGCATCACGCCCAACATCGTCGACCACCTCGCCTCGGCCAGTCTCTTCATCTTTCTTGTGTGCCGCTCGATTGTCCACTTCCGCCTAACTACATCCACCCGAATAATTCCCACCCTACCACCACCACCACCACCACTACCGCCGAAATCATCGCCTGGATCGTCAACTCCCTCCAGAGCCCCCAAAACCAACACTCCCACAAATCCGCCGTTCTGTTCCTGATTTGCAGCGTACTATGGCTTCGCGACCTCCTCTCTGCCTGCGTCCTCCTCTGCATGCTCACCATGTTCTCCATTATGCTATTCATGTTGGTCGTCCTTGGCCTGGATTTGGCCATGACCACCACCCTTGACGCCCGTGCATTGGGGCTCCGCGCCTGGACCGCGTTCCCGCCTACCGGGAGGGAGGATCTGGCCGACCAGTGGACGCCCGAGATGGCGCGGATTATGGCATTCATCTACGAAGAGATGGATAAGGGGGGGATTAACCCGGACACGGCGGACCAGTGGATGGTCACGTGGTGGTTCAAGGTCCTACTGGGTCTGGCGTGGCTCAACTTGCTTGGGTTGGGGTGGTATGTGTTGAGCGGGCGGGGAAGGCTCTATGGCGGGTGTTGGTGGGTGCTCCGTCCGTCAAGCAGGTTGCTCCTCGGGAGCTGGTGGTGAAGGATGAAGAGAAAGGGGTCTCTGGAGTGAGAAAGTTGAAGGGACCGGAAGGCAGGGAGGAAAGCAGGAGGTGGAGGCGTTGAGGTTTCGGGGGGAGGGGAGGTCAGAGTAGTCTGTGTGATCCCAGGAGTGGTTCTGGTTTGGTGGCTGCGCGATGTGCTCTTCTTTCGGTGACGCTGTTCACAGAAAGGGTTCTGGAGGAGGGCAATTTGCTCGTTTATCTTTGGTGTTGAGGAGGTCTCTTTTTTTTGGTGTCGCAAGGTAGACTGACGCCCAGTCCAAATAAACCATGCTTTGGTTGTTGGATACCCGATCACATTCTGATTTCCTAGTTTTATTTGTTTTGTGCTTTCAAATCTGAGACTTGATCTCTGGGGCTTTTTTTCAATCCTCCTTTTGGCTCCTATTTTTCGTTTCTTTTCTTTTTCTTTTTAACTAAAACCAAAACTGGGGTAACCTTCTTGGGAAAGCAAGGGAACTGTCGCTAAGATAAGGACACAGCCATTGTTGTCCTACACCGGGTAGGGCTGGACCAGAGCTGTTGGCTATGGCCTCTCACAGAGTACCATAAGGTGCACATTGTATTAGATCTTCTATTCGCGCTACTCCATTTCAAGCACAATGTTTCGGAAGGTGCAACCAGATCGCACTCTGGCGTGAGCCTGACAAATCAACCTGCCATGCTTAGCGATCAGCATCCTTTCGTGATTAATCACCATCAACAATACGATATAGCATTACCAATGCCAGAGCCCGGCAGATCACGGCGCATATATAGATTACCTCATTCATCGTATGTATACAAGATTCATCCTCGCACTTCAGTATTTTTTCAGTATCCATCCCGCTACGCCCCTCAATCCAAAATAATGGCATCCTTAATCAACCAAGCTGCATGGCAACCCAAGGCCCGAACAAGATCCCTCCAGGTCGGCCCGGGACCAACTCCCAGCCCTAATGAGCATGAGATTGTCATCAAAGTAGCCTATGCGGCGGTCAATCCGACCGATTGGAAGGTGAGCAAAACGCCCTTGAAAGAAGATAGGTGTTTTCACAGGCCAGCAATACTGAAGCGAGTTTGACTATGCAGATGCAAGACACACCATACTTTGAGCTCGAGTATCCATTTATCTGGGGCACTGATGTTGCAGGGACCATTGTGCAGCTTGGCTCCGAGGTGACGCAATTCAAAGTCGGGCAGAGAGTAATCGGGTGGGTTCAACCTAACGCTCTCTTCTTGAACTCAAACATAGAGAGCAGTGAATGAATACTAAACCAATCGAAAAAAGGCACTGTGACTCGTTACTCACGCGCAAAGTCACAAACGCGGGCTTCCAGCTTTACACCACCGTCCGCGAGATTCTCGTCGCCGAAATCCCGGACTCCCTGCCGCTAGCCAATGCGGCCGTGCTGCCTCTGTCAGTGTCCACCGCCGCCAGTGCTCTCTACGTGCAGCTGGACCTTCCTTTCCCTTCTCTAAGTCCTAAGAGTACGGGTAAGCGCATTGTGATCTGGGGTGGCAGTTCATCGGTTGGAAGTTCGGCTATTCAACTGGCGGTCGCATCGGGACTCGAAGTGGTGGCGACTGCTAGTCAGGCCAACCACGATCTTGTCCGGAGTCTCGGCGCCTCGCAGGTCTTCGATCATCGGGCGCCCAGCGTGATTGACCAGATGGCGAGTGTCTTGCAACCAGGTGATTATGTTGTGGATTGCATCGGAAGTCCAGACACTCAGGCGAAATGTGGTGAGCTCGTGGGTAGGATAGGCGGAGGAACGCTCCCGGTGATGTTATGGCCGCAGGGTGGGCTGCCGCAGAACGTGAGGGCAGTCTTTGGTGAGTCTGATAATTTTCTATTTGCATCATCAAAACCAGTATGTATGCTAACGGATATTCTGCAAGTGAACGGTCTGGATCCGGGAATGGTGAATCTGGACGTGGGCAATGCAGTGTGGCGAAAGTTCATTCCTGAAGCCTTGGCAGCGGGGAAGTTCCAGGCAAAGCCGGATCCTCGTATCGTGCCTGGTGGGCTGGAGAAGGTTCAAGAAGGAATCGATATGTTGCGCCAGGGGGTGTCGGCTCAGAAGATCGTGATTGAGATCTCCCGGAGTGAATAGATCTGCCATGCCGTTGTGACGTTTGTATTGCCTAGAATAGATCCTGAGTATTGTCAATACTCCTGAGAAGTCAAAAGAAGCAGCGCATGCATCCGTTGACAGCAACAGCTAGCTAGACATGTGTAGCGGACTGGAGCATAAGAAATAGGTTCCAGTCAATATTGGCGATATACAGCCGTTCCGGTTCCGGCGGCACGGGCGCTCTCCCACTCCGAGAATCAGACGGGTGGAAGGTAATCCGGCGGCCCGAGCCGGCTAGGGTACGGAAGCCCATTGCGGCTACTCGGAAGACGGCACATTCTCCCATTAGTTGATTGAAAATCCTATCAAGGTCCTCACAGTATACTGTTCTGCTTGATTCAGTTCCATTCTTTGTCCTCTTATGCAATATGGGAGCCTTCCCTAAACAAACCTTTATCTGCGATACCATGTAGGGAAGATTTCTCTCAGCTCGCCATTTGCCTTTGTCCTCAACTAGAAAAAAAAGCATACTTGTTTACTTCCAAGAGCAGATATAAAATGAGCCACCAGCTGCTAATCCCGGACAAGACTTTCATAATCCATGTATACCATCCTCCATTGTTCTCTCGACCCCTTCAGACCCAGATAGTCCAATCACGTCGAAACCCTCCATAACAATGGCACAGCCTGAGGACAATACCGACCATACCCCCATGTTCACCGAGGTGGAGGATTTGCCCGGCTTAGATGTATGCTCGATTGCAATCCTACGTCTCGAGAATGTGGATTATCCCGAGCTGATCGCCGACGAGTGGGCGCTGGCCCTGCAGATCTTGCAGAATGTCTGGCGGGACCGCCGTCTCAAATCCCCAGCGCTTAGCAGCAGGCAGCTGGGTGGCGTTCTCGTTGCCAGGGGGTGTATACGCATGTTCATCGAGGGCCCCCTGGAAACTGGGGACTGTGGCCAGCCGCTGTGCTGGGAGTACAAGGGTGTAGATAAGTTTGTTGAAATGCATCTGGAACAGAATTATCAGGATTTCCAGGCTGCCTTTGAAGCATTCTTCGATGATTTGGGGGATGAGACCGAGGTTGAGGTCGAGGCCGAGGCTGGGAGTTGAGATTCGACGAGTCTCTTATGGGAAGGGTACTGGTTCTGGACAATTATTCTTCACCTGTTTAACTCTTCACCGCAAGCGATGATAAAATACTGCAATAAAAATGATCCAAAAGGCCATTTACGACCAAACGGTTGATGAAGGGCTTTATTTTAGCAATAAGTAGAACCAAGCTATCTCAAACCAAGCAACCAACGCCTGCTTTGTTATGCAAACCAAGTGCAGCCTTCCAGAGAGCAACAGCAGTGACCGTCTGTCGTACAGCGCTATCACTTTCTTCTTCTTCCTCCTCCTCACACCGCTAATTGGATTCAATCCAGCTATTGCTGGAACACAACTATCACACGGCCCCATTCATCGACAACAGCCTCAACAGCTGTCAGTCCATACCAAGTGGCCTGGGTCTGGGCCCCGGTGGCGCAGGCGGCTTCGCAGAGGAAGTATCTAAGCAGCTCGCTTGTTAGCACCCACATATTCTTTACGTCCTTGGGGTCTTGCATTGTGAGAGGTGCAAACTACTTACTGGGGGGAAATCATCAGCAGCAAACTGAGGGCAACCTCTATCAATATGCTCACGGTAAACAGCCAAGTAACAAACAGACTGATCGTGCCTGACCGATCGGAGTTGCTGGGTTGTGACATTTTGAATGTACGGTTGTTGCAAGAATAGGAAATGTGTTGGAAGATGAGATGTTCTGTTTGCTGATAGCGTATACTCAAGCGGCGACGCCTTGTGAGGATGGTTGAAGGAAGAAAAGATGGTGGTGTGCTGAAAAAGTCTTTCCTGACTCACTATGTCAAGATGATAATAATCATGACGGGCGTCAGCGGAAACCAATTCCTGTCGTTCGGGCTAGTAGTAATACACCGTATCAGCTGAGGTTCTGCAACATGAAGTCGTCATTACCGGCATTTCGATTACTAGGCATCGTCAAGAAGATATTAGCCCTCAAGGATTGTATGAGGTATTGAGAATGCAGTAGAGACCCCCGGCCATGTCATGCCGGATTAGCCCGGGTTTATCTTAAGACTATCGCGTTTCGCAAGTATAATATAGCTTCCTGCGAATCGTATGCTACTTATGCCCACCGGCAAATATAGTTCACCCGAAAGAGTTATAATTTTCAATCATCGAGTGTGTAAAGTATATATCACTCTCCTCATCTCTATTCACCACCCCGTCCATGAGCAAGTTGTCAGCGTCGCTTATCCGGCCACGTGATTCCAAAGGCCTTTTCCCACTTGTTTACGTGCGGGAACGTAGCTATAGTAGTTACAACAACCAACCCAACCACCAAGAAAATCAAGAGAACACGTTCCAGAGCCTACCCTTAGACTTCAATATCGCCGATAAAAGTGCTCAAGTCATTCCCGTCCACTTAGTCTTCATTCAGAATGGGAGAGAACTGGGATCTAGTACTGTCGTGCTAATATCTCATGTCCCCAGGCTCTGGAATTGTTCTCTTTGATTCGGGCTAGTTGGCCACATCTTCTTACCCTATATGAGCACAGCAAAACGAACTGTCAACAACCACTAACAAGAGGATCAGATCTTGGGATACCGATATAATCGCTAAGCCTTTGACAAGGCATCCGGGCCCACACGTTGGGCCTCGGCATGAAGCCTCTTTAAAAAGGACCAACCATCTATAATCCTTGTATATACAGGAATGATCACATCTCTACTACCCCATATAAAGCCCTCCAGCCTATTTATAGAAGGGTGTTGTATATCATATCTCTCAACCAAAGACGAATTGCGATGACAACCCCGACTCACCAGTTGTTATGCTTCGAACAAAGGCCTTTGTGCTTAACCTAAGTCTCCTTCAGTCCCCGGCAAATGCCATAGAAGGCCCGAACAAAGAACACTCTTAACCCCCAAAGCAGAACTATATAAATCAAGACCAATGGCTCTCGATTAACTAAAACCACCAAATACTCAACTCCACTGACCCCTTATACTTCGTTCCATGCACATCCGAATACTTCGAACACGAACACGAACACGCGCCAAGATGCTCAACATCCCGGACACATTCACCCAGTTCACCGAGCTAGGCGAGGTAGACATCGGCACCCTGCACGGCGACCATGTTACCGTCGTGGTGATCCACATCAAGGACCCTAGGCTTCTTAGGGACGATTGGGCGCCTGCCACCCAGATCCTCGAGGATCAATGGCAGGGTAAGCGGCAGCGGCAGCAGCAGCGGCAGCAGCAGTATCCGCAACCCCACGGGAAGCCGCTGGGTGGAATTCTATCGACCAGGGATTCCTGTCGCTTCTACACCGAGTCCCCGGCTCAGGACGGCCCGCCGCAGCGCTTGGAGTACAAGGATCGCAGCGAGTTTGCGCCCCTCGCGGATGATGCTGACCCGGAGGTGTTTTTAGCCTTTCTGCGGACCTGCTTGGATGGGTCTCCGGCCTCGGGCCTTGGACTTGATGTGTCGAAAGGAGAGATGGATGAGGTAGTCACGCGGGAGCCTGGGGAGCTATAGTCATCGTAGCTCCTTGGCCACGTACTTTTTCGAGGGTTATATCTAGCAGCGTTGCTAATCCGGCCACGTGACTCCAAAGGTCTTTTCCTTCTGTTTATATGCGGGAACGTAGCTAGTTCAACCAACCAACCAACCAACCAACCACCAAGAAAATCAAGGATAAGTTCCAGTACCTCTCCTCAAAAGCCTCAAAATAGTCGTCAATATCTTTTGAAAGCATCATAAGGAAGAATTAAAAGCAGCACTAAATCCTTCATAATGGATGCCAAAGTTATCCCCTAAATGTGGAGGATATATACGTTGTGCAGCAATTTTGCTATAGAATAGCCTTGACTTCTGATTCGCTGAGTGATTCATGTATCTACCTACCAGGCATGGTGGAACGCAGACGGGGGTAAACGTCGCGTGCCATCCTTCCCCCACGGAGGCGGGTGTGACACAATGGCTTGCAGTTAGTGCATATGGCGGCATGGAAAGTAAGACGCCGATGTGGTAAAGCGACTCAGATCCTGCTCATCAGACATTGTCATTGTCATTGGTGCTTGCCCTACAAGCCGTGGCATAAAGAGAAGCCGATTGCAATCGTCATGCCGCCCGTCAAGGCTCTGGAGGCAGCTCGGGCAACAAACATACTTTGAAATTATTATTTCCTTAGTCTTCGCCTATAAAAGATCAGAAAAGAGGTTAGGTACTAGTAGAGAAAAGATTGATTTCTATCCAGCTGTATAGTCATAAATTTCATTGATACTAGGCCAAAATAATCTTCTCCTGCTTTACCTACTCAGCAAAATAATCGCCCGACGTCGGGCCTCAGCCTAAAGCCTCTTGAGAGAAGGCCAAGCATACATGATCCTTTGTTTCACACATCATCGGTCTTTACTGGGCGAAATCAACTCTCGCATAAGCAGGCATCTCTCAATAGGGCTTTAAGCACCAATTCCCATTCGCTCGAGACGGCTTATAGTGAGCATGAACGGCCGAAAGAGCTGTATAGTCTTAACAAAGCCCTTTATCCGCAGCGCGTTGCTTAAGATCTCTTTTCAACTCGCGAGTACAATATCTGTCCCAACAAAGGACAAAAAAAATCACAGGGACCCTCCAAGCGATACCCCGCACAGCATAAATAGGACCCATCGTCTCCCCCGATTTGCGGCATCATCAACTCACCAAGCCCACGCGACTCGATACTCCATCTCGTGCACATCCCCCCCCCCAAAAAAAGGCAAGAACATCGATTCCAAAGACCTCCCAAAATGTTCATCGTCCCAGGCACAAACGGCCAGTGGCGGTCGACAGACTGCTCCAAGCAGCTTACGCAATTTGGGGAGGTAGAGTTCGCAGCCGCATACACCGATATGCGCTGTGGGGTGTTCATTGAGCTTAAGGACCCCAGGCCTCTCACCCAAGATTGGGCGACGGCCGTACAGATCCTCCAGGATCAATGGCAGAGTTTCTGTAAGCGTCCCGAATACCGTGATCAGCTACTGTTCGGAGTTCTCGGCACTGAGGATATTTGTCGCTTGTAAATCGAGCCCTTGTATGAGAGCGACCCGCCGGTGCTCTTCAAATATAAGGGTCGAAGCGAGTTCGGGAAGGTGAAGGACGATGACGTCGAGGCGTTGAATGCTTTCGGTCTCAAGTTTCAGATTGGGCTTGAGACCTACCGCTTTGGGGTTTAGATCGTGTCCTAAAACGGGAGGTTGGTTGAGGTTCTGAGCCGGGGCTAGTAGTGAGCTGTAGTATTCAATGCAGTGCTATTCATTCCAATTCAAGCTCTCTTCGAGTTCTTTCAACCTAAAGCGCCCGTCGGTCTCAGCCCGTCCATTGCGGCTAGCTACGTAGGGGCTTCTGTGGTGAGCTGTTGTAACAGTGCCTCGTGTTTCCATATGTCCTAGAGACGTTTGTCTTGACAAAAACCACCGAAAGAGGAATATTACAAGTATGAGCAGACTTTTATAAGAAATGTAACAATTGGTCTACTACTTGGCACGATACATGCATGAAAGGACATATTCCAGTAATAGCTTATACCATTAGTGGAAAAGAGCAGAACACTAGCCTTAGTAGTACCTGTATTTGAGACAGAATATCCACAAGATCTGCAGCACATCGTAGGATTTTAAAATTATAAGTATCTGGCGAAATTGGGTTGATTTCCGCTGCTCTACTTGATATTTACAGTATCAGATCTAAGCCAACGAACCTAATGTTGACTCTGTATTAAGCTATCAAAACCTTACCCAGTACGTTTCCTAATAGGTACTATAATAAAGGACTGAAATAAAGAGAGCCTTACGTCGTAAGATTTTTTTAATTTTGGAGCCCTTCCTGGTAAATCGGTAGAATAAGCATTTGAAGTCGCAAAAGCATGCAGAAAAAAAATTATAGCTTTCTAGCAAGATTTGTAGAAATCTTCTTGTTCTTTAGTTTGGGTAGCCGTAGCCGTACTTGACATGTTAAACAAATTTGAACCAGGGCATAAAGCAGGAAGTGGTAGTCGGTAGTGGGGAACATTGACCCGTCGTGGCAGCCACTGCGTCGTGGCAGCCACTGTAAATGTCTCAGGGAATAGATTAAAGGGAATTAAGATCTTGATCAGGGTATGATGAGGCGGGGTACGCTCATGGTTTCCTACCTTGCGTTAAGATTCTATCATCTCTCTAAAAGAGATCTTAAGAAACGTGGAATAGCCTATGCGCACGGATAGAGTACCAAAGGGTAGCTGGCTTTGAAGCCATGTGCAATGCTGATAAAACTCAGGGGCTGCTGCACAGACAAGCCAACATGATCTGGTATTAGCAGAGGAAGCAAAATACGTTGTCTGCAAATAGGTTCATATTGAAAGGTACATAGAACAGTAAGGGTGCACTGAGAACGTACCACCTTTTGCCTCTCCTACATACCCAAAAAAAGATTCCTACTGCCATTCAAAGTAAGGGCAAGAGCAGCGGTGGGCAAGATGACCTAATTTGTGAACTCAGATAACGATGACCCACACGCTGGACAGCCCCTTGTTGAAATGTACAGGGGCGAGTGAATAGAGGACTCTTTTGACAACCTTTACTGTTCTACCGAAACGAGGGTTCCATTACTCTCTCCAGCAGGCCTAGATCTGGCGCCATGATAGCCCTGGCGCCATGATGGAGCCGAAATTAAAGGAGCTACATGATACGGTGCTATAAGATTGTAGGTGGGGTTCTTGGTGGGAAATCTCACCCAAAATCTCTCCGGCAGAATTGAGTCAATCGAATTCTCCAATCTCAACTCCCTTGTGAGAATCCCTGATATTAGTAGTGAGATGATTGTTCATATGATATCAAGATTGCTTAGAACAGAAAGCGGTAGGTGGCAGTCAAAGACGGTATGAGCAGTGTCGAACAATCCAGTTCCAATTCTTGGGCATATGATATCACTAGGTTGGGTAAGCTGTTCCTGAGAATTATACTCAGAGAGGGGCCTTATATTGGAACTGTTCCTGAAGCTAGCTTACAGAGTTTCAGGTGAAGATGAAAGCTCGCCGTTGAAGAGAGCCTTATACGTCAATATGCTGCCCTTCACTCAAGCCAGGAAGATTGAAGACTTTGCGCGGATCTTTCACATCGACCCATCCAAACAACGGGTCGCTTGCACTAAAACCGAGACGCTTCTGCATGCGGGGTGAGAACACCCGCACTCGGTCGACAGGGACGCTAAGGTAGATATTCTCCTCCTGAACCAGAAAGAGACAAGTAGTTAGCGAAAAGATTGCTTTGACTTGCGGATAAGAGGAGTATATCAAGGTTAAGCATACCTGGCGACGAGTTGATTGGGTCATGAACGTGCTATACAAGATCCGCTCCTCAGCCTGACTGACGTTTGCAGACGCCCCGTGATAGCAGCTTCCGAGCATCAGGAAAACGTCACCGCGGTTCATCTCCACCGGGACGGTTTGGCTCTCGTCTGGGGGGTCGAGCGTGGATTGAAGATGTGAACCGGGGATAAAGCGGGTGGCCCCGTTCTCGCGGGTCGTGCGCGTGTCAGCCACGAACATGCCCAAAACCGTGTCTCTGCCGATTGGATAGTCCTCTGGTGCTATTGCCGGCAGCTTATTGTGCTGCCCCATGCATTCGCGGTGCAAACTCTGGGTTTCGTTGCCCGGCAGCGTCGAGAAGGCCAGGGCCGAGTTGAAGACTGGGTGTGGGGAGTAGGTGTATTGTTCATTGCCGTACCAGCCTCGATGGTGCGAGGTCAGAAAATGATCGCATATATCCTGGAAAACCTGGTTCCCGAATATCTTTTCCACAAAAGCGATGGACTTGTTGGGTAGTCGTGTGACGATCCGTGTCTTGCTGGAGAAGAACCCAGGTTCAACAAGAGCATCAAAATAGGGCTTGATGTCCGCCCCGACTTCCTGAAGAATCTCTTCAGAGATGAGGTTCTGGACAACAACACCCCCATGGTGCTTCAGATAGTGAATGATATCATCGATCGATACGGTGTTTGCGTCCAGGTGATGGAGCGCAGCTTTGACCTGCGGTGTCGCCCCGTTTAGGGACTGTGTGAGGGCAGGCGCCATAGGCCAAAAGGTAAACAATTGCCACACTTGGTTGACTTCAATTGCAAGGACTGGAGGATAGCTAAAATTCAAAGGGTAGGGAATGTAGCCGTTCAATTGCTATTTTTGAGGAGCCGGTAATAAAGGTTTATGATATTGGGGCCAAGTTGGACAATGCGGTGTGGTAAATATGGGCATGTGCAGGCTCATTCCCCTTGACGTCCCCCCTGACGTCCACCACAATGACTTTCACCTAAAATCCCTCACCGGCCCGGACTCCTTACATCCGATTTAAGTTCTAGGGATACAATCTACCCAAAATTCTTGATGTCACAGGAGAAACATTCTTGATCATGACGCACAATCCTAAGGCTCACTCAATCTCCTTTTTAAGCTGATCATTGTCCACCGCATTTATGATTTCCTCAGAAACTCTCCAGCCATCGGCCCTGTTCCTATCTTCGATACGCCATCGTCGGAATCGGCGGTAGGACATGAAATGAGAATGCAGATCATTACAATCTTTGGTGCCACTGGTGAGTTGGTCACGAGCTACTGACGTCCAGCCTCAGCTTACAATTGGATCGTACCACCAAGGGAATCAAGGGAGCTCTGTCGCCCGATCACTGCTCCGAAATCGATCTTTTGAGGTTCGGTGTATCACACGGAATGCGGAGAGTAAGAAGGCCCAGTTGTTGAAGGCGCAAGGGGCCGTCATTGTCGAGGCCGATGGTTACGACACCAGCCAGATACAACAGGCATTCTCGGGTAGCTGGGGTGCCTTTGTGAACACGAACGGAGACGATCCGGTAAGGGTTCCTCGTGCCACAGATAAAGACAGCAGCTCATGACGCCTGCTTCTAGTCACTTGCTTCAGAAAATAGGACCGATCGGGACCTGGGGTTGAGTATCATTCGAGGTGCGGCAGCAGCTGGCGTCAAGCATTTGGTCTACAGCTCTGGACCCTGGGCTGCCAAGCTGAGTGGTGGCGCGTGTAGTGTTCCCTCAAATGACGGTACGTGTCATGGCACACAGGTGCTATCTTTCAGGTCCTGGTTGGTCAGACTGACGGGTCCGGGGGACGTACAGCAAAAGCCGAGGTCCAGCATGTTGCCCAAGGCCTCGGGTTTGAGACCGTTACCCCCATAATGCCCGGCTGGTTCTTCGAAACTTTTCTAGAGCCCCAGATGGCTGCCATCTTTGGAGGCTTTCCTGTCACACCAGACGAGGAGGGCTGGCTGACCTGTCGGGCACCATTATGGGGCGGCCGAGAGCACGTACCCTTCCTGAGCGTCGACAATGACTTTGGCGACATCGTCCATGGGGTGTTTCTCAATCCAGTCCGGTGGAACTTGCGCCCCATTCAGGCTATCAGTGACTTCTTGTCATTCGCGGATTTTGTGAATACCTACGTTTCGCGTGCGTGTATCCCCAACTTCTTTCCCCCGGTCTCTCTAATGTGTAAATGATTGAGGACTAATCAACAACGGAATCCCTACAGTGACTGGGAAGAAGGCTCGTTTCGTTGCCCTTTCATCTCCCATGGAGATGGAAACAATGGGACACCCCTTGCTAGAGAGTATCCGTGGCTTCTTCATCTTTTCACAATTGCGAGATGGGGAATACTTCGGTACCGGCCCGACAGAGAAAGAAACTGCGACGGCCTTGAAACAGGCCGCCCACAGAGCACAAGCCAATGACAGAAAGGGGGAACAGGCTGCGCTGACCAGTGCTCGGGACTTTTTGCAGGCTCGCTTTGGTAACAGTAAGTGATATAAGTTAACTTACCTGGCATGAGGAATCAGTTGCATCAACATTGGCATGATGATTCGAGGATGAGCCTCGCAGAACTGGCCGAGGCTGGGACAGAGGTAGACTGGGAAGGGCTTGACACGGAATGGTATCATACAGCCACGGATGCTCGACTTGAGGTGTCCAGAACATCACAATCTGTTCCTACTTTGGCCTGTGGATATAAAGGAGGCCGTTACTCGTTTGCTATTGGAGATCTTCAAAGCTATTCGAATCTATCAACAACCCTACTATACTGGTATATCTAGATAATTAGTCACGTCTTTGACTATTCATTATACATTGGTAAATGCTGAGCTCAATATATTCATAATCTGATTATGCATAAAGCATATGATATCTATAAAAGAATTCTGTGCCCGGAAGCCCGATAAGGTCCAGAAAAAACATGGCCCACTGCAGTCACACAACAGCACTCTGCACAGATGGGATAGTTCCTACACGGTGTATCAGGGTACCATGAAGCGAGTTGGTATAGGATTGAAAACGAATGAAAGCTTTGGAGATGTCTTAATTGTCGTTTTAAGTGCGCAAGAATACCTGTGTCTATGCCCCATGATGGATAGCTATGCGTAATAGGCATGTGGATGTCATTTCGAGAGAGGTAAAGCGAGCCCGGAGATCTTTATCTTAACTCTTAAACCTGGGATTCAAATCAGGCTTACATTTAATAGCGACAGTGCGGAAAGTGAGGCGCTCCTCAGCGATGTTGCTATATACATAGTCCGCTCTAGTCACGGGGTGAGGAAAAGGGTAAATAGTAAAGAATTTGGAAGATGCACTATAACAAGTTATTGAAGATAAAATAGCTAGGACACTAAAATAATGGCCAAAAATCTATTCGTTAAGTATTAAATCTTATGCGGACTTATTTATTTTATCTGGCAATGTCGGAGCTCAGCTGAACAGACGAGAAGCCCTATTGTCTACGCCCTGTGGTCGTATATGCCATATAGGCCTACCAATCTAATTAAAGACACATATTTACCTACTTCTATCAGGCCTGACGAGAATAACCTTCTAAGATAGTTACAAGGGCTATGAAAGCACATGGTAGCTGCTTTTTGACAATTCATTGGTCGGTATCTCACTTTTCAACCCCACCTACCCCCCCCCTTCCGTTTTCATATATTCTTCTATAAACTTCGTGGACCAGCAGGCCAAGGCGGACAGCGCCCCTGTAACGCCGCCGGCTTCCGGACATGGCGAAGGTGATTATACTGGGTCAACGGGCCGTCACCTGCGATCTCCGCCAGCCGGTCCCAGCTGTACTCTCTTTCTCGATTCTGGCGTTCATAGGCCAGAAACTCCGGCGCGAACCGCTCGAACTCCTCCGCCCATTCTTCGGGGAAAGCATCGTCGAATTGTTCCAGGTCCCCGCCCGCCGCCAGTGAGGCCATGATACCCAGGAGCGGGAGGTGCATATCAATGCTGCTGATTGATGTGGTGGTTAGTGACGATCTATGGGTTTTTTGAGATGGGCAAAGGGGGAAGATAAGATCAGGAACAGAGCAGAAAGAGGCAAAATCAACGGGTTTGATAGAACGTACGGACGGTTCCAGCGCGGGTGCATGTAGGGACTCTCTTCCATGAGTTCAGCCCACGAATGCCAGAGGCTATACCGGAACGATGTGAGGGGCCCGAGATTCCACGGGAGCATTCGCGCCTGGTGGGCCACCTGGCCGTTGGGGGCGAAGTAGAGGAGGAGAAGACGTCCATCCTGGCAGCTCTGATCGTCCAGAATGTAGAAGGCCTGGCAACTGAAGTTGGGGAAAACCACGGTCCCGGCGCGGGTTAGGGCTATCATCCCCGAGTCGGCGGGCTCGAGCCAGGAACTCGCGGGAGGTTGGCGGGGGTGAGCAGACGCGCGCGATCCTCCGGGGAGATTGCGCTCGCGCTTGTGGCAGGGTCAAGCAGAAATCCTGGAAGTTGCGACGTAGGGTACCAAACGCCATGGTGGGAGAAGGGATGGCTGCAGTCTCTTCCGAGGGGGATATACAAGAGGATCAAGAGCTTGGTGACTCGGACGTAGTTCTCCGGGGTATACGGCTGGTCTACGAGACAGATAAAGGGCTGAGATGACCTTAGGGTGTCCCAAACGTCCGTTGCAGGAAGAGGGGCGCGCTGATGGTATGACTGAAGGGGGAGAGATCGCTTTTAAAGTTCGCTCTTCCAAGATAACGAGGATTTGTCTGCAGATTTCACGGAAAAAGCCGTACATCACGAAAGCTTTGATCAGCTGACGCCCATTTTTGGATGAGAGCCCTTCGGTGGGTTACATCCTTGTCGAGGTCGGGGATCTGTGCTCGGGACTCCTTAGAAGACTTTTAGTACGAACTGATATTGTCCGTCTCATATGCTTGGCAAATTGTATATAACAAGTAACAAACCTCCACAAACAAGCACCAGCCTTTGATTTCCTCCAGCAAATCATCATCATCTAGATCGACGTCTGGGTGTAGGCGAACAGTCGTCGGGATCCGCCAGACCATATTTCCTCCTGTGAAAGGGTGATTTTGGTCATGTTGCCTGCTGAACCGTGGGTAGCAGGGGATGCAAACTGCTCTTTATGGGAAGGCCACTAAGTAATGAACAAGTCCCCCTAAAATGCCTACACAATCCTTAGTACCTTAGGCATTCATTGCAAGATTAAAAGGCGAATTGCCTGTTCCGGAAAAACCCGGGTGGTTCGGCTTCCCGAAAATATCATGGCTCACGTGATATTGGCTCTAGGCAATAACAACTGCTGCCTGCAGCAGCTGCGTAGCAAAAAGGATACCCAGTCAAATGATTGTTGGCCAAGTATCAGCGCTTAAGGTACCTTCCAGAGTGGAGGTTCTTGTTCTAGGGATGAAGCGGACTGGTATCATCTGCATGTCAACCTTGACTCCAGCTCTGCTTCTCATCAACACACGGGCTCAAACCAACCACAACCACATCCAGCGCGTAACGTTGAGATTCAATTCAAATCAATTCTCAACTCATCCCCAAATCAGCCCGCTGAGCTTTCGCCTCATGCCCGGCGCTGACCTCGATCAGTTGCATCTCACTATCCCGGGACCGACGAAAGGACCATTTGGTCTGATCCCAGAGGCCGTCAAAGCAAAGGCCCGGATGCAGCACGGTCAGAGCGATAACCGCGATGGCGATCATTGCGCCCTCCAGCGTCATGAAAAGCACTTGGTCATTGGCCAACGAACTATGGAATCCACCTTTGAGCTCCGCGACTCGGAAGACTGATCGCATGAAGATGGCCACGGTGGCAAGGGCCAGACCTGAAGGGATAAGGTAAGCTTTCTGCAAAAGTTCGGAAATCCCGGCAGGTAGTGCTTACCGGCCAGGAAAGCCTTCCAGCGAAGGCTGTGGCGAAGATCACGCATACGCGTCTCCGGGCTCAGATTATGCGGGCTCTTGTACACTCGCCATGCGTAGTCGAGACAGAGGGCCATGAAGAGGGCGAGGGACGCTACCTGGCTCGCCAGCCCGGCAATCATGATGTTGATGCCATCCTGGGCGAGATCGTACTGGTCTGCATCTGCGACCGAGGTGATGGCACCGCCCGCCGCTTGCAGGACGAGCGAGACCAGGTCACAGGCTACAAAGACCATCGTGTAAGTCTTAGGGCGGAGGCGAGAGATGCCTTCGCCGTAGACAATGACGATGCGGCCTAGGCAGATGTAGATGGAGGCGCTGAGAATTGCCGGTCCGATGGTCAGGCAGATCAGGTATCTGGTACCATGGTCAGAGCCAGAACGAAGAGTCGTGGATAGGCAGCAGCGGGGGAAAGGTGAACGTACTCCAGGTACGGGCCGAAGCGGAAGGGGTTGGAGTGCAATTGTATACGTCCGATATACCCAATTATCTCCAAGATAAGGCCCCCAGAAAGACCAGCCAAGTAACCCCAGGTCCGGTATCGCACGGCCAGTACCAGTTGAGCGGCCAGTAGCACGGCAAATAAGGCCAAGTAGAAGGCGTTACCGGCCAATGATGGGACATAGTAAACGTATGCCTCCGTGATGGGACAGATTTCAAAGGTGCAATAGTCCGAAGGATCGGTTGAATTACTCATGATGGATAGTGAGGTAAATATTGGGCGAAACCGGTGAATACTGGGTAGAGAGATGGTTAGGGCTCCTGGTGGACGATACTTAACCATGGCGTTGAGGGTACGGAAATCGAAAGACGTCGGCGATCCGACGTGGGCCGGAGATTTGTCCGTGCCCTTGTCCGTGTTTATTCTTTGAATTGTGGTGGCTGAGTATGTAACCATACATTACACACATCTACAATTCAAGGGACATCTCTTAGCCACCCTTGCCAAGGCTTGCAAGAGATTCAGCTAACACGGACACGGACAAGGGCACGGACAAGGACACGGACACGGACTAGGGCAAGGACACACACTCTGGCTAAGGCACCTATTCTGCTAACCCTTTGATTCTGCTCTACTGTACAGCACAGTGTCCTACTCGCTCCTGCCATGCTCAAAGATCGACCATCAGTCCCTCTCAATGCCTGTCTGGATCTGGAGAACTTGCGTGATGCTACTGAGTAAAATGCTGAGGTAGCAAGCCATGAAGTGCCAGTCTATTCTTTCAACTCTATATCTGTCACCTAAGCTCGAAGCCATCGTGATTCGAACCCGTCAAGGCCCCTTGCTATCATGCGTCGCGCTCTACCTGCTCATCTCCAGCCTTTCATGGCTAGAATCCTATCTCCAATTCAGCACTGCGCTGCAAAACAATCTCATCACTGCCGAGCAAATTGCCCCGGATCCCACCCCGGCAGCCAGACTGCAAGCAGCACCCCTCACCTCGCAGTCACTCCAATGGGCTCCCCCTTCTGTCGTTGAAGCAACAGAGAAGACCAACGACACCAGCGCTATCCCGCGGATCATCCATCGAACGTGGCGCCACCTCCCCTCCGCCATTCCCTCGGAATGGAGCAACGCAACGACCTCCTGCCAGGCCCAGAATCCGAGTACCAGCAGTACATCTGGACTGACGAGACAGCGCACCAGTTCATTGCCCGGCATTTCCCGTGGTATCTCGCCGCCTACACAGACCACCTCCTGCCAATGCAGCGCGTCGACGCGCTCCGGTATGTCCTCCTCTGGCACTACGGCGGCGTCTTCCTGGACCCGGAGTTGGGCTGCCGTCGCTCGCTAGAGCCTCTGCTATCAGCCGAAAACGTGCAGCAGGGGACTGTGCTGTTGCCCCAGCGCTGGCCCTACGGCGTCGGCGCGGAGATGATAGCTAGTCCGCCGGAGCATCCGTTCGTCATCAAGCTTGCCCTGGCGGTTCATGATCGCCGCTAGTCGGGCATCCCGGCCTGCGTCATGGCTTTCGCTAGTTTCGGGCCCCGTGGTTGTCAGCCGTGTGCTGGCGGTGTGGCTACGCTCTGTTAGTGGCGGTGGTGGTGCGCAGACTACGATCGCCGTCGTTGCTCCGGCGCTGTTGGACGATGCAGAATCAGGGGAGGCATTCTTCGTGCGGCGCATCGGGCAGGCGCCGCGCGGGGATGAAGTGGCTGTTGCGGAGCATGTCTTTGGAAATGGGCTCGGGTGGTGCGGCGCGGGCTTGTCCCTGGCGGGCATGGCTCTGGTGATCTTCGGTCTTACCTCGCGACCAAAAGGTGCCGTCAACCATCTTCTTGTATGAATATAGTCTGTATGTGCATACATCTACATTCGCAAACCCTCTATCCCTAGTCGTCAAACCCGCTAGATCCCTGCGCCATCCAATCACCAAACATATCATCGAAGGTAGGGTCCGGAAACAGCCCGGGCCACTGGAAGTCGAAGCCATCTCCCGAAACTGCAGCATAGCCAACCTGAAACTCCTCTTCAGCCGGGATCTCCGCGATACGGGCATTCCTCGGCGACGAGGCTTCGCCAGCCCCCGCCACCGGTAAAGGCTCATTCCGCTGCTGCTGGGATCGGGATAGGCTCCGACTCTCAAACCACCACTGCGCCCGCTTGAGCCGCTTCTCGTAGTGGTAAAACACATCGCGGTCGCCGCGGGCGTCCATCTGGGAGGTGACCAGCGCCTGGATGCGGAGAATGCACCGGCTCAGCATGGTGGAGAGGTCGAGCGCGCGGGTCAAATCCGCCATGTGGGGGTGGATGTGAGGGTCCGCCGCGGCGACGGCCAGCTTGCAGGCCAGGGTCACGACGAACCCGAGCTGCACCCAGCCGGCGTTGTTAAAGGCTACCTCGCGACGGAGGGGCAGGGAGATGTAGAAGTCTAGCAGCGTGCGCGCTGCGGTCAGCCCCATGCGCAGGGCTTCGATCGGGAAGGGCGAATCGTGCCGCGGGCGCTGCGCGCTCGGCTTGTGGTCGAACAGGGTCACTTGGCACAGGTAGAGCTCTACCGTGTGATACTGCATCATAAGAAGATCTGAACCAAGTCAGTTCGGTAATCTCGAAGTTCCGGTCGCCCCGCGTGGGTCACCTACGGCTGTCGGTGAGCGGGAAGGGGAGCTGGGCAAGGTATAGATCCAGCTCAGACCGACGGTCACGGTAGCACTGTTCGAGTGCATCTGCGTCATGGGGCTCTGAGGTATGCTGCCCTGAGGCTACGATGATCCTTTCGGACAGGCGCTGCAGCTGGATGAGTTGCAGCAGGTGCTGATCCGAGTCATATTCAGCGGTTGATGCCAGGAGCTCGCATGACGTCTCAAGATACGGAATGAAGGAGAACGAAGAGCGTTTCTGGAGGATCTGCGAGATGCTATGAGGACATTAGCTGGCTCCCGTAGCCATCAAAACGGTGTGCTGCTGCTGCTGCTTCCACAGACCTGGACGAAAACCAGAAAAACCCGACAACCGCCCTCCTCTCTTCTCTTCCCCACGAGATCTCCCGGTCGAGCTCCCCGTTGAAGTCCACCCTAGTTCTCCAGAATCGATCCTCTGGGGCACGGTCAAGCTGAAGGTCGGTGATGATGCTGATGGCCAGATGCAAGTACTGGGAGAATCGGCGTGGCCGCGAGTGATACTGGCACCTTGAGCGAGGTAAGAACTCATCGAGATTCCAGCAACGAAAGGAGACCCTACCACGCCAGATGAACCAACAGGCCCTGTAGCATGTCAAACGAGACCGGGCCGTCGAAGATCATACAGCGGCCGATGGTGCGCTTGACCTCGAGTTCCAGTGTCCGTTGCAGGGGCATGTTATCGTACAGTGCCGCTGTCAAGATCGCCAGGAAGAGGAAGGGCTTGTCCCTCCGCAGGGTGGCTGCTGTCGCGGGCGACGGCACCATGACAAACGGACAGTACGGCATCAGCGTCCTCTGGTAGTCCTGCAGCAGCAGGCTTGCCGCCTCGAGGGTCAGGAGTCCACTGTCGATCACATCCGGCGGTGGACGGGGTGTCGTTGGAGTAGTCGTGGGGCTCTTGTCGTCGATACTGGCTTCCGAGACGGTGGCGCTGGTGGACTGCGCCAGCAGCCGGTCCAGCTTGGCTTCGAGCGCATCGATCCGCCGGTCCTTGCTCTCGCTCAAGCTGGGCCCCGCGTTGGCTCGTCGGCCTGGTTGAAACTGGCAGGTTTTTCTTAGGCGTTCGCAGCTGCAGTGGATTAGTTGTCAATGACATTTCTCGGAAGTTCACTATCACTGCACCAACCGGTCGCAGCTCCCGGTGGGCACGGAGCGAATGCATCGGATCTTGGCTCGAGCGCAATTCTGACAGGTCCGCAGGGAGCCATTCGCGTATCGGGTGGTTCTGGTACGGTCACTCATGTTCCAAGTAATAGGGTGATTACCTTTACAGGTGGTTCCAGGGGAGAAGAGGAAGTAAGTTGTTGGAGAGTCTAAGTAGGCGAGAAGCAGGCACGATTTAGTGCTTATATGCGGGGGTGGAACGAGACAGTAAGATATAAAAATGGGGGCTGTGCAACACTGCATGACATGGACCCACACGGTACAGTACTGTAATGTATTTACCGTACCATATAGGTTGTTTCAGGTCGGCTATGAACGAACCCTAAGTCGATCTACAACTATTTCCGGCTCAAATCCTCTGCCCCGCCGACTTCATTTAAACTGCCAGGTCCACTATTTCACTTCTACCGTGGAGCCCATGAGACTTGGCTCCTCAACTTGACTGGAATCCAACTTACAACAACTAACTGAGCAATTGCATCTCAGTATATAGAACACAACGCAAGTCGTCCCGCTCGCCGAGTAGGTTAGGGCTACACTCAGGATCCTGCTCGCGAAAACAAGCCCCGTGAGAAAATACTCCTGCATGCGTCCCACTTACTGGGGCTGAAATAGTGACCAGGCAACTGTGATGTACTCAATAGGTCGTTAACTTCGTTCAGTGGTCTGAATATAGGTTGTGAAACCTTACCGTCAAACATTGTTATGGATGATACTACTCCCAATTTATCAATGGGTTACTCCTACACATATTTCCGCGCGCATGACTCATTTCAACTTTGACCCCCTGTCAACAATGCACTGGACTACAGTACACTTAAAAAGCCCTACAGGCAAGAAACCCCGCTCCACATCGTGTGATCCTACAAGAGATTCTCAATATTCAAAGCGTATAAAATATCTAATGTATATCCTGCAGAAATCTATGTACAGACAAAAAAAAAAAAAAAAAAAAAAAAACAAGACCAAGTCTACTCAATCAAAGAAGAATACCAAACCACACCTCATCAGAGTCAGACTCCAAACCCAGTACCCAACCACCCGAACAATCCTTCCAACGCCTATTCAACCCTTTCAACATCCCGAGCCTGAAATCTAAACAGCCACCACCTCCCTCCCCCCACCCCCCCACTCGGCAATCCGCGACCGCAACCGCGGAAACGAGAGCGCCTGACCCTCCAGACTCTCCAAATACCCCGCGACAAGAGCCGGGAGCCCATACCCCGCGGCCTCGCGGCACCACTCAGCCATCTCCAGGGTGCGGAAAGCGTATCCGGTCTCCCTTTCCAGATGCTTGCGGGCTTCAGCGACGGGGATGAGCTTCTCGCCGGAGAGGTGGATGAATTCCACACCCGAGGGGGTAGGGGTAGTGGCGGTCGGGGTAGGTGAAGCGGTCACACCAGCGGCGATCTCCTCCGCAACGGTCTCGACGCGGATGAAGTCGAAATAGCCCGTCCACGTCCCGAGGTCCGGGAGGGCGCGCATGCGGCGCGAGAGGTTGAGGACGTTGTGCATGACGTCGAGGGCGGGGGCGTCGGCGCCGGTGATGCTGGAGGGGCGGTAGATGCGGACGGGAAGAGCGAGCTGGGCGTGCACGTGCTCGAGGAAGGTCTCGCTGGCCCATTTGGAGGCGACGTAGCCGTCGATCAGGACCGCGTCGCCGGTGCGGCTGGTGGGTGGCGGGTGGTTCGCGAGCGAGATCTCGTCGATCACCGGGGATGAGCCCTCCGAGAGGGTGGTGGCCACCCCAGCCGTGGAGACGAAGTGGAAGGGCACCTGGCGGTGGGCGGTCATCTCGACCAGGGTCTGCGTGGCGCGGAGGTTGGGTCCCCGCAGGGTCTGGTAGGATTTCAGGAAGGAGACGTCCGCGCCGTTGTGCACGATCACGTCGGCTTCCTCAAAGACCAGTCGGGCTTCTTCTTCCATCATCCCCAGGAAGGGGAGGGCGAGGTCGCCGGCGTGCAGGATGACTTTGTCGCAGGTGCGTTCGAGTTCCAGGGCGGCGCTGGAGTGCGGGTTGCGCACGGCGATGCAGTGGATGTGCAGCACGTCGTCGCGGGCTTGGAGCGCTCGCGCGATGGCGCGGCCGAGGAAGCCTGTCGCGCCGGTCAGGATGACTGTCAGGGGCCGGCGACGCATGGGTGGGCTGCGGGTGTCTGATTGGGAGGAGGAAGCCAAGGATCGAAGGGTCTCGGAGAGAGCAGTCTCCTTCTTCCAGTCAATGATATCAACAGGTGAGGAGGAAGGCACGGTATCCTCAACCTCTTCCTCTGTGAAGCCAGCAGACACCCCTCTCAGAATCCGCTCAGCGATAGCCCCAAACGTGCTCGTGCGGAATAGTTCAGGCAAGGCAATCCGCAGGTCGAATTCCCGTTGAACAAGCGCCTGCATCTTCAGCAAGGACAGCGAACTGCCACCGACGGCAAAGAAATTGGACGAGGGAGTGATAGGAATGCTGGTGTGGCCGCCCAGGGCACGGTTCCAGATCTCGCGAAGCTTGCTATGGATATCAGAGAGGGTTGTATCCGCACCAGCGTCGGCATCAGCATCAGCACCGGTTTCGGTTTCAGTATCCTCGTCCCCATCCTCATCCCCAGACGCAGGAAGCGGCCGAGCATTAAGCGCCCTCATATCCAACTTCCCACTAGACGTCATGGGCAAACTACTGCCGACATCCACAGCCACCGCGGGCTTCATCGCCTGCGGTAACGGCAAATCGACCAACAACTGGTCCAGATACTGCCGTACATTCGCCGGTCTCTTCGTCCCCTTCTCCCCGGACAGCACGACATACGCAACAAGGAACTGGTCCGGACCGGGGTTACGAACCCCAACAGCCGCATTGGCAATGACCCCGCGGGACGTCTTGAGGATCGCATTGGCAATGTCTCCCAATTCGACGCGAATCCCGCGCAGCTTAATCTGCGTGTCCGACTCAATGCGTCCGAGGTACACCATCGAGCCATTCGACAACATTCGCGCCAGATCGCCAGTCAGATAGACTCTTGTGCTCTTCTCTGGGTGGAATCTCTCCCCGACCAGAGGGAATTTGTCACTTGTCAAGGGTTCATTCTTGAGATAGCCCGCGCTTACGGCGGGACCGGCGACGGCGATCTGGCCCGGACAGCCTAGGGGCACGGGTTCGATGTCCTCGTTGACCAGGTAGACGTTGTATTCTGGGAGGGCAGAGCCGATGGGAACGTGGCTTTCATCGCCGTCATTTGATTCACCAGCGGCTTCTTTTCTTGGGATCGCCACCTCCCCGATGTTCGACGCGACTGCAATTTCCGTGGGTCCTTTCACGGCGTGTATCCGGTTAGCAAACTTATCTCTCCCCAACCAAAACCATCCTCCTTCTGCAAAGGCTTCAGACAAAACATACCGTAAGCATTATAAACGCTCAACTCCCCATGCCCAAGCCGCCCGAAATCCCCCTTCAAGCGCGGGGGGAACGCCTCCCCACCACACATGGCCACCTTCCACTCCGAACACCTCGCCAGAATGTCTCCCGTATACTCCATGAGCAGTAAGTACTCCGACGGCGCCATCAGGGTGAAAGTTACCGCCTCTTTCTCGAGGATGGACGCTAGCGCCACCGTGTCCCGGAGGTTGTCCGCTACCACCAGCCGGCCACCGTTCGCCAGGGCGTAGAAGATCTGCGCCAGGGAGGCGTCGTAGCTGGCCGCGCTCTGCTGGAGCACCACCTCCCGGCCGAGCTGCATGTACGCCGAGGCGGCCTGCACGTGCGTGAGGAAGTTCGCGTGCGTGAGCTGGATCCCCTTGGGGGTGCCGGTGGAGCCGCTGGTGAACATGATGAAGGCCAGGCCCGCGGCGGTCGCTGCGTTATGAACCGGACTGGACTGGATGGGCACCGTGGCGAGCTGGATCACTGCTTGCACGGTGTCTGGATGGAACTTGGCGAACCGGGAGCTGGTTTCGCGGTTGACGATCACGACGGTGGCTTCGGATTCGGTTAGGATGGTGCGGAGACGCTCGTCTGCGCTGCGCACGTCACAGGGGACGTAGATCGCGCCGATGCGCAGGATTGCGAGCAGGGAGCAGATGTTGTCGGTTGACGGGGTCCCGAAGACGGCGACGCGCGTGCTCACCTGGGCTCCTACAGCGAGGAGCTGGGTGGCGATGGCGTTGACGCGGTCGGACATGGCTTTATAGCTCAATGAGCCGCGCTCGTCCCCAAGTGCCACATCCGAGGGGTACTTTGCGGCCATATGGTCGATGCGATGGACGAGGGTGGGCTCTTCCCAAGGGTCCGAGAGACGAGGACCAGTGCCCAGCTCAATGGCGGTGCGCTCGAGCGCAGGTGCAAAGGCGGGCGGCGTCGCGACCCTCTCTGTTGGCGTCGTGGCAAAGAACTCCAAGAGATGGATGTACGAGTCGAGGAAGATGTTCGCACCGGCCCTGTCGTAGAGGTAATCCTGCATGGACAAGGTGAGACCCGCACGACCCTCGTCTTCGTCGATGGTCAGAATGAAATCGAAGGGGTGGCCGGCGTCCTCGTAGGAGAGATACTCTAGCCCTAGATCCCCGATGCTCTTGTGCTTGATCGCTCCCATCCGATAATTGACCACGGCCTGGAAGAGAGGCAGCTCCGTGGCCGAGCTCTCGGCGCCAATGTCCTGCAGGATCGTCTCCAACGGCACCCCCGAATTGCCCAGAGCCGAATAGACGATATCCCGCGTGGCGCGAAGATGATCCGCGAACGCGCTTTCGTCAGATGGGGTTTTGTCGAGGCGGAATCGCAAGGGCAGCATGTCTAAGAGCAGCCCGATCGTCTCCAGGAACGCCTGGTCGTTACGGTTAGCATCCGTCATCCCGATGCACAGGTCTGTGACACCCAGCATCCGGTACATCATGACGCTGAAGACCGAGAGGTAGAAGTGAAACGCAGTCGTTTGGTTCGTCGTGCTGGCGGAGCGGATCTTGGCCGCCAGCGACCGATCCAGTTCCACAAAGTACTCCGTCACCCGATACTGTGTTAGCGGCATGCGCGCCGGCGCTTTCGCAAAGGGGAACAGCGGTAGTGACTCGGGTAAGGACCCGGAGGCGAAGGTCATCTTCCAGAACTGTCGCTTCGACAGGGAGGGGATGGAGGTGAGATCGTGGTGCTGCCGCGTCGAGAAATCCAGGAAGTCGACGCCTAGCGAGGGCCGTCGCTGGGGATCCGCGTAGAACCTGTCCAGTTCTTGAAGAAAGATCTGCCAGCTGACGCCGTCAAGGATGATGTGGTGGTACCCGAAGATGACTGTATGGTAGTCTGGCCGGTGAGTGACGAGCGTGGCAATGAAGCTGTCACCACGTTCCAGCTCGTAGACATGCTGCGCCACTCGGTCATGTTCGACCTTCACGTCGCTTGAGTCATTGGCAGACCCGACCTTCCGCAAAGAGAAAGTCGAAGAGGTTGGGACAATGGCCTGCATGGCCTCACCGGTTTCGTGGTCCGTGTAGAACAGTGTGCGAAAGGCTTGATGGGACTGCAGCAGCGAACGGAGAGCGCGCTCGAAGCGTGGAATATCCAGCTGGCCAATCAAGCGGTACGATGTCGTACAATTGTAGGCGGTCTTGTCCTGCAGCATGAGATAGGGAAGCCACATGCGAGCCTGGCTCAACGACATGGGTTCAATCTGGTCGCACTGCGCGGTTGGGTCCGAGTCATCGTTGGCGATGTCCGAGGAGTCGTCCGATGAAAAGCCGTCAAATCCAGATTTGCTGTCACTGTTGCTCGAGGGATCGGTCGAGCTGCCATGCACTGACCCTAAATCGAAGGAATTCTTGTCCAAGTCCATCGGGGGGGGGGCCGACGTGCTGCGATCTTCAAAGAGCTCTTTGGCCACCTCTTCAGCCAGCGTCGCCACCGACGAGCCCCCGAGCACTTTCAAAACGGGCATATCCTTCTCCACCTCGGCCAAGAACCACGACCGAATCTCAACAGCCATCAACGAGTCCACACCAAGGTTGATGATAGCCGTCTCCTTATCCAGGCTGCCTGGGTCAAGGTGAAGCATTGCTTCCACGTGGGACGCAAAGCTCTCCGTTAGGATCGCGGCAATAGCCGTCTGCGACTGCACCTCCGAGATCCGGCTCTTAAGACTCTCCACCGAGGACGAGACCGTACTTTTGTGGACCGCATTCCGGAGCACTCGATGATGGGAGAAGCGAGGGTCTGTGTGCCAGTACAAGGGCTCTTCACCTTCGACGCCGAACCGTTGGAGGCCGGTCGTCAATTGCGCCCCCGTCGTAGACGTGGGTCGTCCGCAATGGATGGCCTCGATGAACATGCCGTGGATGTCTCGCTCGGAGATCGGCATGTACCCCTGACGCTTAAGGTTGGCGTAGATCTTGGCTCCATCGGTGCGGTTGATATATCCAATACCAGAAACCATGCCAATATCCAGAACGGAGGCGGCCTGTCCAGCTTTGCGTCGCTGGGCCGCAAGACCGGCCATAAACTATTGTCCACCTGCGAGTCAGCATCCTGTTCTTTGAAAAAACTACAAAAAGGCTGGCGACAAAAAGCAGAAATCAAAAATAAATACAACGCAAGAAAGGCAAAAAAAAAAGGAGAAATGACGAGAACTGAATGCCATACCATGTTAGCAGCCGTATAATTAGATTGGCCCTGATTCCCCGGCACACCGGTGAGGGACGAGAACATGACAAAGAAGTCAAGATCGACGTCGGAGAAGACATCATGCAAGTTCTGCGATCCGAGCACTTTGGGCGCCAGGGCCTTCTGCAGCGATTCGACAGGCATGTCGGCGAAGAGACCGTCGGATAGAACCATGGCGCCGTTGACAATGCCTCCAACCGGCGGCATGCTAGTTTCCAGGTCCACGCGCAGCTGACGGACGGCATCAACATTCGTGACATCCACGCTGAGAACTTGGATGGTGGCTCCTTGCTTCTCGAGATCAGTCTTCCAGGCAGGGGACTTGTCCGGGTTCCTATGACAAGATTGTCAGCAATGCGGGATACAAGATAGGGTGGAACAGGGAGATGGACGACTCACCGACTGGCAACAACCAAGTGACGAGCTCCGTGCGAGACCATGAACTGGCACAGACTCTGGCCCAGCTCGCCAGTTAGACCGATCATGACATAGGTTTTATTTCCACGCATCTGGGACCCCGGATCGAATCGGTTAACTCGCAGAGGCACATGGACGTTCTCGGTCCAATCGAGCACGGCGCCCAAGGGTTGCAACCCCTTATCCAGAACGTCTGAGACACGGGTTGTCGTGTGCGGCTTGCGTGTGGAACCAAGCTCTTCCAGTGCAGTCTCAACCACCCATCTAACGACCAGGAGGGCGTCTTGAGCAGTACTCAGAGCGTTCCCATTGTCTAGAATACTTGCCTCAGTCTTGACCAACGAGTCCATCGCCTTGATCAGCATGCATGTGGACGATTTCAACCCGACCAGCGCGGTCGGGGTGAGCCCCAAGCTGAAATCCGCGACGCTACTGATTCGGGACGAAGGTACCGCTGCTTTGGTAGCATCCTTGGTCGATAGGGGATGTAACCGAATAAAGCGATTGTCATCTAAAGCTAAGTCCGTGGTGGAGAAGCACAGTAATCGCACCTCATCGTTGAGTCGCTGTAAGGTATCGGCAAAGAAGGAGTCGGCTTCGTGGACGAGCAGACCCCCTGGGCTGGCCTGGCAAAGTAGGCTCTGAGCAAGCAGGGTTGCCACTATCCGGTTCAGCAGAGCGGACAGGTCCAGACCAGTGGCAGGGAGTGCGTGGACATGGGTCGCTGGTATGGTGATGAGCGAGGAGTTGGTCGGCGAGAGTGCAAGCAAATGTCGCGATGCGCTGTCGGTCGCGACGCTGACGAAGGCATGAAAACCTTTCTTGATTTCAATTGCCCAGGCACTCGAATACAATACTCGAAGATTAACGAAATGCTCATCCGCAGGGGCTGATGCCTTGGACGGGGTCGCCTCCACCGCATGGTGGGTGTATCTGTCCCCATTCCAGCGAGCGACAACCTGCACAACTTGCAGCGATGCATTCTGGTAGTTGTGAACCACACGGCGAGTGGAGTTATATCTGCGGTTGAGATCATCGATAGGCAGGACGCGGGGAATCAGCAGGTGCTGACCATCCCATACAAGCTCCGGCTCCGAAGTCCATAGCGGAGTGGATTCAGAGTCGAGATATGTGATGAGGCGAAGGAAGCACTCAGCAATGACTGTCTCGGCACCAGATATGTGCGCAACATCCAAGATCTGCAGCTTCAGCTGTGGCGTTTCAGTCCGGATGGAGCGGAAAAGTCCGACGGTACCGTAATGGTAGGGCTGGTCGTCGCGGAACCCGGACGTCAGCCAAAGAACAGACATATTCGGTACCAAGATCTGCTTGAGAGCTGTGAACTCGGATGAATTGACGGAAGACAGCACCGGCTTATCGAGATCAGATAGAACAATGACTGCCTTCACCGTTCCCATAGAAGTCGAGACCACATCTTCCAGACGTGGTGCGGTTACCACCTCCAAGGACTTATCTCGGAGAATAGCTGCAAGTTGATAACTCAACTGCGCTGTCTCGCCGGTCTCCCCACCGATCAACAGAACAGTGTCCGACATATAGGATACGTCGGTTGCGGTCAACGGCATAATAAGATGCCGAACATCGGCGCTCATGGATTGTCGGATGGAGAGGGCAATCGTCCTCAACGGACTGGTCCACGACGAGATGAGATCAAAGTCACCCTGTACGCGCGGTGTGGCACGCAGCAATGTTTGCAAGGACAGCGATTGATGATGCTTTTGGGGGTTCAGAAGTCGATCCTGTAGCGGAATTCCCGTGGAGTGGACGCAAAATACATATCCGCCTGGTGCCAGGAGCTGATGAACCCCATCCAACTGACTGGTAAGTGTCGCATTCTTACGGTTACCATCCGATAAGATAACGAGGTCAAAGGTTTCATCAGGGAACTGCTCGCTTAAAAGAGCCGTCTTGTCAAAAGCCAGTAAACGAAACCTGGAATCCTGAATGCTCGTCTGTGCAGAAAGTAAACTGGGTGCATCTTTCTCTGTGGTCTCGAACAAGTGACTGTAGGAGTGAAATGGCGCCGCCAGACCAGCCACGACGGCATCCGTCACATATTTTTGCAGTTCACCCAACGTAATTTCCAGCACTCGAAGCTGAGGAAATCGGTGACTGATCTGCGACACCGACGCTCTGATGTGACTTTGTAGCGCGCTCTGCTCGTTGAAGTGCATTAGTATCTCCGTGATTGCCGTTGGCAGGCGAGATGGCGCTGTACGGCCACACGAGATGAGAAGCTCCAAATAGCCGCGGAACGGTGAGTCTGCCAACCCGGTTTGCATGGCCTCTGGAGTCTGTTGAGGCTTGCCTGCTGTACGATTGGGGTGCAAGAAGTGGTCGGCGATGCGCATGCACGCACGCTGCAGAGCCACGTATTCCTCGTTGATGCCTTCTGTCCTAGCCTCGACAATACCGGTGTACGGGTCTGGCTTGTATACCGTCTCGATGAACAGCTCACAGTCGTTTGCCGGGCCAGTGGACGATAACGCGACCACTGTGAGACCCTCGACCTGCACCTCCATGTTACCATTGGCGTTGAAGACGCAGATATCCCCCGAGAAGTTGGCGGGGGACTCAGGGGATGCCGAAGAGAACTGGGTAATCACCGCGTCCACGTTCACCGTTGCGGCTGGGCCAGGATTTACGGGACACAAGTCCAGATTGAAGCGTATATTCTGGATTTCCTGCGGGAGAAACGAGGTCCAAAGTGACCCGTCGCCCGGAGCAGCATAGGCAGCAAACGCAGCCTGGAAGCATGCATCCAGAAGCGACGGAGCAACGGGAAGGGTCGAGGTCTCAGCAGGATGTGGCTTTGGCAGCGTCCCTGTTGCGAAATCTAGACGTCGCTGAAGCGATGTCATTGCACGGAACGGTCCCGTGTAACCCAGTCCGATATCCTTAATGGAACCGTAAAATTCATCGAGATCCACTCGATTCAAGCCAGAAGGGGGGGGTAGACTCCTCCGGGGCAGAGTCTCCGCGGAGGGCTCTCCCAGGTGCAGGTGAACCATCCCCTTGACAGCATTCGTGCCCTGAGCGTCAGCATCGCCCGGGACAAAGTCCAGGATAAACGACGCTGAGATGACACTTTCACCAGGAACAGTCGGCTCCTTTCTGAGCATGAATATTGTCTCGACGCCCTGGGAGTCATCGCTCATGGTGATGCCTCGTTTGATCGATAGATTCTGGATTTCTACCAACTTGACCGGTTTGGTGGTCAATGCTCTGGCAGCCTCAAATGCCATGACACAGTATGCTGCAGCAGGGACAATGATCTGGTCCTGGAAACGATGATCCTTGAGCCACGGGAGCGTGCTTGGTTTCAATAAGTTTCTCCAGCGCCATTCTGATTCCGTGTCGTCGCTGGTCCGCACGCCCAGTAGCTCATGAGGACGGGCAGGGCGGTTGAGGTATTGTTTGGCCATCCGGGGCTGTCGATGATACATGTGGGTGTGGTCCCAGGGATAGGAAGGAAGATCCTTGACCACCCGGCAATCCGACCTCTCATTGCCCAGTGCCACAGATAAGGCATCAAAATCGATCGAAGAGCTACCCAGCAGACTCCAAATGAGCCCCATTGTTGAGATGACGGAGGCCAGGTCATCCCGACCGCGGTGCAATAAGCCAGCATAGGGCAACGCCGATCCATTGACCTCCTGCATTGTCTGCACGGCAGGACCCTGAAGCGCAGGATGAGGTCCGATTTCCAGCGCCATGTCAAAGGGGCCTTCTTCTGTCAACGCGCGGGTCACCGCTTCGGTGAAAAATACGGGCTGCACCATGTTGTCTTTCCAGTAGCGCCCTGACAGCTCTCGGAGCGTAGGAGCACCCGATGGCCCATACACGCTGGATACCCAGACACATGAACGCGTGAGGCTCAGGGGTGCGATGTTAGCTGCCTGTAGGGACTGGAGGTATGGCGCGGCACAGCGATCCATGTGATGAGAATGGTATGCAGTGTCGACCTTCAGGAGTCTAGCAAACGTGCCTCGTTCATCGAGCAGTGCCTTGGCTTGTTTCAGTGGCTCCAAATCTCCACTGATGGTGACACTTGCCGGCGAGTTACTGGCTGCGATGTGAAGGTGATGAAGGAAGGCAGGCTGTTCACAGAATTCAAGCGCCTCGTTCACCCCCATCCCAACCGCCATCATCCCTCCGCGGCATCCTTCTGGCCCTTGTGCCAAGCCAGCGTGAAAGCCTCGATAATATGCGATAAGGATTGCGTCGGGGGCCGTCAGGATACCTGCAGCATAGGCCGCAGCAATCTCCCCGGAGGAGTGGCCCACTGCAGCCGCCAGCTCTACTCCAGCCTCATGAAGGATGTCAACCAGAGCAATCTGAACAGCGGTACACAGTGGTTGAGACAGAGCTGCCTCGCTCAAACGCGATGATGTAGGCGGAGCAAGGAGTTCGTGTGCAATGGACCACGCGGGCGGATCCGGACATGACCGGAGCACGGCATCGAGACTCTGAATCACCTCTTTGAAGCGCGGTGATCTCTGGATGAGTTGCTGGCCCATTTGGGGCCACTGGGCACCCTGGCCGGTGAAAATCCCCAAAATGCGACCGCGTTCATGATTGACAGTCTTGGATCGTACCCCAAGTGACGAGTTTCCCTCGGTCGTCTGCAGTCGCTCTCGCATCTCTTGGAGCAACCTTTCTCGTCCTGCCACTGGGGAGAAGGACACACGATACGGAAGCTCTGATCGACGCGTCGCCAGTGTCCATGCCAGGTCTTGGAGATCGATCTCGGGCTCGGACTCCAGCAACTCAATGTACTGTTCGACCTTGTCTTTGAGCGCTTCGGCTGAGTTGGCCGACAAGACTAAAGGAAATCTGGGAGGATGCTCAATTGGTTTTTCTATGCTGGCAGCTAGATGCCCCCCGTGAATGGCTGGGACGTAGCTCTCGAGGATGGCGTGGCTGTTCGTGCCGCCAAAGCCAAAGGAGTTCACACTAGCACGCAGCGGATGACCGGGTCGAACACTCGGCCACGGGATGAGGGTATTAGGAACATGTAATCGTCTTGTAAAGGGAACCACGCGTGGGTTCATGGACTTGAGATGTTGGTTGGGTGGGACTTGGGCGTGTTTTAGGGCAAGAGCCGCTTTCAAGACTCCGGCCACGCCCGCCGCCCCTTCCGTATGGCCGATAATGGTCTTGATCGACCCGACAAGAATCGAACCGTCTTCCTGCAGTTCTTCATCCTCACCAAAGAAGGCCTTGTAGATCGCTTCTGCTTCCGTTGGGTCGCCCGCTTGGGTTCCCGTACCATGCGCCTCGAAATACTGGCAGCGATGATCGGGGTTCAGGGCGTCGAGCCCAGACCTGCGGTAAGTGTCCTGAATCAGAGCGGCCTGAGCCAGGGAGCTGGGCATCGTGATGCCTTTGGTGCGCCCATCAGAGTTGACTCCGGTTTCACGAACAATACATTCGATATGATCCCCGTCCGCAAGGGCCCGAGAGAGCGTCTTGAGGAACACTACCCCGACGCCTTCGCCTCGGGCATACCCATCGGCAGACTGATCCCACATCTTCGACTTTCCGTCCGGAGACAGCATGTGCAAGCTCGACTCGCAGATGAACGGTTCCGGACTCAGCATCAGGTTGGCTCCGGCGACACACGCCATGGTACTCTCCCCGCTCCGCAGGCCCAGAACCGCCTGATGCATGGCGACTAGGCTGGAGGAGCAGGCGGTGTCGATCGTCATGGACGGGCCATTCCAGTGAAAGAAATAGGAGACGCGGTTCGAGATGATAGCCCGCGAGGTGCCTGTGGCGCAATATTGGCTGAAGGTGAGTTCGTCTTTGCCGGTGAGAATGTCGTAGTCGGCCGTCATGGTGCCCACGTACACACCGACCTGCGACCCTGAACATCCTTCCAAGGTCAGGCCGGCTGACTCCAGGCCTTCGTAGACGGCTTCTAACAACACCTTTCCTTGGGGATCAATGGCCTCCGCCTCCTTCGGGGTGATGTTGAAAAATGTGCTGTCGAATCGTCGTGGGTCTTCCTCTAGCCAGTAGCCATTCGGAGCATTGGTGGTCCCATGATGCTCGCCGTCCGGATGATGAAATCCATCCACATTGAATCGTCCCTCTGGTACTTGCTTGGTAAGATCGTATGGGTTTCTTAACAGTTCCCATAGCCTTGATGGGGAAGTGGAATGGCCTGGAAAGCGGCAGGCACTGCCAATGATTGCAATGGGCTCGGAGGAAGATGGAATGTAGGCCATGGCATGAGAGGAGACAATGAGTGAATGACTTGGTTGGAGGAGAATAATAGATCTGCTTCGCGCTTGAAGCATGAGCACTATGTCTGCCAAATGAGGTAGATATCTGAAATGGTGGCGAAGCAACCTAAGCAGTGGCCGAGTCGCGCGGCGTGGAACCGTGCCCATCACCGAATCCTGCAAGGTCGTTCGAATAAGCGTGAAGTTGAGCTGATCGGAAACGATGGGGTCGGACCGTGTTCATGCTCACTCTGAACAAGAGAGTAAGAAGCATCGCCGACTTGGAGTGTTGAAGGATTCGGTGTAGGTTGGCTGCCCCGAACGCCGGCTGACGCCTATCCGCGCATCTTCACCTCTGAGGAACAAAAGCCCGAACCCTTCCGACCGTGGCTCAGAAGAGGTTGAATGAAGCTTTTGTCCATCAACCAAGGAAACCTTTGTTAACGACTGCATTCCTGAGTGAACATGGAGGACATTGTGAACAGGCTCTATGCCTTCGATTGGAGGTCATTGTCTCTTGGTTCCGTTCCAGCTCCAACTCCAGCTCCGGCCCCTCAGTCATCTGTCGTCCACCATCTCATAGCATGGTGGGATCAGTCCAAAGACAGTATGCAGCAGTACTCTGTGGCGTCTGTCGCCATAGCGGGGTTCACTGCTCTAGTCGTCAGCGTGGCTTTGTATCGTGCACTTTTCTCGCAGCGTCAACGCCATGATCCTTTGAATCAGGGCTGCCAGCCTCTACGCATGTACCCGCACAAGGACCGGATTTTCGGTCTTGACTTTGTCTATCAGAATGTGACTACCTTCCGTCGCCACAAGTACCTGGAGACCCTGAAGAACCGATACCAAACCTTGGGGACCACCTACGGGGTGCGTGTCTTTAACCGTCGAGGCATTCTCACGTCCGACCCCGAAAACATCAAGACAATCTTGTCGACGCGATTCAAAGACTACTCCCTTGGCAATCGTGTCCCTATTATGGGCCCGCTGCTGGGACGCGGGATATTTGTCAGTGACGGGCAGGACTGGTCGCACTCGCGGGCTTTGCTCCGCCCCAACTTCGTCAAGGAGCAGGTGGCCGACCTGCAGATGATCGAGACGCATCTGGCGCAGCTGCTGAAGCTCATCCCATCTGACGGCCGAACCGTCGTCGAGCTGCAAGACCTCTTTCTCCGGTTCACTTTGGACTCAGCGACCGACTTCCTCTTCGGCCACTCTCTCCATACCCTCAGCCGCGGGACAGCCAAAGACCAGCAATTCGGGCAGGCCTTCGCCCTTGCACTGGACGACATTGCCCTCCAATTCCGCCTGGGTCCATGGCGCGCGCTTCGCCGACCCAACAAGGATGCGCTGGCAGCGTATGAAATCTGCCGAGGATATGTGGAAGGCTTTGTGGCGGATGCCATGGCCTATCGCCACGGGAAAGCCAGTTCGACTGGTGACAAAAACACCTCGGACCGTAGCTATTTCCTGAAGGAGCTGGCACAAGCCACCGACGACCGGGATCGGATCCGCGATGAATTGCTGAACATCCTGATCGCCGGTCGAGACACCACGGCGAGTCTGCTGGGGAGTCTTTTTTACGTGCTCGCCCGCCACCCCGAGGTGTGGCAGAAGCTCCGCAGTGAGGCCGCGACTCAATTGCAGGGGGCAGCTCCGAACTACGAGCAACTCCGTAATCTCCAGTACACGCGGCACTGCATCAATGAGACCCTGCGGTTGTATCCGCCCGTCCCCAGCAATACGAAGATGGCTGTCTGTGACACGATCCTTCCGCGGGGCGGGGGCCCCAAGGGGGATGCCCCTGTGTTTGTCCCCAAGGGTTGCACCATGATCTACACGGTGTATGCCATGCATCGTCGGACAGATCTATTCGGCCCCGACGCTGAGGAATTCCGCCCTGAACGTTGGGCCACGCAAAGATTCTCCTGGGTAAGAGACTCTTTCCTCCGCGACGTTGCACCGTGTTGGACAGCCGTAAGCTGACTATGAACCTTGTTTTCAGGAATTCCTCCCTTTCAACGGGGGGCCGCGAATTTGTCTTGGGCAACAATATGCGTTGACGGAGGCGATGTACGTCCTGGTCCGGTTCGCGCAAACATTCCAGACGATCGAGGCCCAGGATCCTGCTCCCTGGACCGAGCAGCTTACTCTCACCCTTGCATCTAGTAATGGCGTGAAGGTTAGATTGAAGGGGGCCTGATTGTCTTTCACGTACTGTTAGGCTGGATTGATGTATCTTCGGGGATGGATTGTAGCCTACGCATCTCAGAGATGTTTGAATGCGTCCTGTAAGCCAATGGAAGTAGTCACTGTTTCGTCTTACACTGTCTTCCGTATTAGAAATCACAGCGGGTACAGGCACTAGTAGTGTCGGTGTTGTAGCTGAGCACCTCCGTGCCTATATGCTTATATCATGCAAAGCATGCAAGCGATTGGCCAAGCATTCATAAGCAAACACAAGCACTTTCTTGAGCGGGTGACCAAGAATCACTCATACTGAGTACAATGATAGAAGACGAGAATTCACTGGGCAAGGCAACCAACCGGCTGGCTTACCGTGCAGGATACAAGCACGTGTGAGGGCATGTTAATACGTCCGGATATCATCTGGTTGACCATCTGGTTGACTAATCATATATCTTCAACCCCCCCTTCTCCTGCACAGACGGCTGAAGTTGTTTGTCAAATTGCCGGAGTCGGTGATCTGGAATCCGATCGTACTTCATTCTAGATTGATTGTTGCCTTCCAAAACACCTTCTCCAAGGTTCTCGTCTCAACCCGAGCGGGGAAACCAGCGCCACCAATGCAGATAAGCAACAGGGTCTCCGCCTGAAGCATCAGTCTACATCATTCTAGCCCCGACAGGTTAGATCCACGTCATGCTTCAGCCCAATCAGCGGTCATCGGGGTCTGTTGGCCTGGAACTTGTACCATTATCAGGCTCTTTTGCTCATTGCAGTGGGATTTGTTTTGTTTTCTGGTCTCGGGGATAGGAATTAATCTCACGCTTAGTCCCGACCCGACTCTACTACGCAAGCATCTCCTCGGGTTTCAGCTTCTCTGGTGGATTGGCCAGGTTATGCATCCCCTAGGCCTCTTCAAATCCTTCTTGTCAATTCTTCCGTGGTGCATTGACTACACGGCTGCTTTAACGAGCCAGCCAGTCCCTTCCTTCATCACAACCACGCCAAAAATCCTTCACCACATTCAAACCCCTCGTATATTTCCTGGATGGCCTGTAACAACAAAACGCATCGGTCGCCCCGCGCAGGGGTCATGATCCCCCTCTTCTTCAGCGCCTCCTCAGCGCCTCCTCCGATGTAAGCACTATCTCTGTTTGCGCAATCCCATCTGACATGCCTACCGAGACAGCGAGCGGGTTCCTTCGGCCACCCATTCTCACACACTGACCCCGCCGGATCACCGTGGGGTCCAAAGGTAGCATCGTCTTCAGAGTGTGAGAAAAGACAAAGCTTCAAGAGACAAAGATGGATACAAGAATACCGGCAACCGCACGGGCACGGACGCTAGGTAGAGGTGTTTTGCGAGAAACCTGTGTGATTGCCGCCCACGAGAGTAAAGCATCCCAGGGGCGTGGGCTACCTATTTGTATTACACATCAGAATTAGATTTTTGTACATGCTCTTTGTACATACTTTGCCGTTTGCAAACCGGCCATTTTCCCTCTCTCTCCCTCTAAGAAAGTCTATCTTCCAATGCCGCGGCACGAGCGCGGAGGCTCGGGAACCTCCTCGTCAGATCTCCGTCTGCGCAAGGCCTGCGATCGGTGTCATGCGCAGAAGCTGGGGTGCCAGCGTGAGGCCATTGGGGCCAAGTGTGTGCGGTGCGAGAAAGCTGACAAGCCGTGCACCTGGAGCATCTCCCTTCGGAACCGTCGTGCGTCGACACGCAAAGAACAACTCCCAGTGCACGCCCAGCAGCAGCAGCAGCAGCAGCAGCAGCACCAGCACCAACCACAACATGCTACTATGGCAAGAAATGAGAACAATGAAGAACAAGCCCAGGAGGACGATAACGACGATGAAGATGAAGACATACTCTACAGCGACCAGCTCACGCCTTCTGAGGCCATACCGGAGCTTCATTCCCCTCTAGGAGACCCTCACAACAGATTGGCCTCCGAATCACTCGATCCAACCACTATGCCGATAGATCTCACGTCCTTCCTGATATCCGATGGGGGCTTGGGGTTGATGACACCGTCGTTAACCAACCCCGGCTCCTGGCTGGGTGAGACACAGTTGGGCACCACTACCACCACCACCACCGCAACCACAACCGCAACCCTAATTGGAGAGCCACCGAGGTTCTGGTCATCAGCAACTGGGGGACTACCGCACACTCCCTCAGCCGGTGGACTGACCACCATAGATCTGCCTCCAGCCGCGTTTGAGATGAATCTACCGGGTGTTCCTCCGTCCTACACTCCGAGCCACCAACCAGACCAACCGCCACCGCCGAAAACCGGCACACCCGCCCTCTCGGACCCGCAGTGGCTGAAGGAGCTCTTCGACAACAACGCCCGACTGTACCGGAACTGGCACGCCGTCTCCTCCAACATGACCACCAACCAGACCATCAACCCCCTGTTCCCTATGAGCACGACAAGCCAGAGCCACCCAAGCTCAGCAGCCTTCGCCGACGAAGCCGTCCAACTCTCCACCCAGCTAATCCACATTCTCCGCGGGCTCCTCCACCAGCACCACGAGTCAACCGGTCACCGACCACCGACCACTCCAAAACCCAGGGCCCGTGCAGAGGACCTGGATCCAGACCACTCAGGCCTCGACCCAGGCTCCTTACTCATCGTCCTGTCCTCGTACTTCCGCATCTTAGAGATTTTCACCATGTTGTCGCACGCCCTGGAGGCTGCTGCGGCTGCCACAGGCTCTACCACGCATTATCACACGCCAAGGGCCACCCCGCCGATCCTGCGTCTCCCGGCCATCGTAGTAGGGTCGCTCGATCTCGCGTCCAACACCTCGCTGTCCACGGTGTTGTTCCTGGAGGTGATCGAGGATCTGTTGACCACTTTGGCCACGCTGGTTCTCTCCATCGCGCAGTGGCCGTCGCATCCTCATCATGCAACGTCACGTCGTGAACCTGGCTGGCAGGGGAGTGACCTGCACGCGGGTTCCGATCGCTTGGGGCTTCAGATCCAGGGCAAGGAGGATGAGATCCGGCGGGTGATTCGTGCGATTCGGGCGAGGTTGGGGCGGAAGGGGGACAAAGCGGGGGTTTGATGTAGACACGATATACTCCGTTCGATATAGAGATCGGACGTCTCTTTCTTTTCACCTTCTGAATAAAAACATGCGCGTACGGCGTAACATAACTCATATGTGGCTTCATTCACAGGACTGTGTCTTAGTTAGATACAAAACTCTTTGGTCAATTTATACTATGAATGTACATGATATATATGCATCGCAACACACGAATTCCACAGTGGCCGAAAGACTAGGAATTGACTACAGACCAAACAACAGCAAACCGTCTCTCCCATCCTTTTCTCACCATCGACTTGAACTATTCTCACAACCACTACTATTTCCAGGCCAAGAGACCAGCACCACACCTCCCTCCCACCTCAACCTCGGACTTTCTCCCCCTTTTCTCCCTCCACCTTCTGCCCCCCAACACCCCCCGAAGCCAACACCCCCTCCTCCCCCGAGCCCTCACTCGCCGAAGCCCCCGGAACCGCCGCCTCCACTCTCCCAGTCTCCACATCCTTCTCTCCCGCAGCACCCGCAGCATCCACCCGCACCCCCTCCCCCTCCGCCTCCCTCTTCTTCCTCTCCTTCAACGCGGAATCCCCCTGCTCCGCCGCCGTGCGCATGGGAATCTCCTCCTCGAGGAACGTCAACAGCAACGCGACGGCACAAAACGCCACACAAACCTCCCACACATTCCGCATGGCACTCGTATAGGCCCCCACCACCTCCTGCCTGACCCCGTCCGGCAAGGCCTTAATATACGCCGCCGAGACATGCGAATACGCGCCACCGCCCTCCAGCTGGGCCCGCACCGCGGCATCCGACACGCGGGACTGCACGTAATACGAGACCCGGCTATTAAAAATCGCGGAAGGGATGGCAATGCCCCAGATGCTCCCGAAGGCCCGCAGATACGCCCAGGTCGCGGAGGCGGGCACCAGGTCCTTGGGGGGGTTGGCGCCCTGCACGGCGGGGAGGAAGGTGGTCAGCAGGATGCCGCCGCCGAAGCCGGCGATCATCTGGTAGAGGACGACTTTGGCGAGCGAGGAGTCCGCGTCGTAGTCGATGTAGAGCCCGGTGCCGAGGGTCATCAGGGCGTAGCCGAGGATGTGGATGGGTTTGTAGCGGCCGAAGTGCGAGAGGGCGACGCCGGAGAGAATGGCGGCGGGGGCGGCGATGAGGACGCTGGGGAGGAGGAGGACGCCTGAGCGTTGCGGGGAGACGAGGAGGACGCCTTGGAAGTACACCGGCAGGAAGTAGGAGCGCCAGTAGGTGAGCATGGAGGACAGGAAGGTGTTGATCAGGGTGACGGCGCTGGTGCGGTTGCGGAACAGCCGGCCGGGGATGGTGGGCACGCGGCAGAAGCGCGGCCAGGCTTCGAAGGCGTGGAAGCCGGCGAGGCCGGCGAAGCCGAGCAGGAAGGGCACGAGGATGTGCCAGTCCGACCAGGCGTAGACGGTGTCGGCCCAGGAGAGGGCGATGAGGATGGCGACCATGGCGCCGATCAGCATGAGGTTGCCGATCCAGTCGATCTGCCGGATCTTCTGCGCGAAGGTGAACACCCTCCGGAAGGTGACCTGCAGGAAGATGAACTGCAGCACCAGCGTCACCCCCCCCAGCGGCAGGTTCAGCCAGAACACCCAGCGCCAGTGCCCGCTCTGCGCGATCGCGCCGCCGATGACGGGCCCGATCGCGATCCCGATCCCGAACGTCCCGAAGATGATCCCCTGGTACTTGCCCCGTTCGCGTACCGACACCAGGTCGCTGATGATCAGGTTCGTCATCGTCCCGATCCCCGCGCCCCCCAGCCCCTGCACCAGCCGGCCTGCGATCAGCATCGCCGTCGAGTTCGCCCCGCCGCTGATCCCGCTGCCCAGCGTGAAGATCGCCACGGCCACCATCGCCGGCCACCGCCGGCCGAACACCTGCGCGAACTGCCCGTAGAAGGGGATGAAGACCGTCGAGGTCAGCAGGTACCCGTTGACGAACCAGGTGTAGTTGGACCCGGCGTTCAGGGAGGAGGTGATCTCGGGCAGCGAGGTCGACGTGACCGTCGATTCGAGGGCCGAGAAGAGGGTGGCGATGCACAGAGGAGGAAAGATGGTCCAGAACCGCCAGCCTCGCGCAGCAGGCTGTGGTAAGGGAGGGGGACGTGGTTGCGCTGTCTGACTCATTGTGTTGGGGGTAAGGATTTGCAGGAATTAGGGTAGCATGATTAGATTGCTTGGAGTTGACAAGACGGGGAGGATGGCTGTTTAAACCCAGTCTCTGCTCTAGATTCCTACTCTACTTGGGTTTAAGGGGGAATCGGCGTTGCGAGTACGGGGCGATCGGGCTTGGGGGAAGCTGTTGTTGTTTGATCGAACCTCGGTGTCTGGCAGTGTGGCATGCATGCATGCATGCATGCATGCATCGGCTGCAGCCACGGAGTTTAGGATATAAGATTCGTTAACTCCATGAGACAGAGAACAAAGAACTGCACGCAATGCACCTTTCTGTCATGCGATCAGAGTTGCGTTGTAGTTTTTCTATCCTGCTGCGATGTCTGACTACTCTACTACAGCCTCTCGCCATCGGTATCTTCCCTTGTGTGATGCCACCCCTGTCATCATCCCATCTCATCCATCCTCACACTCCGTCTCCGACTCTGACCACGCATCCCTGCACCACCCCCCCCCAAACACTACCATCCGACATCTCTCCACCCCAAAGCCTCTCCTCTCATCCTCCACCCACCTAATCCTCCTACCCCCCCGGCACAGATCAATCAAATCTTCAAAAACGTCGCCGTCGCACAAACAAACATCACCCAAGCCGGCACATTGACCGTCAGCATCCGCGTAAAATTATTGCCCAACCACCCACGCAGCGCATCATAGTTCTTCGTCCCGATATGCTCCTTACTGGAGATGCGGGCATTCCACATCATCGAATAGGTGCCAAAGTAGAAATGCAGGATGGAGAAGACGCCGCCGGCGGCGTAGAAGGCCTTGGTCTGCGGGTGGAGGCCGGCGCCGGGAGCGCCGAACGCGTTGATGAAGGCGATGATCAGGGCGAACGGGTAGGACAGGATGATCACCCACTTGGTCGGTTTGGCGAACTCGGCGAACCAGTCCACCACGACGTGGGCGCAGATGTCGTTGGGCTTGCGGAGCAGCGGCGGCGCCAGGAAGGAGCGGAAGGCGTTCTGCTGGTCCCAGGCGCACATCAGCGACGCGGAGGAGATCATCAGCGGGCTGAGACGGAGGAGGGCGGTGGCTAGGTTGGTGGTTGTTAGGGGGGTGGAGGCGTAGTCTGCCATTTTTGTTTTGTGCTTCGGTGGAGGTGAACAATAGGAGAGTTTTGTTTTGGCCGTGTAGGTATTGCAGCTGTTGCGATCTGGGTAATGTAGGGTGGGGATTTGTTGGTGTTGGTTTGGTGGTGGTTATATAAAGTGCTGCTGGGCCGAAACCCCGACCGTTCTACGCCTACCCCGAACGCCGAATGAATTACCCTCAATTTACGAAACGATGAAGAGATACCATTTGATTCACCTACGAAACTCAGCTTCGGTCGGAAAACACACATCGAAACCAAGGACATCCATCGTATGATCGATCCACCGCCCATCTACTCCTCCTTCTTCACCCACGCCGCCGATCCCGTCGGCAGCGCAGTCGACAGATCCAACAACTCGTCGTACCCGGGGTAGGTCGACTTGTCGTCCACGATGTTGACCACCTCGTTGTTGTCGACGTACTTCTCGATCCACGACAGCGAGACCACGGTGTGCGCCCGGTTGACGTAGGGCTCCTCGCTGGCCTGCAGCGCCTGGAACTCCGGGTCGTGGTTGACCTTGTTGAGTTCCTCGAAGCTGCGGAAGTAGAACTCGATGGTCACGTCGTGGTCCTGGGGAGTTCAATGGTTAGTCTCTTGGGGGTGCTGAAGGGCAGTAAAGGGGAGAGGCCGGGCTGGTATGTACATCAATCACCCAGCCGCGGTTGTTGCGGCGGTTCATCTCGTCGACGAAGGTCCGGTAGGCTGGTGGGGAGTAGCACTATTGTCGTGTGTCAGGTGGGAATCCGCAATAGCATCCAGGGTCTTATGGAGTTGGATTTACCTGCTGGTAGGCGTAAATCCCATGCTTCGCATGCAGCTTGGCCGCCTTGACCACGTAGTCGCGGGCAAAGTCATGGCCCTCCCCACCCTGGCGGGCTTGCCCTTTGTAGAGTTTGATGGTGAGGCGCAACAGGCGCTCGGTCCGACCTGTCGTTTGAGTCATTATATTGAGGATTGTTAAGTGTGAATTGTCCCAACTGTATGAACGCAAATGGATTTGTGTTGTTTACTCCTGCAGCATGGACAGAGGTAGCATTTAAATACTCAATTAGGGCTTGGGCGGGGTGGCCGGAGTTAACGGAGAGAAGCCTTATCTCAGGAACCCCTAAAACCCACCCCCTGGTCAAGCTTTGATGTCCGATCTGCCTAAAAAGGCTAAATCAAGGACATATCACATCAGGAACTGTCAATCACATTTCATGTTTCACATTTAATGCCCTCCTCCCAAAATAGTCGCGCATCTTAACTCCAACCGGCATAGTTTCGGCGGTCGGCGATGGCATGACACCATCGCCACCACGAGATCTCACCATCCGACTGACCAACTAAACTAAACTGAACTAACAACTAGAGATGAATCTTACGCTCAATCCCGAACATCCGATCCAACCAGGCAAACGACTTGGTGGTCAGCACCGTGAACGCCCCCACCTTGGACTGCAACCCGCCTTCGGCCGTGTCCTCCGCCACCCACATCTCCTTCTGATCCAGGGGGACATTCACCAGCTCCTCGAAGATCCGCTGCGTGCTGACCTCCGGCTGCGAGTACAGCGAGAAGCGCGCCCCGGTGACCAGCACCGGACAGCGGATGCGGGGCAGGAAGCCGACCCCGTCCGAGGTGCCCAGCGTGTACTCCTGCATGCGGCGGAGCATCTGCGCCGCGGTGGGCACGCCGAGCATCCAGCGGCCAAAGTCGAACTCCCAGCGCGTCATGGGGTTGAAGCGGCCCAGCAGGCCGAACACGTAGTCCCAGCCGGCGTCCGGGACGAACCCGCCCGCCACAAACGTGTTGGTGACGGGGTCGGGCATGCGGCTTTTCAGCAGGTCGAACATGGTGTAGAAGGGGTCGACGGCGATGCAGGCGCGGATGCGCGGGTCGGCCGCGCCGCGCAGCGCCAGGTGGCCCCCCATCGAGGACCCCACCAGCGCGATGCGCGCCAGATCCAGGTCGAATTCCGGGTGCGCCGTCGCGTACCCCTCGGTGAAGTCGAGCACCTTGCCCACCACCGTCTCCCAGTCCGGCCGCATGGGCACCCCGTGTCGCCGGATCACGATCCCCTGCCCCGGGCCCTCGAAGGTGAGCACCGCGTACCCCAGCTCGAGCGCTGCCATCGGGAAGATGTAGAAGATCTCCTCCTGCGTGGCATCCGCGCCGACGGTCTGGATCAGCAGTGGTAGTTTGCCGCCGGGCAGTCGGGTGGAGGGATGGGGCAGGAAGACGTAACCCGGGAGGTCGAGCCCTTCCTCGTAGGGGATGTCCACGCGGTGGTAGCTCCAGTCGAACAGGGCGGCCGCCCGGCTGAAGTTGGAGATCGCCGCCTCGGAGGCCGTCAGCAGTCGTGAGTCGGTGCCGGGCAGCCCGTTGAGCATGAATTGGGCCGATCGCTGGTAGTTGGCGACACGGAGGTACGCCCGTCGCGCCGCCACGCGGTTCCCGGCCAGCTCTGCCTCCGTGGCCAGCGCTTCAGCTTTGTCGGCCGCCTCCATCCATGCTGCGTACCAGCTCTCCACGTCCTGGTCTTTGATGCGGGCTACCGCGGTGAAGAACTCGGCAATCTCCCCGCCTTCGTGCGCGGTGAAGCTGAGTAGACGGAGAGCCTCGAAGTTGAAGAAGTCGGACCTGAAGAGACGGAACATGGTGAGTCGTGGGATGGTCAATGCAAGGCGCAAGGGCTGTAACCATCACTTGAATAGAATCAAGGGGGGACTCTTTCAACGTTTTGAGTATGGGTTTGAGAGTTCGCCAGGTAGGCAGCTAGTCGTATGGAGGGATCGGAATTCGGAGCAGTGCGTGTCTTATGTTCGGCAATCAGACTCTATCGCCGGCTATCATCAACCACAGGTTAAGAATCGTCAATGAACAGGACTCGAGGTCGAGGGTGGCATGATCTTCCTATTTTCTCCCTTCCATCCTACAGACACGGTCAGATCAGTGTAATCGAGAAAGAATGTCTGAATTTACCTATCGCATCCCGCGTGTGCAGCGGGCGCTCGTGGCGACGGGGCCGGGGAGTCTAGCCCTAAAGCCCGTGCCTGTTCTCAAGCCCGCGGGCGATGAACTGCTGGTGCGCATCGCCGCCGTCGCCCTCAATCCGTCCGACCACAAGCTCCTGGATCAATCAACGACCGTTGGGGCAGTCAGCGGGAGCGACTTTGCGGGGACTGTCGTCCGCGTGGGAGGCGATTCGACCGCCCGCTTCCAAATCGGCGATCACGTCTGTGGGATCATCTTCGGCGCCAACCCCGGCAACCCCCGCAACGGCGCCTTCGCCCAGTACGCCGTCGCCACCGCCGATTTGTGTATGCACATCCCTTCCTCCATGGGATTTGCCGAGGCTGCCTCTCTCTCGATGGGCCTACTGACCGCTGGGCTGGCCTTTCGCTCGCTGGGCCTGGACTGGTCCCGACTGACAGAGAGCCCCGACGAGAACGAGACACCCGACCATTCGAATGATTCAGAGAACCGAGAATATGTGCTAGTGCATGGAGGTGCCACCGCTACGGGGACGCTTGTCATCCAATTGTTGCGGATGGCCGGATACGCGCCCATTGCAACTTGCTCGCCCGCCAGCTTCGATCTGGTGCGCAGCCGGGGCGCGGTGCAAGTGTTCGACTACGCTTCGGCCTCGTGCCACGAGGAGATCCGCGACTACACCCAGGATCGCCTCCGATATGCGCTGGACTGCATCAGCAACGTCGAGACCATGACTCTCTGTTACGTGGCCCTCGGGGACGCCGGCGGTCGGTATTCGGCGTTGGAGTACTATCCCCGGGCGCTGACGATCCGCCGTCGCGACGTGGAGCATCAGTGGATTCTAGGATGGACCTTGTTCGGCAACGAGGTGAAGCTCGCCGGCGCCTACCACCGGGACCCCCTCCCCAAGGACCGGGAATTCGGGCGTGTGTGGGCGGGGATTCTGGAGTCGTTGATGGAGCAGGGCCGAGTGCAGCCCCACCCGCTGGAGATCGTCAAGGGCCCTTTGTCGCTGGCGATGGAGCAGGTAGACCGAATGCGCCATGGCCGTGTCAGGCGGAAGAAGGTTGTTGTGCAGATCCGATCTAGCTAGGGGATGAGGCGATACTAGATAGAGTACCTGCAACGACCGATAACATATATCATTGCTTTCCAGACCTCACTTATGCATTGAACGGAACATAGCAGGGAGCTACGAGTCATGGCTCACTTTCTGGCAGCTGCTGGCTTGGGGCTCGCAGGCCTTATAGGCTACTACCTCGTGAACAGTATCTATGTACTCTTCTTCCATCCGCTGGCGGGCTATCCCGGCCCCAAGCTCTGGCTCATCACACGGATCCCCAATGCGCGCGCGCTCCGCAGTGGCCAGCTAATGCACCGCATCCGTGCATTCCACCAGCAATACGGTCCCGTGGTGCGCTGGGGCCCCAACGAGCTGTCCTTCGTCTCCCCGGACGCCTGGCGCGACATCTACGGCCACCACGGACCGGGCAAGGACTTCGCGCGCAACCCACTCTGGTATCCGCGCGCTGCCAACGGGGCGCACAACATCCTCTCCGCGGACAACATCACCCACGCGCGCATCCGGAAGCTGGTGGCGCAGGGGTTCTCCGAGAAGGCCCTCCGCGAACAGGAGCGGTTCATCCAGTGCTACGTCTCTCTGCTGGTGACCAAGCTGCAGGCTGCGGCCGCCGCGCGCCGCCCCATCAACATCGGCGAGTACCTGCAGTACGCGACGGTGGACATCGCGGGGGACCTGATCTTCGGCGAGCCGTTTGACTGCGTCGCCAAGGAGGAAGCCCACCAGTGGGTGAAAGTGACCTTCGGCTTCTTCCGGCGGCTGCTGGGCGGGGCGTCTCTGCTGATGGTGGCGCCCTACCTCCGCCCACTGCTGCCCTACCTGGTCCCCAAACGGGTGCAGGAGCAAGCCCGTCAGCGCTTCGCCTTCTCGTGCGCCAAAGCCGCCAAACGCCTCGCGCTGGGCGAGGCCCCCGACCGCAACGACCTGATCACCTACATCTGTCGGTACAACAACAGCCCGGACGAGGCCAAGGGGTCCATGACCATGTCCCGCGCCGAGATCGAGGCGACGGTCGACATCCTCATGAGCGCGGGCAGCGAGACCACCGCCACCGCGCTGACGGGCACGATCCAGTATCTCCTGCGCAACCCGCACACGCTGGCCAAGCTGCAAGCGGAGGTGCGCGGGTCGCTGCGCTCCGCGGACGAGGCCATGAGCATCACCCACACCGCCGCCCTGCCCTACCTCAGCGCCGTGCTGCACGAGGGCCTCCGCATGTGTCCGCCGGCGCCCTCCATCCGGCCTCGGTTGGTGCCCGCCGGCGGGGCGTTGATTAGTGGGGGATTTGTGCCAGCTGGTGTAAGCCTAGTTCCTCCCCACTCCTTTGATTGAGTTCTCGGGTCCAGGTAACTAACTAAACGCCACGACCTCGCACAGACCTCCGTCGGCATCCCCCCCTGGACTGCCTTCCGCTCGCCCGCCAACTTCGGCCAACCCGACGACTTCATCCCCGAACGCTGGCTCCCGGCCACCCGAGAGGGCGGCGGCGTGGCCATCCACCCGCACGAGGTGCAAGCCTTCCAGCCCTTCTCCTACGGGCCCCGCGACTGTCTGGGCCGTAGACTGGGGTGGGCCGAGCTGCGCGTGCTGCTGGCTACGCTGGTGTGGCATTTCGACTGGGACAATCGCAGCACCGACGCGCGGTGGGAGGAGCAGGTGGCGTTTGTCATGTGGGAGAAGCATCCGCTGTTCTTGGAGTTGACACAGGTGCAGACATAGGGGGTTCTTTTGCAGATGAACTGGCACTGCACGTATCCTTGTGGTTGTCCTTGCCCTTGGCGGAGCAAGATATATGTCCGCATGGTTTGGATGACCGGGACCCCCGGGATTTGGTATTTGGAGAAAGGGTGTGCGCGAAGGATAGCAAACGGTCGGGTGTGCTGCTTGGCATATCGTTTTCTTGCAATATAGCGGATGTGCCTTGATAAGAGATAGGGTAGAGATGGATAGTACATACGACCACAGGGTGTGGAAAATAGGGCTTCCCGTCCGCTCAGCCGTACTCAAGCCACACGCCGGGAGGTTAGTAGTTGGGTGGGTGACCACCAGCGAATCCCTTCTGTTGTATGTTTCTGTTATTCTCTGAATTGTATCCAAGTTTTCTCGTTTCTGCCCTGCTTCCTCTTTGACTTTTCTTTTTGTCATAAGTCATCTCAACCCATCAGCGGTACCCACCATCGCCATTCATGCCACCAGACCTCTGCCTCGCGCCCCTCACCGGCCTCGAGCATGGAGCGCATTCCAGTCTATGGCTTCCAACAAAAACCGATCCGCATCTACATCCATAGCCCCTAGTCCAGACATATCAGGGTACCCCCACGGGTCCAACCCAGTCGCGTCGAGCCCGCCCGCGCCGTCCGCCGGCCCAGGCGCAGGCGCAGCGAAGTCCATCTGCACCGGCAGTTGGAGACGATCGGCATTCACCCCGGCCGCCGCAGCCGTATCCCGCCCGAAACTGGTCTTCATTTGCAGGACCTGATTCCTGATATGCTCGACCATTCCGGGCGGCACCAGCGGCGGCGTCCCGAGCGGCTCGGCCACCTCCTCCCGCGCCTCCCACGCCTGCAAGACCACCCGCGCGAAGACGACGAAGAACGGCCGATCGTGCTGCTTCGCGTCCATGATCCGCACCGCGTAGTTGTCGCTCATGGCCGCCCACGCGCGCGCGGCGTGGGGCTCGACGGGCCGCTTCCTCAGATCCTGCAGCAGGTGGAGGTACGCCGGGAACGGGAAGTGGAAGTGCACCAGCCACCGGTAGGGCTGCGTGAGCGGCGAGGTCATGAGCGTAGTGTCGCATTCGAGCATACGCAGGGCGTGGGCGATGCCCGTGTTGCGCTGGGCGTCGGTCGGGGGGACGGGGGTATTGGAGGATTGGGCGTAGTAGTGCTGCAGGAGCCGGTTTTTGGCCAGGGATCCTCGCAGGGTCCAGAGGGTCATGAAGTGCAGAGCGTTCTCCGGGTTGCTGAAGGCCAGGTACTTTTCCTGCAGGGTTCGTTCTAGAGCGACTAGTCGGTTGGCTTCGTCGCTGGGGGGACGCGGGGCGATCGCGGTGAGCGAGGGGTTGGTCAAGTTGAGGTGGAAGGCGCTGTGACGCACGAAGTCGGCGAGCTCGCTCCGCACCACGGCAAACAGCATCTCCGTGGGTCGGGTGTTGGTGGCGGGTGGGCTCTTCATCCCCGGCTGCAGCTCGAAGTCGTTCACGTTCAGCGGCACCTTGCAGTCCCAGGTCGGCGCCAGCGAGGCCGTCCTGTAGTCGGACATCTCGCAGATGCGGTTGTCGAAGACGATGAGCGACCACCACAGTCGTCGGCGCATCTCCGCCTCCAGCGCCGAACATTTGCCGTACGTGGACTCGTTGTGGATGCCCATGCGCTGCGCGATTCGGATGGCGATGCTCAGCAGCGAGGACAGCGAGGCGGGGTCGGTTTCAGGGCGGATCGAAACCTGCATCCCTGACTGAGTACAGTACATTCCCACGGCATCCATCTCCTAGACTTACTAGGTAGAGATAGAGGGCGGTCAGAGTCTCGCGGTCGCTGGAGCGTAGAATACCGCCACTGCGTAGCGCCTGCTGGCACGCAAACTGATAGCCGCTCAAGAGTTCTGTTTTGGCGGTTCCGAGCAGTGCATTGCATTGCTCATCCGACAAGGTGGCAAGGGAGACGCAGTAGATGCTGAACATCAGCGCTTGGAAGGTGGGGCTGATATTGGCGATATCACTGGCGGCATCAATGATTCGTGTCTGCAGAGTGGGTGTGTGTGTGACTTTGAGCAGCGGATTCACGTTGTCCAGGTAGACCTGCCACAGCCGGAAGATATGCACTTGGCTTGGATGTGCAGCAGAGAGATTGACTATGCCAACCGGCGAGCCAAACAGAAGGTGGTCGTTGTTTTGGCCCTGAAACATGTGGTGCCACGCCTTCTGGATTACGGCGGGCCGCACATCATCGTTATCGTGCAGGAAACCGGTGTCATTCTCGTCGTCCTCGCCCGCGTTGCCATCGTCGTCTCCAGGATTGACAGGCTGCTGCGGTTGTCAGTGAGGGCTCAGCCCGGTCCACGCAGAGTTCTTTCCTACCTCCTGGGCCATCGCATGCCAGAGGTTCCTATCAGAGAATTAGTTCTCCGCGGACTAGTGAGGCAATGCAGGACCCGAGTTCATACAATGACTTGGTCTTGACTGCGGTCTTCTCTCTCGATGCATGCGCCTTTGTATCACCAGGAGTGTCCTCTGACTCGGCTCCCTCTGGCAGGTCGTCGCGGCCATAATCACTGGGAGTCGGATGGTCAGCGGTCGGGGAGTGGAGGGGATCGAACTTGATGTTGTGTTGTCGGAGGAGGCGTTCATAGAGTCGCAAACGGGCCAACAACTCTCTCTCGGGAAGTCTGCGCCGTCGCTGGCGAATGGCTTGCTCGCATTGCATGTTGCCCCGGACACAATTGGCACAGGGGAATGTGCGGTCGCATTTGATCTTGCGTTGCTGACATAGCACGCACGCCAGCACGCGCTGGGGCTTGACGGTGGTGGTGGTGTTGGTGGTGGTGGCTGTGTGATCAGATGGAGAGATTGTCGTGGCCATGGCAGAATACGAGACTGTGGATCTGATTGCCCGAAACCCGAGTCTGTTGGGTTAAGTGAAGAACAGAAGAATGAAAGGGTAGGTGGTAAACAGGAAGAGGAGATAGTCGGGTTTTATAATGGCCGAGGAACCCCGCCACATCCGAGCCTCGGACTTTCTGGCCCCCGACCACTTGTGGCCGGTGAATTCCGCAATGTCTTCACCACGCCCCTCTGTCTTGGACAGCAGCAAGTCGAAGTGCTCTATAGACGCCCAAAGATGGGAATCTACCAGACTAACTTCTAGGACGAAGGACTAACCCAAGCCGGAGGCCCTTCAGCCCATGCCAGGCTTCCTGAGAATCAATCCCCCATTAGGGTTGTCTGGCTGCCTGTTTCGGCTTTCATCCCTAAATCGCTACTGTACTTCACTAAACTAAACCAGATCATGATTTCATTACTCAGAGCTTAGCATCAATCAGTATATCCCCTATAGTACTAATACCTGTATCTCCAAAATTTATGGGCTATGCCTAAAATCAACAATCAATGACAATACATCGACGATGTTTATCACCTTCTACCTACATGGTTGACAGCAAAAGGCTAATGGGGTTTGATAGTCAGAGAGGCTGCTCCTGCTAGACGTTCCAGAAGCTATTTTGTCTAGGTGTAAAAGTAGCCTGTCCTATACCAACTTCGTGCTGGAAGAGGGAAAACTATTTTAAAACAGTATAACTTAAAACTTCGAACTCGAAACCCCGTTGTAGGTATTACAGTTCGCTTCTTTCAACCTGGAGAGACAAGGGGAGTGATGAAACAAACTTTAGATAAATTGTGTCGGTGCTAGCCTGCTTAATCCCAATCGCCATCCAAAAGGTCCGCGACCTTCTTCCCCGCTAGAATATCCGCATGAATCTCTTCGATTGTCCACATCTTGAACTTGTGACCCGGGGGGAAGTTCGTGTTCTGGAAATCCGTGCCGAGCACGAGATGCGAGTACGCCTGGCCGTACTTCTCGTAGACATACGCCTCCGGATCATGCTGGAACAGCCACTTCGGAAACCGGACCTTGACCTTCTCGGGGTCTTTCGTGAGAACCTCATTCATATCGGCCGCCCCCAGGTTCTCGGAGTTGACAAATGACATCTTCTGGACGCAGCTGACCCGCTGATAGCGCAGGAGATTGTAGATCCGCGCCCCCAGCGGCGCACCCCCCGGCGCACCCCCGGCACACGCGAGCTGCAAGCAACCCGCCAGCGTGACGGCATCTTCGATCGCCAGGGTGCCGCCGCTGATCGACGCCGGCACGGTGGTGTGCGCGGCGTCGCCGACCTGCACCACGCGACCGCCGGGGGACGTCCACTCGCGCCGGAGATTCCGCCACCGGAGCGGCCAGTGGACCGTGGCGCGCGGGGGCGTGTGGCGGACGAGCCCCTCGATGGCCGGATCCCAGTCCGGGATGCGGTGCAGGACGTCCAGCACCTCCTGCGGATCGACGTCCGGGTCCCACGACTCGATGGGCTCGTTGCCGCCGGGCTGCAGGAACTTGTCGCGCGGGGTCAGCCCGTAGGCCACGAAGGCCGGCGAGATGAACAGCCCCAGGTGCATGCCGGGCCCGATCCAGAACTCGTGGTGGGAGGCCCCGCGCGCCACCGCCTCGCCCCAGCGCGCCTGGAAGGCCGGATCCCGCAGGGCCAACTCCGTGGGCAGCGCCGCGCGGTACACCGACATGCCGCTGGAGCGCGCGGGCGCGTGCCCGCCCGCAATCAGCAGGTCGGAGCGCGTCTTGAAGGCGTCCGCGGCGACGACCAAGTGCGCCACCCGCACGCGGCCGTCCGCCGTCACCACGCCCCCGACCCCCGCGGCCTCGTCTTCGAAGTACCGTTCCACCCGCTGCCCGTACTCGACTTTCAGGCCGACGCGCGCAGCCTGGCGGAGTAGCATGCGGTAGAACTTGCGGCGGATTTGGTGAGGGGCCACGTAGGGCAGGCCGTGGCGCTGGGCGAGGTGCTCGGGGCTGTTGTAGCCCAGCGTGGTGGGGCCCAGAATCAGCTCCCCGTTGTGCCGCCGGTAGTACATCACGCTGTCGGATCGATCTTGGTCGAGCTCGCGGCAGATCTCGGGCCAGTGCCGCAGTGTGCAGATGGCGGAGGGGCCGATGACGATGATGTCTCCTGGCGATGACACGAGTCAGTACGTTGACTATGGGCTCCATCGTGTCTTATGGACGGTGGGATGAGAACAGACCGGTATAGACAGGCCCGAGGCTTCGTTCCAAGATTCCCACCACGTTATGCCCTTTCCTCCAGCATTCAAGCGCCGTGATCAGTCCCGCTAGCCCGGCCCCGACGATCAGCACGTTGAGGTGTGTGGTGGGAGATCGTGGCGGAAGCTCGCCTGGAGTGGACGACCACTTTGCAGGGTCGAATTCCTCCTTGTCCCCATGGGTGAGATACTCGTTTGACACCATCCTCGAAGGGTGCAGCGCAGGGTACTTGCGAGCGGATGATGCCGTGGGTGAGGAAATTACAAACCATATATCACCCTTCGTGCATCGTATCAGGGAACCTTGTTGGAGACTCTGATGTTCTTATTCTGGCGTCAGCCTCGTAACCGGCTTTTCAGATTTCAGTTGGTGGCATAGCGTCCGACTCGCTCAAGCCCGGCTCTCGGAACCCGTCGTCGATTCGCGTGGTCGGGACATTTATATCTCGCGGGAAGACACATCATCCCGGGTACGGCACAGGAAGAAAAGTGTGGCTATACTATCCCCCGATGGCTGATTGGCAAAGTCGTCGTGATAGTACACCGAATTGGAGTACCTTCAATCATGGATTCTGGTTATGATTCAGGAGAATGCATTCATCTTCTCCAAATAGCTATTCCTACCCGGTCAGTCAATTCTAACGGACGATTTCAAACTACCCGTTCGCCTGCCCGTTCGCTACAAGTGTGTTGCGGCATAGCCCAAAGTGAACAGAAATGTCTTTTTGCTGGAAATAATATATGATTACCAAGGATTCAAAGTTTGGATTCAAAGATTGAAAACAAAGATTAAATCTAAGAGCACACCTCTTCATCTTCCTTGCACATCTCTCTGAACCACGCGACCAGTCGAGAATTCATCCCTCTTTGAGTATACACTGCCTTGAACCCTTATATGAAGCATAGAAAGTCATACCTCGTCTTGCCTAGATCATGACCTTGTGTAATGCAAGACCAAACAGTCCGTCGCAGCTTACTATGATAAGGATGCGACGGTGTGGGAGGATATCAACCCGCTGGCGTATTTCGCGTCGTGGTCGGCGGGGCCCGGTATTCCCTCAGAGGCCGGTATCTGTGGACGCATTGGGACGTGGGTGAGTTACATGCCCTCAAGGACCGCGTGGCGCGGAAAAGGAGCTTTTTGACGATTGGGCTGGTGGTGTAACTAATTCTGGGGTAGTACGGTACATCTATAACATAGTGGATTTGCCATATTGTTCCAACTGGAACGTTCGGACCAGTAATATATCTGGGCAATGCATGATCATATTCCAGACATTCTCTCGATGCGCGTCGCTAACCTGACAAAGACATATCCGTTATTGCACACTTGCCGCTCACGGCACTTTCTCACATTTCCTTCCGGGCCATATATTTGCAGAACAGGCCCACGGGCAGACTCGGCCCCGGCGCGTTCAGGTCCGTCTTGCGGTCGAAGTGGGTGCTGGGCTGCCCGTTCGCATCACACCCGCTCCACTCATACATCGCGAGAGCATACGCAAGGATGATGTTCAGCTGGACCTTTGCCCACCGCATGCCCAAGCAGGGGTGTCGGCCTTGGCCCCATCCGACGACTGGAGCTCGTCAATATGCGCGGCCCAACAAAAAGCGGGGGGATTCAACTTACAGCCGTAGACCTCCTTCTTAAACTCCTCGCGGCCCTCGCGGAAGCGATCGGGGTCGTACTTGTACGGATCCGGGTATAAGTCGGGGTTGAAGTGGACCTCGGTGGTGTTGTACGCGGCGAAGGTGCCGGCGGGGACGACCTCGTCGGTGCCGGGGATGGCGACGGCGTGGGGCGCCATGTTGAGGCGGATCATCGGGAAGGCGACCCACATGCGGATGGCCTCCTTGAAGCAGAGGTCGATGGAGGGGAAGAAGGTCTCCCAGGCCTCGAGCGGGATGGCGTCGAGCTGGTCGACCAGGGGCGCGTGGGGGTTCGGCGCGTGCGCCTGCGCGACGGCCTTGATCTCGCGGTAGATGCGCGCCTGCCAGTCCGGGTGGTGGGCGAGGATGTTCAGCATCGCGCCGCTGAGGTAGCCGGCGTTGGCGGAGGCGATGAACAGCGTCGAGATGAAGAAGGCCACCATCCACTCCGGCGGGTCGCCGCGGTCGAGCATGTACTGCACCACATCGTCCCGGCGCGGGGCAGCTTGTTGCAGCCGGCGCTGCACGATCGGCGTCACGATGCGGCGGAGACCGTAGCGGCCCCAGTGGCGCTTCAGCTTGGCCAGTGAGGGGAGGTAGGGGAGCGCCACCGTGTGGATGCTGCTGGTGTGCATCAACAGCGACAGCACGCGCTGGGTCTTCGCGACCACCGCCGGGTCGTCGGCGATCTCGTCGCTGCACACCACGCGACAGGCCTGCTGCACCACCAGGCGATAGCACGCCTCTGTCGGGTTCATGACGCCGGAGGCGTCCTGGCGCAGCGCGGCGAAGGCCACGCGTGCGTCCCTCGTCACGCCGGGGAGACGTTTCCCCAACTGCTCGGATTTCTGCACGTCCAGCAGGCGGCGCTGGAAGTAGGTTCGGCCGTTCTGAAAGTTGCCGAGGAAGATCGCGTGCAGCGGAGGCACGACGTCCGGGCCATGGCCGACCAGCGGCGCCCCGTGCACGAAGTCGAAGTTAGGGTTGTCGAGAAACACCTTGCGGGCTGCGGCGCCCGACACGCCCACAACGTGGTACTTGCCGAGCCAGAAGCTGAACTGCCCGGTTTTGCTCTTGGCCACACAGTCTTGCCAGAATGCCCTACATGCGTCATTAGACACTAGTGAGGGCGGGAGAAAGCCAAATGCCTACCACTTTTGCGTGAAGAAGCTCCATGATCCCACGAGGGGCACCGTGTTGGGAGTGAATTGGGGCGATTTCCGGTCGACAGGAGGGGTGTACGAGAGAAAGACAATGTAGGCGAGAAAGGTCGTCACGCTCGCCACCAATCCTGTTATCGCTGCTTTCACCGGCAGTTCGAAACTATTGAACTTATCTGTGTAGGTCGCATCCATGTTGAATTGATTGTTCAGGACACAAGGGAAGGGCACACGGTTGCCCGGTGATTTGAGACAACAACCCTAGTAGCTTATGTACTGTACCCTCAGCTACAAAATTCCAAGAGTGCAACTGGTCCAACTAGGCACCGAGGCTTGCAAGCCAGTCTGATCGTCTTGAAATAATCGGGATCCGGGGGGTTTCTTCCGTGCGAATCGACGATTCCTAGCATGCAAATAACCCTTGTTGCTGCATAGCCCTAAGACCGACCGTACTGCCGGGCTCCGAGATGCTTCGAATCTCCGACGACAATAGCCCGAACCCCCTCCGCGATAAGCCCAACAGGGTTGACAACATGCACGCGCACTACTGCAAGGATTGTCACTTTTAGGTGTCATCAGAATGCTTCAGAGAATAGATAAAACCATGTAATTCTGGCATGCGTGCGACCGGTCACCGTTCCGCGATCCGATCCAGCAACCAAACACCATGCCATCCTATCTCATCACCGGCGCCAGTCGAGGGCTCGGCTACGCCTGGCTCAAGCACCTCTCCTCCAACGCCCAAAACACAGTCATCGGGCTGGTCCGCGATGAAGCCACCACGCACAACCGTCGATCAACAGATCGGCTAGCCAACGTCCATCATGTCTGCGCCGACATCACCGACCCCAGAGCGCTAGCAACCGCAGCCGAGCAGGTCCGCGACATCACCGCCGGGAGCTTGGATGTGCTGATTAACAACGCCGCCATCCTGACCGCCACCAGCGCCTTCAAACCGATCACGGACCTGTCGCCCGAGGCTTTGGAGCGAGACATCATGCATTCATGCCGCACAAATGTTGTAGGCGTGGCGCACACCGTCAACGCATTCCTGCCGTTGATTCGAAGGGGACGAGCCAAGAAAGTGATCACCATCTCGTCCCTGCTGGCGGACTCGAACCTCGTTAGACACTTCGCGCTGGACGTTGCGACGCCGTACGCGATCTCCAAGTCGGCGGCCAACCTCCTCATGGCCAAGTATCATGCATCGCTCGGAGCGACGGAAGGAATCCTGTTCATGGCACTCAGCCCCGGCGCCGTTTCGAAGCCGGGCACGGCACCAACTGAGGTCGAAGCGGAGGGAAGACGGCGCATGATCGCCAAGTTTAAAGCGTACGCGCCGCATTTCTCGGGCCCAATAACGATGGAGGAGAGTGTGCGCCGGCAGCTGGAGGTGATCGAGAGCGCGGCCGTGGAAACCCATGGGGGAGCCTTTGTCAGCCACTTAGGGAATAAACAATGGTTGTGAGGGTATCACCGAATGCTGGTCACTGCATTTCTGACCCGTAGGGACATGTGTCGTCAGCTCAGCGCAGTGGGGCTGGATGGCGGGAGTCATCGTCCCGGACCAGTTAGTGATCCAGCACGCCTTGGAGAGTATCACTGAGTGCAGGCCGGAGAAACGGGTCATCGGATTGATGGTCTTCCATGAGTATATTCGCTACGTAGTCTGTCAATTTGGTGGCTCGCCAGATACAGAGAATCAACATCAAATTGTGGCTAGATTAAAGCTACCTTGACAGGAAGATAAAAGCTCCCAGAAACACAGTCATGATGGCCAGACCAGGTGCAGACACAATCCCCGATGCCCCGGACTGCGCATCACTGGGAAACTCCAAACCCTCGCGCACGGCACCATCATTGATCCATTCCTCGATCCACCCAATTGTCATTCTATGTGGTCAGTTGAAAAACCGCCCTCGCAGCAGTGTGATAGACCTACTGGCTCCGTCGCGTGTCCGCGAAGTTCTCATGATCCCCAAAGAGATGCTCCTTGTAGTACGGATCCTCCTTCATCTTCTTGTAGTGGTCCACGCTCTCAAACACCACCTGGCTGAAACAATCATAGTCGGCGATGTTCGACATCTGGCGATCATAGATTTGGTTCATCAAGAGGCGAGTTTGCGTCGGATTGTGGATCTGCGGCCCCGTCTCAGTTCACGCGTGCACTAGATCTGAAAGCTGATACGCACCACCGTCCACCGTTTGACGCCGTATTTCACCATTAGATCTTTGGTGAGGGGCGCCGAGACCTCGATCATATGCTGCCGGTATGCCTCCTCGCTCAGGCCGGGCTTGCGGTAGCCCAGGATGGTCAGACAGAGATACCGACTGGGAGGGAGAGCCTCTGCTTCTGTCGCGGTCGCGGTCATCGTAGCCATCCGTGGTAGTTTGCGTTGGGTTTGATACTCCCAGTGCAACCAGGAGGGTATTAAATGCCCCGAATATATGGGTGAGGGAGGGGGGGGGGATGGTTCGGGTGGATTGCCAGCGTTCGGGATCCGGGCGTCGCGGTCCGCTTTCCAATATCCCGGTTAGGGTTGCCCGATCCCAAAGCTGGGGTGAGGCATATAGGTATATAGGCACTGACCCCACAGCAAGACGAACAAAAACCACTTTACACCCTGTGAACAACCCACAAAAGGCAAAACAGCAACGGCAAATCATGGGCTCCATCGACACCGTCACGCTGAACTCGCAGATCGGCCTGTCGGACGAGCACGTCGGCATCCTCGGCGACGCGGCCGTGGACAGCGCCTCGATCCAGGAAGCCAACCGGCTCCTGCAAAAGAACCACGAAAAGTGGCACATGTTCTTCCGGGATCGGGCAGGCCACAACCATATCGCACACTCCATCCTGACCTGCCTCGCGCTGGGCGCCGCGCCGGCGGACATCCAGCGCGCCTACGACGACGGGGTGGGCATCCAGCGGCCGATCCCGGCGGTCGACGACGTGACGGTCGAGCGCCTCGCCGACGAGGCGTTCTTCCTCGAGACGCTGGGCACCATCACGCAGTACACCTCGTTCCTGGTGTTCTTCCAGCGGCAGATGGACGCGCACGGCTGGCAGGCGGTGGTCAACCAGTACGTGTTCTCGCGCAGCCCGATCGCCGAGAAGATGCTGGCGCGGCTGTACGAGGGGGCCTACCACCCGGTCATCCACCTGGGCTTGGGGATCGAGTTCCAGCAGCCCAGTATCATCGCCGAGGCGCTGGCCCAGGCAGCCGCCCACGACGACAGCCACATCGGCCAGCTGTTCGAGGCGTGCGAGGCGCAGGCCGCCATCGCGTACCCGCCGCAGCACCCGAAGCCGCTGCTCCAGCTGCTGCACGAGGCCCGCGCCACCGAGACGATCCGGTCCGCCCCGCGCTGGGAGGACTTCGGCAACAAGATGCGCGACGGCGTCGTCGGCCGCGCCAAGCTCGAGATGGCCTTCCTCGGCGCGCAGTTCACGATCCAGCCCGACGAGCGCGAGCTGCGGCGCCGCACCGCCGAGATGATCAGCGTGTGCGCGTACATGGCCGGCGCCAGCCAGCGACCCGGCCGCAAGCGCAAGGTCGACTTCTTCTACATGCACACGCTCACCAGCTCCCTCTTCTTCAGCGTGCTCATCCGCCAGCACTGGATCCGCCTCGCGGACCGCGTGCGCCTCGTCGAGTGGAAGGCCCGCCTGGACCTGGCCTGGTACGTGGTCAGCGGGTCCGCCGAGCTGTACGAGGACGCCGTCACGGACTACCACGACGACTTCAGTGCGAACATGGGCTGGACGGAGTTGTATGCGGCCGTCAACAAGGAGCACGACGATGGCCACGTGGCGAAGATGATCCGCGCGCTGAAGAACGGACAGGAGGCCTCGCGCCCGTTCGAGGCGGAGCACCCCGCTGCGTTCCCGGTCAAGGGTGATATGTGGCTGAAGATTGCGCGCATGGCGCTGGACACGACGAAGGACTGGCCGACCGACCTCAAGTTTGTGAATTTTACGGGCTTTGATATGGGGTGGAAGGTCCGGCCTGATCTTGCTTAATTCTTTCGGACTCCATCCTTTCACAGTGTGACGCTATTAAACCTTTTAGATGACCTTTTGCAGACGAATGCACGCACATTGTGTACTTTAATTCATGCTCGACGGCCAAATCTGTAGATTTTAGGGGCTTCGAAATGGGGTGGAAGATGCGGCCCGATCTTTCTTACGTCTTTCGGAATTCTATACCGTAGCAGGGTGACTCTATTGCACCTTGTGCAGACCAACTCATGCGCATCGTGGATTTCGGTAATGCTCGATTATCAAGCTTAAGTCACTAGCTAGGCCCGGTGGACGGCAGATACGCATGCAAGAAAGGAAAGAAATGCCTCGCGAGACCAGTGGCAATACACATCAGGGTGCCCGCGGGGAACTTGGCCGACCCATGCTTGTTCACCACGCTGAGATTCTTCATCTCGTATCTCCCGTCCTTGTCATCCGCGGCCTCAATCATCCCCGCGGCCAGATCCAGGTACGACACGAACGACTCGTCGTGATCGAGACACAGCTCATGGCCACGTTGCGCATCCACGGCGAGCCCACCGGGCTTGATGAAGATCGTCGACACCAGATCCGCCTGCGTCCTCAGGTACGCCTCCGTCTTGCGCAGGTCCTCGTAGACATGCGACGCGGCGGTGCGAAGGATGGGGCGAAACCACCACGGCATGTGGCGGCTCAGATGGTCGTCGATCGTGCCGGAGGAGAGCAGGACGATCTTGGGGAGCGGTGCGCGCAGCTGGCCGTGGACCTTCAGCTTCTCGATCGCGGCGATGATGCTCTTCGCCGTGTCCAGGCCGACGTGACAGCCGGGCACGTTGTCGTTGGTCGTCACCACGTGGAAGATGGCGCGGGCGTCCCGGATGCATTCGGCCAGGAGATCGATGTCGTAGATGCTCCCTTCGTAGACCGTGACGCGCTTGTGGTCGGCGACCGCTGGGACCTTTTGCGACAGCTTCGCCTTGTTGCGGCAGTAGGCGTTGATTCTCGCATTGTCGGTGCGCAGCAGATTGTCGATGAGGGCAGTGCCGCAGTTGCCCGTGGCGCCGAGGATCGCGTAGGTCGACATGGTATGACAATCAGATTAGCGGTTAATGTTTCTTCGCCTGTTATTGTCGACTCTGGCCGACCAGTCCATGATCTTATCGATCGGGGTTCTTGGCCTGCCACTGGGGAATCGACTCGGGGTTCGGACATGGGCCCTGAGTATGACGATTGTCGGGAGATAGTAGTCCACGGGAGATGGGAATCAGCATATCGGGGTGTAGCGTATCCGATATGATATTTGTCATAAACCATCGTTGAGTACTTATTTGAGCAACTCCCATCTAAGGGGGCGATGAAGGAGCAGAAGATGCGATGGGCTGCGGTCGGGGGGTAGAATGTCCGGCCGGGGTGTTGTGGCCCAACCCTAACGAAGGCAGGCAGGCAATTGACAGCTCGGGGGTTACGATGTCCGACATTGTCTGCCATCAATGAATTTGACGGCGCCACAGATCCACAGCAACCAATTCGTGGCAAACTCAATCGCTGTAGAGAATCAATTGGGAAATCCGGTTGCCTGGATTGGAACTATATAAGGGAGACAGCGAGCATGGTTTCATGTCCCCATCAACCTACCAATCTACTAGCTACAACAAACTGTAGTGCAGCATCATCCTCGCATTCTATCTTACCCCACACGGTCTCTTTCTTTGACTTAAAATAAACATGGCCATCCGAGCCCTCAACCAGAACTTCCCTCCCTGGGGCTTTGCCGCCAACGCAGAAGGACCGGGCCCAACTCACCCATTCTCATCTCCTTATCCCAACCCATGGAACTTCCCACCGGGCCCGACCCAAGTCGGTCAATACAGCCACCCCTACCCATCACCCTGGGCAGCACAGGACCGTGACGGGGACGAAACCAACGAGGCCAGTGGTCCACGCAGGCCATACCCCTACCCCGGGCCGGCCAAGGGACATCCCCCATACACCTTTCCCGGCGCACCTGAGGGCCGAAAGCCATACCCGTTCCCCGGCCCTCTCGCATGGCACCAGCCACACGCCTACCCACGCCCGGCGGAAAGTCGAAAACCCTACCCTTCGCCCTGGGGGGACGACGGTGAGAAGCCGAAGCCTAAGCCCAAGCCCAAGCCGTTCCCGCGCAAGCCGTACCCCTACCCGGGACCCGCCGAGGGCCACAAGCCGTACCCGTATTCGGGCCCCATTCCCTGGCGACAGCCCTACCCGTCCCCATGGGGGGACGACGACGAGAACGACGAGGACGATGACGATGACAACGACTGCAAGCCCGCGTTCCCGCGCCAGCCGTACCAGTTTCCAGGTGTGCAACCACACCGTGCAGGCGGATTTCCTTATCAGCAGACGCCAGACACGTTCCCCGGGTTTCCGCAGGGTGGACCCGGTCAGCGAGGATGGGGAGCGAACGGGCACAGTGCACGGGGCGGCTTCGACGCACCCCACCACCCCTGGACCTTCCCCTACCCCAACCAGCCACTCTACACGTTCCCCGGGGTCAAATCAGATAACTACCAGCCAGACGTGGACGTGTTTGACACCCCCGAGGCATTCGTGATCCACGTGCCTCTGCCGGGCGCGAAGAAGGAAGATATCGAGGTCAGCTGGGATCCCAAGGCTGTGCAGCTTTGTATCTCGGGGACGATCGATCGGCCGGGTGCGGAGGAGCTACTGAAGACGATTGCGCTGGATGAGCGGCGGGTGGGCGCGTTTGAGCGCCAGGTGCGGCTGGGGAGCCTGGGCGGTGCGCCGAAGGTGGAGGGCGAGGCCATCTCGGCGAAGTTGGAGGATGGGGTGCTCGTGGTAGAGTTGCCAAAGACGGAACCGGATGATGTTGAGGTGAAGAAAGTGATGATTGAGTGAGGGGGGTTTATGTAGAGGAAGGGGAGAAGAGGCTGGGATGGATGAATCGGAATACTGCCTTAGATAGTTGAACTAGATAGTCAATGTACTTTATTTGTGCTCCCGTCTCGCTCATTGTGACTCGTAAATATTGCTGGTATCGGGACTCAGATCGCTTCCAATTACTTCAAGTTCTAGCTAAGCTACGTAGCGAAGTACACTGATGCGGCACGCTTCTCCGCCAGATGAGGAGCGGCAATCCATAGAACAAGTCGTGGCTCCACTCAACCAGGGCTAGATGTACGCACTAGACGCGTCTTACCAGTGATTGTCAAGAGCATCATGAGGGTCTTTCTGGAACTCGAGTTTCCATTTTCTTATCAGCCAAGAGGGCAGCGCGTAGCAAGACTAGAGAGGCTGGCGTGGACTGAATTGACACTGATCGTGCAGTGGCAACTGGCAAAGAAAGCTCCCCTGCCACCCTCTCTCTACATGCAAGCAAAGGGCCGATGTCTTGTAGATGACAGATATCCTGGAAATAGAAATGCGGATCCAATGGTAAACTCACATGGCTCAGCTAGAATATATTACTAATCATACTGACCCATTTACATACGAACTCATTGGGGCAGACCGGCGGTAGATGCGAAAGTATCTCTCGATCTAAAATGCTATGCCCTCACGACCACCACGATCGACCAGACTGTCACTGTAATTCCCCTAATTCCCCTAATTCCTCCCAGCAAGCCGGGTGAATCGCTCTGCGGCCAGAAACATGAAACCCGGTTCAGCCGACCTCGGGCCATTGCACCACGCGAGAATGGATTGGTTGGTGTCGCGAACCCAGAATGCCCCGAAACCCGAATCCGAATCACCCGAGCTCGGTTTCCGATGCATTCATCGCCAATCATGGATAACTATACAAGTTTGCATAGCGGCGATGAGGTATTGGATAGTGTACCCGATCTGGAAATTCACAGTTGCACGAACCAACACCAAGACCAACAATCAACGATGACGATCACGATGTCCAAGACCCCTACGTTTGAAGGTACAACCCCCACCTCCCCACTCCTCCCCTTTCAGCCACAGCATACCAACAGCTCCCAGAGATCACAAGCTGCCAGCGCGTCCTCTTCGAATGGGCCGACAGCTACGACACGAAAGACTGGGAACGTCTGCGTAAGAGCGTGGCTCCCACCCTCCGAGTAGGCCACCCCCTCCCCTTCCCAACCACCCTTTCCCCCCGTTGACTCCCCCACCCCGGCAAAGATCGACTACCGCTCCTTCCTCGACAAGATCTGGGAAGCGATGCCGCGCGACGAGTTCATCGGCATGGCCTCCGACCCGCGCTTCCTGGGCAACCCGCGGCTCAGGACGCAGCACCTGGTCGGGCTGAGCACGTGGGCGAAGACGGCCGACGACGCGATCGTGGGCCACCACCAGCTGCGCGTCGCGCATCAGCGGTACACGGACGAGAGCCGCACCGAGGTGGCGGTCAAGGGCCATGCGCACGGCACCGCGACCATGTGGTATGCCCGCGTCGACGGGGAGTGGCGGTTTGCGGGCGTGTGTCCGCAGATCCACTGGACGGAGTTTGATTACGATCAGGTGTTTGCCGAGGGGAAGGCGCATTTCGGGGAGGGCGGGGAGGGTGGGCATTGAGGGGATCCTGGGTTTGTAGGGCTAGAGGAATAGAGCCATTATTGAGTGCGCGAACGCCATTCGATGCCAGCAAGTACGGAAACTAAGATGGCAGTGGTGAGTGGTCATGTGGAATCAATGGGATCGGGGCTTGTGTATGGCAGCGAGGATCCCAATTGTTATTGCTGATACTTGTCGTGATGCATTACTTCTTGGATGTAGTTCTTTCTACAGGGCTCTCTCTGGATCGGCAGGCAACTTTTCTACTATCTCTTCTCTACCCAGAACTTATACATATCATACAGGAGGGTTAAATTGGTGAAGTTGAGGAGGATAAAGTATAAAAATATAAATCTAATGGTAAAGAAGAAGATTGGGATCATACCCTGATTTATACTCGGCCTCGGCATATACAAGGAGCTTGTATCCTTTCTGTCTTCTATATACATATCCTTCTTCCTTTAAGAAATAAAAGGGTCCCAGACAATCCGGTGGCGATATATAGAATGTTTTGTCCGTCAAAAATAGAATTGATTATATTGCTATAGTGATAACACTTATATACAAGAAAGAGTACAGTAATGAATGTAGAAACACCGCAGAGAATAGGGTTCTTCGTTGGGATAGGAACCAAACCAACTGGGCATATAGAGCTCTGCTATAGAGCTGTCCAACTCAGCCACACAACTACTATCCCTTCATCTTTCAAAGAAATGCATTCACATAGACGAAGTTGAACGTGAAACTATACTGGGGGCTACGTAAGATGCCCACTGAACTTACAAGATGATATTAAATGCTGCGCACGACACTCTGTATACGTATTGCAGATGATGAACAAATTGGCGCAAAAAGAGCTGTCACACTATTACCACCCAGATTCAAAAGCCAGTGCCAGATCTAACTATAATACTCCTCCAACCACGATCGCAAAGCCCCGATCGTAGGATACTCCAGGAACAGACTCCCGGCCACCACAATCCCCAGTTCCTCGCGGAATTTCTCGGCGATCACGAGACTCATCAGGCTGTCCACGCCCAGGCTGGCGAACGCGGCATCATCGGTGAGATCGGACTGCTCGAGACCGGCCTCGTTAGCAATTAAGACCAGAGCCTTGCCGGATGTGCTGTCGGCGTCAACAGCAGGGGTCGCAGGGGTTGCAGGGACCGCAGCGGGAGCGGCCGCAGGTGCTGGTGGAGAGGCAGGGGTCGATGCTGACGGGATGACCGGAGGAGCAACCTCGACCGCCGCAGGCTTGGGCGGCGAAACAGTAGGAGCAGACGCGGGGGCAGACACGACAGAGCCCGCGCTACCAGCAGCAGCATAGGACTTCGCGATTGACGAGTCCGGCGCGGCGAAGAACCGGTTCATGAGGATGCGGGGATAGCGACGGAACTGGATCCCTCCCACCATGCCCACAATCACATCATCCTGGAAGACATACACATCCCCCAGGTACACGGACGGATCGTCGTCGGTCGGGATCATCTTGACATACGACCGGTACTTCTGGCCCGCGACCAGCGGCCGCGCGAAGCGCATACTGTCCCATCCGGGGGTCACGCAGAATGTGTTGGCGGTGTCGCTCGCGTCGGAGACGTTCATGATGAACCCGGCCAGATGCGCCACGCTGTCGATGAAGTACGGAGGCACCGTGTAGCGCCCTCCGCCGGAGACGTGCTTGAGGGTGACGTCGGCAAAGGCCTCGAACTCGTGCATCACGACCGCTTGCATGCCCCGGTACTTGTCGGCGTACTCCACAAGGTTGTTGCCGAAGAGGTTGTACGCCATCTTGTGCGAGAAGCGGTTGGCGATTCCCTCCGCGGCGAGACGCTCGAGAGTCTCGATGCGGCCGTGCACGAGGTGGGCGAGCGGGCTCCAGGATGCGAGCCAGCCATCAGCATCGCCGTACACCACGCGGCAGGTTGCAAACGGTTCCGAGACGATACCGTCGTTGGCGACGTTCTCCCAGACGAAGTCGGCGGCCCCGGCGTTGATATCCGCTGTTGTCGCGGTGACGCGGAAGTACTGCGGTACTTTGGTGTTGCTTTGGGCGACAAGGCCCTTGGTTACCTTCAGGTCGGTGATGTTGACATGCACGGTCTTGGCCGCGGGGATGAGCTTCTTGTAGAGGTATTCACCGAGGGTGTATACGATGTCGCCATGGATGGACTATGCAGTCAGTAAGAGCCCGAGGTAGAAGGGTTGATACACACTTACGGACGTAACGACGCCACAGTTATTCATCTTGTGTCCGTGCGCAGCGGCAAGAAGATCCGGATGCATCAGATCTGACTGCATGACTACCTTGCCGGACGATCCGGAGAAATGCTCCTCGATGATCTGCTGCACAGTGGTGGTACTGAGACTAGACACCGGGGTAGCCACGGCCTGTCGATTGAGGCCCTTCTCGGCATCGTAGAACGTATTGCCCTTGGTGAGCGCCCAGTCGCCGCGGTACTGGATCCAGTAATTCTTCTCGTTCCAGCTGTAGGTGGGCAGATTCAGAAGACGAAGCGATGCCTCAAAAGGCCGGTGGAACTCATCCCAACGCAGCTGCAGCCCGGCGGTGTGAAGCTGTCCCAAACTCGCTGCAAGAGTCGTCCAATTGTCCTCCCCGCGACGGAAAGAGCCCACTGTTACAGGAGCAGGGTCGAAGCTGGCTTTGATGAAAGCCACACAGACCGGGTGCGGCCCGACCTCCACCCAGACAGTGTCCTTGTCGACGATCGATGTCTCCTCCGCATTCTGCATGGCTGACAAGAAATCGACTGTTCCGCGCGTCGCCCGGCGCAGGTACTCGGCATTGAGGGACTTTTCATCAAAGACGACTTTACCCAGCAAAGGGGAGACAATGGGCAGCGTTGGTGGTCGGAAGATGGCGCTCTTTCTAGCGGTCTCCTCGAACACCTCCAAGATGGGGTCGGTCTGGGCGGAGTGGAAAGCAAATGGCACATCAAGGAAGATGACCCTATAGCCTTTCTCCTTGAGAGGGCCAGAAACGGCTTCCATCTGCTCGGTGGTTCCCGAAAGAACAGTCTCCTTGGGGCCGTTGACGCATGCGAGATCATACGGAAGGTCCTTGACGGCATCCTCGATCTCGCGTCGCGACGCCTTGACGGCCATCATCTTGTGCGTTCCGGCAGTACACAAGGACTCCAGCATCTGAGCACGCGACCCGACCAGGAAAATGGCGTCACTTGCGGAAAGGACACCGGCGATGACGAATGCCGCGTACTCGCCGAGACTATGGCCGACGACGACTTCGGGTCTGATACCCAGTGTCTCCCAGTATCTGGCCAAGGCAATCTCGACGCTGGTGTGAGCCACTTGGGTGATGACGGGCGACCAGGCGTGGTCCTTGGGAGCACTACCATTGATGGCTGAGAGGAAGGATGGAAAGCCGTGCTGTTGACCCAGACGGTCAAGGCTTTCGAGTTGAGATCGGAAGAATGGGCAGTGGTGGTACAGCTGCAGGTTCATCGACTTGTCGGCGGCGCCTTGGCCGGTGAAGACAAACGCGACCGGCGGTGCTCCGGTTGCGGGAATGGGCTTCATGGAATCGACACCTTCTAGTTTGGAAATAAGCTGTTGCTTCAGGCTGCTCACGTCTCGAGCGGTCGCAGCCACACGGTGGTTGTGGTGATACCGCCTGGCTGTCAGCGAGTACGCCAGGTCAGCCATAGACACATCTTCATTCTTGTCCAGGTAGGCAATCAGCTGCTGGAGGTTGCCCTTGAGGGATATTTTACTCTTGGCAGAGACTGTGAAGACATGACTAGGGCGAAGATCGGATTCAAGTCTCTCTCGCACTGGACCCTCCTCCAGCACCAGCGTCGTGTTGCCACCAGCTGCACTGAAGTTGTTCACCACCGCAATGCGCTTTTTCTCGGGTGTCCTAGCCCATGCTGTGGTCTCGAAGGGAATATGCAAGTTGCGCCGGTCCATGTCTTTAGGAAAGCCCGGGTTGATGTCGGTTTTGATGCCGACATGAGGCGGGATTGCACCTTTTTGCAGCATAAGCAGGACCTTGATAAGCGCCGTCACACCAGCAGCAGCCTCTCCGTGGCCAACGTTAGCCTTCACAGCACCGATGTGAAGGGGCTGCTTGGAGGTTCGTCTCCTGCCCTTGACAGGGGCAAACACGCTAGTGATGGACTCCATCTCTTCGGCATCGCCTGCTTGAGTTCCCGTGCCGTGGAACTCCACGTAGCTGACATCAAGCGGGTCGATGCCGGCCCGCGCCATGACCTGCCGATACAGATCTGACTGGTGGCCGGCATGAGGATGTGTGATAGAGACAGCATTGGCGGAGTGGTTGGTAGCCGCAGCTGGAATCACGCCGAGGATGTTGTCGTTGTCCGCCAAAGCATCGTCCAGACGCTTCATCACGATGGAGCCGACACCGTCCGCGCGACAGTACCCATCGGCCGTGCAGTCCCAAGTTTTGCACGCGTTGGGCGTCTTGGTAAGGAAGTGGCCGTTACAGAGACCCGCGAACGCATCCGAGTTGGTGAGCACGTTGAGACCTCCTGCGACGACCGTGTCGACGTCGCCCGCCCACAGAGCAGTGCAGGCCGCCTGGATGGTGGCCAGACTCGACGAGCAGGCCGTGTCGCAGTTGAAACTCGGACCCGCGAATTTGAAAAAGTAGTTGATGCGCCCAGGACCAAAGGCACGACATCCACCGGGGATGAAGTACGTGCTGATCTCTTGGCCCGTGTTGACCTCCCGGTAGTCGTCACTGGCCTGGCCGTACCAGGTGCCGATCCGGTTCAAATTCGTCGCCGGCGTGCGGTTCGCCACATACCCGGCTCGCTCCAGGGCTTCATATGCCGTGACGATGGCCAGGCGCTGCATGGGGTCGGTTTGTTCCGCTTCACGGGGCGACATGTTGAAGAACGGTGCGTCGAAAAGGCCCGGCTCGTCGATGAAACACCCGTACGCGGTGTGGCTGGTGTTCATCCTCTTCCCAGTGGGATCGTGATGCGAGTCAACATCAAAGCGATCGGCCGGGATTTTGCGGTGTACATCCAATCCAGCTTCAAGGAGATCCCAGAACTTCTCTGTATCCGTGGCACCACCTGGCATGCGACAAGACATGCCAACAATCGCAATCTTCGACTGCATGGAGCTTCCAGGTAGGTATTCCCCGTGCTCAACATCGGACCCAACCCACGTCAAGAGATCGTCGGTATCAACAGCGAGATCGGTCATGTCAGACGTCAACGCACTGGAAAGCTGCTGGGCTGGAAGGGAGTGACGGAAGACCTTGATGTTGACGGCGTGAACGTCGGTCTTCGCGACTCGCTCTGCAACACCTCGGATAACATTGTCCCACACGATTTGCTTGGTCATTACCTCAAAGATCACCTGCTCGAACAGCTGCTGCGCACTGGACGCGCCAAATGGCTGGCCTGAGCTGGTGGACATGACGGGAATGACGGGCCTGTATCGCGCTGGTAGCGAAGGGGACCGGACGACTGCCTGTGCGTCTTCACGCGTATAGATATGCGCTGCGTGGCATAACCCACCATAGACCGGAAGGTGGGCAAATTTGCGATCACGGAACGAGGCATAGTTTCGGAAGAGGGCCTGGAGTCGAGAGGGGGGTCCGCTTACAGTGACCGAGCTTTCGCTGATAGCACTGACAAAGATCTTACTAGCTGATGGGGTCCGCTCCTTGGCTTGGATGTTATCCAGCTCTGTCTGAGCTTCGTTGACGGTCATCCCATGGACGACGTATGCCCATGACTCGGAAGAATCCGCATCAACAGCCTCCAGGTTATGCGAGACGTCGCCCACGAACACGCCAAGACGAAATGCCATGCGCAGTACTTCCACACCAGCCGTGACTGTATCGTCCAGGGATGTGGAGACTGCAACGGCTGTTGAGACCAGTATACCTACTCCCAAGCCAGTCAGTAGACTGTTGGGCCCGGTTGCGTGGTCCTCCGGATATAGCTCGCAGTGCCTACTTAATCAGTCCAGCACAGGAAGAACCGACAGAAATGAGAGGCCTACCCGATGTACATCCCCAGCTGCAGCACGCAAAGCAACACTCCATCGATGGACTGAGCAAGTGGTCCCTTGCGTAGCCTTGTCTCACCAGCCAACGTGGTCACGGACTCGAAAGCAGGAACAAGGTGGGCTAGTTCCGCGCGTAGCTGGCTGACCTCATTTCGCAGCGCCTTCGTGGCCTCGTTCAAGAACCGAGCCAAGATGGGATGGCTGCCGTGCTTACTGTGGTTGTGTAACCGGCGCAGAAGGGTCGAAAGATCGTCTGTGGGAAACTCGTTGCTGAAGTAGAGGGTCTTAAGTCTGGTGGGTAGGTCCTGGGCCTCTGCTGGCGGAGTATAGGTTACCATGTCGAATGAGGCTGTTGAGGCTAACGACGAGGTCGGCGACATGCCCTTGGTACCCTCTACAAACGACGGCAAAGTTGTACCTAGGGAGGGCTATAGGATGGGTATCAGGCGAACGGAAGAGTGGAGAGTGTCTAACGCACACTGAAATGCAAAGAGGAGTGAATCAAGCTGATTGCTTATTGAGCCACCTTGTCACGGATGAGCAAGATAAATAGCCAAGTCGCACCCTGTATCCTGAAGTTCTCGCCACCACATAGAATAGCAGCAGAGACAAATAGCCCGACTCCCGAGTCGGGATCCGGAGAACGGGCTAAGCAGACGCAGCACCCCCGACGGGCTATACAAATGAATCTTGCGATTTTCCGGTCTGAATTCTCAGTATTGTTTTCAAACCTGATCGTTACATCCCAAGGTCAAGAATGGGTGAAGGAGGCTACCGCCAGATCAACAAGACTCTCAATGTCTGCGCGTTTGATAACTATCTCGTCACGCAGCAGTCAACACTACCCAAACTGCTGGATGTCGAACAGCTCAGCCCGCGGGTGCTTCGAGTCCTTGGTCAGAATGCAGGAAAGGTATGCCCCTCACCGGTCGGGCGAGATGTTCGAACCTGATGGTCCGTTCAGTTCACGTTGCAAGGAACCAATACCTATATCGTGGGCACAGGGCAGCACCGCCTTATCATAGACACCGCACAAGGTTACCGTGAATGGGCTGATCTGATCGACGACACACTATCGAACCGATCCATCTCGTTGTCCCATGTATTCTTAACCCATTGGCACGGCGACCATACCGGCGGCGTTCCTGATCTTATCAGGATGTATCCCCACCTGGTCAATGGCATCTACAAGAACTCGCCCGAGCAGAGCCAACACCCCATCGAGGACGGTCAAATCTTCCAAGTCGAAGGAGCGACCATCCGCGCAGTGCACGGCCCAGGCCATTCGCACGACCACATGTGCTTTGTTCTTGAGGAGGAAAACGCCATGTTCACGGGCGACAATGTCCTGGGCCACGGCACGAGCGCCGTCGAGCAGCTGGGCATCTACATGGAAACGCTCCGGAAGCTGCAGTCACAAGGGTGCAAGACAGGCTATCCCGCCCACGGTGCCGTCATTCCCGACCTAAATCTCAAGATTGCCACCGAACTGGCACAGAAAACACGTCGGGAGAAGCAGTGTCTTGCGGCGCTGGGTCGGATCCGGAAGGAGAGGTCCACGGGCCAGTTGGCTAGTGTTACTGTGAGCGAGCTTATCGATGTAGTCCATGGCACTCGGGTGAACGAGGAAGTCCGCAAGATGGCATTAGAGCCGTTCATGGAGGAGGTTTTGAGGAAGTTGGCTGAGGATGGCAAAGTCGCATTTCGGGTGAGGAAGGGGGTCAAGACCTGGTTTGCTCTTTGACTGCTGCAATATTTCACCAGACTCAGCATTAATTTTCTTGATCCACTAGAAATGTATTTTCTCTCCCTGTCGGCTCATGCGGTGTACCGTCAACTTCATCAAACTATTAAAGTTCCAGTCGCATTGTGATACAGTTCAAAGCCCGGCCTGGTATTTATATCTTCCTGATAGCCACAAATCATCCCCAGGCAGAGACAAGTATAAAATCTGTACAGCAGTGCAAGATGAAGCTTTATTGGCTATAGAGTTCTAGAAACAAACTGTCTAAGCAGCACCGCCATCAATGCCAAGGACCTTCCCATTCACCCATTCGCTCTCGTCCGAGGCCAAGAAGCACACCACTTTGGCGATATCGACGGGGTAGCCGCACCGGGTCAAAGGCGAGACATGAGCCACAATCTATAGTGTTTAGCGTCTGAAAAAGCATTGTGCAGATCAACGGAACTCACATCCAAAATCTGCTCCTTGGACAGCTTGTCCGCGTTGGGCAGATAGTCCTTGGCCGTCTCATGAAACATGTCAGTCACAGTGCCGCCGGGCGCCACTGCATTGACGGTGATCTTCTTGTCGCCACAGTCTTTGGCCAGGCAACGAACGAAGGTGTTGATGGCGGCCTTGGAGGCGGAGTAGAGCGAATGCTTCGGCACTGTGAAGGAGTCGGCGGTGTTCGAGCTCATCAGAATGATCCGACCATTCGAGTTCAGGTGCTTGTAGGCTTCGCGGGCGACGAAGAACTGCCCGCGGGTGTTCACGCTGAAGACGCGATCGAATTCTTCCTCGGTGACCTCACTGAGGTGGCCAAATGAGACGACTCCGGCGTTGGAGCACACAATGTCAATGCCGCCGAACACCTTGACGGCTTCTTCGAAAAGCTTGACGGTCTGGGGCACCTGGCTGACGTCGGCCTGGAGCGCGACGGCCTCGGACCCCAGCGATTTGATCTCGTCGACAACCTGGTTGGCGGGACCAGCGGATTTGCTGTAGTTGACGATGACCTTGGCGCCGCATCGGCCCAGTTCGACCGCCATCGCGGCCCCGATGCCGCGGCCGGATCCGGTCACGAGAGCGACTTTGCCATCGAGGCGGTAGGGGATGTACGAGATAGAGCCCATCTTCAGAGTGTCGAGGACTTCTCCTTCTCAAGAGCACGAAGCGACGAGGAATAACCTACTAGAAGTGTAGTTGCGCGGGTTGATCAAGCTATTTGTTCCCAGTCAGGGCTATTTTTCTTTCCCGAATGCCGTCCGTGCAATTGTCGGGTCGTGAAATCCCCCGTTAGTTATTGCCCGACCCCATTTTCCGATTACAGGATGTCAATTCTTTGTCTGTTATCGCCTGGTTGCATTCATGCTTAACCTTCGCCCGTCATTGACTCAATTTGCCTAACAGATATTTATTACTACAACAATCAGTTGTCCTTGTCAAATCCAAGCCCTGAGATTACATATCTTCTCAATCAAACAATCTAAATATCCCTACATAACCACATTTACCACCTGTACTACTATTGAATCAAATCCAATGACCGCCCCAGCGTCCACTCAAGCAGCAACTCTGCGGCGTTTCATCTCCGCCTGGGAGAAATGGGACGCCCAGGAATGGATCTCCACCTTCTCCGACGATTTTCAACAAGTCACCCTCCCCCACAGTCTGAACATCCCCGCTCGTTCACGCAAGGAAGTGGAGGTCGTTCTGCCTGCTCTTGTCGCAAGCGTGAAGTCATACCAGGTATTTGACTCAGCAACGTTAGCAATTTTGCAAACCGTCGAAGAATGTTGACCCAGATAGCTGCACATCCACCACGTCATTCATGATCCGGAACACAACAAGGCGGTGGTGTACGCTGCGTCTACGGGAAAACTGCCGTGGGGAGACTGGAACCTCGAGTATGCGGCTTTTCTGACGTTCACCGAAGACGGAGGAAAGGTTGCGAGACTCGAGGAGATGCTCGATACCGCGTTCTTGCAAGATTTTGGGCCGAAGTTCGGGAAGTACCTACAGGAGAATGGGGGGCCGGTGGCTGTTGCTGCTGGGGGGAAGTAAGACTCGGGTTCGAACATTTGGCTCCTTCCGCTGTAATAGAATATTCTTTCCCTGGGGCAGAGTATGTGGACTCGTGCATCGTGAATCACGGTGGTAATTTGATGAGCATACGGCATTATCTGCATGCACCAGACACCAATTTATTCTGCTTGGCGAGGCTTGAAGGAGCAGAATTTAGGTCTGGCCTCGGAAGATGTGAGTTACCGATGCCACGATCAGATGTACATAAAAACCAAAATAAGTTCAGTTGAGGGTAAAATGACAGCATGTATGAAAACATCACATTGATTTCACGTCAGATATGCATGTGCCAGTCCTCAAGCCTCCTCCTGCCCCTTAATATACGCTTCCAACTTGGGCAGAAAGCTCTTCATAAACACCCCGTCAAACATCTCCTCGATCCGACTCACGGACTCGCCACTCTCATCGAACCACACAAAACAGGCGTGTTCGTTCTTGTACGGCCCAAAGGGCGAGTCGGCCGTGGTGATGGCATAAATGACCGCTTTGCTCTCCGCGGGATCGTGGATCACGTTGTGCACCGTCAGCTGAATGGGATGTTAGCCTTCCGTGGAACCTGGACCAAGATTGTTGAGAGATCCTGTACCTGAAAGTTGGTCAGAATCGACATGAGCTTCGGGAAGAGCTTCTCGGTGATGGCCCGGGTGCGAGGCGGAACCCCGGAGCTGAAGGGCAGAGTCACCTGGGCGCAGTCATCTGACCAGCTGGCCAGGAAGCCATCTGGCGTCCAGCCTTTCCAGCCTTCGATGAATCTGTTCAAGGTGGCGGTTTGTGTCTCGGCGGGGGCGGGCATACTGGCAGTTCTGTAGCTGGTCAAACGGTCGGAGGTCTGGGTGGAAAGTACATGCAATGGGAGTTTCCACCACCAAGTCTTAAGGTGATATCAGGTAAGGAGTGTACTCGGGGCATTCAGTCAATCCGGACGTCGACTCAAAGGGCACGGAGTCGGAATGGCCCCCTTCGGGGAAACACCCAATGAGCAATTACCCGACAGATCCTTTTCAGGAAGACCGTTTCAGAGGAAGAAGCGAAGCGACAAGCGGGAATGGGATCCTGCATTTGCACATTCAGCGACTTTCCAACCCGGATGAGAATGGGGACCGTAGGGTCCGTCTGGGAACAAATTACGTCGGTGTAGAAGTTAAACTAGATGGTTCAAGCTTCGCTTTACATTCAGCACAACATCATATTCTCAGTCTCCAACTATCGTCGAGTAGCCAAAATAATCTTCGCGGGCCAAGTTCCCTTGACCTCACCGTCGCCGATGAGATCTTCCATCTGCTGCCACAACTCCCCGAAATGCGGATCTTCCCTCGCGAACGGAAACGACAGCACATGCTCCTTGACACCCTCAAGCTCCGTCACAAAGCTCCACCCATCTTCCTGGGTAAAGGTTTCCACATCGTCAACCCCAGTATAGACAGGCTCGTGGACCTGCACCTCAGGCGGCAAGGGAGCCGTGATGCCGCCGTTCGCCATGTTGAGGTGAATGCGCTGCGCACCGGGAAGCCACAGCCCTCCATCCAGCGGGGCGACATTGTACTTGCCCTGCGTGCGGCCCATGACGGCTCCCAGCTTCTCCGGGTTATCTGCCTTAGCGAGTAAGGCGCGACCTCCGGAGTGATTAATGCGAGTGTAGACGTCCTGGATGCGGGGATCCTCAAACTGCGCCGCTCCAAAGGCTGCGCAGGCAAATGTGCCTCCGGGACGGAGCTGGCGCGCAATTACGCTCATGGCAAGCGGCTGGTCGCAGAAATGCATGACGTTGGTCGCGAAGACCATATCCACGCTGCCGGGAGCGATGTCGTCGCTCTCTTCGACCCGGGCCGCGCGGTAGCTGAACCCGTCGTGCCCAAGACGATCCTCGGCGAGGACGACGTTCTCCGTCGCGATGTCGGAGATAATCACATGCTGGAACTTGGAGCGCAGGATGTGTGCGTAGGGCCCGTTGCCGGCGCCCACATCGTGCACCGTCCCGAACTTGCCTCCGTGCGATTGGTGGTAGGTGAAGAGCCGCTGGAAGAAGACATCGGGCGCGGAGGGGCGGCCTTTGAGGTAATTGTTCCAAAAGGCTTGGCCTTTGTCAAAGAGTTTGTCATTCGAGTTAGATGATGGGATTGCTGCTGTTGTCATGGTGTGTGGATGCACTGCGTTGGCAGATGCTGTGGTGCTCACGGTGTACCGTACCTGCCAGAATATTTAACCCCTGTGGACTCGCCTGCACCGGTAGGAAACCAGCGTCGGATCTCGGGTTTCGGGGGGTAGGGGATAGAGCGCCGTGGTAAAAGTCAACTCCATCTATTCTGCATCTGCAAGTGGATTACAAACATCATGTATCACTGTGCATGCACAAGAGAAATCATTACCGGGGTCTGATATGACCCCTTCGCTCTCCGGCCCCCTCCAAGCCCTAGTAGCCCCCTCTCCCTGTGTATGGTGCAGCAGGATCATTACCGCCGCAAGCGGTCCACAATAGCCCTTGACAGGTCAGAAAGACGCTTCCGCAGATCCGTTTCCAGAGTGTTCACCAAGCTGGGTGAGAATGGCTTCAAAAACGCATGGAGTCCTCCTGCAAGGGGGCTAGTCATGTGCAGCGAGGGGTCACAGGTGTCCTTGTCCTGCGGCTCCTCCCCGGCCGTTTCGGAGATGCGGCGCAGCCGCTGGGACAGCAGATCGACGGATGCCTGGACGCCTGCGAGTTTGGAGAGGATGCGCTGCACGGCAATACGCTGTTCATCTTCGCACGCGCAGTCGGTGGAGGGGGGGCCCTGCAGGACGGGCTCGAGTGGGTCTTCGCCTGATGCAGCGCCCGTGGCCGCGGTGTACCATGCAATGACCCGAAAGACCACGAGAGACAGAGTGATGAGCAGGTAGCTGTCGTTGGTACAGTTGCATTGCAGAATTGTCCGGACGGTCTCACTGGTCTGCTCGTTTTGGGCGAGAACCCGTTCGAAATCAGGCAGCGCGGGCGTGGTGGTACCCGGATCGTTGCCGCACCCCGGATTGCCCGGGGACAGATCGGCTAGCAGCGCCAGAGCACGAGCCAAGCATTGGCAGCCGGCCGAGGTGGGACCGCTGATCGACGGTGCTGGATTGATGTGAGGTCGCACTGCAGATGTGGGAGATGTAGGGAGCGTGGTGAGCTCAGGTGCAGGGAATGAACCCGTCCCGGTGTCGTCGAGGCTGAAGTCAAAGAAGGTGGATGCATCATTTTGCGGTTCTAGAGGAAGTCCTACGGCCGATGCGAAGAGCTCGTCTAAATCTGGGAACGAACTCGCGGGCAGGGATGATAGGCAATTCTCGTCGAGTGATCTCAAGGCCCCAAAGATATCCGGATATGGCGAGCATTGTCTCTGGAGATCGAGCGCCGGGGAGAGCCCAGTACCTCCCGGTGTGGACGGACTGGTGGTGTCGCTGGCCTGTGCTGACGTGAATGTGGGACTTGGTGACGCTGTGGCGGTCATTGTCGCTGTCATCGTCAAAGCCGAGTCCCTTCGTGCTCTGGGTTGAGTCTTCCCCGATGTACGACCCGCACGCTTTGCAGTGCTATACACGCAGGGGTGATCTCGTTTGGCACAGCGAGCACAGCTTGGCTTCTCTTTGGTGCACCCGACTTTGGTCGCCGCACACAAATCACAAGATTTGCGCAATTTGGACGAGGCGCGTGAGGAAGCGGTCGGCAATGGTGAAGCCATAGTATAGACCTGGAGGAAGGCAGGGTGATTCAATCGCCGAACGGGCAGTAGAGAATGCGACGAGGGCGTGGTCCCATCTTCTTAATGCTGCGCAATCTACAGCCCTTGCGGACCGCGAACTATGGTGGACAAAACTTCCCAATCACGAGCTGTGGCTTATGTCGATCCTGTTTATCCCAGCTTAGACCAGTTTCCCGATTTATAAGGCGCCAAACAAAGGGTACTTAGTAGGCATGATGCTCCTCTTCAGCCGGAGTCACTGCGAAAGCCTTCAACTTGATTGGTGTCCGGTCATCGATAAAAGCCCTAGTTCAAGCACCACCACTCACTCACTCCGGCCCACCTGGCAGTCCACTAGGTACTCTCAGAGGCAATAGTAATGGCGAAACTCTAGCCAATGATCGGCGAAAGTGACGTGCTGCCGATAATCAATCGGTCCCCTGATCTTATGATGGCTTCCTATTGCAGGAGTCCCCGATATTAAGGCTTACCGCGCTTTGACCTGTTGATAAGCTCTATTTGAATTGATGCTGACGTGAGATCTTCGCCACTCACGAATAGCCTGAATCTTAGGGAGCAAGGATTAGCGGAGATGGCTGTGGTTTCTTGCCCCAGTAGGATTCTCTTCCCACCTTCCAGGTTACCCTCAATCATTTCCAAGGCGCAAATGCAGGATCGACACCACCCTCGAGTGTTTCTATGTGCATGATACCAGGCAATGACTCTAGACCATCTAGCCGCCGGTGGGGTAATCTATTCATGAACACCCCTGTCATGGCGTGCACAGCTCCGATGTGACCCTCGCCCCGTCCAATCGTCCCCTTTCGCCATCATTTCTTGCTGGAAAGAAGCAAACACTCCATGAGGACTATTTTCTTTGTTTTGTTTTTTTTTTCTTTTCTGCTGGCATACGTTCTGGTCACAACACAAATAAGCTTGGTCCGCACCATATCTCGTTCATGCATTGTGCGGAGAAACCCGAAGAGTTGAAAAGAAAGAACAATTGTTCAGTGCTAACCGAGACTGACGGCGCGTTCCGCCTAGCGTTGCAGCGCATATCGCAGCTTTGCCTATTTCTTATCAGGCTGCTGCAGATAGAATGTCCGACCGAGACACTCGCAAGCAATATGCGGGGATTCTAACTCCCGAACCTAGGAATGAAGGCAAACACTCTCCAGTCCTGCAGGACACGGCGTCACTGCACAGTTGTGAATATTCTCTGCAGCCCGTAAAAACCCCGCCTTCGGCGTGATGAGGGTCACAGTCACCCTGCCTCAAATCCATCGCAGGATCTGGCCAAATACATTCTGCACGAGCTTGCACAGTCCGAAGGCTTTTCCATCTCGCCGAAAGCGGGGCATCGTGGCCACCATACGCATAAAGCTGTGAGTTGGGATTCGACAGACGGCCATCAGCTCATTCCTGTCTAACCTGCGATGAAATGGCGTACCTAGCTCAATTGGAGGCAGTTTCGAGGGATCTGTCGGCAGCCGTCGAGGAGCTTGCCTCGCATTACAGGCATGGAGGGATAGACAGTCTCGGTGTCCGACCACCACAGCTGCTACCCACAGGAGCACCTCCAGATGTCCACCGAGCAAGAGAGTCCGCGTTGGCAAGTCTGACTAAATTGCAAGTCATGCTGGCGGAACCGACGGATTTGCTGCAAAATCTGGCAGGCCAGGTAGTTGCCATTTACCCTCAGTGAGATACCGACTAACCAAAAGCTAGGTGCAATTGCTTGCCTGTATGCAATGGCTTGGTGATCTTCAAGTTCCAGCTTGTATCCCGTTGGAGGGCACCGCCTTGATCAAGGATGTTTCCAATCTTATCGGGGTCCCAGAAAGCCAGCTTAGTCGGGTTATCAAAATGGCTACAACCGGGGGCTTTCTCCAGGAACCACAGCCCGGCCATGTGTCCCATAGCGAGATTTCCGCAGCGTTTGTGACAAAACCCTCGTACCTCGACGCAGCCATGTTCTTGGCTGAAACGGCTGCCCCCGCCGCGTTGACCAAGGCGACAAGTATCAAGCAAGATTCCGACTCCGATGAGCGAAAGGATGGGATCCCTTGTCTGTCTGCCTTCGGCACTGCCAGTGAAGCCCAGTTGCCCCGCCTCCAGCGGCAGTGGCAGGCCTATCTCCGATATGGAACCGGCCATGTGTGCGACATGGCGATTGATGTCCTAACTTGTCTAGAGGGAGTTCGCACGACGAATGAGTCTATTGTTGAGGTAGGGACTCCCCCATCCTCCGCAACCCGCTTTTTCATGTCGCTGATCTAAGTCTGAGTGAAAAGGTCGGCGCACGATCCACAGAACGGGCTATCACCCTCGCAACCCAATATCCATCGCTCCGCTTTACAGTCCAGCTCCAATCCTCTCGACATGACCGAGTTCGGACTTCGAATCCCAGGATAACCATCTCGCATCGACAACCAGGATCACCACAGCCAATTCTCAACGCAGCCCTGTACATCCTCAATTGTCCCATCCCCGTGCCTGGCTCATCATCTGCCTTGGTACCGACACAGCTCGCGGCTGAACTTCGCGCGCATCTACCTGCGTTGCGGCTTAACCGGTCGGCTACGTTGGTCGTAATTGCCCCCTCGGCGTCGGACTCTGATGAAGGGATACGGCTGACGCGAATCCGCGACCTGTCCCTACTACAACTGGCGAGGCAACGTGAGTTGGGATTGTCCGAAGTGATCAACCTGCTGAACGGAATCAGTGACGGGGAGGGAAGACTGGTGCTGGTGAATCAAGTGCGATCGGCCGGAAAGTATGGGGTTGTTGCGTTGGAAGTGAAGTATCAACCTCATTGATTTGGCAGATAAGAACCGAGTGTGGCGATATGAAAGCAATCACCTCAGGTCTACAAAATATGCCAGTGTCTCTCAGCGCCATGCCCCTTCGGTGCTTGATCAGACTGGCGCTGTTGAAAAAAAAGACCCAAACCTGCGGACAAAAGCTCAGTTATTACTAGGTGGCGTCGAGCGTTTTCGGCCGATGAACACCTATCTAAATTCATCGAATGCTGTTTCTCTGTAGTGCAAGCACAGAACCAAGTTTCTTGACTCCTCCCTTGGCACGTCCGGAGCCATAGGGACCGAGCTCTCATTTTCTGGTTCGATCCACTCCAGAGTTCAAAAAGAAATGATCTGTAAATAGAAGTGGCAAATTCACGAGGTGCCAGGAGCGGAGGCATTGCAAGAGCTGCAGGAAGTCGAGAGTTGACTCAAGCGCTGCCAACCAGTCACCACGCACCCACCCAGAGAAACCCTTGACAAACGGAAATCGCGCTATGCATCGATGGAGCCAGCATTCCCGGCTCAGACCCTAGCTAGTCTACCCTTTGCATTCTGTGGCCGCGGGGCGCCTGTCTCCACTCCGCGTACTTTTGTCGTGAGGTTGGGTTGGGTAGGGTTGGGGTGGCGCCGGTGGGATCGGAGTTGAGGGTCGGTGCCGAGCGGGGGACAACAAACATGCTTGATTCCTTCACTCTGTCCTCTCAACAGCCAGCCAGAGCGTCGCAATGGGGCACTATGCCTTGGCACATGACCCCCGCATGACTCTTTAGCTGATAAAAGCTATTCCGCACTCTTTCCCCGCACTGAGGATGTCTCAGGAGTAGACCTGGACTTTGGCAGTCTGACCAGGAGAGATGCGAGATAGTTAGTATCTCCGTGGGCGCCACCGGACTCGGACTCGAGTTGATCTCCGCTGACCGTCTGCGGTTGCATTGCACGGCGCAATTCATGCCGAGATAAGCCACTGGTGCCATTCAGGACTCTCAGCATCCGTATCTCAAAGAACACGCAGAACCCGTTTTCGTTAGCAGACCTTTGGAGTTGGAGGTAGGATACATCTGGCCCAAGCTATTGCAAAGGTTATTCACCTTGTTGGGCTCTCTAGGTAGCTCTCCCAGTAAAATTTTCCCACCAAGAAGCATCGGGTACTTTAATCATGTGCAGGGCCAAGTCGGGACCTAGCCCTGAATTGTAAGCCATCACCAGCTCCCACCGTTAGATAACGAGATCAGATGAGAACTTGACCCTACCCCGTACTCAGGAGGGTGTGAAGGGTGTGAAGCACGCCCTGTACACTGTATCCTTTCCTACCGGGTGCGTGGGCGCTGCCAGGAGCCCACCACCGCGAGACTAAGATGCCGACCTTGACTTGCGTGTTTCGAGGCATACCTTACAAAACCTCCTGGATGAAGATCGTATTACCCGACCTTCCTAACTGAGGTATTCGATGGGCTCCAGCACTCAACAGGGAACCTTTCAGAAACAGCAGACGCAAGACAAGCAGCCTTGGCCGGGCGACCTGCCCGCTCGGGCATTCTTTGTAGCTAAACTCGCAAGAGTAAATATGTCGGATGATCCCAGAGCGTAGTATGCTCCTGAAAAGCAAAAGTGCTACTCCTCAATCATATCGACTGAGCGGCGGGGTGGTACCTCACAGTCGATGAAATGTATCACCTCGCCCGAACGGCGGTGCCCTAATCGCAACAGCGACTGCTTCATGCTATCTAATCGTGCCAATTCGTTCAACGCCACGGTCCCGCTTTTGTGTTCGATAATTGGCCCTTCCTGGGGCCTTAGTTTAATTAGGGTACCACATTATATGCGACGTCATTCACAGACAGCCAAAACCGGGGTCTGGACTATCATTCTCCTACACACCAAACTGCTGACGATTGACCGGGCCGAATCACTGCACGCCGCAAGATGGTCAACCGGTCTGTGAGGCGGATGTTTCCGATGCCCCCCTCTCTGGACTAAAATTGAACTAGGGTATGGACCCACCGCAGCGGTCTCCTCCGAGGTCGCGCTCCGATCGCCTTTCGATTACAGGTGTTGCATTGCGTAATCTCGATCCAGAGAAGGCAGTGGACTGCATTTGGCTGCCGACGGAGAATGAGAGCTGACGTAAACCTGGATTAAAAACGGACAGACACAGCGCGATTCATGCTTCCAGGCCGTTTTTCTCCCGTGGATTATTGTCACAGGATGCTGCTAAAATGCCGCCAATCAGAGGGGACAGGCTTCTATCAAGCTGGTGTTATGGTCGCCATATATTTTCTACTATCTATGTAAACGTGAAGCATCGGAGTAAATCAACAAATCCTATCTAGTCTATAGCTGACTACCCAGGTCAGAAACATCGCACGAACATCGATGGGCAATGCTGCAACTGGCACCCGGGACACCGCTGTCCCTCACAAGATCCACCGCGGTAGCCCTAATGCGCGTGGTGTGTCGAGTTTCACCATCAACTGCATACTGAAGACCCCAGCTACTATATTCCTGCAGCTTCAACAAAGTACCATTGTATTGTACGAGGCACGTATCCGCACAGCGCTCAGAATCCAGATAGTGAAATCCGCGTACTATGCTGTACTTGTGTGCGTGGGAGTTCGCTGCCTCGGTGTCTTGGTAGCGGTAATCCTCACTTGTGTATCGATGTTATTCTTCTTGTCTCGGGAAGACATATATCGCTGTACCATCTCACATATGGGATTGTGGACCTGTGAATTCTCCAGGTCCTTACAAGGGCGAGTATCCCACCTGCTACTGCTTTTGGAGAGTCCATCGGTGGCACGGCGGCATGATACACTGTCCGTATGTGTACACTAGTAAGAAGTATGACTGCAGTCGACGTACAAAAGGAAAGCCAGAAGAAGTCTGATAAGCACAATCTCCTTCACCAAGCTAGTGGGGTGCTCCTCTTCCGCACAAGCTCCAGGAATCCCGAGCGGATCGTGCCGATCCAGGTGACGATACTAACAACCTATATAATTGGTATGGCCCCAGCCAGGTGACCCACCACTAGGCCTCACCAAAACCCGTGGGTTCATAGGTCGGGTCCAACCCAGACTCCTTCCCAGTATATCAATTCATTTAACCTGTAGCTTAACTTACTATTTAGATCGCCATTATCCGCGATATTGAGGTCTCAGGGTAGGCACTGGAACGTGTTTTCTTGATTTTCTTGGTTGGTGGAACTAGCTACGTTCCCGCACGTAAACAAGTGGGAAAAGGCCTTTGGAATCACGTGGCCGGATTAGCGACGCTGACAGCCATGCTAAGGTTCCTAGTAGCTATCTACAGGGTAAGAACTAAGATAAATACACAAGCTTCATTGCGTCTATAGGTTACAATATCCAAGTTGTGTTCAAAAATGTTACAGCTATATTTGAAATGGTCTAATCCTAACAATGTTGGACTTGTAGGACCATTACGGCTGGCAGCAGATAGGGACCCAGCAACAGATAGGCTACGGAGTTAGCCAATATATAGAACGGGAATAGCAGGTATAGACGGGTAGGGAGGTGCCCCAGGCTAGCACTAGAATGAACATTTATACTGTTAGGTTTTCTCATATAGCTAGAAGAAAAAACAAGAGCAATGAGTGTAGAGAATTACTATTTAAGCTTTATCTGTAGTAAACTATTCATTTCATTCTAAATAGCGTGAGATTTCTACTATTTCTACTTATAGTACTTATCTTTTTACCATTACAGTTCTTTATGTCCTTTTTTTGGAAACCTTTAATATATACTTTCACTTTATGTTGAAGCCGTACAGGAAGTTAGGGGGGTGTAACATCAGTTCTACAGCCTTATATAGACTATAATTAACCGCCTACGCTTGGGACCTTGGTTAGGTCTTGATAAATACGATAGATAGCTGAAGGTAGTCAGTCGCCAAACATCTTCCGCCTCTCTTGCAGGTGCCATCACTCTAACTCTTGTTGCGATGAGATCACGAGGAACCAAGCTCGATCGACGAAGGAGAGCAAGTATTCCACAAGAACGAAGGGAGGTGTGAAAAGGGCTTCAGATGGAGGCGGCTGGGCGCTCCGAGCTATAGGCTAGGGAAGGTGAATGAATGATGAATCCAGCTGTTTAAAGCTATCAAATCGAGGAACTATCACCATACAGGTTGGCGCGCAGGTGAGCAGCGCGGCTACGGCGATCAAAGGCCCTCGAGGCTGCCGAGAGTTGGATGTACAGGATCAAATAAACTCTGCATGCATGCCTCGACTAGTACTATCAGTTCGGAACTACAGTCGAATAGGACGTTGGGGGCCTGGTTGTCTATCATTTCTCCTCTTTCTGGTATTCACCTCATTGTTCGAAAACCAGTACCATAAAGCCATTCGGCTAGTCCAAATGTGAGAACCCAACAGAAACACAAGCCTACGGCCCATCCCCCTCTCCCCCCAGTCTCAACCGCATCAACTCGCTCTCCGGCCGCGCGTCAGCCAGTACAACCCGAAGATCCCGGCGATGTTCATGATGAGATATACGGCGAAGGGGCCCAGATCGCGCCAGCGCATGCCGACCTCAATTCCCAGCTGCGCCAGCATCGTGTTCATGTCCGTTACGGGGCAGAAGATGCAATTCTCGCCGGCCGCTGCCGTGGTATTGGGTCTCAGGACGCGGCCGCCCGCGCGCTGAATGTACGGGGCCAGGTAGGTGCCGCAGGAGGCTGTGGAGTGGTTCTGTGCGGCGGTGGGCCAGGGGATGTGGAGGAGGTCGACGGCGGCGCAGCGCAGGGGGGCGTCGGCGAGGGCGGCGCCGACCATGCGCCCATGAAGTAGGTGACGGGGCTAACGCGGTACAAAAAGGTGCAGAAGCGGGGGAGGGCGGTGGGCTGGACGAGGACGCCGCACAAGAGCTGACACAGGGTGAAGAGGAGGTTGGCGATGTTGACGGCGGTGAGCGCATCGTGCAGACCGGCGGCGGTGGCCTGCGAGACGGTGGCGGAGAAGACGAAGAACAGCCACAGGAGGTCATTTGGCCGCATTTCACGATGTCACACGTCCACAGCTGCACGTCCCCTTGTGAATACAGCCTAGCTCGTCCTCGCAAGGTGACAGGGCATGCGTATTTCAAGCATTCCAATGACCCTTTACGGTTAGAATGAACCCGTGTCACATTCTCCATGCATCCCAAAATCAGCAACGCGGAACCCAGATCGCGAGCTATTGCATCGACGTGTCTGACCAGCATGCTTGCCGATCCTTGGACCTTGCGTGATCAGCAGGACACTATTTCAGAAGTCATTGATAGTGAAACTTGGAAGCGCAACTCGCAAGCAAATATGTTATGATCTACATTGGATTATAAAAAACCCCGGCAAGCATCATCTTGTGTTTCTCCCTCGAGAGAAGGTCCAGTAAGCGCCATTTCTATCTATCCCAACACAACATCTACCTCACACAGAGTCACTTAGCATGAAGTCCACACTTCTTTTATCTCTTGTACCCTTCATCCAGGGTGTTCTGGGCGCTGCAGAAGTGACAGGCGGCTCCCCTGCGACGATTGACAAGGTCCCCTAGCTCGTCAGTGTCCTGCAATGGAACAATTATGCCTGTGCTGGAGTGCTCATCGCCAGCAACTTTGTTGTTACCGCTGCACAATGCGTCGATGGTTTGGACAGCTTTAACGTGAGGACGGGCTCCAATTCAACATCTTTGGGCGGATCTGTGTTCCGAGTTACCAAGATTTTACGACACGGTTTTTTCAACCCCACCACCTATAATTTTGACCTTGCCCTGCTCAAGTTCACTCCTCCCGTCACATTCAGTCCGACTGTCATACCCGCCCCGTTGGTGCCGTCCGGTCAGGAGCCAGCAAATGGGACTGAATGCGTGGCTTCTGGCTGGGGGGGCTCGCGGGGACAATTGCAATCTGTTACACTCCCGATCGTCAACCACGACGTCTGCAATCAGATCTACGGTGGCCAGATCACCGACCATATGATCTGTGCTGGCGGCGAGGCTGGGAAAGGAACCTGTCCAGGAGATCGTGGTGGCCCGCTCGTCTGTGGTGGTAAACTGGCGGGGATCATCTCGCAGACCAACGGATGCGACCAGCTCGGTCTTCCAGATGTGTTTACCGATCTGGCTGACGCTTGGATTCAAGATTGGATTCAGGCGACAGTGATAAATAACTAGTTGGCTGCAGACCTCGATATCCAAAACTCTCGCGACAAGCAATTGGTTGCTCTTGTGGCGTATCCGATTATCGAGGCGATTATGCGAAGGTGGGAATTCAACTTCCTTGCGTTCGCAGCCGTCACCTTCGTCTAGCTCTTCGAGCATGGTAAAGAGTGGCATCATATCTCAAGCGAAGACCCATTGGTGGTGAACATATCGATGCATCCTTCGCATAGTGATGTGATGGGGCTGTTTCGGGTCTGGTCTATCTCACAGGCGCATACTTCCGTTTCATGCTCGGAGATTACCGTCCTGGCCTGCGGAACGACGTTTCATATCAATTACATTTCCCATGTTACTCTACTGTATTTCGTTCACTGCCTCCACAGAAGCACTGAAACAGTCTCTCATACTCAGGTTCTCATCAAGTCACCATAAACCCTACACCCCAACTTGCTCTTCTCGGCCGACATGACCCCTCATACCATTCAGTCCTGGCAAGCTTGTAGGGGTTTTTCGGGCGCACGCAGCTCTTCTCATTAAGAATGAGGCTCCAACACCTCAGCTGTATGCACCAAGAAGCGATACGAAAGTCATCCGAGGGAGCCGGAAAGCTGGGAAAAGAAGCCCAAATCACCCCACCACTTTCCTTTCGAGTATAGCTGCCAAGCTAGTTGTTGTATACGAAATCACTCACCACCATTATACTATCCTTATCTCTATTATCATATGATGGTGCCTCAATCGTATTGGTTATTTATTCTCAGAACCTGAGAAAGCATGCTTTTGCATAGTAGGATCAGCTACAGTAGACACTCCGCTTATGCCCACGGCAAGCCAACATACCACGCCTGGTTGTAGTCTGTAAAGCAATATTCCGGTTATTCGAGTTGGTACCGTACAGTATACACACCCTCAATATCGCGGTGTATTGTAATTGAATAGTCTCATACGTGTACCATACGCAGTGGAATCTGTCATCGACTCCGCAGCGGGACTCCGGTTACAACCCGACGGAGGATCGGCCCGTGCGTTTGTTGCCCGTCTCCGCACCGACCTTGGTTATCTTTGTGTTCTTATCAGTTAGGTAGGTATCTATCTCTTCAAGGGGTGTTACTAACGCTGCTGTCACAGGCACTAACTTACAGGTTACATGAATTACCGCCTACGGCTTGGAAGAATTGTGCTCTTTCTTTCACTGTCCATCATTCAGAATGATTCACTCGAGAACCTATTTGGTATTGAGGATTTCTGATGAGCTTCATATTCTGTGCATCAAGATGTCCTTGGATGTCTGCTGACTGACAGATGTTGTTGATTGCCCGTTTCAGCAACTACGGAGGTGTTATACAAAGTTTTATCGTCCACCTTGATTGCTTTGCCTTTGTTGTCCGGTTCTTAGTCTGACCCGTAATCGTATTTAGTCTCTTCCCTCCCCCTGGTGTCATTTATTTCACCCACTGCTTTCTCCCAATGGCGCACACCTGTCGCAGTGATGACCAGAGGTTTGGTCCCTCTCTCTCCGACTGCGTCATTCATTTTGACTTCACCCTGTTATTTGAACAAAGTCTTCTGAGTTTGGTCCCTTCAATCCTCTTCATTCTTCTAGCACCGCCTCGCTTGGTTCAACTACTCCAAAACACAAAGAAAACACCAATCGCCCATCCCCTAGGGTACGGAAAGGCAGTAAGACAAAAGGGGTCCCCGGAAGTCCTTCAATCCGTAACAAATCGTGACTCAGTCTCAGACAGTTGCAATTATCCTCCTCATCCTCCGAGTTGCATTATTCACGCTGTGGTGCATTCGCCCAGCTACTTCGGCGTCCATTGCATCCGCCGCCTTGTCCTTGTTCGGAAGCGGCCTCATCCTCGCGCTCTCCATTTTCGAGCATACGCGTTCAGAGCGCCCGTCTTCGCTCCTCTGCATCTATCTCCTCTTCGACAGTTTAGTCAATGCAACTCAGCTGCGAAGCCTATACCTTAGAAGGGACCTGACCGCCGTATCGGTGGTCGCCTCCGTGGCCCTGGGGACCGAGATAGTGCTGCTCATCCTCGAGACCGCTGATAAGCGTGCCTGGCTACACGATGCGTTCCGCAACCAGTACCCTCCGGAATACACGAGTGGGATCATCAATCGCAGCTTTTTCTGGTGGTTGAGCCCGTTGTTCGTTCGCGGGTATCGGAGAAACCTGTCCCTCGACGATCTTGACCGCGTAGACCAGGAGCTGGCAGCCCGACCGTTACATGATCGCATGCAGACTGCCTGGGCGAAATGTATGTCTGGAACCTGTTCATAGCACATGGACGGGTCATCCTCCATCAAAAGCAAAGATAGCTGAAACTGATACAAGATAGATCGCTCCCGGCACTGCTTTTCTTTGGTGGTCGCCCTCTTCCATTGCCTCAAGTGGCCGCTGCTCCAGACAGTCCTCCCGCGACTGTGTCTCATTGGCTTCAGGTTTGCTCAGCCTTTTCTCATCACACGGGTGATCAGCTATGTTAGCGATGCAGGCCAAACCCGGGACAAGAGTGACGGCTACGGTCTGATTGCAGCTACGGGCTTGGTCTACCTAGGCATCGCGGTACGACGCACCCCATAGACAATACCTGAAACTGCGGATGTTAACACTTAACTCATAGCTCTCCACAGCCCATTATCAACACCGTCTCTATCGTATGATCACCATGTTTCGCGGCGCCATCGTGTCGCAGATCTACGCCAAGACACTGGGTCTCGCCAAGGCCCCGGATGAGTCTGCGGCCGTAACCCTCATGAGCACGGATGTCGATCGCGTCGCGTTCAGCCTGCGCCAGATCGCCGAGGTCTGGGCGCGCACGGTGGAGCTGGCGATTGGGTTGTGGCTGCTGGAGCGCCAAGTCGGGTGGATCTGCATCGGTCCCACCGTCGCCGTGGTTGGTACGACACCTGTGCCCCAGTTTTCTACTTCACGTTGCGTCGATCTCGCATTCTAAGCTTCTATTCACCCCAGCCGCGTTCTATGCATCATTGCATGTGGCCAAGAAGATCGGTCCGGCCCAGAAAACATGGGTTAAGGCGGTGCAACGCCGGGTCGCGCTCACTTCCTCCCTCCTCGGGGACATGAAGAGCATCAAAATGATGGGCCTGTCCGACCGCATGAATCGAACCATCCAAGCGCAGCGTGTCCGCGAACTGCATCTCGGAGCGAGCTTTCGGGTGTTTGGCATCTGGCGCAACACGATCTGTTGGTTCCACCCATTTCCCAGTCCTCCTCCTCCGATTCAACCTTGAGCGCGATCTTGTGAGCGGATAGCACTAACACAAGCACCTAGCGATGATCCCGGTGGAAATCGGACCGTTTCTGGTTTTTCTCATCTACACTGTCCAATCTCAGAGGCTGACCACCGACCAAGCGTTTGGGACCCTGGCCATCATCGCGTTGCTGACGGACCCAGCCAGAGAGCTCCTTGCCTCCTACCCGACCTTGATTTCGGCATTGGGGTGCATCGATCGGATCCATGCCTATCTATGTGAAGCAGACAAACTTGGTGGCGAGGATGGTGCATGTCATGACGCAGGAAAACCTGGATTTGTCCTGCAGAGCCTTCCCGCAACGTTGGCCGATCGACCGGTCGTCACCTTCGACGAGGCCGACATCCGACCGGCGCCAGAATCCCAAAATGTTCTGCACAAGATCAACTGGCAAGTCCTCCCCGGTTCCTGGAGCTTTGTTGTCGGTCCAGTCGCGTCGGGGAAAAGCACCCTCCTAAAAGCGATCCTGGGTGAGGCTTTCGCCACCTCCGGCAGCATTCAGGTCAACAGCCGAGATATCGCATACTGTAGCCAGTCGCCATGGCTGCAGAACCTCCTCTTTCGAGACGCCATCACCGGCCCCGGGGTTGCCTTGGACGAGGATTGGTACGCTACTGTGCTGAAGGCCTGTGTTCTGGAGGTTGACATCGAACGTCTGCCGCAGATGGACAAAACCTTGCTCGGCAGCCGGGGCGTGACGCTGAGTGGCGGTCAGAGACAGCGCGTGGTAAGGATCTAGCTTCCATCGTGAGGGTGTGTTGGTGTTCGGATCCGATTACTGACTTGCCTTTCCTAGACGCTTGCTCGGGCACTCTACAGTCGCCGCGCCATTCTATTGCTGGACGATGTCTTTAGCGCCCTCGACACCAAGACGGAGTCGCAGATTGTGCAGAATCTGTTTGGACCGGAGGGGTTGCTGCGACGCAATGGGTCCACGGTCATTCTGGTAACGCATGCCGTCCGACACCTGCATTTGGCCGATCAAATAATTGCCCTGGATGGTTCCGGCCATATCGTGCACCAGGGATCCTGGACGGAGTTCAGCCACGGGGGTGTGCCAGAGCTGCTGCACGAGGCGGCCAGTGCAGATGTTGGCTTGCAGGGTCGGTCCGACGATGCTGCCCCACAAAGCAAGCTGAGCAAACCCCTACCAAAGGCGTTCCAGGGACCGACTGCGACCGATGTCAGTGACTTGAGTCGGCGGACCGGGGACTTGGCCGTGTATAAATACTACGCCCGCTCGTTTGGGTGGGAGCTCTCCTTGATGATGCTGGTCATGGTGGCGCTGGTTGCGGTCACAACTTACCTCCCACGTATGTCCTAGGATCCTGACAATCTTTAGCTAACAGCTCGGCTAATGAACCGCGATTACAGAAGTCTGGTTGGAATTGTACACTACTGGCAGTGTCAGCAATGTCGGAGTGTTCTGTGCTGTCTACGCTGTGGTCGCATCGACTTGTCTTACAGCGTTCTACATGTCAATGAGGTCAGGATACCCAGCGTTATTCAGAGACCAGTGACTGATTCCCAACCGCCTTATAGAATTGTTTTTATATATCTCATTCCCAAATCAGGTGCTCATTTACATCAAACCCTCATCGACACCGTGACGCGCGCTACCCAATCGTATCTCGACAAGGTTGACAGTGGGGTCATACTCAATCTGTTCAGTCAAGACATGTCCTTGGTAGACGCTATGCTCCCGGCCTCGATGATCATTACTCTTCAAGGTCGGTGGTGTCTCCAAGTACCATTAAGTAATAGTTTACTCTGACCATAGATCCAGCCCTAGTCAACGGACTGGTCCAGATCGGCCTTATCACGGCAGGCTCCAGCTTCATGGCCTTGAGCATTCCCGGGCTCATCTGCCTCGTGTACCTCCTACAGAACGTCTACCTGCGCACATCACGCCAGATCCGTTTCCTCGACCTCGAAGCCAAAAGCCCCCTCTACACGCACTTCATGGAAACACTCGAGGGGCTGGCGACGATCCGGGCGTTCGGCTGGCAGGAGGCATTCACGGCGCGCAGCAACGACCTGCTCGATGAATCCCAGAAACCATACTACCTGCTCTACTGCATCCAGCGGTGGCTCGACCTGGTACTACAGCTACTCATCGGGACCCTAGCGGTGATTGTGGTTACACTGGCCGTCACCCTGCGCGCGTCCAGCTCGGGCGGCCAGATCGGCCTCGCGCTGAACAGCATCCTCGGCTTCAACGCGACCTTCCAGATGCTGTTCACCTACTGGACCACCCTGGAGACCTCCCTTGGGGCGATCGCCCGGATCAAATCCACCGCGCAGTTCACCCCGCAGGAGACCGAGCCCTACCCGCGTCCTCCGCCCACTAACTGGCCAAGCCACGGCGCGATCGTCTTCCATCAAGCAAGCGCCTCCTGGAACCCCGACCCCGGCGCACCACCAAGCGTCCAAGATGTCACCTTCACTCTACCCCCGGGCACAAAGCTAGGCGTGTGCGGACGCACCGGCAGCGGAAAAAGCACGCTCCTCGCCGCCCTCCTGCGGCTCGTCGATCTCGACGCCGGACAGATCCTGATCGACGGACACGAAATCCGCTCCGTCCCGCGGACCACCCTCCGCGAGCGTATCATCACCATCCCACAGGAGCCAGTTTTCGTGTCTGGCTCAGTCCGCGCGAACATGACGCTCCTCCCGACCAGCACTGCTACTCCACCAGACACGCACCCCCTGGCGACAGATGCTGCGTACGATGACCAACAAATCCAAGCTGCACTCACCCACACCGACCTCTGGACCATCATCCAGGAGAAAGCCAGACGCACAACCCAGAGCACCAACCCGTTGGACGCCGCAATGCAGGACCTTACGCTCTCGCCGGGTCAGCAGCAGCTCTTCTGCTTGGCGCGCGCGATCCTGCGCAAGGACACGGCGCGGATCGTCGTGCTAGACGAAGCGACGAGCGCGGTGGATCATGTGGCAGAGCAGCGGGTGCAGGCGGTGCTGCGGCGGGAGTTTGCGAGCCATACGGTCGTCATGGTGGCGCATCGGGTGGAGACGCTCCTGGAGGCGGATCTGGTGGCTGTGCTGGATCGGGGCAGGGTGGTGGAGGTGGATGCGCCGGGGCGGTTGTTGGCGAGGGAGGGGTCGGTGTTTGCGGAGTTGAGGCGGTGCGGGTTGTAGGGTTTGGGAATGCTGTTGGGTGGGGAGTGTGGTCTATGTGGAGTATACAGAATGGAGATGAGATAATAGAAGATAGGCGGGGCGCAGAGAAAAGAGAGTTGGTTGAAGTTACTTCACAATTGGAAATTGATTTGTCAGTAATCCCGCCTCACACCTATACGCGTAATCTATACTGTTTAGATGGTATCAGCACACAATATTCATGATTCAGGTGTGGACTAGCTAGTGATCTCAACCCAACTCAGGTTCAAACAAATGAAGTACGATGCCTCGGGGCAGGCAGCGGTTATATAAATTCAGCCCGCGGTTCCCAGTGCCCGAGACTACTAGACTTACTTGGTTGCTTAGGGCTTTGGTTCGTGCGAATGCATGTGGATAGTGATAGTTCTTGATATTCTAGGTCAAGATATAGCGGTTGTAAGATTAAGTATAGGTCGATTCCAGACAGCCCGACGACTTGGGAAAATTGACTATCAAGAATCTGTCAATCGCCGCGACTACACGTCTTTTTCGTGAAATCTGATCACACTATCACCCAAACAGGTCCCTGGATGGCTGGCTACCTACATAGGGCGGGCCTGAAAGCGATCTAGTCAATTGATGTACAGCAGGATAAATCTCATGTTTGCGGACTTCTATACTTCTATTCGGGATGCTTTGAGTTAGTCGGTTGGCGGGGAGGGGATGATGCAAACCACCAGAACCGTTTCCTAGGTATGATGTATACGTTGTCCACAGTTTTACTTGTAGATTTCGATCGTTCCCTCCAGCACGGTGTACAGAGACCCAACAGTGCTCCTGTCCATGCCAAAGTGTGTGTTGTTCCTCCGTCCCCACCCCGCAGATTCCCTCGATCCTAGAACAGCAAGATTCCTCCGCGTGCATCGATGCACCGCCCTCCTCCCACCGACAAAAACGCATGACCTATCTGGAATCATCGACCCCGAAAGCGAGTCTTCTCGGCCGCCAACCGACTCAGCTCCGCCAGAGTCATATTCCCCAGGATCTCAAAGACCGCCACACCCGCCCCAATGCGCTTCCCGAACCAATTGCGCAGCTCGACCGCCACCAACGAATTGATGCCGTTCGCATGCACCGGCCGGTCCACGGCGATCTCCTCGACGGGTAGGCCCAGGATCTGCGCCAGCTTGGCCACGACCCACTGCATAATCTGGGCCGCGGCCGCCGCGACGGACGGGCTCGCGCGCAGCACGGCGGCGGCATCCGCGCCGGGCTTGCCCGCTGCTCTTCCCGCGGCGGCGGGCCCGGCGGGCGAGGCGGAGGGCATGGGTCGGGTGGTCGGCAGGTGGGAATTGACGAGGTGGAGGGGGCGGAAATACGGGCGCTGCATCCAGTAGGGCGGGTCGAAGCCCTTGGCCTCCATCGCGGCGGGACATTCGATGCCCACCACGACCTGCGCCTCGGTGGGAGACGCGGTGGATGGGCGCGGCGCTCCGCAGTAGTGGGTCAGCAGCGCGTGCAGGTCGGCCGGGGTGACGTCCATGAAGTAGCCCAGGCGACGCAGCGAGTCCAGCATGCCGGCCGTCTCGGCCACGACCCCCTCGCCGACCATCATGCCCAGGTCGATGGCGGCGGCTGGCTCCCCGAGCTGCACCCGGTACCGCGCCAGCGCGTCCTTGTAGGTGTTGCCGGCGCAGTAGTTGGCCTGGCTGGGGGCGCCGAGCACCCCGCCGATCGACGAGATGAGCACGAAGAAATCCATTCCTTTCGGAAGGAGGGCGTGCAGGTTCCATGACCCAAAGACTTTGGGATGTGTGCTGAGGACAAAGTCTTCGTAGCTCATGTTGGTGAATACGGCATCCTGAAGAGGTTTCGTCAGCGGATGTTTCGTTTTGTGGTGGGTGAAGTGAAGGTGTTTTCTTGTGCAAATGCTGCTGCTCCTTTTTTTTTTTTTTTTTTTTTTTTTTTTTTTTTTTTTTTTTTCTTTTGTGGTTTCTTCGAGGCAATGGGCTGTCGTGACTCACTCTCAGTACCATCGTGCACTGGATGCATCCTCGAATAGGGGGTAACGTAGAGGCATGCTCCTTCAACACCTCGGCGAGTGAATCCGGCTGGATGATATCGCATGTCGGCGCCACTATAGTGACCCCGAGCGCTCGGAGCTCTTGAACCAGTTGGCGCGCCGGCTCGGTCCGGGCCCCGGACCGTGACAGAGCGAGGAGATTTCGTGCTCCTCGACTCGCCATCCATCGGCATATGCTACGGCCCAGCCCTCCAAAGCCACCTGCAATTACATATGTCGCGTTTGCATTGAATTGATACGTTGGCTTATTGCACATGCGAGTCTAGATGATGGTCATTCGACTGATGAGCCTTTTGGAGAATGCAAACAACAAAACAAGAATAAAAATAAAAATAAAAATAAAGAGGGAAAACGAAAAACGTCAAAAGCTGCACTCACCGACACAGACTGCCCCGGACCCAGATCCAGCACTATCTTGCCGAATATCTGACCCCTCTGCACGAGTTGCAGGGCTTTGCTGAGATCTGAAGCCCTGAGAACTCTCAGCGGCGTCACCGGTACCACTAGCCCATCCAGCATAAGCTGCGACAGTTGCCGTTGAAGGTTCTGAACAACCGCAGGTTTCTGGCGATGGAGTTGGGATAAGTTAACGGGAGCAAGGGTGATACACCCGGACGCGGCCTCTCGCACGAGACGGGGATGGTCAGGCGGCAAGTCCCTGGAAAGGTCCAAGTTGACCAGGGTCCCAAACGGTGCCAACGCATCCAACGACGCTTCGAGCTCCTGGCTGTCGAAGTTCAAGACCAGATCCGCCCCTCCATCTGGCGTAGCCTGACGGATCGCATTGGCGATCTCGAAGCCACCCTCGTTCTCGGAAAGGATCAACTCCAGGGGAAGGTTGTATTTTGCTCGCAACATCTCTCGCTTGTCGGGGCTATCTTCCGTGACGAAGACCTTGGCTCCCATGAGCTGAGCGAGGTGGACAGCCAGCTGCCCGGTACCGGTACCTGCGTGGCGGACTAGAACGAAGTCATCCGGCGAGATGCGTCCCAGAGTCCGCAGCGCATAGAGGGCCAGCAATCCCGCCGTCGGGAGTGCGGCCGCCTCCACAAAGGAGACGTGCAGCGGAAGGGGAGCCGCAAAGGCCGCTGGCAAGCGCAGGACCGTACGGCAGCAGGCGGGACACCGCAGCAAGACGCGGTCGCCGGCCTGGAACCCGCTGCGCGAGCCCGCCTGCAGGACCTCCCCGGCACCCTCGGAGAAGATACCGGTCTCGCCATCCTCGTCCGGGGCCTGCCCGGAGGCAATGCGATAGTCGGCGGGGCTGACCCCCACCGCGTGCACGTGCACGAGGATCTCCGACTCGTCCAGGTCACACGGCGTGGGAGGCATCTCTTCCACCTCTTCGAACCGCATGCTGTCCGGAAATCCGGGCTTCGTGAGCTTGGCTTCCAGACACGGCCCCTCCCGGCCGAGCTCGATGGTTCTCACTTGGTGAGACGCGGTGGACCCGCGGATCGAGGCGTCCAGCCTTCTGGACTGCACGACGCGACTGATCTCCAGCAGCCCGTTGCGCTCTTCGTACTCGAACTCCATGTCGTCCAACGGAGAGCGCACCGCCTGACGGAGCACGGTGGCCACCGTGGCCGAAACGTCGGCGTGTGTTTGGCCCCGGGTGGCTAGGGCCAATTTCACAAATTTGAGCTGCCCGTTCTCGGACCGCAAGGACCGCGCGAAGCCGTCGACCAGATGGAACTCGGGTCTCCGCGGGGTCTGCTCGTCTTGCACCACCCAGATCACGTCGTTGGTCAGGGTCAGCATCTCCTTCAGGGCGTTGAACTCCGCCTCGGTCAGAGTGGTCAGGAACGTCCGGTGGTACTCGAGCAGAGATATGCAGACGCGCCCCTGCGGCTCCTTCCCAGCGACTGCTTCGAGGAAAGGGGAGATCGACACCTCCAGATCCGCGGCCACGCCCAGGATCTGTCTTCTGAGCTGCTCTGCAAACGTGCCTTGCGCTCCGGTCTTCCCGTCCGTGATGATCAACACAGGCGGCATATCGAGATCCTTCGCCTCTACAGCCTGCGTCCTTGGTCTGCTGATCACGACCCCGGTCTCTCTCGGATGCGACAGAGAATTGTCCGGGAGATGAACCTCAATGCCCGTGAACTGGCTCCGTGCCAGGATTTCTGATAGCTGCTCCTCGGAACAGGACGAACTCGTCGCGTTTTGGGGAGAAAGGCACGGCCGGGCTCCGGCGGGCTGACTCGAGACGGGGCTGTTCCCTTCTGGTGGAGTGATGTGAATCCCCGTGAGGATGAGCCGGCCGTCCCTGTTTACAATCAAACATGTTAGCATTGCGTGCCGAATTTTCGCTGATAGTGGTAACCTACGCCTTAATTCATCTTCTGATACTGTTCAGCGAGTTGAGCATGTCTTGCTCCGGGGCCAGTGGCTCGAGGATCGTCAATACGCGGCACTCGTGACGAGTCACTGGAAAGGATGGGGCTTTGTCATACCTGAGAGATAACCACGAGATCATAGAAAGAAGGCTCAAATCGCTGTGTGATGGGATCCTGATCCCACTGCAGACACTTCAGACCAATATTCTGCCCGAGGCGTTCACAGTGGGCTTCTGCAAGGGCAAGCTCTTCCTGCGAGTGCGTGATGTAGTCGTATTGAACCCAAGGGGGGCGTTCGCTGCCAGCGGAGAGGGCTTGGGTGCAGCTGGCGAGATCTGCCGTTCTGCCACCGATGTGTAGGATCCTGAGGAGCGGGTTTTAATGTGTCAGCAGCGACGCAAAGCGGGTCAAGCAATCAGGAACGAGTTTCTGCCGATCTCCACTATCCTGCTGTTGAGACTGCGCGCAGAAGAGGCGAGTTTGCTCGTTGGTCATTAGATCCAGGTCCGGTAGCCACACGACCTGGCTGTGGAGCGGTCGCGCCGCGCGCTCCGCCACCGACTCGTCGTTGATCGAGGCCACAAACTTGGTCTGATAGCCATCGATCGCGCAGACAACTTGCCCATCGAGCCTGGACAGGGCGACCACGTCGGACTGGGTGCCGTTGTAGCCATGCATTGAGGACCGCGTCGTAGCCAGCAGGGGCTGGTCACCGGCGGCATCGGACTGCCCGCGGCGGGCAGCAGCTATGGCCAGTCGCTTCACGTACGAGGGGACCATCGCGGGCAACGAGCGACTGCCGCCCTCGTTCAGGGCCGGGAACACCAGCTGCAGCAGTCCGTCCATCGTCGCCGGATGCATGACATACGAACTCTGCCGGGGGAAGTCTGACTTCCCGGACCACGGGTGGATGTCAGCCACGGCGCGTCCGCGGCGATCGATGCGCAGATTCTCCAGCGTTTGGAACTTCGGCCCATAGCTCACGCCATTCTCCCGGATATTGCCGTACAGCATCTCTGACTCCAGCGCGGTATCACAGGTCTCTCGAATCTGCTTCACGGTCTGTTGGTGGTGCGCCCAAGGTGCGGAGGTGTGGTCCGGCTGATCCACGCGAGCCATGTCCACTCTTATCGTTCCGTGGGCATGTTCAACGCACTCCCGTCGTGGAGTGAACGTGAAGACCTTGAACGTGTACCATGTCGCGTCGTGGGTTCCACCCCGGTGACCCGCGTGCGACAAGGTAACCTGCGTCTCCACCCCTTGGGCACTTTCTGGCACTTGGAGCGCATTGAGGAACCAGATCTCGCGGAGCTCGAAGCCGAATACCTTCTCGTCCTGTCGGGCTGATGCGAGCTGTTGCGCAGCCTGGATGGCCATGGCTAGCATTCCCGCCGCAGGGAATAGGATGCTATCGCTGATCTGGAGCATAAAGCACGGGGGTTGGGTCAGTCAACTCGTCGTCGGTTGGAAGAATCGTAGGTAGCCATTTCCCCGAAACTTACCTGATGGTCCTCAAGCCACGGGAGGTCCTCCAGACGGAGGATGTTGCGCCATCGCGCTTCGTAGGCGTTCGAGTCGACAGTCCGAATCCCCAGGAGCTCATGGGGCCCATGCGTACGAAATCTGAATGCGGAGCTCAACCGATCTTCGAACCAGTGTCTGTGGGTGTGGTTAAATGTATATTCCGGCAGGTCGGTTCTTACCACCAGTGATTGATCGGAGAGGCCATTTGCCCGGCGCAAATCAATAGAGTGGCCCTGACTCCAGAGCCGACCAATACATTCAAGAACCCCTTTCCCGGCGTCCGTCTTGCGGTCCAGGGCGTGGTCATATGTGACTTGACGCTGCACCTCCAGCTCTTTCACTATGTCCCGCAGTGGACCCTGGAGCGTCGAATGCGGGCCGATCTCCAGCAAAGTTGTGATGCCAGAGAGGGACTGGAACTTGGAGCCAAGGTGCTTCCGAGGAGCCCGGCCCGAGAGCACAGCCAGCAGCGCTATCCCGGTTGCAAAACGGACCCGGGAGACCATATTCCGGACCCAATAGACCGGATCGCGGAGCATACGAGGGGGAACTACCTGGCCCGTGACTGTCGAGATCATGGGAACGCGCGGTTCCCCGACCGGATCGCCATCCATGTCCCGCAGCGCAGCCAGATAATCGTCCTTGATGGACTCCATGAACGTGGAGTGGTACGCCACGTTGACACGCAGCATCCGAGCGAAGTGCCCGTCCTTTTCGAGCCATGACCGCAACATCTCAAGTTGATCTTTGTCCCCGGTTAAGGTGATGCTTGTTGGGCTATTGACACAGCCGATCTGTACACGTCGCTGGTCGACTACTCGTCCCAGACGGTCCACGTATGGCTGAACCTGTTCCTCACTGACTGCTGCGGCCAACATACCCTGTGGGACAGCATGCATCTGCGGCAGGCGTTGTGCTAACCGGCCGCGGTGGAAGGCGATTCGCAAGGCAGTACGATCACCGATGGCCCCTGCACAGTACCTTGAAGAGTGGAATTCTAAATCAGCAATGGTTGAAGATAGATGTTCCGCAGGAGAGACTTACGCCGCTGCGATCTCGCCAGAAGAATGGCCCACCACCGCCGATGGGACAGCCCCGACATGCATGAAGAAATCGACCACGGCAATCTGGAGTGCAGTCGAGTATGTCTGACTATACTCAGGCTCGTCCACCCGGGCGTCAGGGTCTCGAAGTAGCTCTAAGTACGGTCAGTACTCGGTACCCTCATCATTCTTGTGGACAACAAAAAGGAAAAAAATCCGCGAGTCATGTGGGAGATTTAGATGTTGTGGGCCGTACCTAGTAACGATCATCCGCACTGCAGCTCTCCCAAGATCTTGTCCAGTTGCTCAAACCGGTTCCGGAAGAAACGAAGGGCTAACAAGCCACATCCCATCTTAGCATATTGCGCGCCTTGCCCGGTGAAAATATACGCGATGGAGCCTGGCGTGGTAGTTGCACGAACGGGCTTAGAACTGGATTTCTGTAGTGAACGTAGGTTGTCCTCCTTGGTGGTTACCACAGATGATCTCCAATTGTGGCGAGTTCTTCTCGATGTCAGAGTATGCACCAGGTCTACGAATGCATTTGGGGTGTGCAGGTGACTTGACTGGTCCGCAAAGAACTGCTCGTATGCGCCGAGCATACTCCTAAGGCTGGTCTCATCGGCAGCAGACCAGACCAACAGTCGAGGGGGTGGTGCCTCTGTTGTACCTCTGGACAGAATCTTTGTTGGGTATGTTGTTAGATCTGTAGTCCGGTGATGGCCGTCGAGGCCATTTTGTGCGAGGTAATGCAACGCATCGTCGAGAATAACGACTGCGTTGGATCCGCCAAATCCAAACGAATTTACCTAAGATTCAAGGATCGGTCAGCATGGCAGACCATGTGGAGCAAGACTTCTTCCCCGGGTTACATACACAAGCCCGTCGCAAGCCAGTGCTTGGCCATGGAATAGCCGCTGTTGGGAACCGGATATGAAGCCTCTGGGTATCGATCTTAGGGTTGATGCGCTCCAGACCTGAGTTCGGGACGATGACGCTCCGATACCATCTCCGCGCGCGTAGCCATTGGCCTTGTGATCAAAACTCTGGCATCTGCTGTCGGTCGATAGGAAGCCCATATTGGACATTATAAGCATGAAGTCTGGGTGGAAAACCAAATTGCAGCCGCCCACGAGTGCCTGCGGCATATACACTGGTCAGTTCTCTCCTTTGTTGACTGCAATGGGAGGCTCATACCATTGTCGACGTCCCTATGTGCAGGTCTTGACACGCGATATGTAGAGCACTCAGACTACTCGAGCAAGCAGAGTCTAGGTTCATGCTGGGCCCGCGGAAGTCGTAGAACCAACTGATGCGGTTGGCCAGCATGGACCCCGATAGCCCAGTCGCCGCGTACTTGGGGATGTTATCCGGCGCGTCCATCAGAACGCTCTTGTAGTCATCTGTGAAGGTGGCCGTATAGACCGAGGTCTTGCTACCCGCGCACCGACTGATAGTGACGCCGGCTATTCCAACACGTGAGTTGGTATCTCGAGGGGGTGGCAGCGAGAATTTGGTCTGAACCCACCATTCTCCAAGGCCCGATATGATGTTTCTAACAGCAGGCGCTGTTGGGGGTCCATCGCCTCTGCCTCCGCCGGCGTCACGTTGAAGAAGGGCGCATCGAAAACACCCAGGTCCTCCTTGAGGAAGTGACCACCACGAAGTGGCATCTGCAAATCAAGGTGAGCTTACTGTGGCAACTTTAGCAGGGCTCTACGAGAATGGATGCACTTACAGTTCCGTTGCTTGCACCTTTGGGCCCCTCAAAGGTGTCCATATTGAATCGATCTGCAGGGAATTCCGTCATAGCACAGCGCCCTTCATGGAGCATATTCCAGAAGCCATCGCTAGAGTCTGCATCCTGAGGAAACTTCAGGGAGAATCCCACAACAGCGATAGGGTCTTCCATGATAGACATCCTCGTTCTCGTCGAATTGTTCTCTGGTGTCAATGACAGCCTACTAGAGGCGTGTTGAAGTGCCGCGGCGACATTTATTAAGCCGAACACTTCCTTACTGGTCACGGTCAGTGGTCACTGATAGAGCCTCGCAAGGCATTAGCTTGTTCTGGCAGAACCGAGGTGACATGCCTTTTAGCGGATCATCTACTCTGTCGATAATGTTTGCTATTCCTCTTTCTGGTTTTTTCGACCTGCATTTTTTTTTCCAATTTGTGTCTCATCGACCTGTCCGCTTTCTCTCCTGTCTAGCTCTCCTACCCCATCCGTCTTTTCCGGACTCAATTCTAATTACACCTAAGCCTTTAGCAAAACCTCGGCAATGACACTGACAAGGGTATGGAGTATATATTTATCACACAATTCTATGTCCAACCAGGTCTCTACTACCCCTCACGCATCTCCCTCGATTAGGCTGTCCAGCACAACGTACCGGTCATCCTGCGCCTCCTCTGTCTCCACGGGCTGGGCACCAACAGCGATGTACGTATAGCCCTTTCTTTGGACAACCACCGTGCCAAACGCCAGTTCTAACAAGACGAAACTCAACCGACAGATCCTTCGAGCACAGACAGGTATGATCTCCGTGAATCCTGCGATCCATCTATCTTTCACCCGCCTAGGTGCGCTGCATCATGCTGATCTAACGTGTTAAATGTTCCTCCGGCACGTAGCCGCCCTGCGCTAAAACCTGAGCCAGGATGAGAATAACAGCACGAACCACAACAACCAACCTATGCACGAATTCGACTTTATTGATGGAGCAGTGCTCTGGCCCCCAGCACGGGGCATCTCCGACGTCTTCAGAGAACAGGTGGACTGTTATTCCTACTTCGACGTGTCAGCGGCGAGTATTCTGCGCGCGGTGGAGGATCTGGCAGTGTACGCACGGACCAACGGTCCGTTCGATGGGGTGATCGGCTTTTCTCAGGGGGCGGTCCTTGCGGCCACTCTTCTGATAGCCCTAGCCAACGCCAACGACACCGCCCCCAACAACAGCAACAGCAACAGCGACCTCCCACTGGCTTTACGGCCCCTGCTCGCGGAGCCTCCATTTCGATTCGCCGTCTTCCTCTGCGGTAGGGACCCCTTTGACCTGGCTGCGCTGCAGGAAGGTGAGATTCGCCTGCTCCGGGAGCTCCCTCCCGGTCACTCCGCCTGGATCCGCATACCCGTGGTCAATTGTTGGGCGTCCAACGACGAGGACTATCCCGGTATGGGACCGTCATTGTCGGCGCTGTGCGACAGCGGGGTGAATGAGCAAGTGGTCCATGCGGTTGGCCATGGAGTACCCACCGAGGGCGAGGACCTTCATCGATTGGTGACTGCGGTCCGGGCCACGATGGAGCGTGCACAGCACTGCGAACTGGCGCAGACTTAGCACATTCTATCTGTACAGACAGTACCTTGTACGGTACCTCACTTCTGTGACTCTTTCCTCCTTTTTTGGAGGAAATTGTGGGATGGCCAGAATTTCAGGGCTGTTGTTGTCAAATTGAGAGCCCACTTCTTAGTGCTTATGCCGGTTCCATTCATGCAGTTCCTAGAAATAGGCCCCACGTAGGTTAGGATAGTAGGCTAGTATACCTCTGTTCCCGGGCAACGCGGCATTTTGGGCACCACAGTCCCCGATAGCTAGGGTACATGTACAGCCACCTTTTTTTTTTCCTTTTCCGGTCAAACAAACACTCCTGCCAGGATCCATCTTATTGTTCCTTCCGACAGCTCGAATTGAGAATGGCGCTTGGACCAGGGAGCTCCAAGTAACGAGCTTGCTGCCTTCCCCTCTAGCTATCTTAACCCCCCCCCCCCCTCACACCACACCCCCGCCTCTAAACCTACTTCAGTTTCGGCCCCAGCCAAACTCCCTTCACTAGCCGGGTCAGATTATTTGAGGGTCCAACTCGACAGGGGTCCAGGGACACTGCGGTCATTTTGCCGATGTAAGTCCGCAACCAAGAGCCGGGGGACTTGGAACCGGACCGACTGGGACACCTGTTAAGTTCAGAAGCAAAGGATCAGTAAAGGGCAATCCCACGCATGAACTGAACGACAGAAGCCTACACCGAGGATACAAAACCACCGGCGAACATGCGCACAGTCCACTAACCGAAACAAATCTATCTCAAGCTCGATTCTGTGTTCATACTTACTAAGTTGCAAGCCGATACGCCTCTTCCGCGCCGATCCTGTCGGAAGAGGCGCGAAATGCACGTGCGTGCTACTTGTTTACCATAGCACAGAGGTAATCACACGGCACAGCCAGTCTGAGTCCACGGTAGTTCTGGCGTCGAACGAACATGAAGTGTGTGGAGCACTTGATGCCAAGCGTTCCAAGCGGAAATTCAGCCTGCAGTCTGCAGGTTGCAGGTCAATTGCGACACCCCAACGGCATCCCTACCGATAGTATGTCCTCTCCCCTCCCCAAAGCAAACCAACACCCGTCACCACCATCACCATCACCATCACCATCATCATCATCCCTGCTTGGGGGCGAAGCGCATTCACCCGGTCATGTAAGCGATGATCACCGCATAGTTAACCTGCCTTCAACCCGCGCGATCGAGCAGATTCAACCTCAGTTATTCAGGACTCTTCTTGCAACAGCTCAGAAAAAAAATCACTTCGCCCCTTGAGATAACCTCCGTCATGGCGCGCCTCCAGGCTCCAGTCGTGGCGCGACACGCCGTTTCCATGGTCACCGTCTCCACGGTCCTCCAGACGGGGGCGTTTCTCGCGGTTCTGCTGCGGTTCCTGGCCCGGCGACGGGCGCGGAACCTCGGCGTGGATGACTGGCTGGCGCTGTTGGCGCTGGTCTTCGCCAGCGGCCTATACGTCACGGGTATTTTGATTTGTACGATCGGGTTCGCCGGGTTCCATGCGAGTCTGCTAGAGGTTGACCAGCTGGAGCGATTTTTAATGGTAAGAGAGAGAGACCGAGACAGAGACCCAAAGATACACACCCGGTCTATCCTCCCATCCTCGGAGAGACACACGCATTGAGGAGCTTCTGGCTGATCAGGCAACCAAAAAAAAAAAAAAAAAAAAAAAACAGCTTGTATACATCGACAACCTCTGCTATGCTCTGACCCTACCGACGATTAAGCTGTCCATCCTGCTCATGTACCGCCGCTTGTTCCCGACCAAGCCATTCGGGTATGCCACGGCCGCGGTGGGTGCCATTGTGCTAGGCTGGATGATCTCAGTCGTGCTCGCCCAGATCCTCACTTGCCTGCCCGTCGACGCGGCCTGGATCCTCTCCAAGGCCGCCGACAGCCACTGCATCGACCAGATCAAGTTCTACTATGGAAACTCCATCTCGAATGTCTTGACGGATGTGCTCATTCTGTGCCTGCCCCTGCCGCTGATTTGGCGGCTGCAGATGACGCGCGAGAAGAAATTGGGCGTGACGGCCGTGTTGTTAATGGGGGGATTGTATGTTTCTTGTGGATAACATCTGAAACCATGTCAACTCACTGACTCACCTATTCGTTCCAATTCTAGCATTTGCATCGCCAGCATCATCCGCCTATCCTATCTCGGCGCGATTGACAACAACGACATCACATGTAAGGCGGGACCTAGACCGGCATGGAAGTGCCTTTTTCTTTCTTTTCTCTCTCCGTTCTTTTCTTGTTTTACTTTGTACCTCTCGTTTTTTTTTTGTTTTTTTTCGTTTGCTTGTGCGTACTTTTTTTCTCGGCCTCGCGCTAACGATCACACATTTAGACACTCTCGTTGCGGTCGGAAACTGGACCTCGGTCGAAACCCCCCTGGCCATCATCTGCGCCTGCCTGCCTACCATGCCGGCCCTTTTCCGGGTAAAGAACCAATTCGCAAGCGGGTACTCTGGAGGTACTTCGAAGACGGATGGTTCGGGGCATCATCGCGCGCTGCGCTTTCCCCACCACCATCATTCCGCCAATCTGACGGAATATCGCGCGTTGGTTGGCGACGGAGCATCTGCTGCCCTCCCCCTGGATAGTGTGACCAAAGATCGCATTCGGATCTCACACAGTTTTGCGGTTCAAAATGGAAGGCCGGAGGAGTAAAGAGGAATTGTTGAGAGAAAGGGGGGGAAGGAAGGGGAAGGAAACCTAAGTGGGTTAGTTTTGCCAGTGGAGAGCCTCACAAGGCAGACAGAGGTATGGCTGGGCCCTTGCACTATGGTCTTTCTAGCATGTGCCATGTATGCATACTATAACATGACAGCTGGCACGGTATCCCCTTCAACAGACGTAGGTGTCATTGTATACAGCTCAATCAGAGACCGTGTCTGCGAGCATCAAACGGTAAGCAAACCGCATCGCTTGCGGCACAGTGTTGCATGGGTGCCCTCCCGCTACCGATCCAATAGGTTCAATTTCGCTTCGCAAGTGTCATGCATGTCGTGCCATGCAAGTAGGCAGCCCGAGACCGGTCTTCTGTCAATTTTCAATGACATGGCTTGCTGCTCTCTTGGGAGGGGATGGGGGCTGATCGCAGATGTACACAGTACTTAAACCAATGAAGAGCAGCCAGTCTGTTGTCTTCCCACCCCATCTTGCCAGCTTCTTACGTGTTTCCTTGTCACAATCCGATTGGTTTTTCTTTGTTTTTTGTTTTTTGTTGCCAATTCACTATGGATTCCAAACGTGCGCCAGATAGCTACCTGCTCAGTCGTGACCATGTTGACTGTGATCGGTTCGAGGGCCTTGGACAATACCCGTGGTGTGTTCTTTTGCGTGCAAGCTAACCTAGGGCCAACGACTCAGACTCAATCTCCAGCATAGCCTCTGGACGCAGATGTTCGGCTACCTGCTCCATCCTCTCATTGACACGTCCAACCCCCATTTGAAAGTGGCCGACCTTGGGACGGGAACCGCGTTGAGTTTGCCCCCGCCTACCTATCTTCGCCTGTGGGGTCTGTAACCGGGCTTCCTGTTGACTCTTTTCCAGGTGTTGGCTGACCGATCTCTCCGCCCAACTCCCGCCCACCGCGCAACTCGATGGATTTGACCTTGAGCTCACGCAAGCGCCGCCTCGGGCATTTCTCCCCAGCAATGTGAGACTGCACGAATGGGATATCTTTTCCGAGGTGCCCGAGCACCTAGTGGGACAGTATGATGTGGTTCATGTGCGCCTGCTAGTGTTTGTGGTGGGGGGGAGCCGACGGAGCTCCTCCGCCGGTTTCTCACGCTCCTCAGTATGTACTGTCCTATCCTGTCCTGTCCTGTTCTGTCCTGTATTGTACTGTCACTACACCTGCCAGGAGGTGGCAGTGACCAACTTCCAGATACACTCAATCGGGCTGACACTGGACCGTATCTACGCACGAGCAGAACCCGGCGGTTGGCTGCAGTGGGGCGAACCGGATGTGCCATCCATGCGCCTAGTCAAAGCCGACCCGTCGCTGGCAGAGAATGGGCTGCGGGAGCTGTTCGAATTGACGGCGGCGCAGGATCCCCGGCTCATTCCGCAGTGGCCGGACCAGTTGGGGGCGTATTTCGCGCGAGAGGGGCTTACCGCAGTGGAGACCCACCGGGTGCAGGCGGCCGCGACGGCGCCGCACCTCGAGTTCGCCATGCACCAGTGCAATCTCCTGATGTACGAGATGATTGCCGCGCGGGCGGCGGATGGATCCCGGGCCCAGCAGATCCGGGCTTTGATTCCTCGCGCGGTGGGGGAGTCCAAACGGGGGGCGGTGTACGCCATGCATCGAGTGGTGGTGGTGGGGCAGAAGAAGCAGCCTTGACTTTAGGGTTAATTACTCCGTACAATGGAGAACATTGGCAATTGACAGGATGCGGGACTCGGGAGTGTATTGCTCCTTCCAGGAGCAGCAGCAGCAGCAGCCGCAGCCGCAGCAGCAGGAAGGTTACATCGCATTCAATGCATTAGTCTTAGCCCCCACGCAACTATTTGATTACTAGTTAGTACTTGGAAGAGTAAGAGGACCTGAGTAGGTAAGCCCTAAGTTAGTTCACGTTAGTCTCGTGGTCCGTTTCTTTGTCAGTACGTGTGTATGTAGGAACTAGCGTCCAAACTACTACTACGGCCAAGTGTTGCCCCATAATCACACCATTCGCGCACCGTTTCTCTACTGATCCTTGTCCGCCATATTAAAGCCAACCACCCAGCGAGGCAATAAGTTAGCAAGCACATAACTGAATTCTATACTAACCACCCTCAATCCTCCTTCCCGATTCCTCCCTTACTTTCCTTTCTTTCCCACGAAAGCCAAAACCCATCGTCCCATCTATCCCACCACAATGACCACCACCACCACCACCAGCCCCACCATTGTTCTCGTCCACGGGGCCTGGCACACCCCGGCCAACTATGCCCCTTTCATCACCGACCTCGAATCGCGGGGCTTTATCGTCCACTGCCCCCACCTGCCCAGCTGCACCAATACCTCCCCACCACCGGCCACCTACCAAGACGACGTGACCACCGTCCGCAACCTGGTCACGGGCCTCGTCAACAACGGCGAGCGCGTCCTGATGATCCTGCACTCCTACGGCGGGGCCATCGGCACCGACGCCGTCCAGGGACTGGACCTGCCGACCCGCGCCGCCCAAAACCTCCCAGGGGGCATCATCCACCTCCTCTACCTCTGCGCCTACATCCAGCTGCCCGGCCGCACCGTGTGGGACGTGATCGCCGAGGCGGGGATGACGGGGTTCTGGCCGCAGTTCGTGCAGGACCACGCGGACGGATCCACTTTCCCCGTGGACCCCGTCCAGCTCTTCCTGGGGGACTGCGATGCGGAGCAGATTGCGGCGGCGCGGCCGCATCTCGTGCGCAGTCCGTTGAGTGCCTTCCATACCCCGGGTTCCGGGGATGCGTGGCGGAGACTGCCGGTCACGTATGTCACGACAACTAAAGATTATTCGGTGCCCCGCGTGTACCAGGACATTATGCTGAAGCATGTCGCGGCGCAAGGGGTGGAGGTGAGGGTGGTGGAGGTGGATACCGCGCACAGTGTGTTTCTGTCCCGACGCGACGACGTGATGAGGGTGGTGGACGAAGCGGTGCGGGATGAGCGGAATCCTTGAATTTAAAGGTGTTTGATCGCAGTTTCTGTTTGTGTCAGGGTGCGGGTTAGATTGTATGTTCCTGCTTTGGAAAAAAAGAAAAATGGGGTTGGGCTTTTTCTGATCTTGACTGGGAGATACGGGGGGTGAGAGTCAGGAACTGAGGATTTATATAGATATCAATGCTAGACGCTCTACAGCGGAACGAAATCAAGGGGGGGATATCTGGTATTGGGAGGGGAAGTTAAGTCTGAAAATGAACTGATGTCTCCAGGTGAGTAAACATGCATTAGGGATGTCTGGATGGGTTTGAGGTTGTTGCGAAGCATATCATGTACTGTGCCCCATAAGCGACTGGCCATTGGGGGCGGGAGGGTGAGCCCCGTTCGAAAGAGTAGGTAGACATGCCCATGTGGCGATAACTCTGGCGATGTACCAACGAGCACCCAAATGTATTTTTCGCCCCAGGCACATATCCCAGTGCTCAAGACCATTTATCATCAGCAGCAGCTTAGACCCGAGTAGACACATGGCACAAAGTCACTGTCACCGTCCAGCCAAGATAGGTTACTTCATGGGCTGTGATGTAGACGACCAAAGCTAAACACGCAAAACCCTTCTCTCGTGACCATCTTTGCGGCCCGTGCCTCCCCCTCCAGTACATTAGAACACACCCTTTCCGATTCTTTCATCTAGGAGAGGATACTGAATTGGGTTGTGGGGATGCTGTGTAGGGATTGGTACAAGACCGAACCCGGGCTCTGGGTCCGTCACCCCAAGGCTGGAATCCCCGGGCCTGGATGTAAGGGTACGTGAAGGCGATCCAGTCCATCTCAGAGCAACCCAACAGGATACTCACTCTAATTTGCTCATTAAACAGGCGGTATCCCGGCCGGGTTGCCGGACTGCGATATATAAACCTCGGGTCCACGAGTGTTCCCCTGGTGGCTTGTCTTGTCCTGCCCCAGATACTGACATCCACTCGCAACACAATGATTCGCTTGGTCAATTCTTCTTCTTACTATTGTGAACGAGGCGAACAAACGTTCCCCACAACCGTCGATCGCGAAAATGTGACTCATTTATGGTGCCAGGCTGGAACTGTCTACCGCGCTTCGGTGTGCAACGGTCTTTATCCCTTAGCAGAATGTTACCACCGGTTCATGAAATCAAGCATCGCAGGTATTCTCCAAGGCCCCAGACCTATCCGCAGAGAGCTTTGGACTTCCAATTCGAAGCTACCTTTCTCCACCCCCAGAGACAGTTCCAGGCGCCGGGAACAAATGGTATGAACCTTGGTTCGGCGCCTGTGCGAGAAAGTCAGTTGTAGAAAGATAGACACAATCGCAGACCCAATACGGGACCCCGATGCCAGTCACTATCTATTGTCAAAAATTAGGTCGACAGCATTAATTGTGATCTGAAGTACCCCAAACCTCGACAAATAGATATTAGTGATGCCGGAACAACCTACGGAGTGATCTCTTCACGACACAGAGCACAGACCACCGATCAATTACGCCCTGAGCCCAGGCTCCTTAGGTTAATAGAACTGGAATTGAGCTGAATTGACTTGCATGGCACAGAGCACCGCTCTCGTCTCGGTCTTTCTGGGATGTATTCATTACCCATGAAGACGCGAACCTGTGCTCCTCGAACAGATGGGTATCCCGTGGGTATCCTCGTATAGATACAGGAGAGTCGCAGGCATAAGCACAGGTCATCGTGGATAGGACCTAGAGGCCAATCCACAGGGTTGGAAACAGTCTGATCGAAAAATTGTGTGTTGTCTGGCTGGATGGACCGTTTGCGGCTGCTGGACTGCTGGAGGATGATCAGCAACGGTCGCCACTTGCCGGGTTAAAAGTACGTATAGACCAAGCGAGGTGGTTCTACAGTCTTAGTATTAAGCTCACTCGTGATGGATGCTTTCTTCCTGTTGGTACTATGCAAGTTAGGACTATCCTGGATAACCGTTTTCCTCGGGCCAGACTTTCAGGCAAATAATTATCTTTATACCCAAACTCTTGTACAATAGATCAAGATCCATCACTCTGACCAAAACTACCATGTCTCCTCTAATTCAAATCCCAGCATTGAGGCTACAAAGCAGATTCGCGTCAGTCACAGCATCCCTTGATTGAAATTACCAAAACATAAGAATCACTTACCACGTTTTGAATCACCACCGTGGTCCCATCCGTCACCTGTGTTCTAACCAACTGTCGCAAGTCCGTGGCGGCCGGCACAAATGGATTAGGGTTGATGGCCGGTCTCCCCGCGGTGCCCCTCGTGCACGGCACCACATCGCCCAGCGCCGCCCGGGGGATCCCATCGGTCAGCCCGGCATCCAGCTTATACTGGTTGGCTGTGTTCTGCAGGTACGTCTTGATCGCTTTGGACATGCTGCCCAGCCCGTTGGCCATGAACTGTGCCCGCAGGTCCGGCTGAGACAGATAGTAAGCGATCATGCCGGCGGTGATGGCGGTGGCCTGGGAGGTGCCCGCCGGCTCGACCGCGTACACGTTCAGCTGGGAGGTGTCCACTCCTTGGTCGTTGTATCCCACGGTCGCGCAGTCGACGTTGGTGCCGACATTGTACAGAGTAAGAATGCCGCGCTGATCATTGTCCCGAAACTGCGAGTTCGGATTGCGGCTGTTGTCGAACAGAGCGTTTCCAACCACGATCAGGGGCGTGTCGGCGCCGCCCTTGCCCCGCGGGTACAGGTAATTGAGATCAAGTTGCGCGGGGTCACGTTGCTGGGCTGCATCGTTGCCCGCGCTGCAGACCACCGCGATGCCGAGGTCATAGAACCACTGCAGGTATTTGTCGAAGACGTCCTGCTGCGGCTCGTCGAGCGGGTTGAGACTCTCGCCCCACAGGAATGCCTGCCGAGGACCGCCTTTTCAAGAGGTTTAGGTTAGCAGAGGCAAGAAGGGTAAGAGCAAGATATATGACACGAGAGGAAAAGGCCAGCTTACCGAAAGACATAGAAATGACGGCGTTGCCCTGGGCGCCATTGTTCACAATATGCCGGTAGATCTCCTGGAAGACAAAGCCCGCCCGGCGGGCGCGCATTCTCAACATCACCCCAGCTTTGGATAATACCAGCTCGATGGCGACGAGCCGGGCGGTTTTGCCCATCGAGTGGTACGCCCCTGTCGCGAGGGAGGCCATGCAAGTTCCGTGGCCATTCCGGGGTACAATCGTCAGCCCCGTCTTCCGGGAGCCTACGTCGTCTACGCCGAAGCTGTCGTATAGTCGGCCGGCAAAGGACTAGATGGGAGACCATGTTAGCTCTGAATTTACCTACCGGCATAAATCGTAAGTTGGTAACTTCGATGTGTATCTGACTACTTACCTCATGCCCAGCCAGGAAGGCGGAGTCAATGACATAGACAATGGGCGCGCCGTTGGCGTTGGCATTCGAGGGATCATTGTAGATCAAGTCGTCGAAGCTCAGGTAGTTCCCATACAGGTTGCTGTACCGTGAGACCTGAGAAAGCCATTGGAGATGGCCGGGGCTCTGCTGTTGGAGATAGAAGCGACTGTTGGCCGTCGGCTCGATGCGTGCCTGAAGGTGCGGCTGCCTTTCTGTGGAGTTTAGGTTGTTGTCGCTTAACCAGGGCTCGTCATGGGGATTGTTAATAGAGCCAGGATGGCTGGATACCGCTGGTGTGGCGCTATACGACCTCTTCTTCCCTGATACTGCGTCATCAAGGGTATCGTCGTTGCTATCCAGGTCAATTTCTCCATCAACACTCCACGCGTCAACGATGGGATTGCTATTGAACTTTTCGGCGGTGCATTGATCGACAATTCCCATGTATACAAACTAGATGTTCACAGTGCTCCGATTAGTACGAGCTGTAATAGTTGGTGGGGATTCCAAAGCGAGAAGCTTACGTTCGGCTGCCACGACTCCGTAAATTGAAGAGCCTCGGGATCTTTTGGCAGGGTTGCGACAAACTCTTGGAATTCCTGGACGGTGGTTCCTTCCACCGTCATGATAATGACCGGGCTCGTGGTAGCTGTGGCGGCACAGGAGGTGGAAGAGGTGGAGGATGTGGTGGATGTCGCCGTGGTCACCATGGTGGTGGTGGTGGGCATGATGGTCGGTGTCGCGACGGGTGGCGATCCGTTGCTTTCGAACAACGCGGCCAGAGTTGCCATGACGAGGACTATGCATTATATAAATGAGTACTAGGTCCAGAACGGCGGTTCTGACGCGAAGGCTTACAGATTCCAGTTGCCGAGGCAGCCGCAGAGACAGGGAGTCCGATAGCATTGATCTGTCAAGGTTAGATCAACAAGTTCGTCTTTGGGAGAGAATCAAGCAGACAGACCGTAATTCTAAGTTGAGAAATACTCGCCGCAGCGTCGATGGCCGGGGCAACGCCAGCCGCAATGGCGTCAGAGAGCTCGATGAGATTGGCATTGAGATCACGGATCACCTCGATCATTTGGCTCTGGAGGGCATCCACTAGTAGCCAAAAGTTAGTATCATAGCCAAGCTCATGGTAGGATCGAACATACCTGCATTATCCCACTCCTCAAACGCCTCTTCCGACACGCTCGGATCGTCTTCGTCAATGGTATCCAATCGCCGTCCCAACGTCAGCAACCGGTCACCGTTCGCTTTCGCGGCCGACAGACTACTCGACGCCTCATTTGCAGCGCTCTGGTCCCCCATCATCTGCAGCTCAATCTCCTCATAGTCACTCTGATCGGCACGTTTTACCTTAGCCGAAGAAGAAGACTGCAACAGACCCTGCAGCGTCTCCAGATGAGTCTGGTATGATTCGAGAACCTGCAGCGCCTGCCAGACACTCGCGTTGTACTGGTGAATAGCATCCGCCAGCTCCGCGTAGGTGGGATCCTCCCAGGTTCGATCAGCGTAGATCTGCACGCGGTTGCCCCCGCCGCAGGTTTCGGCAGTGTTGCCGGAACAGGGCATGTTGCAGTCGCTGTCCGAGTAGGCTGTTCCGTCGTGGATGGTGTTTCCGACGAAGCATTGTCTGGGAGGTTATGGTTAGACTGTCTACGATATAATGGATGAGGTTGCGTGGAGAGAAGGGAGGGGGCCGTACCTGCTATATTCGACACCCGCGTATCGCCATGCACCGGCTTTGGCGAGGGATACGCAGGCCTCGACCGTCATGCCCGTGGCGTCTTCTTTCGAGTCGGCTACCAGGACACGGGGGCTCTCTTGGTCGGAGTAGCAGCCTAGGAAGGAGAAGGAGTCCACTTGGGTTGGTCGGGTGGGGGTGGAGGAGACAGATGAGGTGGTCGTGGTCGTGGTGGACTTCGATGTTGTCGAAGCGGAAGAGGTTGAGGAAGTGGTAGTGGTTGTCTTCGAGGTGGTCGAGGTCGAGGTAGTAGTCGTGGTAGCCTTGCTAGTTGTCGTCGTAGTGCTTGTGGTACTTCTCGTCGTAGTACTTGTCGTAGTGGTCGAGGAAGGCACGGCCGGCGGCAGAGTCGTTGTCGTACTCAACGACATTGATCGTGTAGTAGTCGTAGTGGACGTCGACTCAGCACCGCCGATACACTGATTAGTACCACAAGTCTGGCCAGGGCTGCACACATTGCAAGCAGTCCCGATACTGCATTGAATGCTAGGGAAGTCGCAGCACACCGCGTCAGACGTGTAGCAGTTACCGTGGCTGCGCCGATTGTCAGCAAGAAACCCAGCCTAGATATTCTCATACGATAAACACAAACTCACCAGCATAGACCACTATCGCAGCCAACACCTTGCAGCGTAGTAGGATTCAGAGCACACCACTGCAACCCGGGCGGCGCGCAGGCGTAGTTACCCTCAAAGTTGATGCACGTTTCCCCAGACGGACAGACTACATCGCTCGGGCAGTCCGATTGCTGGCAGAGAAAGCCATCGGGACAGGAGGGATCTGCTGACGATGTTGCGCGACGGGCATTCTTGGGTGCTGATAGAGGGGCTCTCAGGGGACTCGCGGCGGAGGTTGCCACAAGACCCAAGGCATATAGCAAGGCTACTGCCCTGCCCACGGTCATCTTTCTGATGCGCAGATGACCCAAAGCCTATTGATACTAGGGTATTGATCCCGGATCTTTGCAGGAGTGCATAGTATTCTTATAGTAGAGCCTCTCACCAGGGACTGGCGTCGGAGCAGCAACCCTAATAGGACGGGCTGCCACGCGAGCTGAACCCTCGGACCCGCTATACAGTCAGAACTATTGTAGGGACGTGATTTTTTCTTCACGCCAAGCTATGAAAACGAGGTGACTATACCCGTCTATTGGGGACTATCAGCCTCAGGGTCACTAAAGGGCACTAAAGGGCCCTAACCCGCCGCTAAAAGAAGGGGTTTGTGCCTCATGACCCCCACAAGTCCTCACGCAGCTCGTGTCCGGTAATTTGCTTACGCTCGGCAGCTGAAGTAGATTACTGATCCGTCTCCACTACGACGGCGCATGTGCTCCCTGCATGACTCGTCACTTCAGATATATAGTAAATAATTCCCTGCATATTCAACGATGAGGTGATGTTCTACTCACGCTTATCCATATCAAGCCCACCGGCCATGTTCCGGTTGTACGTCCTCTTAGGGCTCCTCGCCTCCGCGGCCGCCCTCAACCCCTCCTGCAGCCCCGGCGGCAACTTCGACCTCACCAAATGGAACCTGCAACTACCCACCGGAAGCACGGGGAGCCCTCAGACAATTCCGGGGTCTTCCTTAGCCGGTTGCAGCGGCTACAGCAGCAGCGTCTTCTACACCGACGGGTCGACCGGCGAGCTGGTCATGACGGTGCCGGGGTCCCCGTCGAGCACCGGCTGCGTGACCACGCCCAACAGCCAGCACTGCCGGACCGAGTTTCGCGAGATCAGCCCGTCCAGCTGGAGTCCCAACAACGGGAACAATCGCCTGCGGGTGACCTTGTCGGTGCCGCGGCCGGACGACTCGGCACATGGGACGGTGATCGGGCAGATCCATATCGATGATTCGATTTCTTCGTGGGTGCCTCTCCAACCTTTCACTTTGACACGGATGCTCATTCAACTGCAGGAAACCCGTCTGCGAGCTCTTCTACAGCTCCTCCGGCCAAATCACCATGGGGGTGGAGCGCACGCGCGCCGGCGGCGAACTGCTATACACCACGATCCAGACCATCCCCGTGGGCAACACGTTCACGTACGAGATCCGGTACGAGAGCGGCCAGCTTTCGGTGGCGGTCAACGACGGCGGGTTCGTGCAGCTCTCCCAGTACGAGCTGGCCAACCCCAACAGCTACTTCAAGGTCGGCAACTACAACCAGGGCGACTCGTACTCGGAGGTGCGCATCCAGTCGATCACGGTGACGCACGGGTCGGCCGCCTCGAACACGGGCTCCGCGCACCCGGTGTCGACCATCTCCGTGGCCGGGATCGGGCCGCGCGAGGTCCTCTATGCGCTCGACGCGACGGTGAAGCCGTACCCGTCGCCGACGGGCGCGTGTGCGGCGGCGCCGACCAAGTACTCGGACAGCACGGTCAACCTGCGGTTGTACTATGAAGATAACTGCTGCCATGATGTGGAGACGGCGCATATCGGCACATTCAACGTGTGCCACAACTCTGATGGTCCGTTTGCCTCGATCGAGCAGGCGGTTGGCGCCAATCTGTTCGACCGTGGCATCCATATCGTCGCCTACGATGGGTTAGACTGCACTGGGGGCTCCACGAGTCTGAGTCTGAGTAACAGCAAGGGGTGTCAGGCCGTGACGAGTGGGGATAGATACCGGAGCTTCATGATCAGCGAGCCGCAGACGTGTGCGGTGACGGGACCTGCCATCGCGAGCGACAACACGGTGACGATGGAGCTGTATTCGGATGTGGGCTGCTGCACCACGGTGGAGACGATCAAGATGGGCAACACGGGGACGTGCCATGAGGCGGACGCGGCGTTCCACTCGTTCAGCCAGGCGGTGGGCACGAACGAGTTTGGGTGGAATATTCACATCCACACCTTCACCGAGTCCGGGTGTCAGGGCACGTCCGACTCGTTCTCGCTGTCGAACGCGGCCACCTGCAACAAGAACGGAGTCGCGTGGAAGAGCTTCATGATTGCGCAGGACTGCGCGCGGCACGATCTGACGGCCAAGAATGACAATACCGTGTCGTTGGCGCTGTATCGCGATGGCGAGTGCTGCGTGTTCAACGGCGAGGATATCGACCTGGGGACCGTGGGCAGCTGCCACAATGCCAACGACAAGTTTGGGAGCATCACCCAGGCGGTCGGACAGAACATGTTCGGGAAGAATATCCACGTTCAGCTCTTTGAGGGGGCTGATTGCACGGGGGCGATGAAGGATCACAGTCTGACCAACGCGGACGGGTGGTGCAGTGCGGGCGGAGTGGATGAGGAGTTCCAGAGCTTTTGGATCAAGAAGCAGTGCGATGCGCACGAGCTGTCCGTGACTGGCACCTATGAGGTGGCGCTGGCCTTCTGGCAGGATGGAAACTGCTGCGACTATCAGACTGAAGCCCAGCAGGGCCGGTTCGTGATCGGCGAGTGCCGCAACACCGAGGCTCCGTTTGGCAGCGTCACCCAGGCCGTGGGCCAGGACGTGTTTGGGCATGACATTCACATTCAGGTGTATGAGGGATTGGCCTGCACCGGGTCGAGCAAGCGATTCAGTCTCACGAATGCGGATGGGTGGTGCAGTGACGGGGGGGTTGCCGAGCAATATCAGAGCTACAGCATTGCCCCGGAGTGCGGGTGGAAAGATCCTGCAAATACTAATGCCAACACCGTCACCATCGAGCTGTACTCCGACGCGTCCTGCTGCTCGTACGTCAGCGAGACGGTCCTTGGTGTTGCGAGTACTTGTCATAATGCCCCATCGAGTGGTGCCGTGGCGGGGATGGGCATTGGGGCTGGTTCTTCATGGGATGGTGCGCTGTTGGAGCTCTACAGTCAAAAGGATTGTGCAGGAGACTTTAAGTATTTTGAGCTGTCGGCAGACCTTGCTGGGGCATGCGCTGTGACCGGAGGTGTAGTCGCCAGCTGGCGTTTGGTGGAGAGTCAGCAGGTTAGCAGCTGAGTTGATAGTGGTTGTTTGCAGAATACAGGCTCACCCTTACAGATAACCTAATAGTCTGAGTAGAGCAAGATGACTTCAGCGGATGAAGTATCGACGGACACCTTCCAAGTTATGAATAATTTGTAGAACAGTTAAGCTTGTTCACTTTTACTTTGTGGAAGAGCACTTATCTTACCGGGGTCAGTCCGCATCTCACACTATATACACGTTCCTCGTGGGTTGGCGAATGGGTCTACACCGGGGACATAATCGTCATGACATCATACGAGAAGCGTTGAATCGCTTGTTTTACTAGTATGCCTCTCAAACTATATGAGAAGAGAGACTAGGCAAAGGAGACTGAAGGAGATCAAATGATACGAGGATCAAATCTTATAGAGACCCGGGAGGCCAGAGGACCCCTTCTCATAACAGAACACAAAGAACAAATGACAACATGATATAAAACCATGAGATTCCTTCAGAGATCCCGGGGGAGAACCCCCGGACCCCCCTTTCTTTATTAGAAAACCAAACAAACCACAAATTCCCCACGAGAATATCTTCCTAGAATTCCGGCGGAGACCCCAGACCCCCCTTCTATATTCAAATTAACACTATAACAAGAAGAAGAAACTACAACATCTATACAAAGAAAGATATTCAAGAGATACCCAGGGAGACCCCGGAACCCCCCTCACTATCAAAAGCCCAGGCAAACGAAAAAGAAAAAGGAAAAAGACTTCAACCCAAATAAAAAGATAATTATCCTCAATTTAAGAAAACAGGCAAAACCACCCCCCCAAACCCCCCTAATCCAGCTCCACAACCTCCACACTCTCCCTCACAGTCTCACACCCAGGCACAAACCGCAACGCGACCCTCACACCCACCAGAAACCGTTCAACAAGCCCATCCCGGGCCCGTGGATTGCCCTCGCCCCCCACAAACCCGCGCACGCACTCCACCAGCCCGGCCTCGCCCTCCTCCTCCTCCTCCTCCTCCTCACCAGGATCCTCATCGTAATCGACCCGGAAGCCCACGACCGCCTCGGGGGCGCCCTCCCAGCCGGCGCCCAGGGCCACCAAGCCGACGACGTCCAGCCCGTCGCGCACGACGACCGGCCAGCACTCCCAGAGCAGCCGCTTGCGGCGCGCCAGCTCGGCGTCCAGGAAGTTGTCCGGCGGGATGGTGTCCCGGGCCAGGGCGGCGGTGGGGTGGGGCTGGCTTTCCTCGCGCGGGTGCGCGGTGATCACGATCAGAAAGATGCCGTGAACGGGCGTCGAGACGGTTAGCTCCGTGTAATTCAGGGTCAGCTCGCCGGGGTACTGGGTCTCGCGCGGGGTGGCGGTGATGGTGTAGGTTTCCGTGTCGGTGTCCGGGAAGAGGTGGCGGAGCCGGGTGACCCATTCGGCGTAGCGGTTGGCGGGTTGCATTGTGGGGGTTTGTCTTTTTGATGAGTCTTTGGTTGGTTGGATGTTCTTTGGGGATATGAGTGGCTGGTGTGGTTAGCAGCGCGTTGGTACAGGACTTTGGTTTGCAGATGGGGTGTGGTGTAAACGGATAGCGGGTATTTATATCTTACTTCTTTGCTCGGGAACCCAATTGGTATTGTATGTGTTCTTTGGTGGTGGTGGGATAGCTGGAATGAGATAACTGGTGAAGATCGTGTTGTTCTTTGTAGGATGGCTTTGATATCAGGACTGTGCTGGTGGTGCTTTGTTGACTTCTTCTGTTTGTTGTTGACAAAGTTGATCGAAATATTAGTTGTGGTGGATGTAGATGTGGATGTGAAGGTGTGAGTGAGTTGAATGATTGTTGATGGAGATAACGATCGACCACCGGAGCTAGAACCTGGGCCTGGAGACGACTACCCAACCGAGATTGGATTCCGGATGGTTCATATGATACTAGGGTTGTTGCTGTTTGCTACACTGCTCACCCCCCTATATCGAAATCACTACCAAGTGTTGATATCAACCTATGAGAAAATCTCCCGCTAGACATACAACACCCAAAGAGCCACCAAGCTGAAAGACCACTACCACCCACAAAGAACCACCGATCCTAACACACATATCAATAGCACTCAGATCCAGTGATCTCTAGAGTCCCGACCTCCACCAGACCACAACTCAACCCAACCCAACAACGAACCTCCGCAATGGACTTCCCATATCCCCCCCAAAAGCGCGACAGCAACAACAACAACACCACCACCACCAGCCTCACCGACAAACCACCAGACTACAAAACCTCCCCAACCGCATGGCTCGCCGCCATCGCCCGAGCAGCCTTCCCGCCCACCGACTGGCTCGGCACGTGGGAGGTCCAGGTCACCACCGACACAGCCCCAGCCTCCGACGACCACACCCCCCTGCGACGTGATCACCGTCTCCCATTCCGGAGGGCACACCCATCTGATCCTCGTCGCCGGCCCGGATGAGATCTCCCTCGAGTCCCCGGGATCCGACGCACAAGAAAAAGAAAACGACGCCGCCACCGTCTGGCAGCGCCGCCGGGCGTGTCTGCAGCAGCAGTGGGATCGCTACTTGCCCGAAGACGACGAATGCATGGATTGCATCCGCGGCGCCGTGCTCGTCCGCGGCGAGATGGTCTTCGGGGAGTACCCGGACCCGGTCTGCTACCCATCGTGGATCAACACTACGGATAATGATGCACCACCGGTTGAGCCGTGGAAGATGTCCGAGGATGAAAGGCAAGGCTCGGTTCGCCGATAGCCTGCTGCGTACCCGGATATGTGTCGGGGGAGCCCCGCAATGCGGTGGCGAAATGGCTCTGTGCGCAGCTAGGGCTGTCGTTCGCGACGTGGAGGGGGATTCAGGAGGATTGAGTTGGTTGAATAAACAGCCCCCAATTTGTAGTTGTCATGATCCGAGAAAGAGTTACAGTTGAATTTTGAATATATACTGATAATTATAACTTTGATGTATTCGTAGTATGACCCACACCTTGTTGCAACTTTATTCCATTTTCTTGTCCGTGAGTTCACCCTCCTCGTTGAACCGCAGGCGCTTGCCGTACACCCACTTGGTGCGGCCTAGAAGAGTCCCCGTTGCGAACCCCAGGTAAGCGCCTGCGAGAATGGTGATCGGGAAGGCTTGCCACGGGCGGTCCCTAGGGAGAATTAGCATGTCATACCGAACCGTCGTTCTCACCCTTTAACCATATGCCGCAGACTTGAACAACAAAGAACGCATCAATTGCAGGCAGAACTCACCAATCCAAAGGAATAGGCACCGCGCCCAACCACGCCCCGACACAAGTCCCCAACGCCGCCCCCCACACGGCATCAGCCGGCCGACCGGCGCCCCAGACCTCCTTCCAGACCGCCCCATCAACTCCATGCACATAAACCAAGGGCACGGCCGTCAGGAGAGCCATATGGGCCGCGCAGAGTGCCGTCTGGGCATGATGCGTGGTGAACGGGGCGCCGAAGAGAACGAGGAGGATGGCCAGAACCGGGGTGGCCAAGAGGGTCGTCAGGATGAGGGCGAGGAGCGAGGGCTGGACGAGGTTCCGCATTAGCATGGTCTTCATCTGGGCGCCAGTAAACATAGCATAGATCCGCTACACCTGCACATGGCACGATAATCTTGCAAGGAAGAAAAGCACTTACAATAACCTTCCCTCCCAATCCACCCAACACCCCACCCCCTACGCCAGCGCCCGCGCCGCCGCTTCCACCACTGCCGCCCTTGCGACGTGCCGGCCGTCCGGGACGGAGAATGATGTTGCTCGAGCTGGAGCTGGAGCTTGTGCTGGAGGAGGTCGCACCGGAGCTGCTGCCGGGGGTATTGTTGTCAAACGACCCGCCCGCCGGCGGGAGACAGATGATCGCAAAAACGACCTGACTCGCGGCCAGGAACGGAAGCGCGTTCAACATCTCAGACACAGGGTCGTTGACGAGCTGGGGGAAGCGGACGGCGAATCCCAGGAGAACGGCCGCTGGGTGCGCGAGGGAATAAATGCGCGCGAGTTGCGAGGGGAGGATGCGAACGGGGGGTGAGGACTTGAGGATCGGCGGGGGGCCGCCGCCGCTGTTGCTGCTGCTACTGCTGCTGTGACTGCTGTTGCTGTTGTTGCCGTGGATGGCGGGCATTGCTCCAGTCGCCGTGGGGGAGGGAGGGGAGGAGACCATCTTGGGCGCAAGAAATTGACAAGGAAAAAAGCTGTCAAGATGAGGTGGAGGCAGCTCGGGCGAATTTGAAGCTGGGAGAAGGGGATGATTCCCCGGAGAAGGCGGAAGCGGAAAGAATCGAAAAACGGGGGCGGCTGCCTCAGGTGTCCGCAGGTGTCCTCAGGTGTCCACAGCTCGGGAGGTACAAACTAATCGGATTTGGAAGACACACTGACTACGGAGTACTGTTACTGTACAAACCAGGTAGATACAGTCGACGATTACACAACTCTTCTACTCATCTAATTCACAATCCATCCAACTCTGTACGTCTACATCGCTTTTATTCAGCGCTACCCTTTCCCGAACTAATCAATACATACATCAGTCGTAACCCATAAAGCATCAGCCAGCTGCAGCCAAAGTATGGCAACACATTCCTCCTCGCACATCCTTGTACATCACTTCGTCTGTCTCCTCTAGGACAGATCTCGTCATCCAAAATCCGGAACATAACAAAGGAAAAATTACACAGAAAATCTATGACGGTACACTAGGCCCCGGTCCTGACTCAGCCTTCTCTTCCTGAACCGTCTGCAACGGCTCGGAAGGAGGCGCTGCTGCCACGGCCTCAGCGGAATCAGTGGTGTGGTCCGTGGTTATTGTTGGTACAGTAGGCTCCGAACTGGCCACCTGAGACCCCAGAGGTTCAGCACCAGGCTCAGTGACAGAGTCAGTGCCAGGAGCAAGGCTAGGCTCAGTACTTGGCTCCGTACTTGTCTCGGTGCCGGGTTCGGTGCTGGGCTCAGTATTCGGCGCAGTGCTGGGCTCAGTGGAACTCGTCTCCCTAGGGACAGCAGCTGGAGCATCAGAAACGGCGGGGACCCCAGAAACCTCAGTAGCGGCAGATGCTACGACAGCAGACGTGAGAATTGGGCTCTCAGGCATGTGAGGCTCTTCGGGAATCGGTGGCGGCAGTCCCGATCCAGGCAGAGGTGACGCCGGAGAACCAACGGTCGCATCCTTAGGCTGGCTAGTCGCATCGATCGGGGCCGGTCGGTGTCGCACATCCGTAGCTGAAGGTGAGAGTGGTTGCGTGGAGATGATCGAATCCGCGTCGTTCACAGGACTGCGCGTGCGATCGCGCTCCGTGGATTCCTTCACGCCATCTCGTACTTGAGCGACCTTAGCTTTGAATTTCCCAAACAGACTACGCTTTTCCGGCTCCGACGCCAACGACGCTTCGCGCGAGCCCCCAGGATTGCTGACTTCGGCGTCCAGACTTAATGGTTGATAGCTCGGGTCGTTGGCAAATTGCTGCATGTCTGACGGGGAGCTCCTGCTGGCATGGTGCCAGCTGCCGATCGAGCTGGTACTCCGGTCTGCGCCAGGAGTCGACGCCATGAGCGGGGGCGAACCCAACCCCAGGCCAATCTGCTCATTGCTGCGCTTAGACGACCGTGGGAATCGCCAGCTGCGGCGGTGTTCCTTGCGTTCTGCGCGCGACGCCTCTTCCGCCGCATCTACATCCGAGTAGTCCGTGAACGAGGACCGGGAGTTCATCGACGGGGTGCGAGATCCGTAGGGTCGGAGCGAGGTGTCGCCCATCTGGCCGCCCTCAGTCTGCGAAGCCTGCTTTTCGGGCCGACCTTCTCGCGGTGGGCTCAGTTCATCGGAACTAGTGGTTTGGGGAGGACGAGGAGTTGCGCCGCCCACCTCATTGCCAGCATCCGTCGACCGAGGCCCATGCAGAATCGCGGCCAACCCAGGCTCGGATGTCGCAGCTTGCAGCGAATGAGAGGAGCTCTGCGCACTCTCGCTCGCGCTGCCGGGGATTCGCTTCTTCTTCAACCGATTCGGCTGTCGGGGTTCCCGGCCTTCTCCGCTCGGCGGTGGTGATTTGGAGAAGAAACTCGACAGCTTGCGCTCGCGCGTCGGAGTCACCACAGCGGGCGGGGGAGAAACCGTTCGCGCGGCAGGAGGCAGGCCTTCATGCAGTACCGGTCGCTCTGTGACTGGTTTTAGTGGCACGGGCTTCTCGGTTGGAGTTGACCCGTTTTCAACGTTCGCCCTAGGGATCGGTCCACGGGTCGATGAGTGAACATAGACCACCCCCACCCCAGTGCCTGTCGGTGCAGGTGGAGATTGGGGGTTGCTGGGTTGTGGGCTAACCGCTGGTTGAGAGTTGCTGGGTGGTGGGGAAACTGCTTGTTCGGGGACTGCTGGCGCAGGGCTCGAGTGCACGGGAGGTCGGCCTGGCATGAGCTGCGCAGGGATGGGCGGCCTAGGGGCAGGCTGCGCTTCGCTGGGCGGAGGAACAGGAGAGAGCCGGGTGTTATTAACGGTAGGGACGTTGGGTGGTGATTGGATGGTAGTACTGGAGGTGCTGGACAGGGTCTTGTCCTCCTCCTCAACCGTCGGTGGCGCACGGCTGGACGATCGGGAATGTTGCGCAGAGGTGCGATTCGATGAGTTCAGACCGGTCGACTCAACAACCCGTCCATAGCGATGGGGAGGAATGGCCGGGGACATCTTGGAGGGCAAGGTGTTGCTGCGATGCACACCCGCTCCGCTCATCGAGGGTGGCGTCGCCGGGCTGGCGTTGTTCGAGTTGCGCGAATTCCGCGACGAGACAGACACATTCCTGCGAAGGCTTTCGTACTTTCGGAAGCTCTCCCCGCCGCCACTGGCACTCGAGACGGAGCGTCGGATGTTGGTGGAATGAGTAGTGGGCCGGCGCGTCACACCCCCTTCGACCTCCTTGAGCGTTTGTTCATCAGCCGCCGTCCCGTTCATTCCGAACAAGAAATGGTCCTGGTTCTCAATCAGGAAGATCAGCACATCCTGGCTCAGCTTGTATTCGTCCGGCGACATGTCGTGTTGCGGATGCGACAACAGCCCGGGCTGAAAAATAGCGGACAGGTTGGCTGAAGTCATGCGGTTCTGGTCCGATTTCGACGCGAAAACCGCCAGAAGATCCAGAATGTAGAGGAGCAGTTGCTTGTTCAGAGGGGGCAACTCGCGAATCAGCTGTTGGTACGCAGCAACAGCCTTCGCATGATCAAAGGCCTCCGACTCGTTGGGAGGGGCATTGTTCTGCATTTGTTCTTGGACTTGTCTTTGGTAGGTGCGGAGCGGCTCGCGAAAACGTTCGTAGAAGTCCAAGGGGACGATCGGCTCTGGTAGTTGGTTCAAGTAGCGTCGTAGCACGTTGGCTGCATCGTGCACTGTGTATCCCGTCCAGTCAAGGCCCTTGCCATATCGCTCGGGGGAGTCGAACACCTCTTGAAGGTCCTTGATGCGTTTGGCCGACCCACTGAGACGGAAGATACCCTCAACATCGGTCGCTAGGATCCCTTGATCAGTCCTGGCCAGATTCAGCGATGAGTGAGACCGGCATACCTTTCTCCTTCAAAAACACGCCACATTTGGCTACCACGATAGGCACATAGCCGTAGATGAAGCTTTCTCCGTTGTCGTTGGTAAGCGAAATGGCGACATTGGCGTACTTGATGCTGACGTTGAGCGGGACGCCGAAGATGCCCTGCGGTTTCTCTATACATTCATGATCAGCGCATGACCCGCAAAAACTCTCGGCTAGAGTAATGGAAGCAGGCAGTCGGACTCTGTCCGATGCTAAGGAGAGCAGACCGGGCCTGGACCGGATGCGAGTCATGGTGTCTCCCAGCAGTGACGCAGATCAACAGCAGATGACCGCATCGCATCTGGCACCACCGTTGCCCTGCAGCCTCCAGGCCTCAGCCTCAGATTTATTCCTCCACGCAGACATACCTTTCGGTTCCTCCTTGCGAGTGTTCCTTTTGAACTGCCTCCACCAGGAAGCCAGATCCCGTTTCGAAGGCGGCGAGGTTGCGATGACGTCTGGCTGGGCAGTCGGGGGCGGAAGTGGGTGCAGCGGCTCCACGCCCGCGTGCGATTTACCCGTGACCATGGTGAGGAGGAAACGCGCGACGGAGACGAAGGTCGGGAGGAAGGGGGGGAGGGGCGAGATGCGACACTGGCGGTATTGAAATAGAGAAAGTAGCGACACAACCAGACCAGACCAGACCCAGCTAGCACAAAAGAAAAAAAACCGAGGCTGCTGTCACCGCCCTCGCTTTGGCGCAAGAAATTCCGGGGCTGGGAGGCGTTGATCCCAAAATAGCACGAGGGCTAGTCAGGCAGCGGATTTAGGTGCCGCGCCGTCGGGGAAACAGCGTACAATGGGAGGGGAAACCCGGGGAAATGGGCCCAGGTGTGTCTCGAACGGTGTACGGCGACCGAGGGGAAGGGAAACGAGAAAGAGAAGAACGAGGAGGGAGAATGTGAGAGGGTGGGATAGAAGGGGAGAAAAAAGAATTCAGGAGGAGGAAGAAAGGGAGACGAACAAGCAGGGATGATAGATGGGCGGGCGGGATGAAAGGGGAGCCAGAGCGTCAGTCAGTCAGGTAGTAGTAAGTCAACCTGTGGGAAGTAAAAGAGAGAGAGGGAAGCCACAAAAGCGAATCAATCAATTTCACGATAGGCACGGGGACGAAAGAGCTGCACAACCCTGTCAGGTGTTTGGGAGAGTGATGACTGTTGAAGGTGGGCTCTTTTTTTTTTTGGTGTTTTTCTTTCTTTTCTTTTTAGAGGTAAAGAGAAAAAGTAGAGAGGGGTACTGGAGGTGATCAAAAAGAAAGAAGATTATCACACTCGACGTTGTCGTCGTCAGTTTTGCACACACCCACACTCTCACTGGCAGACCACGCACACACAATCCACTTCAAGAGTGGACTGACAGAGAGAGGGCTGACTTTTGGACCCTCCGACAGGGTGCAAAGGAGGTGTGCGTGCTGGTCGATCCGGGGATGAAGAGCCAATGACCATCATCGGCAAAAGGGGGGCAAACGGAGGAAGGAGAGTGGTCCAGAAGAGATCGTCAAAGACCAAAGACGGACTCAAGTCTTGTACTGGACTGGATTGATGATGGTGATGGAGGAGAATTGGAGACGGATGGTTTGATTGATGGTTGATGATTGATGGACGTCCGTCAATTATAGATGGGGAATGATAATTTGGAGGGCGGGACCGGAGGAAGAGAGAACGAAAGCGAATTGACAATTTGACAGTAGGAGAGTCAGTAAAAAAGGTAAAGGATGGGGAACAATAATAATGAAGAACCAGTCATCGATTGCTGTTAAAGCCCGCCCCTCTCTTTAGCACTTATCGCCTATCGGATTTGAGGTATGTGAATTGAAGAGGTATGCGTGTGTGTGTGTTCGCGATTGAGTATAGATTAGTTAGTTACTCAGGAAGTACGGAGTACTGTAGTACTGGACCGTGGACTTGAGACTATCAATGATCAAAAACGAGGAGGAAAGAAAAAGATTAAATGTCAATAATTCTCCATCTTATTAATCTTCCGGCGTGGTGCATCGAAAAGATGTCGATGTCGATGATTATCATTCGAACCCACTTCGGATGGATGTCTCCTCGACCCAGTTCCAGGGATCCAGGGTTTCTGGCACGAAACGACAGAAGCAAAAGGGAAAAAGAAGGGCCCTTTCCCTTTCCCTTTTTTTTCCCGTCTTACCCTTTCCTTCAGACCCATGATCCGACGGTTCTGGCCCTGGATCTAGTCAGTTTACTAGGCGGTTCTTCAATCATTCCGTTACGACGGTTGGATTAATCTGCTGCTAACTACTGCAGATCGAGCCACTAACAGGAGGCCCAAGAGAGTGAGACACTCACCAATCCACCTAAACTACTAGTCTAAGCAGTCTAGTCAAGCCCACTAAAAAGGCCCCCCATGGCCTACGTATTGAGTCTAGTCGTGTCTAGTCTAGTCCTACGTGGTGAAGAAAAACACCAGACTCAGTGGATGACTGATGACTGATGCAGTTCGCGGCGACTCCACGAGAAGCAAGAATGAAGATGACCAACTGTTCGTTCATTGTGAAACGGTCTGGGCCAGGTTGATACATTTCTCGGTATGAGCCACAGCCAGAAAAAAAGAAGAGAAACGAGGGGAAAGCCCCATTCTTGTTCTCTCCGTCTCCTGCTTTCTGTCTTCTAGCCTCGAGGCCTCCCAGGGCGTGTCCTAAAAATATGAATGGGCCAGGATCGTGGTGCCTGTCGGTCTGCCTGTCAGCAGATGCAACCCTTGGTAGTAGTACGTAGTTAATACACTCGGTAGTTGAATGGCTCCGTCACTGCTCCGTCCGTCGTTTTCCCTTTCGTGCCCCTCCCACAGAAACAGAAGAGGACCACTCCATGACGAACTCTACCGCGGTTCACCCGATCAGCAACTGGCTTACTCTGTACTGTATACTATACACTCCTAAGTTGTGTGGCTGTCATCCCAAACGGCCCGAGACTGGACCTGGGCGTACGGATTATTCAGCAGGATCGCAAGTGTTGGTGGAAAACAATAAGATCTTCTTCTCACCCCCCTCTTTATTGTCTGGTCATGCCGCTGCCGATCCTGGGAATTGAGAAGGGCACGCACGGATTGTATTGTAGACCTGGGGAAGGGAGGGGAGAAAAGGATTGGGTCAACTGAGCCGGTAGAGTTTCGTACGGGGCAGGGGAAGAGGATATTTCCCTTTCACTCCCTAATGATCCAACATCGACCGTCCGTCCAGATCCCAGGGTGGTGTTAGTCCCGACCATGGTTCTCGGGGCCAGCCAGACAGTCGGGGTCCAGGACTCCCCCAGCTGGGCGTGTGCTTTTTTTAACTCTGCCGCAAAGGGCTGGCGGTTGTCTCGTCTTGTAGCGTCTCGACGCCTCGGGTCCTGCTTGATGGAGCAGCCGACGGAACCGAGAGATTCCGGACTTGAGCTGAGTCAGACAGCGCACGTGATAATACACGACAACCGATTTCACGTGATCGTTGGAATGGCTGACCACCTCACGTGACTCACGCTCGAAGTAATGGCACGTGATGGCCGCAGAGCCTGCGGTCCGCTGTGAAGCTCCGGAGCTGGTCGTCATCGAGCACTATCAAAGTTGCTTGATGTGTGCATTCCCTGATTTTCTGAAAATCTCTCCCATTTAACCCAACTTTGTATCATCATGGAAGGGTAAGTGTCATGACAGGCATTCACAACTACGAAACGATCCCCCGCAGGATTATCTGCTGACCAGCCCAGACTCAATGCCTCGGAACAGCGCGAGCTCGCTGCCCGCATGGAGAGAAAGCAGCTGAAGGAGTTTATGACTGTACGTGCCTATCTTTTCCCTGGCCTTTTTGCGATTTGATTCCCCTCCCAGTTTGCATTGTGACTGTGACGCGCTCCATCACCGCCTACGATAAATCCATCCCTAGATACCGCTTTCCACGCATTTACTGACCCTGCCGGTCCCCCAGATGTACTCCAAGCTCGTGCAGAAGTGCTTCGACGACTGCGTCAACGACTTCACCACCAAGTCCCTGATCAACCGCGAGGAGAGCTGCGTGATGCGCTGTGTCGACAAGTACATGAAGGGTTCGGCCCGGTTGAACGAGCGGTTCCAGGAGCAGAACGCGGCCATGATGCAGCAGGGCCAGCTGCCGGGTCGGTAAACTGGTGCTTTGTACGATCTTGTCTTGCTGGGTAGTTCTTGCATTCGGGTTGGCGAACTGTGTATAAAATCTTAGAATTCAACGACGAGCTCCTGGTTTCGGAAGATATACTTGTTTCGGTATGCTGTTGGTACGACCAGTGCTTCAAATGCGTGGTACGAGCCGGCGTACAGTGTAGGCTGAGCTCTTGCTTGAGTGTGCACCAACTCGGATCGAATGAGACATGCGGCACACGATGGTAGGAGGATAAAAGCCTCGTGGACTGGATCTTGCCGCTGAGGCTGCACACCGGATCATGCTACCAAGCAAGCCTCGTGTCGATGGGGCATGCTTTGTACACGTAGGCTCAACTCCTGAAGACTGTACCTGGTCGGTTCGTAGGTTCCTCGTATGCCATTCCATCATTCCTCAATCGCGGATTTGCCGGGCGGTGCTACATGTCGTTTCCCGAGGAAATCATCAGAAGGTATACAATCAGACGCGAGACTGGCTTTCGCACCTACATGATCAGCTAGACGAACCCAGACAGTGCTTTCACAATGTTCTCAGACCATGAGTACTGTACACTTTGATATGCGTCTTCGACTCCCACCTATCATTGAAACTCACCACCACGACCGAGCTGCCTTGCTGCCCCCAAATGAGAAAGCGGTGGAGCAGCCGACATCGGGTCGACGAGAGCGACCCATCCCGTACATTGAGCACAGTCCCGGATGATAAAGTCCTGAGAGCAATCTTCTGCACCACATATGGAAATATGTCTCAATTCGGTGCTCTTGAAGATAGGCCAAGTCTTCGCCGATAACTCAATCTCGCTGGTCGATAATCGATAAGGGCGATAGGGACTGGCGGCGATGAGAGAATCGGGCACGCGCCAAGCAACCGGAAAATATTGCCCGTTTTGTGAGTCCACACTAAGATGACTCAATTCAATCCACCATTGATAAGAGCTTGCTTCCAGTCGCCGGCTGAGCTGGTGCCCAGTGGGGACGGAGTGGACACCGAGCTTGCAGTTGGCGTGGCGTGTTTGCATGATGTTTGCATGGTTTACAGCCTGACTAATGCCATAACTGCATCTGCTATGGAAAATTAAGTACAAAGTAAATGATGCGATGATGCGCTGATGCGGAGAGAATGAGGGGCATTCCGTGGCTATGCATGCTGCTGCAGTCACTATCGGCTTCCTCGCTCCTCTTAATTCTCAGCCTCGGATGCTCCTCCGAAGCTATAGCCTTGGGTGTTTTGCAGGTAAATTGTCAACTGTATGATTGTACAGGAAAAATCACCGTGCCCCTCACACCTTCTCCTCTTCTTCTCTTCTCTCCTCCTCCTCTCTCCTCTTCTCATCGCCCCCTCCCCCTCATCGGCAAACTCCACTCCACTTCTTCCTCTGACTGTCCGGTTCGAGCAATTTATTCCCGCCCGGACCGCTTTACTTTCCACCGCTTTCTTTTCATCTTCCATCATCTTTCTTTTCCTTCTTATATCCTCCCCCTCCCCACCTGCCTTAACTTGGGTCCGTCTAAGCTACTATCTTCGACCTGATACCCATCGTCATCACAATGGCCGACACCGTAGGAAAGGTGAGCTACCCCTCCCATAGCTTTGCTTGGTGTTACCCGCGTTCTCATGCTAACTTCTCTAGACCATCACCTGCAAGGTGAGCAGCTTCGTCTAACCGGAACCCAAAAATAGCACACCCCAATTGATTTGACTTGAAATATCTAGGCTGCCGTCGCCTGGGGCGCCGGAGAGCCCCTCTCCATCGAGGACATTGAAGTCGCACCTCCCAAGGCCCACGAGGTTCGCATCCAGATCCACCACACCGGTGTCTGCCACACAGGTCCGTATTTTATCGAGTGCGGTGATTTGCCTTCTTCCAACTGACCCCTGGCAGATGCCTACACTCTCTCCGGAAAGGACCCCGAGGGTGCTTTCCCCGTCGTCCTGGGTCACGAGGGTGCCGGTATCGTCGAGTCCGTCGGCGAGGGCGTCACCTCCGTGAAGCCCGGTGACTATGTCATTGCTCTCTAGTGAGTTTCCACGGACCCCCGACTCGAGTCTCAATCTAACCACCGGGTTAGCACCCCCGAGTGCCGGGAGTGCAAGTTCTGCAAGTCCGGCAAGACCAACCTCTGCGGCAAGATCCGCGCCACCCAGGGCAAGGGCGTGATGCCCGACGGCACCTCGCGCTTCAAGGCGCGCGGCAAGGACCTCCTGCACTTCATGGGCACCTCGACCTTCTCGCAGTACACCGTGGTGGCGGACATCTCCGTGGTGGCCGTCACGCCCAAGATCCCCACCGACCGCTCGTGCCTGCTGGGCTGCGGTATCACCACCGGCTACGGCGCCGCCGTCGAGACCGCCAAGGTCGAGGAGGGCTCCAACATCGCCGTCTTCGGCGCGGGCTGCGTCGGCCTGTCGGTGATCCAGGGCGCGGTCAAGAACAAGGCCGGCAAGATCATCGTCGTGGACGTCAACGACGGCAAGGAGGCGTGGGCCCGCAAGTTCGGCGCCACCGACTTCGTCAACCCCACCAAGCTCAGCGGCAAGACCATCCAGGAGCAGCTGATCGAGATGACCGACGGCGGCTGCGACTACACCTTCGACTGCACGGGCAATGTCGGGGTCATGCGCGCGGCCCTGGAGGCGTGCCACAAGGGATGGGGTCAGAGCATTGTGATTGGTGTTGCTGCTGCCGGCCAGGAGATCTCCACTCGCCGTGAGTCTTGTTGTCTGTTTAGTGAGGGAGATGTGCTAACCTCGCGCAGCATTCCAGCTGGTTACCGGCCGTGTGTGGAAGGGCTGTGCCTTCGGTGGTATCAAGGGCCGCACGCAGCTGCCTGGCCTGGTTGACGACTACCTGAACGGCCAGCTGAAGGTGGACGAGTTCATCACGCACCGGGAGAAGTTGGCGGACATCAACACTGCGTTTGAGCAGATGAAGCAGGGCGACTGCGTCCGTTGTGTGGTTGATATGTCGTAGATGAAAAAGTTATGAGCTGAAATTGAACCAGAATAGTTGACTACCATATGAATTACTGTATTATTGCCGTGCTTCTGGCTGTGCTGTATATATGTATGCTGTTCCGCAAGGTCCCCGTGAGGACCTGGTAGACAGGTAGCAAATCGACGATCAGTGTCTACAGTACCCCCGCCAGAGACATAAAATCATACCACTTACTGTCAATCCAACCTCGAAGAACACACCATCAATAGAAAGAAACACATCATCCTGGATGTTAGATATCACCCATCCTCAATTCCCCACCGCTATCTCACAACCACCCTTTATCTCCTGTTACCCCCCC